TCGTCAAGCGACCAACATCCAGTCCCTTCAAACGATTTATTGGTCGCCCAATCAAGCGACCACCATCCAGTCCCTTCAAACGATTCATTGGTCGCCCAATCAAATCAAACGACCATCATCCAGTCTCTTCAAACGATTCATTGGTCGCCCAATCAAGCGACCACCATCCAATCTCTTCAAACGATTCATTGGTCGCCCAATAAATCAAATGACCAACATCTTGTCCCTTCAAACGGCCGAACAAACATTCATCAAGACGATTCATTGGTCGTCCCATCAAGCGACCATAATCTGGTCTCTTCAATCGGCTGAACAACAATTCCTCCAGACGATTCAATGGTCGCTGATCGAATATTTTTGGAGAGTTTTTAAAATATCTTTTAAGATACAAAAAAAAATGATATATGTATAAAATGAAAATAGTGTCGTGTGTGTTCATGTAGTCACTCCAAAAACTTCGTAAAAAATAAAAAATCTCTTTAACCGGTGAGTGTCCGAGTCGAACTCAGGGAATATGCGAATATCCTATATTTAATTAGAAAAAGTGCAATGAGTTAATGCAATCGAAGAAACTGAAAAGATAAATTGCGGAAATTAAATCTAACTAAAAAAACGATAAAATATACGTATCTCGAAAAGGATGAAGCGAGGCGTTTGTGTCTGACTTTTGCGTTCCTTAATGGCTAGATTTCCATGGATGAAATGAGCGGGATGACGATGGCGTGATAGCGAAAAATATATGTATAATTGCGAGGCGGCACAGAGAAATGAACGTGATCGCATTTGCTCGCTTAAGCCGATTCTCGACTCGGTTGGTACTTGATCTTGGGGGATTAACAACGAGGCTTCAGCGACACCCGGCGAAGAACATTATAAGCAAGAAACCCTACTGTCACTAGGAATCTCTGTGACCCAATAGACCCCCGTCTATGCCCCATGAATTATTCTTCCAACCGTTCCGCTAGTGGCTCTACCCCTTTTATTACCTCTCTTTAATCGAAATCGAATTCAGAACAGCAACTAAACAGGTCGACAAGGCTCCCGCGTACTTAGCTACGTTGAACTACCCGGAAACCGCTTTTGACGCATATCAGGGCTGAAATAGTCGATTCTTCTATCGCCCTTCCGCAACCTTGTCGAAATCCAACTTGAACAATTCAAATCGAACATGGAATTTTTGGGTAAAGGTGAGGTGGAGAAATATGATATGAATTTTACTAGTTAAAATACCATGCTGAAATTAAAAGAAAAAGGGGGAGAAAATCAGTTTGCTCGCGACACAAAACCGAAAATCTCGTATTATTAAACTAGATAAAAATACAGATGAAAAGAAATGGAGAAAATTGAATGTATATTATTGTGTATATATGGTGTGTATGTATATATATATCTATGGTGTATCTATATCTATCTATGGTCTATATATTCTATATAGTGCAATTAGAGGGGATATTTATAGAGGAAAAAGCTTCTAGAAGCTTGGTGGTTACAATCGCCAATAAATAACTAATTCTAAAAATAACCATAAATAACTAACTCTAAAAATAGCTAATAATATAACTACTAATAACTACCTATTTTTTAGAAGGTTCTAGAATAAAAATTACACAAAAATAGCCAAAAATTGGCTAAAAAGTAGTGCAGGATTTTAATTAAGGGAGCTGGGAGAGTGTAGTAAATCCAGGAGCTGAGGGTACATGAGACATAAATGCAGCGGAATTCTGTGCAGGAATTATTGTGGCGGCGCAGTAAATGCACCGCTGACCAGCGGCAATAAATACAGCGAGAATTAATGCAGCCGCCGCTTCGCACACTTCCACGTATGGCTTTCCGCTCCGCTCATATTTCTGTGTCAGCCGCCGCTTGCCTTCCGTGCCAGCCGCCATCGCTTCGCTCACTTTAATGCCAAAGTTTTCGTGCAGCCGTCATCGCTTCCTGTGTCAGCCGTCGCTTGCCTTCCGTGTCAGCCGTCGCTTGTTTTCCGCGCGGCCGTCGCTTGTCTTCAGCGCGGCCGGTTGACTTTGACTTTCGCACGTTGACTTTCTGGTGTTGACCGTTGACTTTTGTTGACTTTTACGCCGGTGACTGTTTTTTCGCTTCTGAAGCCATTTTTTCACTTTTTAAGGCCAGTTTTGGACTCCCAAATCAGTTTTCAAGCATTATTTTACATATATAAATAATGAACATCTTATAAATATTTATTTAAAATAGATAATAAATAAAATTAATTTAGCCAAAATTAAATACTTAAATAGCACATAAATAATGCAAAAAATATAATTCAAGAAACAAATCAATTAATTTAATTTATACACCAAAATAATTATAAATTGCACTTAAAAACTAATAATTTAATATTATACAAACAAGATGAAATGAATACAATTATTAGAATAAATTAAAATAAATGATATCAAAATTTGACATAAATAAATAAATAATTAAATAAATATAAGCTATAAAATATGGCAAAATCAAGAGTTATCAATCGCCCAATCAAGCGACCAACTGACCGCCCTTTCACTTGTTTGACCTCCGGGTCGGCTGTCTCATCCTCCTTCTCCCGACCTCCTTCTGACCTACCTCCGTGTCTGTCATCTCATCTTGCCTCGCCCGACCTTATTTTGTCCGACCTCCGTGACCTCCCTCACCTTTCTTCGCCCGTCTTCCTTCTGCCCGACCTACATGTCGTACGTCTTATCCTTCTTCGGCTGACCTCCTTTTGACCAACATCTATGTCTGCCACCGCAGCTTTCTTCGCCCGACCTTATTTTGTCCGACCACCGTGTCGTCCCTCATCTTTCTTCCCCCGTCCTCCTTTTGTCCGACCACCGTGTCGTCCGTCCATCCTTCTTCGCCCGACATTATCTTCTCCGACCTCCTTCAAGACCCTCCTACCATTATTATTATTATTATTATTATTATTATTATTATTATTATTATTAATTTTTTAACTCAACAGTAATATTTAGATTGTTTAAATGAAATTTATATTAATTTCAACTATACATATAAAAAAATTAACGCTGCCAATGCTACGCGCAACGTAGCGCCAACGAGCACTAATATATATATATATATATATAAAAGAGGTGTTTGTTGTGGTGGTTAATCCGTTGAGACCAAAATTAAATAGAATATAATTATATTCATATATTTTATGTGCTTATACAGTGTACTGTCAATTTTTATATGGGTTAATGGCTGGTTTTATATGTATTAATTATATTACTCTATCTTCAGTATAATTTGTCTCTATTTTTTATTTTTATTTGTAAAATATAATTTGTCGCATTTTAATTATATTTTAAATTTTATATTTTTTTATTTTAATTAAATTATTTAATTATTTTAATTTTAATTTATAATTATTTTTATTAATATATTTTTTAATAACTTATTAATTATATTTTATCTAAATTCGTATCTACCAATACAATAGGGAGAGAGGGAATACACCAATGGTGATAGATTTGCCATTCACTCGCCACGAACCATAGAAGAAAAGCAGTGCATCTCTCCCATTTTTGTTCGAGACTATTCTCCTCCCATCATCTCTATTAATTGATTCCCGGACCTCAATCAATCGCGAGAAATATTTCATTGCCTCATTCACGGTCTCCGAACACTTATCCACGACTCCGCTTTGACTTTAAAGAAAAAAGTGACGAAGTCTCCCCGATTTTGATTTGAGGCCCGAGCAAGACAGGATCGGACCAACCCAATCTTCTATTAAAAAAGCAGGGTAAACCCACTCTATCTATTTCTCTATCGCGGGAAAGCACTCACCGATCTGTCATCTAACCTAAAAGCTTGACTCTGGTAATAGTTCCATAGTTTCTGAGGCAGAGCAAGTAACATAATTTATATATTATATGTCATTAATATTGTGTTGAATTTTGTAGGTCAACTTATGAATTATAATTTTAAATTCAAATAAAAATCAAATTTTATATTAGGTGATTTTTTTTATCTAATATTTTTAAAAAATATATATATATTCATTCTATCTCGTATGTATATTTTTATTTACTTTTATATGTAAATTTATAGTATTAATTGTTTTATTTACTTGAATTGAAATCTAATCTAACAATAATACATATATATATATATATAATATTCAACGTCATTCATCAAAGACGTCAAATACACGAAAGCTATATCAAATTGGGGATACATTATGGAATGCGATGTAACGAGGATTTGAGTTCAATGGTCAATCCCTCATCATTATCATCATCAATAATAACCATTATTACTGTGTTAGCTTAATTAAGTCGAAACGCGATTAATTAAATATCTTTTATTTACGTGGGAATTCTGAAATGATCGTTTCTAGGATTTTGTAGTATAGCCACTTATTGATGATACCAACAAATAAATAGGTATTTGCATGTATAGTGTGAATGTCAACTCTTTTTTCTTGAAAAATGCACCCCCACCCCCACACGTGCAAATTACCAATAATTTTCAACTGGAAATGATCCATAATCTCTAGATTAAACAAAAAGTTCAACTGTTCATATCTTATAAGCATTATATTCAAATTATAACCCTTAATTGTATAACCCAAATTGGAGTATATATATATATATATATATGTTATGGTGTGCCATTAATGAAATTTGATTTGAGTAGACTGACCTGACCTGACCCGGTCAGTGGCTACCCTACGCGCCTATAAAGACCCAGCCCGTTCTATTATAAATTATTAATCTGGATAATCGTGGAATTTGAAAGATGTGGGGGACTGTATTGCAAATAAAAATGACTTCAGACCCCATTCCCCAGCGACTCCGCGGTGGTTGCTATACGAGGCCCCGGGACTTGGACGCCGGATAAATCTACACCGCTGGGCGCGCTTTCCTTCCTTCCTTCAGCTTCAAGCTCACTCTTCACTTTCGTCCATAGGAAGAGTCCCGTTTTACAGAACTAGGGTTACAGGCTGTAAGAAAGAAATTAACCAGCATTAATGGCAGCCATTCTGTCCTAAATTGGACGCAGGATTGGGAGTGAAAGGGGAGATAAGGAATGGTGGGTTTACCTTCTTGACTAGACTTTTCAATAAATTTTGAAAGCTCTCTTCTTCTTTAACTGCAACCCAAATTTACGCGGTCCGAACCTCACCCAATATAAAACCCCCTTTTCGTTTAGGGTTTCAAATCGTCTTCGTACTCCCCTACCCTCCTTTCCATTCTCTCTCTTACAATATTTCTTGGGGTCTTTGTCTGCTTTTCCTTTAAAGTCTGAATCTTGTGTGGGCTTGGGAGAGAATTCGTCGGTCGGGTTACTGCAATCAAGGGAGGATTTCGAAAGAAAAAAACATTCGTGTTTCGATTACGTATGCGGTGAGAAATGCCAGCGACAGAGTTTCAACAGTCGTCTTCGTCGTCGTCGTCTTCTTCTTCTCCAAGCTTTGGATTCTCCATTCTGAGCCGCCGCCGCGATCAGGTTCACTCCCACTCGATGGAGTCGCCGCCGGCGGGCCTCGAAAACGAATTGGAAGCCTTCCAGCGACAAGTCGCCGATCGCTTTCACGATCTGTCGGCGGCGGACTCCGGCGAGCTCCTCTCAATTCCATGGTTACGGAAGCTTCTAGACGCGTTCCTCTGCTGCCACGAAGAATTCAGGGCAATTCTCTTCAACAACCAGCCTTATCTGAATAAACCGCCATTGGAGCGTCAGATTTCCGACTTCTTTGAGCGGAGCGTTAAGGCACTGGATGTCTGCAACGCCATTAGAGATGGGATTGAGCAGATGAGACAGTGGCAGAAGCCATTGGAGATTGTCCTCTGTGCATTGGACAATCAGAGGAGCATCGGAGAAGGGCAAATTCGCAGGGCCAAGAAAGCCCTGATCGATCTCACCATCGGAATGCTCGACGAGAAGGAGTCATCTACTGCACTTGCACATAGAAATCGATCTTTCGGCCGCAACAATTTGCACAAGGAGCACAAGTCTTTGGGCCATTTCAGGTCACTCTCATGGAGTGTGTCGAGGAATTGGTCTGCTGCCAGACAGCTCCAAGCCATCAGCAACAACCTCGTAGCTCCTCGCTCCAATGAGATCTTATCCACCAATGGTCTTAATTTAGCTGTCTTTACAATGAGCTATGTTCTGCTGTTTGTTATGTGGGCTCTTGTGGCGGCGATCCCCTGCCAAGATCGCGGTCTTCAGACACACTTTGCAATAAGCAAGCAGTTCTTGTGGGCAGGTCCAATTCTTTCCCTCCACGAGAGGATATTGGAAGAGTCAAAGAAACGGGCTAGGCGAAACGCCTGTGGATTGCTGAAGGAGATATATGAGATTGAGCAATGCGCACGCCATTTGAACGAACTTGTCGATAACACACAGCTCCCATTACCAGAGGAGAAGGAAAGAGAATTGCGAATTACAGTCGAGGAAGCGGGAAATGTGTGTAAATCTCTAAAGGACGGGCTCGATCCGTTGGAACGACAAGTTAGAGAAGTGTTCCGGAGAATTGTTCGCAACAGGACACAAGGGCTCGACTCGACAGGTGGAGGAGACTGATGAAACTTGATCAGATCAAGATCAAGATGCATGTTTTGTGAATTTTGGTTTCTTGAGAATGGAAACAATTATAATAATGATAGTAAGTAGTAATAATTCTTGTGGTTCGAAAGTGGGGTTGAAATCTCTTGTATGTATCACACAATCATCATTATGTAAACAAGTTAGAGTGAAAAATCGGATCTTTACTTTTGTGTCTGTACATTGCAATCTCAGGTTCAAATTGGAATTCAATGTAAGTTTCGTTCAATCATGCAGCAAGTTTAGTTGCAGTCAGATTTTTTAGGCAAGACATGTGGTTAACCTAGACAGGGCAGGTGTCTTCTTTCTTCTAGTGTCATGCCATGTCTCACCACATTGATGAACAAAGCCCACCAGCAAGAACTTCATTATTCACATGGATGGAGATACCTATAAAATGATGGGCAAAACTGCCACGTATATTTAACATATATTATCAAAATGGTCATTGAAATATCTCTCTGCTGCTGCAAAATTAGAGAAGAAACCAGAGGCTATGGGGATCCTTATATCTTAATTTCTGGAACAAATTTAGCTGGCGAGTAGAGAGAGAGAGAGAGAGAGAGAGAGAGATATTTGAGAGTTGAGAGGCCAGTATTTGCACAGGGGCCTCACCCCCCAGGAGGGTGCTATCTGGCACTAGGTGTAAGGACAACAATTTGCTGACCTTTAAATGCTAAAAGTTGTTTTAATGGCAGCCCAGCCATTGCAGCAAGCAGCAATTGGGCATGGTCTATACAGATAGATAGCAGGGGCCGTGAAGCTTTTTGTATTAATGAAGCAACATAATGGAGGAGATTCCCCTCTAACATTTTGTACACACACTTTGGCTGGCAGCCTGGCACTGCAATTACTGCAATTCATTGGGTAGTTTGTAGGACATGACTGGTAACCCCAACACACAAGAACAAATTCAAAAGCTTGAGGTTGAAGAATCAAAGCAAAACATGTCCAAAACGTGTCGACTCATTTCTGAACTTAAGTTCCCTCCATGGGAAATAAGGGAAGTTTTCTTTTCTTGTTTTTTCACTGTTCCATTGACAAACTTGATCAAGTAAAGCATTTGTTCTTTACTTGCACACAACCTTGTTTTCTTCTTAAATAACGATGTCAACATTTTAATTCCATCAGACTGCATCAGGAATTCAATACAGAATGGAGTTGGATTTAGGGATTAAACTCACCAGAGTTGCAGATGAATTCACCTCCGATTTCCAGCTCACGAAAGATCGGGCAGGCCCTGTTTTCTTGTCCCATGAAACCGATTCAATGTTCATACTCACTGCTCATCTGAAAGGTTCCATTTTTTTGTGATATTTGATCCCTAAGCTGAAAACTTTGGTCTCTTAAGAGTTCTTTCCTTTTCTCCTCAGGTTACAGGCGACGAAACATAGAGATTGATATCAACGAGGATGGGACTCTGATTGGTTTAAGCGGCGAACAGCAGGTGAAGGAGACGGTCATCGTTGGGGGGAAAGTGTACAAGAAAGATGTAGAGACTAAGGGGTTCAAGAAGGTTTTCAGAATCCCAGATGGGGTGATTCTAGACATGATTAAGGCCAAGTTCAATAATGAGTCAACGCTGACAATTACAATGCCGAAGAAGGTTAAAGGGATTCGAGGGACGACCATTGAGGAGATCAAAGAAAACCAGGGGCTTGTCAAAGAGGGCTCAGGGTCTCTGCAGATTGCAGTTGAAAAGGTTCAAAAGATTGATGAAATGTCATCAGAAGCAAATGCAAAGCTCGGAAAAGAGAAGCAAGTCGAAGCACCGTCAGTTTCTAATAACTCGGATGAAAAAGATGATGATGATCAAAAGGAAAAGGAGCAAGAAGATCGAAAAACAATGAGTGGCATGGAAAGTTTTCCAAGCAGGGAAGTTCCTCCTGAGGAAGATAAACAAGCTCAGAAACTGGAACCAGAGATTCAAGAAATTAATGAAACTGCAAAAGATGAAGACCATGATCAACAGAAAATTGACAATCAAGATCACATTCGAGAAGGCGAAACAGAGAGTGAAGAGACAGCAGAAGGTGGACCTGGAACGACGCAGCAACCGGAGCACCGGCCTCGTGAGAAGAAGTGCAAAATGTGCATTCCCATCATCGCCGGCTCGACTTTACTGCTATCACTTGTGGTGTTTGTGTTCCAAATTATTCGGAGCAAGAACCAAACTTCCAGAAGGAGAAGTTGATAGACTCCAAATTACAAAAATTCATCGTCCATATGAGTGTGATCTTATAAGTTGTATGTAAACAGTATATATGTAAAAGTTCTATTCTTGTTCTATAAATACAATTTGTGTATAATCTCTGGATGTGCAGAGTTTGTAAAGATCAGTCATGGTGATCAGCATGATAATGCAGAAAGGGAAATCAAATATTTTGTTCATACCTGCACATGATTGATAAATTCATCAATCATCAGTACCTGATTAATATATTCGATTGCTTTCTCGTGTGGATGTAGACGTTCAATTCCATACTCCACGCCACATCAAATGCCGATCAAGATTTTTATATTATTGTTTGAGTCTTCTTCACGGCGAAGATATCGATCTGGTCTGGTATGTATGCTATAAAGAGCACCCAAACTTGTAGCTCAATTCTCCTCGAATTCCGATAATGGCGATGAACCTGATGGCGGCTGCAAACCCCAGAGCTATTGCTTGTGGAGCCTTTCCTGCATCTGCGTCTGCGAATTCGAAGCTTCTGCAATTTTCTTCGCTTCAGTTTCCGTTAGGGCTCCGAAACCAGCGCCGGAACCCTACCCTCCGTCGCCGTGGACTTAGTCTGGTAATTATAAAATTTGATCGAATCTGTGTTTAATTCGAATCAGTTTCGATTTAGGGTTTGATTAATGCTTACCCAATCAGGTTGCATCATCGGAGCATTCTGCTTCTTCTTTCCATGAGTTGCTGCGAAATTCTGAAAAACCAGTATTGGTCGACTTCTATGCTACCTGGTAAGCATTTCTACCATAAATCCCTCTGATCTGCAGAGGAAAGATTCAGCTCTGTATTGATGACGTTAATTTCAGGTGTGGCCCGTGCCAATTCATGGTTCCTATTCTGGAAGAAGTGAGCACCTCCATGGAAGACAAGCTCCAAGTGGTGACAATCGAGACAGAGAAGCATCCCCTGATCGCAGACAAGTATGAGATAACAGCATTGCCAACATTCATCTTGTTCAAGGATGGAAAGCCCTGCGATCGTTTTGTAAGAAATGAATCACAGAATCATCGTTTTCCCTATTATCCATCCATGGCTTACCTTCTTCTCCATGTTTTGCAGGAAGGCGCAATGGCTGCAGACAAGTTCATCCGACGCATCGAAACCTCGCTGAAAGACAACCAGTAGAGTCAGTGTTGTTCCATTGATAGATGAGTTTGGTAACAAACAAATCCCTGTATCTTTACATCCTCGTCATACGGAACAAGAAAGTTCTTGTATATGTGTAGTGTATGTATAAAGCTCACATAACTACAATTACATGAAAAGATTTCAACTTTATTATTCCATTTTAGAAGGCCCCTATTACGGATAGTCTGTTTTGACCTTACCGAGCTCTCTCAGATGCCTAAAATGGAGATGAGAGCTACTGAAGACATAGCCATAGGCTGCGACTTAACCCCACCCGTCTACCCTCTCGCCTTCGTCTTGCAAGATTCCGACCTCGCCTCACGTTGCTCCGCCTGCTTCTCGCCTCTGCCGCCGCGCCCCTTTCACTCCGCCTCTCATCTAGATCATCGATTTATTCCCGATGACGTCATCCACACTCCACTTTACTGCTCCCTTCACTGCTCTTCCCTCGAATCCTCCATCAACTTTTCCTACGCCGAGCTTCACCTGCTTCATAATTTCCGGCAGTCGTCGCCGTCGGCGTGGGAGGACTCCTCCGACCTCCGCCTCTCTATCCGTCTTCTTCGCTTCTTCGAAAGGCTTCGATTTAGGGTTTTGTCAAATTCGCCAGATTCCGTGAACAATTCCTGTCGAAACGACAGCGTTTTGGAGAGAATTGCCGGTCTAATGACTAATCGTGAGGATTTGATGATCGACGAAAGGTGCGAGGATAGCCTTTTTGAGAGGGTAAAAGAGGGGGCAAAATTGCTAGCAACGGCTAGGAGAATGTGCGCAGAAAATCTCGTCGATTCGGAGTCGCCGGAGAAGGAGAAGGAGAATGTGTTAGAGGAGATGTTGCTGTGTCTGGTGCTGACAAATGCTGTCGAGGTTCAAGATCACAGTGGCTGCAGAGTAGGAGTCGCTGTTTATGGTCCATCATTCTCTTGGATTAACCATAGTTGTTCTCCGAATGCTTCTTACAGGTTTTCATTCGGGCAGGAGCAGCATATGCAGCAGCAGCAGCAGCCTTCACGAATAGCTCCAGCTGCAAAAGAAAGTGGCTCCGGAAACGGAATCGACCATAGTTTGGTGATGGAAACTGATCTTGCTGTTCCAGGTATTGTCTGAAATCATGTTCTAACGTGAATTCATTATCTATGATCTGAGTTCTTGAAATATGAACTTTAGTTTAGGGTGTTGGTGTAGAAGGAACTGGCTATGGTCCTCGAGTTATTGTTCGTAGCATCAAACGTGTTCGGAAAGGAGACGAAGTGACGATTGCATACACCGATCTGCTGCAGCCTAAGGTTGTCTGTATTTCTAAGTTTGCAGGGCCTAGAATAAGCTTTATTGATTTTTTGAATCATCGCCGGCTTCTTGCAGGAGATGAGACAATCAGAATTATGGCTGAAGTATCGGTTTAATTGCCGGTGTCAACGCTGCAGCGCAATGCCTATCACTTATGTCGATTATTGTCTTCAGGTAAGGCTTCCTTTGTTTTGTATGTGTTTATGATGAAAGAATGATCGACATTAAACCTTGATAGAATTGAAGATGATAGTTTAGTTTATCAGACATCGAATCGTAAACATTGTATATCGCATATAGGTACCATATCGAGGTAGTATTGACGGCCCGGTGTCTTTGAACATTGAACTCGAAGATGTGTTGGGAAGTATTGACGATACGATAAGCGACTATCTATCAATTGGCGATGCAAAATCATGCTGCGAGAAACTCGAGAGCTTGCTCAGTTACGAGCCAGAATCGCCTCTGAAACTGAAGCTGAATCCTTTTCACTTCCTTTCTCAAAATGCTTACATCACATTGGCTTCTGCTAACAAAGTTGTCGCAATCGAAAGGGAAATGGTCCAAGACTCCCTTAAACATTACAAGACAAGTGCTGCATATTCTTTGTTGCTCGCCGGAGTGGTGCATCATCTTTTCATGTCTGAATCTTCTCTCATAGCAGCCGTTGCGAATTTCTTTGGTAATGCCGGGGAATCCCTTTCGACCCTTGCTGGAAGCTCCTTGTGGGACTCAAAGCAAATACATCAAGAACTCTCGCCTCTTTTAAAATGCGACATATGTTGTCTCTCTTTCGAGCCCAATTGTGCCATTTTCGATCAAGATAATCCACAGGAGGAAGTGAAGATACGGCTGTTTAACTGCATTGCCGAGATATCCCGACAAGTCTGGAGCACCCTTGCTTGTGGGAATAGTTTCTTGAAATCAATTAGAAATCCTGTTGATTTTCGCTGGCCTACATCCCCGGAAGCTGAGGAATACGACGACTCTAAATTGAGAGTGCTTATTAGTGTTCTGGGATTACACTGTTTAAGGTATGGCTCAATCTTGTCCAGCATCTGTTATGGTCGCCCTCGAATCTCCAAAGACCTCTGTGATGAGATTGAAGTTGTAGTACCCTTTAAGTAGAGCTGTTCAAATTCAGCCGAATTGATGAATTTGTTGTTCATCCCAGTTTTTGTAGGTTATAATTTTGTATGGTTACTAATGATTTTTGTCGAATTTGATTTTGTGTAAGAAACGAAAAAAAATAAAAAATTAAAGATTATTAAACAAAAAAAATCACTTGGGCAAAAAAAAGCAAGAGACGCCCGGACGGCGGGAGCAATGCGCAATTCTGCATTAGTTTTCTATTTTAAAATTCAAATAAAAACTATATTCAAATTGGAAGCCTTATTTTCATGTACGGATTAAAAATGGGCAAAGGCACAAGGCATTGGCAGAGCACCGCAATTATGAATAGCAGTGTAGCAGTTATAATTGCATATTGTATTTAATTTCTATAATAATGTGTTTTTGTGGCAGTTGGATGGTTCAAGGTTTAATGTCAGTTAGCGAGCTGCTGCACTAACTTTTATTTATTTATTTATTTGCTCCAAGTTCAGGATATATTACAACTTCATCACTGGTTGCAAATTATGTGTTCCAATTACATTTCAATGTCTATAAGTATAATGGCAGTCCAGATTAGTTTGAAATCCTGCTAAGACCATTTCATTGATTAATTAATCACTGCCACTGGAAATTAACCAAGCTCATTTCATTATAATTCCAGCCAGGTCCTGGTCCTCAGCTCCGGCGTGAATCCAGGCGGTGCACTGTGGGGACCCCACAAAATGAACGGTGTAGATTCACTACATGGGCTTAGACCAAAACCAGAGTCTGTAGATTCATCCATCCAACAACTCTTCTTACCATGAAATTAAATGAAAGCATCATCACATGGCATTGGCACTGTGTCTGTGTACTACTACTATTACTGCTGTTTGTGTGTTGGGGATGCCAACCCAAATCGTGCCAAAACCAAAAAGCTAGAGTCCCATTTTGGCACATAAAAACTATCCAACAGCAAGTGCAGTTTTGTGGGGTTTTAATGGCATCATCGCCATCGGATAAACTGACCCCTTTGAAGCAATGCAGCCATTGCCAGCTGCTTCAGTACTGTTCGGACATGGTAGGGTGGGTTGAACCTTCTGACCATGTCCTCCTCCTTCACCTTCTATTCTTTTAGGTACACTTACTACATTTGCAGATTAAGCAGGAAAGTCCCACAAAAAACAAGTGTGCCTAACGAATGGATTACCTCTAATGAGAATGCCAAATTAGGGCACGGCACTGATCTAATTAAATTTACAGATACGGATTTTCTTAATTTTTATCAAACAGTAATAATAAAAACAATTGCTTCAAATGCTGGGGAGTGACGCCATTGTCATGTGACTAAAAGAGGAACGGAGCTCTTACCTTGGGTTCTTGAATTTATTATAATAATTGCTTTGGTAAAAGGCAAAGATTCATTTTTTATTTCCTAAAATTTTGGCCCTCAGCGGATTTGGTCGAAACAAAGAAGAAAAAGTGAAAACTTTTCCACCATAGTCCACAAGTTTTATCCCAAACTATTTTGTTGGTATGCTTAGTTTGTGTTGATCTCCGCTTTTTGTAAAACACAATATGAATTATGAAGCAAACCAAAAGGCTAACAAACACCTTCGTCGTCATCATCAAACCACCGACGAGTTTTCATTATAACATAAATGTGGTGGAGAAGGTGATCGGTGTTGTTCATCATTTCGATTCTGGGCTTGCTTTTCTTTTCATTTCCTTCTTCTGTACGAACATTTCTTCCAACATAAGCGTTGGGTGAACCTTTTCCCAACTACTCTATTTATTGTAGTTTGTTCTACACTACACAACTCGTCTTATTTTTCCTTGTCTGTCAATAGAAATAAATAATAATCATAGTAAAAAAAATAATACTATTATAAATGTCTTTGTCGTACTCGATCCCTTTTTCTACCCCGGGTATTCGATTCATCCCTGACCTGCTTATTAGAGAGAGAGAGGGGAAGAGAGAGAAGGGTTACCCTCAAGAAAAGAATCAAAGGCAATTCACGAATTCAGGGGAAAACACAGAGAAACAGTCACCACTAGAGCCAAGAGAAGAGAGCTCTCATTCTTTGGCCCACATTGAAATATTGAATGCACCATTGTTTTTGTTCTTCTTTTTAGGTCTAGTGTTCTCTCACTTTCAGTTCATTGTTTAATGAGAAGAGCTTCAAGTGTATAAAAGAGAAGAGAACAGACAGACAGACTCCTCTACATCTCTTGCATTCTTTCTGGACGTGTGCATATTTTTTCTCGCCAAAGACATGATATTCTTTCTTCTGGCCCTCTCTTCCCACTGGTTTTGAAGGCTGGGAAAAGAACAGTTCTTGAGGGATTCTCTTGTTTCTTACTGGGTATGGATACTAAAGGGAGGCTTGTAGCTGGTTCGCACAACAGGAATGAGTTTGTACTCATCAATGCTGATGAGATTGGCAGAGTGAGTTTTCAGAATATGTCATTAATTTCTTTACACGAATTAATGTTCTTTTTTATATTTCTTGTTAACTTCTGGTCGATTGCCCTAAGTCAGCATGTATAGTATTCAATTTGTTATTTCTTCCTGAAGAGCCTCGTTCTGTTCAATTAGCTCAAGTTTCATTCTTTCTGTCCGCAGGTGACTTCGGTGAAGGAGTTGAGTGGACAGATCTGTCTAATTTGTGAAGATGAGATTGAATTAACTGTTGATGGGGAGCCTTTTGTTGCCTGCAATGAATGTGCATTCCCAGTTTGTCGACCCTGCTATGAATATGAAAGAAGGGAGGGTAATCAATCCTGTCCTCAGTGCAAAACCAGATACAAGCGTATCAAAGGTAATAATCGGTGTGTCTCAATGTCTGCAAGCAATACCTGTATTTGGGGCACATTTATGGAATACGATTGTTCGGGATTGAGAATACTTGGTTAACAAGCAATGTTGTAATCAGGAAGTCCCAGAGTTGATGGAGATGAAGAGGAAGATGAATTCGACGATTTGTGTAATGAATTTGATTATAAATGTGATGAAATGAGGGGTAGAGATCTCCGGCATGTCACCGAGGGGTTTAATATAGGACGATGTGCCTCTGGAATCACAGTTCCCTCAGAGATGGAAGGCTCAGCTATCAATCCAGACATTCCTCTCCTTACTTATGGCCAAGAGGTTGTTAATCCACCTCAATATTTTCATCGTTCTTTTTCTTAATTTTGTTCTATTTTGTATGTTAAGATAACATTTTTCTTGGTGAAGGATGATACAAGTTTTGCAGACAACCATGCTCTCATTATTCCCCCTTTTGTCGGCCGAGGAAATCGTGTCCATCCTATGCCATTCTGTGATTCGTCTATGACGAGTGAGTTTCATTTCTGAATTGTTGTTTGGCTATTGTAAATGGATTGGATGTTTAATGCATCTGTTAATTTTGCAGTGAAGCCGCGCCCGATGGATCCTACAAAAGACTTGGCTGTGTATGGATACGGTACGATTTCATGGAAGGAAAAAATGGAGGATTGGAAGAAAAATCAGAACGATAAACTTCAAGTGATCAAGCATGGGGCAGATACAGATGGTGTTCATGATTTACCAATGTAGGTCCACGCTTTCTGATTCGATTGTTTCAATACAGGAATGATCATGATATCTATTGTTGTACTAAATTGACAGGATGGATGAAGGGAGACAACCACTTTCTAGGAAGCTCCCGATTCCTTCAAGCAAGATAAATCCTTACAGAATTATCATTCTTCTCCGAATGGCTATTCTCGGATTGTTCTTTCACTACAGAATTCTTCACCCTGTCAATGATGCCTATGGATTGTGGCTAACTTCAATTATATGTGAGATATGGTTCGCCGCATCATGGATCTTTGATCAGTTCCCAAAATGGTTCCCGATTGAGCGAGAAACATACCTTGATCGACTCAGCCTCAGGTACAAGTGTAAACTGCCATTTGTGCTTACAAGTCATGACTTTTACGACATTTCAATCCATTTTTATTGACTGTTGATTATCTTTTGTAGGTATGAGAAGGAAGGGAAGCCATCTGAGTTAGCTCCCGTTGATATATTCGTTAGTACTGTGGATCCAATGAAGGAACCTCCACTCATTACTGCAAACACAGTTCTTTCTATACTTGCTGTGGATTACCCAATCGACAAAGTTGCTTGCTATGTCTCTGATGACGGCGCCGCAATGCTGACATTCGAAGCTCTGACCGAGACATCAGCGTTCGCCAGGAAATGGGTCCCGTTCTGCAAGAAATTTAGAATAGAACCTCGAGCGCCCGAATGGTATTTTGCACAGAAGGTCGATTACTTGAGAGACAAAGTAGATCCAACATTTGTTATGGAGCGTCGCGCAATGAAGGTATATATTGCTACATATACTTGAGTTGAAGTTAGATCTAGCTTGCCTTTGTTTTAGCAACCAATGCATATTTTTATGTCGTAGAGAGAATATGAAGAGTTCAAAGTTCGAATAAATGGATTGGTTTCCAAGGCACAAAAGGTTCCTGAGGAGGGTTGGACAATGCAAGATGGAACTCCATGGCCGGGAAATAATGTCAGGGATCATCCGGGAATGATCCAGGTTAGGACAACTGTAATAACAATCTTTCTACGATGTTGTTGCCACTTGAACTAAAGAATCTACTACTTTGTATGGCTTGGCAGGTATTCTTAGGACAAAATGGAGTTCGGGATATTGAAGGGAATGAGTTGCCAAGTCTTGTATACATTTCCCGCGAGAAAAGACCTGGATTCGAGCATCACAAAAAAGCCGGCGCCATGAATGCTTTGGTGACTGTTATTCTATCTTTCTGGTATTGATGTTTTGCTTTGCAAAGGATTGGTTATTTGATGTAAGATCTTTTCTGTTTCCAGATACGGGTGTCGGCTGTTATCTCGAATGCTCCCTACATACTCAATGTTGATTGTGATCATTATATAAATAACAGCAAGGCACTCAGGGAGGCAATGTGCTTCATGATGGACCCTCAATCTGGGAAGAAGATATGCTATGTCCAATTCCCACAAAGATTCGATGGAATTGATCTGCATGATAGATATTCGAATCGCAATGTGGTTTTCTTCGATGTACGTATAGTTTCTTGAGCTCGATTTGCAAGAATTGTATTTGATGCATTTGTGGTAAGAATTTTGATGTCTTTAATGTTAACAGATAAACATGAAAGGGCTTGATGGGATCCAAGGTCCGATTTACGTGGGAACAGGATGTGTCTTCCGAAGGCAAGCACTATACGGCTACGATGCTCCCAAGAAAGTGAAACCCCCAGGCAAGACATGCAATTGCTGGCCAAAATGGTGTTGTTGCTGTTGTGGATCGAGAAAACCGAACAAGAAAGGGAGATCGAAGGATAACAAGAAAAGGATCAAGAACAGGGAAGCTTCGACTCAAGTTCATGCACTTGAAAACATCGAGGAAGGATTAAATGGTGAGAAAAAAATGAACGTATGGACCATTTTTCTTTTTAATCGATTCACTCACTTGAACACGTTGTTTATGGCAGGACATGACAACGTTGTTTCACCCCTCGAGCACCAGATCAAGTTAGAGAAAAAATTCGGACAGTCGCCAATTTTTATTGCATCGACACTTGTGGAACAAGGCGACATTCCTCTAGGCTCATCATCGGCGTCACTCCTGAAAGAGGCTATCCATGTCATTAGCTGTGGTTATGAAGACAAAACAGAATGGGGGAAGGAGGTGTGGCCTAAATCGACAACTTATCCTCATTAAAGCTTTTGTTTTGTTTTTTTCCGATTTAGGGATCAAGCTAACGACTCTTTATCACTAGGTTGGATGGATTTATGGTTCTGTTACCGAAGATATCTTAACCGGGTTTAAGATGCATTGCCACGGCTGGCGATCAGTTTACTGCATCCCCAAAAGACCTGCATTCAAAGGATCAGCTCCCATAAATCTTTCAGATCGATTACATCAGGTTCTGCGATGGGCCTTAGGATCTGTCGAAATTCTCTTGAGCAAGCATTGCCCTATTTGGTATGGATACAGGTGTGGCCTCAAACCACTAGAGAGATTTTCGTACATAAACTCGGTTGTCTATCCATTGACATCCCTTCCCTTGATAGCTTATTGCACATTGCCAGCAGTTTGTCTTCTCACCGGGAAATTCATCGTCCCTGAGGTGAGCCGAGCTGTCCTAAATCTTTTTTCTAAACGGCGCGCTACATGTAACTCAGCTGACGGTATTTTATTAAACGCAGATCAGCAACTATGCTAGTATAATTTTCATGGCCCTGTTTATATCGATAGCTGCAACGAGCATTCTTGAAATGCAGTGGGGAGGAGTTGGAATCGACGACTGGTGGAGAAACGAGCAGTTTTGGGTGATTGGTGGCGCGTCGTCGCACCTGTTTGCTCTAATCCAAGGCCTGCTAAAGGTTCTGGCGGGCGTAAACACAAACTTCACAGTTACTTCGAAGGCAGCCGACGATGGAGAGTCGTCTGAGCTGTACCTGTTCAAGTGGACAACACTTTTGATTCCTCCCATGACTTTGATGATCATCAACATCATCGGCGTCATAGTTGGAGTTTCGGACGCCATAAACAACGGATACGAGTCATGGGGACCTCTATTTGGGAAGCTGTTCTTCGCATTTTGGGTCATCGTTCATTTATATCCTTTCCTCAAAGGTTTCATGGGGAAACAGGACAGGCTTCCTACCATCATCGGGGTTTGGTCGATTCTTTTGGCTTCTGTGTTCTCGTTGCTTTGGGTTCGCATCAATCCGTTCGTGTCGAGAGCCGGGATCGTTCTTGAAGTCTGCGGGTTGGACTGTGATTAGAGAGTTAGATGATTGTTTGTTGTAGATACAAAAGAGAGAGAGCAAGAAGCCACATTTAATTTATTCTGTTGTTCTTGCAAGGTCTTCATTTGTTCATTCTTGGGACAAATCTTGTCTGTGTTTTTGGGCATTTCATTAGGTATGTTCCCATGTCAATAATGGCATAGGGCCATGGTTTTGTAATACAGAAAAACATCCATTTTGGTGTACGAACAGCCATCGTTTTCCCTAGGGATGGCCTGCAATGCATTATCATCAATTATTTAAGGTTGACAAAAACCTCAGAGAATTATTTCTCCATCAATGCTGCTTACATTACATTTCAACAATGTAATAATTCAAGAACCTCATTTTATCTACAACTCGTGAAGGTTACAAAGGTCAGCTATTCTAATGAAAGTGAGTGACTCACTTAACCGTGACTTCTCTGTAGCAAGATATGCAGAAAGTTGTTGAATCGATGGCCGAGATTGCGGAGTTCGATAAAGACACCGTAGGGCGAACGCCACGACAGCCGCGACCTCTCCCACCATGTCGCTTTCCGGCAATGGAAGCCGAGGGTCGAGTACATCTCTCAACAATGTGTCGCTGGCACCGGACAAGAATGGCATGAAGTTTCCGGGATGTCGCCCCATGATCACTTCTAAGGCCAAAACTCCAAAGCTATAGACATCGCACTTCTCGTTCACTTGCATTGTGAAAGCGAGCTCTGCGTTACACGAAATGAGCAAACATTAACAATTATTACAAGTCGCGGATGAAGAACAGATGATTTTAGGCGTACCCGGCGCAGCATAGCCGAAGGTGCCGGCAAACGAAGTCCAGTTAGAAGATTCCGGTTTCAGCCACTTGGCAGTGCCGAAATCGGAAACATGAGCCTCTTGATCCCAATCCAAAAGTATGTTCTTGCTCGATATGTCGCGATGAACCATAGGAGGCGAAACATCGTGGTGCATGTAATGTAAGGCCCTGGCAACTCCAGACACGATGTTCACCCTCTCGATCCAGCCGAGCTCCGAAGCTTTGTCATCATCAGACAGCGCGGTCATAAGGCTTCCACCTTCCAGAAGCTCGTACACTAAAAAGGAATGCCGCGAATGCGAACAGAAGCCAAGTAGTTTGACAATATTTCGATGCTTTATCTGTGTTAGAGCTTGAATTTCACTTGTAAAACTTTTGGAATTCTCGAGTCCTTCGTGTAGTTTTTTTACTGCAACAACTTTTCCATCGTCTAACTCGGCTTTGTATACGCTTCCAAATCCTCCCGTCCCAATGCAATGCTTAGAATCAAAATCTTCGGTAGCTTCAATGATGTTTTCGTACACCATTTTTCCATCGTAGCTCCAAATTGCAAACAAGTTTTTACTCGGATCATTTACATTAGCTTCGACATCTTTCTTCTTTGATCTCGAATGTAAGAAAATGGCGATAGCAGCAACCGTGGCGATAAGACAAGCTCCGACTACAGGCACTATTATTGCAACCAAGTCTCTTTCGTGCTTTCTCGATGAATGGCATCGTTGCAAGCCTGTAATATTACCACACAAACCTTTATTATTCTTCACATCATCAAACTCAGCGTCACGAAAGGCTTTCGATTGGGGAAGAGGGCCCTCCAATTCATTGTAAGAAACATTAATAGAAACTAAACTTGAAGTTTCTCGAAAGCTCCAAGGGATGGAACCAGACAAGAAATTGTGGGAGAGATTTAGTGTCTCGATGCTTCGCAACTCTCCCAAACTTAGCGGTATCTCACCAAAAAGCGCGTTCTGGCTCAGATCAAGAACTTGTAAGAAGCTCAACTCCCCCATCCCTGTTGGAATAGCTCCATCAAACCTGTTAATGCTCAAGTTCAAAACTTGAAGATTAATGCACTCTGCAACCTCAATTGGAATTGCTCCATCAAAATCATTTCCAGCTAAGCTAAGCTCTCTGATATCATGAAGGTTTCTAATTTCCACAGGAATCCTGCCATGGAGTTTGTTATCATTCACCTTAAGCCTATACAACAGGGGCAAGCTTATAAGGCTTGTGGGAAGAGTTCCAACTATTCGATTTGAACTCAGGTCCAAAACCTTCAACTCAGACAGATACCCAAGTTGATAAGGAATGGTTCCCGAAATCATATTGTTCGACATTAACAGGCCGTTTAGAATACTCGAAGCTCCCCATAGCGGAGACACTTCACCAGTGAGGTTGTTATGGCTTATATCTATGTAGAACAAATTCGGATAGGCCCCGAAATGATCAGACACATTTCCTGTAAGGTTGTTACCATAGAGAAGAAGAGTGTACAAGCTAGAACAGTTTCTCAAAGTCTTAGGGATATTCCCTTCGAATTTATTGGTATGAAGAGACAGGTTCCTAAGCAATCCACCAAGACAAACATTCTGCGGCATTCGGCCGGTGAGATTGTTGACACTCAGTGTCATAACTTGCAGATGTGTCAAGTTATCGAATTCTACAGGTACTTCACCACTCAAATTGTTCATGAACAATCTCAAGTCCCTAAGGGCCTGCAAGTTCCCAAACTCTGGAGGTATTCTAGACAACATATTAATCTGCAGACCCAAAAGTTTAAGATTTGTCAAGTTACCTATGGAAGCAGGAATAGGACCTGTGAAACTGTTATCACAGAGTGCCATGGATTCAAGAAGCCTCATATTATCCCCAATTTCATTAGGGATCCGACCAGATAACTGGTTATTACAGAAGGAGAAGCTTCTAAGCTCTGTCAGATTGGTAATGGAAGATGGGATTTGCCCTGTCAGCATATTCTGGTGGAAGTTCACGTCGATTAGGAACTTCATATTGGTGAATAGCTCAGGAACTTTTTCGGTGAAAAAGTTGTGATCGAACCAAAGAACTCTCAAATTTGACAGGAAACTTATCTCAAATGGAATGTTCCCTGAAAAAGAGTTTCTTGAGACATCGAAGTGGTGGAGCTTTGTAAGGTTTCCGAGGGCAGGTGGGAGAGTGTCGTAGAATGAATTATTGTACAGATCGAACGTAATCAGATGTGGTAAGGACGAGAAATCGAGATGATGAAGAGTACCCACGATCCCTTTGTGGGAGAGATTCAGTTGGGAGATTCTTCCATTCTGGCAATCGATGCCTAGCCATTGACAAGGGGTTTCTGCAGAAGCATTCCAGGAGTTGAGAATTGGTTGGCTTTCATTGTCAAGACTGGTTTTCCATCTCAAAAGTGCAGCTGCTTCGAGCTGTTGTTGATTAGTGTCTGAACTCATAACAACAAATGGAAATGGAAATTGAAGTGATGTGCAGAAGAGGATTATTGTGGTAAGTGAAGACAACATGGATGTGTGTCCTGTAGGTGATGGCATTGTTGATGTTTGTCTGATTCTGGCTTGAGTTTGTGTTTGTTTATATAGATATCTTTGTAGATTCGAGTACTGAATGAAATAACTGTCGAAAGCGACGAGTTTGACTATGTATGTAACTAACTGTATGCTCAATTATATATCTAAAGGTTGAGGAAGTATAGGATGATAATAATTTCAGCTACACTATCAAAGTCAACCATTTCGATTTTTTCTAGAGGTTAAGGACGTAAGTCAATGGATCTCTAATAAGAGCATTAACTTTTTGTTTTATGAAATAAAATAATTAATTTTTATTTTCTAAATTAATTCTCTTTAATTTAATCATCTATTATCATTTTTCTATTGTTTCATTTTATTTAAGAATTTGAATTATTGAAAAAAATAATGACAGAAATAAAAAATAAAAAAAATAAAAAAATAGTAGTCGATATAAATATTTACGAAAATTTATTATAAATAAATAATCGTGAAAATTTCAAAAATATTTATATAAAGAAGTGCTTGTACAGTTGTACACTCTTTGTGCATGGCCTAATTCCAATAATAGCCACGCTAATATTAATTGTAAAATTCCCCAATTTTGTATGAACAGTAAGATCCAAATCAAAATCATGTTTGGGTCTAATCTTACAAATTTTTTTTTTATTTTTATTTTTAATTAAAAAGTATTTAATGGGCTACACTAGACATCTTCCTGGATATGTTTGGTTTACTTGCCGATCATTTTTAGGCTATACTTTATTTTATTTTTATAATTACATTTGTTTTGTAAAATAGTTTGAAGTAGAGCGGGCAATGGGTCGATTCGTGTCGGGTTGAATATTTTAAACGAGTTTAATTACTCAGCTCGTTTATTATCGTGTTGGGTTCGGGTTGACTCGTATATATAATTAAGTCGAATTTTTTTATTCAAATTAAATAATTTTTTGTTGCGTTGTCGTTGTTTAGTTTTTATTAGTTTGAGCATAAATTAGGTTGAATTATTTAAAATTGAACTTAGTTTAAATTAATTTACGAGAAAATTAATAAATTATGATTATTTTACATATATAATAAATATATTAATCAATATTAATATATTATAATCGAATTGTCGTGTCGGGTTTGAGTTGAGAATCTCAATCCTAACCCGACCCGTTTATTATCGTGTCGGGTTCGTGTCAACCCATATACATAATTGGATTGAAATTTTTGACTCAAATTCAATTATTTTGTGTCGGGTTGTCGTGTCAGGTCAGTTTTTGTCCGCTCTAGTTTTAATGGATATATATATATTTACGTGAACTATAAGAAAATATTTAAAAAATAAAAAAAAACGACTGCGTGTAATATATTATTTTTTTTTTTTGGAAATGGTGTCTTTTTTGCAAATATAACACACCTTATATATTATTTGGGTATGTTTCTTTTACAAGATTTTTTCAAATTATACTATTTAGATTTTGTATTTTTTAAAAAAATATATTTTTTAGTCTTACAAAATATTTTACTAAATATTATTTTAATACCAAATTCAAATCAATTTTTTCTAATCTCAACCAAAAAAACACACTCTTTATGTCCCGAAAATTATAGTATTATTTTTTTAATATTTATTATATACATAATTTTGACAAGTAGAGAAAGTAATATTTTATTTTTATTTTTTTAATAAATAAATATATTTATATATTTTTTGATTTTTTTATAAAATTAATTTATATTAATTATATACTTGTATTATATAAAAGTTATTTTATAAAATAATATTAATATTGAATATATTTAATGAAACTATAATTTTAAAATATTTAACTATATATATTTTAATAATCATAGATAAAATTTGAAATAAATCTTGTCAAAGTAAACTTCCAACTACAAATCAACTATTAACAAAAAACACTCTTACTTCCTCATGATTTATACATGCATATATATATATACACAAATATATATGTGTGATCACCAAACCCCTACTTGAGTTGAGCTTCCATTGGTGATTTCTAGCGTGAGAGCCGAAAGCATGTGCCCTTTTCTTTTTGTTCTCTCTCTCTCTCTCTCTCTCTCTCTCTCTCTCTCTCTCTCTCTCTCTCTCTCTCTCTCTCTCTCTCTCTCTCTCTCTCTCTCTCTCTCTCTCTCTCTCTCTCTTTAATTATATATATATATATATATATGGATATGTGTGTGTGTGTGAATTGAGAAAAGCAATGAACAAGGAGGAATGGAGGCTGCCCCACACATGATGATTAAACCCTATATATATTGATAATGAAATGTAGGCATAAAAGGGTAATGTGTAATAGTAATTTAGTTGCTTTACACATGAGAAAGAGTGTAAACACAAACTGGGTTCATAATAATAATAATAATAATAAAGCAGAGTTAGGCTGCCAAAAAATCAGGACTCAGAATATATATATATATATATTTATATAATAAAAGCCAAGCCGACATGAAACCGCCAACTTTGGCTTTTGTTATTTTTGAAAACTTTTTAACATTTTATATATGTATAATTTGGTTGGATTAATTCGTGAAGGAGATGGAGAAAAGCGGCAGCAGGTCATACCCTCGCTACTACTGCTCATCGTCGTCATCCGAATTCGGGTTGGAGAACCGGGCCAACCCGCCCTACACCTTCAACGGGCCAAATGGTGCAACTGCAAAGGCAGGAGGTACTACTGGCACTGGCACTGATCCAGCAGCAGCAGAAATGAAGAGGAAGAAAAGGATCGCTGGGTACAACATGTTGGGCACTGAAGGTAAGCTCAAGGCTTCTCTCAGAGACACTCTCAACTGGATTAAGACAAAGGTTCATATTCATCACAACACCCATCGTCGTTACGATCTATGATCGATCCATTTCTTACAATAATATCCATATCCATATCATATCCATCCACGTCTTTCTCTTCTCTTGTCTTGTCCATCTCATCTCACCTCAGTGATGACGATGATATGTATAAACTGCTAGAAAAATAAATAAATATAATTAATGATCTTGTTCTTGCTTCCCCGTAACCTCTCTGTGTGTGTGTTGTGAATTGTGATCGAGGACCCAATTAATTCCTCTATCTATCTAGATAACTATTTCTATTTTTAATAAATTTATTATTTTTAAATTAACTTTATAAATATAAATTAATTTAATTAAAATTTTAATTTTTTATAAGTAAGATCCATTTAAAATATTTTTATTTTTATCTTTCTCATTAATTAACCAATATTTGTATATATCTTTAAAATTTTCATTTATTTATATTATATAAAATTTTATTCTCTACCAAATCAAATTCATATATTTTATTAAAATTTATTGTTAAAAATATTTAAATACATATTTTAATTTTCTTCAATCATTAAATAACTAGTCCATGCTATCTAAATAATTAATTTATACTACCTAAATTGTTGTGACCAAATAAAAGCTTATCTTTGCTGGGACTAAGAAAATATTAATTATACATGTAATATATTTTTATTTTTTTTTATATAATATAAAATTTATGTTTTACAAAATAATATATTCATATTGAATATATATTTTATTTAAATATACTTTTAAAATATTCAAAACATATGCTAAATTTAAATTAATCAGATATATATTATGTCATAACTAAATTTAAAATTAAATAACATTTCATTACATATTTAATACTTCTTCGTCCCAATACAATAGTCTTGTTTATCATTTTTATTCATCTAAAAAAAATAGTATTATTTCCATAAATACTCATCTCACCATAAAATTATCCATATTTTTCATTATTATTATTATATAAATGTTACTGTTTTTTTTACTAATACACTCGTAAAAGTAAAAAAAAAAAATAAGAAGTTTTTTACTCATATTTTTTTATCAAGTATCAATATAATATCAATATTCCTTAAATCTCGTACCCAACTAAAAAAAAATCATAGTTTTGGGACGGAAGAAGTAGTAAAATCACATTTACAACTATTTCAAAACTTCAAGTTTGATGATGTTTTAGGTTTGTTACTTAATTTTTATTTTTTGTTTTATAAAAAACCTCTGGTTAAATAATAGAGTTATGAAATTTTAAAAATTTAGAAATGGTAACAAATCAAGGTTTGTTTATCTTGTAAAATAGTTTAAAGATTTTTTTTTTAATGTAAAGTATATAAAATTAGGTAGATAATATAAAAGTAATGGACGTGTATAATATATTAAATTTTTTGAAAAAAAATATTTTATTTTTTAACAAAACAAACAAACCTTTAATATTTTATACTCCTTCCGTTCAAATATTACCATTTTCTATTTTCATCTGTTCCAAAAATAAAGTTACAATTTCCTAATTTAGTAATTGTACTATATACTTAACATAATAAATACTCTTTCAACTTACAATATATTACACAAATCATTACTTTTATATTATATCATACTAATAAGGGTATTTTTGTCTTTTTTGCTACAATTCAATATAATACTAATATTTAAAAATCTATGTGCAAAAAATAAATGCTACCCTTCCAATAGACGGAGAGAGTATAATATTTTATAAAAATAAATAAATAAATTTGATGTGATATTTTAAAGAAACACTAATGTTACTATTTCAAAATTTTCTGTGTAAACCAAAAAACCATAAAATATCGTTTCATAGTGTGTAGCCTAAAAGAATCTGCCATTATCCATTTAGGGTAGTTTTGTTTGTGGAATTGGATTTTTTATTGAGATTTAAATGGTAAAAATTGTGAATTGGATTAATAGAATGATATGAAATAAGTAGATATTGATGATATTTTGAATATAAAATTAATTTTTAATATAATATAAAGAAAATAAAAAATAAAAAATAAATATTTAATTTGATATTTAAAAAAATAATAAATAATTAAAAAATGAAAAAATTTAACAAAAGAACACATTAGCTCAAAAAAATTAATATATATATATATATATATATATATAACAAAAAAAAATAAAAGCTCAATGGTTAGGGGGTGGGCTCAGGTCCACACCAAGTCGCCAATAAAGATTGCCTTGGTTGGCATGAAATAAATGAAAAAACAAAAACTAATAATAATAAATAAAATTAATTTAGGGTGTGTTCGATTGTAGGATTTTATCAAAATTATACTATTCATCCAAAATTTTTCTCTCAAAAATATCAAATCAAACCCCTATTTTTTATTTTTTATATTATACCAAAAATCAATTTTACATTCCAAACATCACATCAACACTTATTTATATCACATCATACAACTATTCAAATTCAAAATTTTTACTATTCAAATCTCAATCCAAAATCCAAACCTCCAAACAAACACACCCTGTGTGTTGTTTCAGACGAGTTTTGGAGAAATTTGAGTTTGATTTTGATTTTTATTTGAATTTTGGGATGAATTTGAATTTGTATGTTTTTTTGTGTTTAAGTTTGGTTGAATTTGAAGAGTTTTAATGTGTACTAATTTGATGGTAATGAATATAATAATATAAATATGTATTAATTTGTATAATTTGATTATAAATTTTTATTATACCTATATATATTTCTAAATTTTTATTTATTTGTATGATAAAAATTTTATTTTCTACAAAATGATATATATTATATATTTTTTATTAAATTATAATTACTATAATATTTTTATATTTATAATTTTTTTTAAAAAAAATAAAAATTAGGATCTTCCCGCTACCGCCAATACACCCATAATCTCTCTTTAAATAACTAAAAATTCATTTCTAAGTAATTTATACAAGGGTTCAAGATATTTAGGGTGTATTTGATGTGGGTTTGGAACTTTAAATTTAAAATTTTAAGTAGCATAATGTGATTATATATAAATAGATATATTAGATATAAAATAAATTTATAATATAATATTAAAAAAATAATTATTTAATTTGATAATTTTAAAAAAATAATAATAATCTTAACAATAAAAATTAAATTTACTATAAAACCCACATATCTTAGGATTTTCAGGATTTTCCAAAATCTTAAAATATTTTCGTATATGCTCCGTATTTATCTAAACAAATTACGACTTCTTTAAATAGCGCGCACCAGAAGCCACCATACGTCCACAAGCATCTTCTTCCTTCCCTTCAATTTCTTTTCGCAATTTCTCTCCGGCGGTTTACTTCTCCCTTTTCTCCTCTCCTGCGTTGGGAACGAATTGCTGATATCTGAAGTGCAGTAAACATGTCTTACGACGGATATGGCTACCACGGATCATCCTTCGAGCAAACCTACCGGTGCTATCCAGCATCTTTCATTGAGAAGCTGCAAATCGAAAATGGCGACAAAGTTATCATGCCTCCTTCTGCTCTCGACCGACTTGCATCTCTTCAAATTGATTACCCTATGTTATTCGAGCTCCGAACTACTGCTACTGAGCGTGTCTCGCATTGTGGAGTTTTGGAGTTCATTGCTGAAGAAGGTGTGATTTTTATGCCCCACTGGATGATGGAGAATCTGTTGTTAGAAGAAGGAGATATTGTGCGTGTGAAGAATGTTTCACTTCCAAAGGGTACTTATTTTAAACTGCAGCCTCACACTAGAGATTTCTTGGATGTTTCCAATCCCAGAGTTGTCTTGGAGAACTCACTGAGGAACTTTTCTTGCCTGACCACTGGAGATAGTATTATGGTGGCATATAATGATAAAAGGTATTACATAGATATCGTTGGGACGAGGCCATCGAATGCAATAAGCATCATTGAAACTGATTGTGAAGTGGACTTTGCCCCTCCTCTTGATTACAAGGAACCAGAAAAGCCATCCCAATCCATTCCAGAAAGCAATTCTTCTGTTGCAGATCAAGAACCTCCAGTTGAAACTGAACCCAAGTTTAATCCATTTACTGGTTCTGGGAGACGTTTGGATGAAAAACCTTCAAAAGCCCAGCCTCAGCCTTCTTCATCTTCGTCGTCTGGTTCTGAAGACAAGACAGTCATGCCGAGCAGCAGTTCTAGCTCACAAAGGACTGGTCGCCGATTTCAGGGAAAGCTCGTCTTTGGCTCAAATGGCAATAATGGCACTCGTGAAACACAGAAGGATACTTCGAAGGACGCTAAGCAAGAACCCCCTAAGAATGAAGATCCCAAGTTCCAGCCCTTCACAGGGAAGAAGTACTCACTCAAGGGTTGATTTTATTGAACACTTCTTGCTTTATATCCCTAACTTAGATTCAGTATATTTAAATTTAAATTTTTGTACACTTCTTAGCTTTATATACCTATCAAGTCTGTTTTATATAGGAATTTTGATTTGTTGATCAATATAATGCAATTTTTGAATTTTTATAAAATATTTTTACATTTATCAGATATTATTCTTTTCATTGATTAGATATAATACATCAATCCATTTTTTCCGAGTACATTCAACCTTTGTTTATGATTTTATAACAACTTTTCAATTTTGCATAGTTCATGTTATACCATTTAGGTGAGTTTGAAGGGATGTTAAAATAGTTTTTTTATTTTATTTTTTTTTATGACTAATATAATGTAATTTTGTAGGTTTCATAAAAGATTTTAACATAAAAAAATAAAAATAAAATTGTTATATTATTTATACAATTTTCTATATTTCACGCTTAAAATTTTCTCCAATGAAAACACACCCTTAATAACACAAGATTATACTCTTCTCTCATGCAAATCAAACACACCCTTAATAACACAAGATTCTACTCTTCTCTCACAAAAATCAAACACACCCTTAATAACACAAGATTCTACTCTTCTCTCTTGATAAAAATGGTTACAAGGACACACAAAGTTCTGAATTCACTGCTCACAAATCACACAAAAATCTCTCAGTTTTTTTTCCCCCAAAAGATATATGAAAACCTCCATTTAATCACATAAGGGGGATCCTCCAACTCAGCTTGTCACATATCGAAATTTTCAGTTCAATGGGCTTTACAGACAATCAGATAATCTGGTTCTGGTGTTCCTCCGGATTAAACAAAATCAAGTGCCAACGAAGAGCAATCTTCTCTGTATCATCAGGATAATCTCATGCATTATTTGAATCAGACAGAGTCCATGCTTGGAGGATCCATTTGGATCTCAGATCCTACTCAGGGAGAAGCCCAACTGAAATAACTAACAGCCTCACATGGCGTTGAAAATGGAACTGCACTGTAAAGTTCAGAATCTGAGGTGGCAGGCAGAGCATTCAAGAACCCCCCTACCCTCCCTACCCGGTGTTTTTTTATTCTTACAGCTTGGCATGACATGACAGGGTCAGGGAGGCCTAAATGCACATTTTCAGGGAAAAACTGGTGCAATAAGAAGAATTATCAATGATAAAGAGGTGTTCTTACCATTTGTTTTGTGAGACAGAATTCTTTAACATTCTTAAATAATTCAAATATGCTGTTAGAAAACAATTAGTTACTTACCATAGAAAATCAGATCAACAAAGTGACGATGCTCAGCTCAGCTCACACACATGGCGATGTTCCCCATCCCCTCTACATACAAATCTTATGACCAGAGCCATTTCTGAGATCTTCACATTCCCTCTGTTTTGTTTAATTTCATTTCGTTTCCAGTATAGTGCAGATGATATCTATTGTCTCCTCCACACTGCATTCAATTCGCAATGAGACAAAGGGGAATGGACATTATCGCCTAGATGCATGAATGCTTCTTTAATTTAATCATCATCTAATTTTCTCTGTCTTGTCCACACATTCATCCATATTCTATAATATTCATTCATTCTCCTATTTAATTCGATCAAACATTTCTAAGACCATAAACATATGGAATTGATCAAGTACAGTCTGTACGTTCTACACTGTCAATTATATATTCAATGCATTTTGCATAACTTCGACTTTTTCTTAGTATATACACATGAAACACCGACTGTCTCTCTTGCAGTAATATATATATTACACCATATCATAAGATTTGTCTGTTTGCCGGTGAAAATTGGAACAGACAACATTAAAAAACGCTAATCTCAGCAGCCCATATTGCTGCATCACATGGAAAAACATCAGCCGCTGTCTCACTATATATACAATCCCCAAATCGCCATCTCCAAATTCATCAACTGTGACTGAGCTTTTGCTTTCATCTTCAAAAATGGCGCTGCGTGGTTTCCAAGTAAGGTCAATCAGCTTGCCTTCAAGGCTACATACCTTAAAATCCACAAAAATTGAATGTCAGCTACAAAAGCTAAAATCATGGCACAATCCCAGTTCCCTTTCCCCAACAGCTCCAGTCACCTCAGAAACAGTCCAATCAGGTCTTCTAAGTCTCGCGGGTTTGTGCAATTCTTTATCCGAAATTGATACCACCAAACAATCGCTGGAGGACTCCCTGGAGAACTCAATCGAGCTGATCGACTCGTGCAACGCGATTAAAGAAACGATCTTGATGATCAGGGACAACGTGCAATCCCTCCAGTCAGCATTGCGGCGCAAGGGTTGTCTGGATGCCGACATCCAGCACCATATATCATCGTATTTATGCTTCAGGAAGAAAATGCACAAATCCGTGCAGAAGAGTGTGAAGAAGCTCAAGAATTTGAAGCACAGCAATGCAGATGGAAATTTCTGGAAGTTTCTGACAGGCTATGCGGTTGCACTTTTCAGCAGCGTTTTAGAGTTGCTGTCCAGGCCTGTGACCAAACAGGGAAGTTGGTCTCTGGTTTCCAGGCTGATGCTGGCGAAATCATCGGCCTCTGCAAGAGAAAACAGTGCCGGTAATGAAATGGGGAGAGTTGATTTCGCCGTGAGATCTCTCCAGGGAAGAATCAGAGACAAAAGTGTCACGGGTTTTGATGTGCAGCTGGTGCAGAAGGGACTCAAAAATCTGGATGACGCCATGGAAGGAATTGAGATTGGACTGGAGAGATCGTTTAGATCGTTGGTAGAAATTAGGGTTAAACTCCTTAACATTCTGACTGATCGTCTTTAAGACAGATCTGAAATTTTGATACTTGACTTTGTAAAGAACTGACATGAACACAGATACGAGGTTTTGGGTAATATACATTGCATTTGTAAAAATCAAATCTTTGCTGAAAATTGGTCAATTAATAATTAAATAATGAAACAAAACTAAAATCGGTATTGTGGCTCTTGAAAATTTAACTAAATTCGCTCTGCTCGAGTAACGATTTCAGATTCCATTTAGAAAGTAAGACGGTTTCTTCCTCGCCAGCCTTCTGAATCGTGAGAAACCTTGCGAGCCCTATGGTAACCAAACTGTTCTCGACGGGTTAAAGGTAGGAATGTCGACGAATTTGCGTCGCAGTTTGTGTTTCTGGATTGAAGGGGTAACTTCTTGGTGTAGTGTTTGTTGGAATTTTGATGCTAATTTATGGAATTCGATGAATTGTTGAGTCTCTGTGTGTAGTTAGTCTGCGTGTATTCATTTGCTACTTTTGCACTCACTGGTGCTTGATTAAGTTTTACTTTTCATGGAGATTGCGCTCCTCTGTCTGCAATTGCTTGCCTCTGTGAGCATATCATGTTCGACGAAATTCCTAAAAGAGTCGTAGATCAAATGCCGATTGAGTCAATTGGCCTTAGAATTGATTTGGAAAAATGATTCTCTGATAATAAATTGTTATTATTTAAATCAAAATGGGTATTTTGTGTTATTTTTCCCTCGCGTGTTCGTTCACTCAAGCAAGCTGCAGGCTGCAGCACACGTCTGACTATGTGTCCAAACTTCATGGTTCGAAGAATCGATTAAGATAATATTCCAAAAGCAAGAAGTATTGAAGAAAAAGAAGTCAATCTTGCTTACAGAAAATAAGAAAATACAAAAAGGTGATCTTGAAAGTGTGGAAGTGGAAGTTTGATCTAAAGAAGAGCAAATGTGAAGCTTGTCGAAATAGTCAAAGTGCAATCTGTTTGCTAATCACAATTTCTTCCTAGATTAGTGTGATTTGGATGTCTATGATAGAACTTGAATGATCGATTGATTAATTGCACGTGCAAATGTTTGAATGTAATTGGGTCACTATATCGGTATTCACCATAAACATTAGTAAGGGAGATCTTTAAATAATTATCAAAAGGCATAAAACAGAATCCTATTAAGGGAATGTCTCTAAAATCTCTCTCTCTATCTCTCTCTATATATATATTTTTTTACCAAACTGACAAATTGAGGTCATCGCCACACACCATAAGCCTCACTTTTGCAGTTATGCACACCTTTTAGTTGCTTTAGTTTTTGAGTTGGGTAGGAGTATCATACTAGGAAACCCACCCAATTGTTGTGACACTGAGATTCAGGTTACAAGCATGAAAACTTGATCTCAAAACCCATTATTAAAAGGCTGAAGGCTTGGATACTTTCTTGCTATTTGATCATGAATGTATCAGCCATGGCTAGTATGTCTTCAGTTATTAGTTCTGTTATATTATCTTCTTCTCTGGTAGAGACGAAGCCCCTTGAATTCAGGTAGACAGTGTACATATTACAAATGTCAAGTTTCCAAATCTATGTTCTTTCTTGCTGCTCTTTAGCATGGATTGTAGCTATTGTTGCTTCATGATTGTGAAGGTGATATTCCCATCATACTCATTGTCAATTTGCTTTGGAATTCACTAAATATTTGTATTGATCATGTGAGGTTGTAAACTTACTTCCAAAATGTGTTGTTCAGCATGGGTAAACAACAGAAACTTAAATCATTATTTTTAGGCAAAATTAATTACGATCCAATTTTCGTTTGAAAATTTTGCATCATGATTTAAAATCGTATAAGACTTTGTAGTATTATATGAGAGTATTTTTCCATTTTCTAAAACTATAGGTAGATTATAAGCAATTTTGATTTATGTTTATATTAGTTTCCATTGTAGCCAAGCATGTGAATAGAGTTTCGGCCGGCTCCACAACCTGATCATTTGACAATTATGATTGCTGCTGTTATTGCAGGCTGAGTAAAATTCATTGCAGAAAGTGGTAAAGCTGTTCCCAAGAAAAAGAATGAATCTTCTTCTCTTCAAGGTAAAACTTTTTAACTTTGCAATGTTTCCCCTCAGGTCTATCCTCTGTGTTTCTGAATATGGAATTAGGCATATTTACAGGAAGGATTTCCAATTGCAGGGACAAGGTGAGAGAGAAGAACACGGTATTACCACATTCACGCGGATTGGTCCCATCCCATCCCCAGCCCGGCTGTCCTCTCCTTAAATGATTCTTTCATCCTTAATTAATTTTCTTATTAATATCCATTATCATACCTTCCAATTTCACTGCTTACATTAATACTTTCTTGTTTGTTTGTTTTAGATTACATTAACCATAGCCCTTTAAGCCGGCACTTACCAAATCTATCTTTTGCTGGTAATTTTACGTGTGTATACAGCTGGACAGTGTCCACACTTGTTGACTTCTCCATTGGTTTTTCCCCAGAGACACGGGCACACATTCTTCAAATAAATACCCCTCTTTCATTCTGACCATCTTCTTCTTCTTCTTCTTCTTCTATCAGTCCCTCATAACCATTCTCAGTACTTCTCCCCCCTCCAAAATGCAGCATCAGCAGCAGATAAGGTTGTCATTTCTGTTAGTGTTGTTTGCCTTATGCGCAGCAGATGATCCCTACAGGTTCTTCACTTGGAATGTCACTTATGGCACTATCTATCCTCTTGGCGTCCCTCAACAGGTTTTCCTTCTGCGTTCTCTGGTTTTGTGCTTGGATTTACAGTGTGATTCCAAGATTGTGTTTTTGCCAAGATTGTGTTTTTTGATTGTGTGTGTGATTGTTCTTTCAGGGTATTTTGATAAATGGGCAGTTTCCAGGTCCTAATATCTTCTCAGTAACCAATGACAATATCATTGTTAATGTATTCAACAGCTTGGATGAGCCTTTTCTCATTCACTGGTAAGAACACTACCCAGTATTGATCTTCTTCTCACTATATTCTTTTTTATGAACCTAGTTAATTTGCAGTAGATCTGTTTTCAGACAGCATAGTAAAACATTCTAGCCTCTCTGAAAATTAAAAAATAATAATAATAAAATGCTTGATTTGATTACCTTTCAATATATGTGGTGAATCATAGTAGTTTATTTAGTGAAAATGAAATCTTGGCATTAGAGAGTGAAGACAGACATATGGCAGGTATCGAAATTGACAAGATCTAATTTGAATTTTTGTCACTGTTCTTTATGTATTATATTAGTAATAAACAAATGCATATGTATAAAAATAAGAATAACATATACTCACCTACTAAAATAAATGCCATTAAATTGGGTTTTAATCATTGCGCCATCTCTATGTTAGGAAAGTACCAGATTTTATACAAAATGGACTTCAATTTTGATCCCGTTTCCTCTGATTGTAAAATGGGAAAAAAAAGAAAAAAGAAAAAGAAAGCACATGGATTTCCATTTAATTAAATAAAAACAAGTCACATGGGATGGTTTATCTGTCTGGAGGCATCTCTTTCCCCAAATACAAACATCAGTGAGGGTCCAGACCAGTACAGTGTTTTCATCTCACACAAATCATAACATATATTGCCTTATTATTACATATATACAGTGAAAAAACATAATATGCAAAGAACTGCTAAATTGCTTTGCAGCAGCTGTAAACAACTGGAAAGTTGTTATTCTTGATGTCTCCTCATCTATCTGTCAGGACAAGAATTAGGATTCGATTGCTTATATTGACACAGTTATTTTATAAGTTCCTGTTGTGTGTGGACATGGTAAATTAGTTGAATTGGCTGAATTATTATTACATCGATCGGTCGAACAGGAGTGGGATTCAGAACAGGAGGAACTCTTATGAAGATGGAGTTTATGGAACAACATGCCCTATTCCTCCTGGGAAGAATTTCACTTACATTCTTCAGATGAAGGATCAAATTGGGAGCTTCTTTTATTTCCCATCCTTAGCTTTCCATAAGGCTGCCGGAGGTTTCGGAGGCATTCGGATTCTTAGCCGGCCTCTTATCCCTGTCCCATTCGATCCCCCGGCAGATGATTTCACTGTCCTGATTGGAGATTGGTACAAAGCTAATCACACTGTGAGTCATGCCTTAACCTGGATTTAACCGAATTCCCTGTCCAGAATTTTGTTTTATGATTCTGCTTCTTTTTTCAGAGTTTGAGAGCCATTCTTGATGGAGGCAACAAATTGCCTTTCGTCGATGGAATCCTCATCAATGGCCGCGGTCCGAATGCTACTTCTTTCACAGTCCAACAAGGTGGCTTTTTTTTTTTTTTTTTCTCGTCCTGGCATTCTTGAATGTTGGTTGATTCTCGTTTATAAATATATAAATAAATATATGATATTTATTCCCAAAGATTAAAACTTTTATGTGATACGGTCATTTACATCATCTAACATCGAGAACCATGTGTTTGTTTCTTACATTCTTGGCATTGACACCATTGTTGGCTTTTCGAACAGGGAAGACGTATAGGTTTAGGATATGCAACGTCGGGTTGCAAAACTCGCTCAATCTCCGGATTCAAGGGCATAAGATGAAAGTTGTCGAGGTCGAAGGAACACACACTTTGCAGATCAGCTACTCCTCCCTCGACATTCATCTCGGACAATGTATGTCTGTTCTTGTAACGGCCGATCAGCCCCCTCAGGATTATTACATTGTAGTGTCGACCCGGTTCTCGACTCCCATCCTCCTGACCACCGGCTACCTTCGCTACTCCGGCTCCAATCGCCCTGCCTCCGGACCCCTGCCAGGAGGACCAACCACCGAAATCGAGTGGTCCCTCGATCAGGCTCGCTCCATCAGGACGAACCTTACAGCGAGCGGACCAAGGCCGAATCCGCAAGGCTCTTACCACTATGGCATGATCAATACTACAAGAACAATCAGGCTTTCGAGCTCTGCCGGACAGGTTAACAACAAGCAGAGATATGCGATCAACAGCGTCTCCTTTGTGCCGGCTGATACCCCTTTGAAACTAGCCGACTATTTCAAAATTGGCGGTGTTTTCCGCGTTGGGAGCATACCTGATTCGCCTACTGGTGGAGGGATATACCTCGATACGTCGGTTCTTGGTGTCGACTACAGAGCGTACATTGAAATTGTATTTATCAACGACGAGGATATTGTGCAGAGCTATCACCTCAACGGATACTCGTTCTTCGTAGTCGGGTAAGCACTGTGTTAAATTATCATTATTTATTACAGGGTCAACCAACGTGTCCTTTCGTGTGCAAGTGAACGATAACGAATGGGGGACGATGGGACTCGAATAAGGACGTCCGGCTCTGATCATTTCACTTAGAAGTTTAAATTTAAAGAAACACGTTAACCATTGCACATACCACATAAATTTCTTGACAATCCCCTTACTAATGTGATCGATGAATCAGAATGGATGGAGGGCCATGGAGTTCGAACAGCAGGAACGAGTACAATCTTCGCGACGCAGTCTCGCGGTGCACGGTTCAGGTGAGCTACAGCATAGACATTAGAAAATCTTTCAGTGATCGAAACAGGGGTTCGGGTTTCTCTTAACAAGATGTCTTCTTACATTGCAGGTGTATCCCAAGTCATGGACAGCCATTTATATTCCTTTAGACAATGTAGGAATGTGGAACCTCAGATCGGAGTTTTGGGCTCGGCAGTACCTCGGACAGCAACTGTATCTAAGAGTTTACACGACGTCAACCTCGTTCAGAGATGAGTATCCTATCCCGAAGAATGCTCTGCTCTGTGGCCGAGCTAGTGGCCGGCGCACTCGCCCTCTCTAAGCTAGCTCCGGCTCCGGCGACAGAGGCGAAACATAAGCATCGAAATTGAGATCGAAGACCCAAGCAAAGCCATAAGGGGATTGTTGTTCATTATAATTTTTTTAAGAAAATGTCGAATGATCTTAGCTCAAGGTCTTACATTCTTTGAATTTTGCATTGATGTTGTATCAATTTATATACCATTGGCGTTACTGTTATATTAATTATTGCTTGGTATTGGGTTTGGGTTTGGGTTTGGGTTTGGTTGTTATTTACAAACTTCTTTAACCTCCTTTCCCCCTTGCTTCACTTGTTTGTAGTTTATTAGCTATAGAGTAAAGCAGACTGTTAGCAACTGAAGCTGTCAAGATGATCCTAAGGTTACGTTGGAACTTTAGCGTTATTGTGTGTAAGTCTAATGTGAAATAACAATTAATAGAATGTATACGAGGGAGTACTTCCCGTAGACCCGAGTTGGAGTTGAATGAAAGAGATCATATGTACGTGTGTGTGTGTGTGAAATATCAAAAAAAATTCATTAATTTTAGTTCTAATATAAATAAAAATATCAATTTTAATTCTAATATAAAAGAATTCATTCATTTTAGTAAGACAATGAGTGATGTGGACTTAACAGATTGACGTGGCAACTAATCTGAAAATTACACAAGTCATGAATTGAGGATGATGTATTATGGAAATTGAATTTAATATTATATTTAATATTTGGAGGACTTACTATTATTTGATAAAATCTGAGTATAAAAGCTCAAATATATATATATATGAATATGAATATGCATATCATTTTTATTTGTATTTTTATTTTTACTTATGTAGAAAATTAACTTTATTATTATACAAAAGAGAGTAATAATAATAATTTATTATACAAAGATATTTTGAAAAAAAAAAAAAAAAAATTCATCCACCATATTTTCATATTATATTTAAATAGTAGGATTCACCGATTATGAAAATTGAATTTAATATTGTATTTAAAATGAATAGATGAATTAAATTAAATTAAATTACCTGGAATAATTGAATTGGATGCGATCTTGAAGAACGAACTTCATTCCATTCCATTCTTTTTAACGGATAGATCGATCTTCATCACAAGTAAACCTTTTTTTCCTTGGTGCATGCGTCTCGAACAGAACATATCAGAACAGACAACCAACAATTGATATCAATTATATAATTCGGTATTTGCAGTTTCTTTTTAACAAGCCTTGACCATTGCAATCAATCCAATTAATATAATATATATTTAAATTTAATTTATATTAAATTAAACAAATATATAACAAACAAACACACCCACAAAACTCAAATAATTTTATTATACCGTATCAGCAAAGTTATTCCAATTTTAAAACATATTATTGAAAATATCATTATACAATCAAGTATTAACAAAGTTATTTCAATTTTAAAACATATTATTGAAAATATCATTATACAATCAAATATACACGACAGTAAAAAAAAATATAAAAAAAAATATTTTTTTTATTTATTATAATTTAATTAAGAAAAATTTAATGTGTTCATAAATCATAACGTTTAAATAGATATAAAGGTAATTATACAGTAAGTTATCCCCAAAACTTAATTAAACACACACACCACACCACAACCTTAACCCTAATCCTAATCCTAAGTCTAACCGACTCAAAATTTCAAATTCAAATATAATTACCGTTAATCCTCCTACTTAAGTAGTAATAATCCCCTGCTACATATCCATTTCAACTCTCTCTTTCTTTCTCTCTCTCTCTCTCTTACCATCTTTTTATGTTTTTTTTTTTTTTTTTTCTCTCTTACAATCTCCCTTGTTTTGTTTTTTTTTGTTTGCTCTCTCTTACGATCTTCCTGGTTTTATTTTTTTTTTCTTTGCTCTCTCTTACAATCCTTCTTTGTTTTGATTTGCAGGTTAGAAAGTAAAGATTCTTGAGTCTGTTTGTAGGAATTTTGTTGCTAAATTCCTCATCGACTTGGCCTTTGTCCGATCAGGATCGAATTAAGGTATCCAACGTATTAACTTGATGTAAGAAAACTTGATACTTCTCGAGTGTTTGAGTTTTAGATATTATTTGTCTTTTTCTTGATGCTATTTCGTTGGTGTATGTTTCATATTAGAAATTTCTTGAAAGATTTCTTGATATTTTTTAGTTGGTGTATGTTTTAGATTAGACATTTTTTGGAAGATTTCTTGATGCTCTTTAGTTGGTGTATATTTTAGATTACACATTTTTTTGGAAGATTTCTTGATGCTCTTTAGTTGGTGTATGTCTTAGATTAGACATTTTTTGAAGATTTCTTGATGCTCTTTAATTGGTGTATATTTTAGATTAGAAATTTTTTGGAAGATTTTTTAATGCTTTTTAGTTAGTGTATATATTAGAAATTAGTATTTGGCTATAATTTAACTGACCCATTCATTTTAAATACAACTATTAAATTCAATTTTCATAATTGGTTAATCATTTTATTTAAATATAAAATAAAAATGTGGTGGATTACGTGCAAATTGATCTAATAACAACAAATCTTTTTCTTTTATTTTTTTCATAATATCTTTGTACAATAAATTATTATTAGTAGTATTTTTTTTATAAACATTTTGTAAGCATGACTTGGTTGAGGGGTTCCAACTTCAAATAATAACAGTTTTGCACAACTACTATTGCTAACATTTTGTTGTTTTGTGAGATCATTTGAATAAGTATTTTTTTATATGAAAAATAAACAATTGTGTACAATATGTAAATTTTTTAATATTATTTTGTCTTTTTCTATGCATATACGTAATAATATCTATTTTATATTTTTTTAGATGCATACGAGAGGGAGCGGTCGGATGAGCGGACTACCGAAAACAAAACAATGAGTTTTTCGTACTTTTCTCTTTTACATTTACGAATTGCATTTATTTTATCATATTACATATAGAGTTAGGATTATTTTTACGTCCCGGAACTTGCATGCATGGATTAATTTTGTTTCTTAATTTTATACTAACATATTTTTTAGTGTTTTTACTTTGTATGTACAACTTTTGGGGAGAGCGGCTGGATGAGCGGACTACCGAAAACAAAACAGGGAGTCTTTCGTACTTTTCTCTTTTACATTTATGCATTGCATTTATTTTATCATATTGCATATAGAGTTAGGATTATTTTTACGTTCCGGGACTTGCATGCATGCATTAATTTTGTTTCTTAATTTTATACTAACATATTTTTTAGTGTTTTTACTTTGTAGGTACAGCTTTTGAGGAGAGCGGCCGGATGAGCGGACTACCGAAAATAGAACATGGAGTTTTCCGTACTTTTCTCTTTTTCATTTATGCATTGCATTTATTTTATCATATTGCATATAGAGTTAGGATTATTTTTATGTTCCGGGACTTGCATGCATGCATTAATTTTGTTTCTTAATTTTATACTAACATATTTTTTAGTGTTTTTACTTTGTAGGTACAACTTTTGAGGAGAGCGGCCGGATGAGCGGACTACCGAAAACAAAACAGGGAGTTTTTCGTACTTTTCTCTTTTACATTTATGCATTGCATTTATTTTATCATATTGCATATAGAGTTGGGATTATTTTTACGTCCCGGGACTTGCATGCATGCATTAATTTTGTTTTTTAATTTTATACTAACATAATTTTTAGTGTTTTTGGTTTGTAGGTACAGCTTTTGGAGAGAACGGCCGGATGAGCGGACTACCGAAAACAAAACAGGGAGTTTTTCGTACTCTTCTCTTTTACATTTATGCATTGCATTTATTTTATCATATTATATATAGAGTTATGATTAAAAGAAAAAAGTACGAAAAACTCTCTATTTTGTTTTCGGTAGTCCGCTCATCCGGCCGCTCTCTCTCGTATGCATCTAAAAAGAAATAAAATGAATATTAGTATGTATATGCATATAAAAAGACAAAGTAATATTAAAAAATTTACATGTTGTACACAATTGTTTATTTTTCATATAAAAAAATACTTATTCAAATGATCTCACACAACAACAAAATGTTAGCAATAATAGTTGTGCAAAATTGTTATTATTTTAAGTTGGAACCCCTCAACCAAGTCATGCTTACAAAATGTCCATAAAAAAATACTACTAATGATATTTTATTGTACAATGATATTATGAAAAAAAAAAAAAAAAATTGTTGTTATTAGATCAATTTGCACGTAACCCACCACATTTTCATATTATATTTAAATAGAAAGATTAACCATTTATGAAAATTGAATTTAATAGTCGTATTTAAAATGAATGGGTCAATTAAATTAGAGCCAAATACTAATTTCTAATCTGAAACATACACCAACTAAAAAGCATTAAAAAATCTTCCAAAAAAATTCTAATCTAAAATATTAAAGAGCATCAAGAAATCTTCCAAAAAATGTCTAATATAAAACATACACCAGCTAAAGAGCATCAAGAAATCTTCCAAAAAAATGTCTAATCTAAAACATATATCAACTAAAGAGCATCAAGAAATCTTTCAAGAAATTTATAATATGAAACATGCACCAAAGAAAGAGCATCAAGAAAAAGACAAATAATATCTAAAACTCAAATACTCCAAAAGTATCAAGTTTTCTTACATCAAGTTAATACGCTGGATACCTTAATTCGATCCTGATCGTACAAAGGCCGAGTCGATGAGGAATTTAACGACAAAATTCCTACAAACAGACTCAAGAATCTGTACTTTCTAACTTGCAAATAAAACGAATCAAAACAAAGAAAGATTGTAAGAGAGAGCAAACAAAAACAGAAAAACAAAACAAGGAAGATCGTAAAAGAGAGCAAAAAAAATAAAGAGAGTTGAAATGGATGTGGGGTAGGGTATTATTACTTACTTAAGTAGGAGGGTTAATGGTAATCATATTTGAATTTGTAATTTTGAGTCAGTTAGACTTAGGATTAGAATTAGGGTTAAGTTTTGGGGATAACTTATGTATAATTACCTTTATATATTAAAATTTAATTATTAATTAAGATCTAATTTGAAATTTAAATTATTATATATTTAAATGTTATGATTTATGAACACATTAAATTTTCCTTAATTAAATTAGAATAAATAAAAAAATATTTTATTATTATTTTTTTGTTGTGTATATTTGATTGTATAATGATATTTTCAATAATATGTTTTAAAATTGGAATAACTTTGTTAATACGGTATAATAAAGTTATTTGAGTTTTGTGGGTGTGTTTGTTTGTTATATATTTGTTTAATTTAATATAAATTAAATTTAAATATATATTATATTTTAATTTGATTGATTGCAATGGTCAGGGGTTGTTAAAAGAAACTGCAAATACCGAATTATATAATTGATATCAATTGTTGGTTGTCTATTCTAGTATGTTCTGTTCGAGACGCACGCACCAAGGAAAAAAATGTTTGCTTGTGATGGAGATCGATCTATCCGTAAAAAAGAATGGAATGGAATGAAGTTCGTTGTTCAAGATAGCATCCGATTCAATTGTTCCAGGTAATTTAATTTAATTTAATTCATCTATTCATTTTAAATACAAGATTAGTAGGCTTGGTTTGAGTTTGGGAGTTTTTGATATGTATTGATTTGATAGATATTATTAGATTGGTATAAAAATTATAATATACTAATAGATATAATATTTTACATATAATCTATTTTTTTTTGGTCCGGCATTTCCAATAAATTTACCCATTTTAAATATATTTAATAAATATAAATGAATTAATTAAATTTATAAGATCTATAAGAAGATTCACTCAAAATTCTTTTATTTTTTATTCGATAAATAAATATTTTTATTTATATTTAAATTTTTTATTTATATTTAAATTTTTTATTTATTATAAATTTATTTTAAGTTAATTATAAATAAATAAATATTTTTATTTACTTGTATGATATAAAATTTTATTATTTAATAATTAATATTTATATTATGTATATTTTATTGAGATATAATGTTAAAAGTATTAAGGATATTTGTTTTTGTGAAACTTCACTTTGGTTTTACTATTCTATTTTTTATATCAAATGAAATATTTATTTATTATTTATTATATTATATTGAATTTTACATTTAAAATATGACATTAAATAATTATTTTAATTAATATTTATTATTTAAAATTAAAACCAAAAATCAAAATTTTACCGACAATCACACTATTTTGTCAATATTTACAATCCGAATACAATAATAATAATAATAATAATAATAATAAAAAAAAAGCAAAACAGCTGTTGTAGTAGCCTATCAAATAGGCTGAATGCATTGTCTGTATAGAGTGGGTTTTGCGCCCAAAATTTCCCCAACCCTATTTTAAGTTTTTAACCGGAAGCTTCATCAAATATGTGCAATAGAAACATATTTTATATTTCGATTTGAAATTAGGTTTCTTATTTCAATTTTGATTTAAAAAGTAGTTTGATTTGAAATATTGTATTTTTATTCGGAATGGTGCCAGATGAACAGTGTTGACACATCACACTCTGGATTGTATTTTTGAAAACTTTTGGATTTTGAAATTATTTAAAAATAATAGATTTGTTTGGTTTTTTTATTAGAAATAGGATTTTAATTTATACTCCATTTTCTCCAAATTAAATGGGTTTTCTTTTTAGTTTTTGTAATAACTTAAAATATATATAATATTTTATTAGTTAATAATATTTTATTAGTTATTAGAGTTTTTCATTCAAACACGAGGGATGTATTATATAATTTACCCAAGAGTTTTTTTTGATATTTTAATCTTTTTATTTTATATATAAACTAATAGTAGTATTTTTCTTTTATTTTTTTTATAATATCTTTGTACAATAAAATATTATTAGTAGTATTTTTTTATGGACATTTTGTAAGCATGACTTCTACGAGGGGTTCCAACTTCAAATAATAACAGTTTTGCACAACTACTATTGCAACCATTTTGTTGTTGTATGAGATCATTTGAATAAGTATTTTTTCATATGAAAAATAAACAATTGTGTACAACATGTAAATTTTTTAATATTATTTTATCTATTTCTATGCATATACATACTAATATCTATTTTATACCTTTTTAGATGCATACGAGACGGAGCGGCCGGATGAGCGGACTACCGAAAACAAAACAGAGAGTTTTTGGTACTTTTTTCTTTTAAATTTATGCATTGCATTTATTTTATCATATTGCATATAGAGTTAGGATTATTTTTACGTCCCGGGACTTGCATACATGCATTAATTTTATTTCTTAATTTTATACTAACATATTTTTTAGTGTTTTTACTTTGTAGGTACAGTTTTTGGGGAGAGCGACCGGATGAGCGGACTACCGAAAACAAAACATGGAATTTTTCGTATTTTTCTCTTTTATATTTATGCATTGCATTTATTTTATCATATTGCATATAGAGTTAGGATTATTTTTACGTCCCAGGACTTGCATGCATGCATTAATTTAGTTTCTTAATTTTATACTAACATATTTTTTAGTGTTTTTACTTTGTAGGTACAGCTTTTAGGGAGAGCGGCCGGATGAACGGACTACCGAAAACAAAACAAAGAGTTTTTCGTACTTTTCTCTTTTACATTTATGCATTGCATTTATTTTATCATATTGCATATAGAGTTTGGATTATTTTTACGTCTCGGGACTTGCATGCATGCATTAATTTTGTTTCTTAATTTTATATTAATATATTACACTGTAGACACGGTATTTTAGGAGGGATGTAATTAGTAGATAATTAAGAATATATTAGTAAAAATAATTCTTATAATATAAAAAATTATAAATTAAGATTAAGATAACTAATTAGTTTAATTAAAAAAAATTGAAAAAAATTAAAAAGTTTAAAATGAGATTAAAATGTGTAATCATTTTCCAAAAAAGGAAAGTAACATGTTATGTGGGACGAACAGAAACGGCAACATAGACATAGTATGTGGGACGAACAGAAACGGCAACATAGACATAGTATGTGGGACGAACAGAAACGGCAACATAGACATAGTATGTGGGACGGAGAGAGTATTATATTATTTTTAAGGAAAAAATCAATTTTGGTCACAATATAACTAAAAAATTTATCAATTTTGATCATCATATAAAAAAACATATCAATTTTAATCCGATTATAAACAATTTCAATCAATTTTGATCACATCATTAAAAAAACTAACGGATATTGTTGACGTAGACGTAACGGAGTAGACGTGACAACTGACTTGGAAACTATACGGCCATGTACAATTATACATGCCGTATACTTTTCTGTTTTGGTCTAAATTTTTTTTTTTTTTAATACTCCCTCCGTCCCATTGGAATGATGGCATTTGCTTTTTGCAAATAGATTTTTGAATATTAATATTATATTGGAGTGTAGTGAAAAAGACAAAAATACCCCTATAGTATGGTGTAATAGAAAAATAATGACATTTGTGTAATATTTTGTAAGTTGAAAGTGTATTTATTATGTTAAGTAGGTAGTACAATTACTAAATTAGGAAATGGTAACCTTGTTTTGGGACGGATGAAAATAGAAAATGGTAACCTTTCAATGGGACGGAGGGAGTATAACTTTTTCAAAAATATATATATTTTGAATTTAAAATAATTGATATAGTAAAAATGAAAACCATCAATAGTAATCTTAATATAATAAAAATGTATCAATTTTAATTCAAATATAAAAAGTGATAGGACATGCTATTTTGAAAGATTTTACCTAAAATTTTACCATATGTTCTAATATGTGTAATAAAAAAATATAGACAAAAATAAAAAATATCTGTGTCAATTTTTTTTTCTCTATGTCAAATTTTTTCTTTTTTTTTTTTTTTTTTTTTGTAAATAGTAGAATTTTAGACAAAATCTTCCAGAAGCACATATCCTGTAAATTTTTATATTTGAACTAAAATTAATACATTTTTAATTATATTAAGATTACTATTGATTTTTTCAATTTTAACTATATCAAGTATTCTAAATTCAAAATATTTTTTTTTAAAAAAAATATACATAAAACAAAATTTTAGACCAAAACAGAAAGATACACGGCCGTGTAGAATTACATATGACCGTGTAAAAACAAGATCATATATAATTGTACACTGAAATATACATGGCCGTATAGTTTATAAGTCAGCTGCCACTCAACTCCGATACGTCCACGTCAAATATTTCCGTTAATTTTTGTATGAATCTATATATACTCCCTATGTCCCTTAATAATGTATCTGTTTTTTCATTTTGGTCCGTCCCATAACAAAGTATCTATTTCTTTTTTAGTAATTGTACTATCTACCTAACATTACAACTACATTTTTAATTTACAATATATTACACAAATGTCATTACATTTATATCATACTCCCTCCGTCCCAAACACCGTGCAACATTTGTGTTTAGCACGAGAATTTAGATGGAGAGTATTAAGTATGGTAATTTTAGATAATTTGGATATTAAGTGATGTGATTGAAGAGAGAAATGATTATTTAGTTTTATATTTGAGTGATGTGATGAGATAAAGTAAAATATATATTAATATATGTATATAAATATTTTTAATTATTTATAAATTTGGAAATGTTGCAGTGAGTTTGGGAAAAAAAAATGTTGCATGATGTTTGGGACGGAGGAAGTACAATACTAGTAGGTTAATTTAGTCTTTCTACTTTTATTTCTACTTTATCTCAATATAATACTAATATTTCTAAAACTCTGTGTATAAAGCAAATAGATATATAAATATGAGACGGAGAGAGTATTATATTTTTTATTATTAATCGAAAATTTAGGAGCAATTCATGCGAGCTCTGATTTAGCTAGTTTCTTTGCGGAGCCAATAATTTTTTTTATTATTAGAATACACTAAATTTAGTAAAAAATAAAATTTACGGAAAATAAAAAAATGAATGTAAAATTTAATTTATCACAATAAATAAAACTCATTAAAGGATAATTAAGTCATTTAAAATATCAAAATTCCAAATACTTCAATTAATCTGTAACACAAACTGAATTTTGAATATAAATCCCAGGTAATTTACCAACCAAACACATGGAATTCCAAATTTTAAATATAATAAATCTTATCACATATAAATTATAATGTAAAATCTCAAACAAAAAATGTCAAATTTTCTTACACACTTCCCTGGCTCTAATAAAATACTACTTTCTTAATCTATTAATCTATTATTATTATTTATAAAAAATAGTAATAATAATAATAAATAAAAAATATATCTTAAAAATATTAAATTATACAATTATTTTTTGTTTTTTTATATTATAATATTAAAAATTAATTTTATATTTCAATAAAATTATATATATTTACGTTGAAATTGTTTATAATATGACCAAAATTGATAAATTTTTATTATATTAAAACTAATTTTTTATTTATTTTTTTTTTTGGTATAATGAATGTATATGTATATATAATATATGTATGCATAGATAGATACACACATCTATGGAGCATAAGAAAAGGGGTTACCTGAAGCAATAGTGTTTTGACATCTTCGATTGCTACTGATCAAATTAGATAGAGAGATCTCTCAAACAAAATCAAACTGATGAGAATCGATTAAACATTAGGCAATAATGGATCAATACCTTTTAAATCAAATCAACAGCTAGCCTCGAATCATTTCATTCATACTGCATTGAAGTAAAACTAAACAATAAAAAATAATTATATGTATATATATATATATGTCGTTTTGTGTGGGTAGTTTTCAGGATGGTTTTGCAAAGAGAAGCCTACAGAGCTCAGTTGGCAGTATGCCCACCTCCTCTAATCAACATTTTAGATCCAAAACTCCAAACCAAATTTGCTCACTTTTGAAGAAATTAAGGATAAAAAGGGTTAATTAATTAAAAAGGTGAATCGAGCCGCCTTTGGAGATCTAGCTAGCTAGGAGGTGGACAGAATGCCAATAAACTTCTGTAAGAAACCCTTTGGCAAACCCTTCTTGAATATTGAATAATATACATATAAACAATATGTTTTTCGATGAAGCTCGTGATCATACACCACAAGGCATAAACCCTATACAGAAATACGAACACTCACACGCATGGGAAAGGAGCTGCAAGAAGTACTTAATCGATATTAAGCTATAAGCCATCTGAGATGATATGAGAAGAGGAGAGACGAAAGGGCCACTATTTAAGATGTGGGGTGAGGTGAGGTGAGGTTAGCCATGGTGGTAATAAGAGAGAGAGAGATAGAAAAGGGATCATTATTATTGTATATATGCTGAGGTCGAAGTGAAGGTAATAATTAATCGAAGAGAGATCATGTGGGAATAAGCAATAAGCAATTAGCAATACAATGTGGAATTTTATATATAATATATAATGGTGATTAATTAGGTAAAACAAGAATCTTTGCCTGTGCATATATAAACACATCCTCGTTTTCTGACCATTATAAACTACTCCTCGTCTGTCTACCTTATGATCATACCCACCACCATTACACACACATATAATAAATTAATTAAGCTATACAATCAATGGATTAATAATCCTCCCTTTAAATTGTATGATACATCAAATTAAATTTAAATGCATAAGAACTCAAATTAGCTAGGGCATTCAGGTATCTATCTGGCAATTCAAGAACGAACCCTTTTTTCACTTCTTCCCTTTTTCTAATTTTATAATTTTAGACATCACATCATAAACGAAACTAATTAAGAAACAGAAAGAACCCATTACATTACATATATGGTTAATGTGTTTTTCTTTTTTCAAAATGCACGCTGTAATAATGATGACATGACACCCTCCATTAATTCCATTGCATTAGAGGTACTAGCATTGTTATGATCTCATTTTCAAGATTCCCTTTTCCAAGAACCATATATATATATACATAAATTAAATTAAATAAATACTCAAAACGTTGTGTTGTTTGATGGGTCACAGTCAGTGGTGATGATGCAGCAGAGCCCTGCTGCCAAGAATTAAATTTATCCTTTTTGTTCCAGTCTTGTCATTCATTGCATCTCATCAACCATCACCTATCTAGCTAGCTACCTGCTATGTTCAAAATTGTACATATATATATATATATATGCCCACCTCCCAAAATTCAAAACTTACCCGATTATATGTATATACACATATATATGTGTGTGTATTTTAGGTCGATCAATCTGTGTGTTCAAACTTGTCCTTTACTACACTTATTGCTATGGAACCGTCACCCAACTAAGCCCATTAAATTCATTGCAGATTCCAGCTCGATTTTGAACACACACACAGTCAACATTAAGACTGACTTCAACTAGGGTTTCAATTTATCATTCAAGATCATTTGCTTAATATATGTTAGATATAAATTAAAATTCTCAATACGTAAATATTTATATAAATTGTCTAAATAAGATAAGAATTTCGAATCTTTTAAATAAAATAACTATGATAAATATAATATATTAATTTTAAATATATTTTAACAATATACGCGGTGATGATGTGTGATCTAGCTAGGGTTAGGGTTTGATTAAGATTTTAAATCTGACGGGATCATTGGTGGGTTACGAATTTGATTTCAATTCTCCGAATTCAATCCCATTTAAATTCTAATTTAAAAAATTGTTGTTATATATTTATATAATTATTTATATTGTTTATCTTTATAATCAATCATTCTTCCACTATATTACTCATTTCGTCTCAAAACTATAGACTAGGTTGCATTTGATACAAGATTTAAGAAATATTGATATTATATTTATAACGAGTAAAAAATACAGGTAAAAGATTTTTTTGCCTTTACGAGTGTATTAGTATAAAAAGTAGTGACAATTGTGTAATAATAATGAAAAAGTAAATGTAATTTTATAGTGATATGGTTATTTATGGAAACAAAACTATTGTTTTGAAATTGACAAAAAAAATAAAATATGACTATTGTATTGAAACTGGTATTATTCTACCACGTGGCGAGTGGAAAAATAATTTTGTAATTGAAATATTTGATTTTTAATATTTGAATAATTTATTATATTATATTATGACTGATAAAATATAGATTTACATATATTTTACAATATAAGATGGGTTTATTTTGGAGTTAACTCCGAATCTGCGGTTCAAGGAAGAAAAAATTCACTAACGAATCTCTCCATTTCAAACCAATGTATTCATTGGAGTTTTAGGTTTATAATAGATTAACAAATAATAATAATTTATTAATTAATAGAAATATATATTATAATTTTGATATTTTTATTGTTTGTACTTTATTTATATTTGTATTTTATGTAAAAAATTAAAGTTATTTTGTACTAATATGTATTTCATCAGTCATTTAATTGTGTGTTCGTTTGACTTCGCACAGATTTTTATAAAAAAAAAAACAGATTAAAATAGAAATATTTAATTTTTTGGGTAAAAGAACAGTAATATTTTTTTACTAAAAAAACGAAAATAAATTTAGTTGACTTTAAAAAATTGTGGGAATATATTGGATGACAGAGAGAGTAATTATTTTTAGAGTAAATTATATAATACTCCATATATTTTATTAAAAATGCATAAAACACCGTGTGTTTTAGATAAATAGAGTGTTTCGTGCAAATTTTATATTAACATGAAGGAGTTTCACGCAATAAATAAAATATAATATAATGTATTTTGTATATTTTTACTAAAAATACAAAAGAGTATTATATAATTTACTGTGATTTTTATTATAATATAAAAATTATATTTATGTTTGAAATAAAAAATAATAATTAAAGAAATACTTTAATTGGGATGAAAATAATACTCTTTTTTAAACTTCAGGTATATATATATATTTAATGGATAGAAAGATTATAATAATAAGGTAGCAGAAAAGTTAGCATTTGGGAACATGATAAATCATCATTGTAATGCATGCATAATATCATATCATCTCAACCACTAATAATTAATTAATTTTCTCATGATTGCTGGTAGATGCTTACCTAGAAAAGGAATGCTTATATCTCTGACCTCAAAAGCTATTTATATATATATATATATAATCTCCTTTTAGTTCAAGTTGCAATTGCATATGAAGTTGGAAGATTAAAATGGTTGTAATTTTGGTTATTATTATAATATGAGTTCAATTAAAATATATTTTATTTTTTAAAAAAAATTTCTGTTCGAGCTGTTTTTAATAAAAATATATTAGATATTTTATAAAATATTAAATTAAAATATTTTGTTCATCTGATAAAATTATATTATTTTTTTATTTTCTTTGGATATTTACTAAATTTATAAATATATAATCCATTTATAATAGAATATAATATATTAATATATTTAATATTTTAGAATAAAATAAAAAAAATTAATAAAAAGGAACAATTGCAAATTTTACCTTATGTTTAGACTTTTTTTTTTTTTTTTTGGTTCGCATTTAAAACAATATGTCCCCTATAAGCTTTATTTTTGTCTTTTTCGGCGCCAAAAAAAGCACGTGAAAGTCACGCGTATCAACGTAGAAATGCCGTAATTTAGACATAATATTACGGGTGTAAGTGTGTACCTATGGGCTTTTTGTGGGTTTAGTCTACAAGTAAATGGGCCATTTCTGTAAAAGGGCCCATATGTCCATTTTTAAACTTGTTTTTGGGTGATGGGCAGTTTACATCATGCACCACTAATTAGTAATGTTATTTTTGGATTAAAGTAAAATGTATAGCATCAGTGGTGTAAATATATGAAATTATCAAAGGTAAAATAATAATAATAATAAATATAAATAAAAAGTATTTTTTTAAATAAATATGGTGTGAAAATACTTTCGATAATAAACTAATACGATCAAATGAACTTAATTTTACAGAAAGGAGGAAGGTATTAATTTTAAGTTATATTCATAAAACTTGTAGTAAGAATTTAGATTTTGAGATAAATTTAGGGTGTGTTTTTTTTAATGAGCTTTGAAAAAAATTGCTTTGAATTTGATGATATGAAAATAATATTTGATTAAATATTATTTTAAAAAAATAAAATAAAATAAAATAAAATTCTTTTTTAAACGCCAGAATCTAGAAAACTGTGCTAAAGAGCGGTGAAGACTGGCAATTCATTCTCTTAAAATTCATGTTCATATAAAAAAATATTTTATCTGATACACCACAATTGACATTATTTTTATTTTTTATTTGTTCCTTAATTACATAATATATAATATCATAAATAACTAGATTCACTCAAAATTTATTTATTTTTATCTCTCTTCTAAAAAAAATAAATATTTTTATCTATATTTATAACTACATATCTTTTATAAAATTGATTTATATAAATTATAAATAAACAAAAATATTTTTTTATTTACTTTGTATCATAAAAAATTTTATTCTCTACAAAATAATATCTATATTATATATTTTTTAATTGCTATATAATTTTTAAATATTTAAACGTATATGTTGATTTTTTTAATAATATATATTAAATTTACTTTCAAATTATAATTATTATTAATTAATTAAATATTTTTACCTTAAATTAGAAGGTTTTATATTAGCAGGAAATGAGAGCATTTAATTTGGGAGGAATCTGTGTCTGTGATGGCAATAAATAAAAAAATAAATGAAATTGGTTTGGTTGCAGAGATTCTGTCATTAATGGCGATGGCAGTGTAAGTTGCTCTTCATATTTATGAGCGGGGAAACAATACATTTACTCCCTCAACTAACTCCCCACATTTAAATTTATATTTACATCTACCTAGACTATATATAATAAAATAAAATAAAATATGTGTATGTATAAACATTTTTTTTTCTTACTAAAAACTATGAAATTGCATAATATTTTTCTTACAAGTTTGTGTTTGGACTCTTTTAAATAAAAATGAGATTTTGTATATAGCAAAAAGAGAATTAGAAAAACTGGTAATTTTATTGCATATGTTAAAAATGGTAAAACTTTTAAATTGAAGTTATTTAATGCCATATAATTATATAATTGTTCGACGTAGGATTTTCAATTTTCAATTCAAAATAAAAAAATATATATATAATATAATAGTTTGAAAAGAAATAAATAAACCAAGATAAATACATATAGTAAAATAGGACTGTGACAACACATTCAACAAAACTAGTGTTCATTCAGATTTTTATAGTTTGTTCTATCCATTGTGATTTATTTTTATTTTTTTTTATCTATTATTTTTATTTTTAAAAAGGCTGTTTTTGGACATTTATCCCATTTAATTTCTATCAAAGTGGTTTTCAGGGTTAGGGGTATATGGTGCACAGATCATGCAATGTAATGAATTCATATATAGCTAATTAAAAATGAAACCCTAATTTTTCATAGCCCCCTTTTGAAGGTGTCTTAATATTTAACATAATCTTCACACATGATGCAAAGCTTCCACCGTACATACACAGCTTGATCAAATCAAGAAAAGAACCCAAAAAAAAAAATTAAAAAAAAAAAACCCAGGTAGAAGAAGATTATCATTATTATGTCTTGCATTGTATCAGAACTTCAGAAATATGTAACATATATTAAAATCATACCTGAAAGACATTGGATTGCATTGTGGGAGGGTGTGAAAAAGTCACTGTGATATTGGCACGGCTCAATCAAAAAACGATCTATAAGCCCTTTAAGTTTAGATATACAGTCGTCTGAGTGAGCCGAGCCAATATCGCAGTTGCCATTTCAACATGAATATTCTCCAATGGAGATTTCATTTGGGAGAGGGGAAGAAGAAATGGGAGAAAATTAGAAGCTAGAGTGAGAGAGAGAGAGAGAGAGAGAGGTTGAGTGCAAGAAATGGATGGGTGAATTTAAAGCAATTGGCAACCGAAACCATATTCATATTGATATTAAGTCGATAGGCCGCCATTAATGGCAGCAAATAGATTATTTATTTAAGTATTGATGTAATGAACAGTTATATTAATGGAATCTCTCTATGTCTATCTGAGGCTGCAGGTGCAGTCTGTTTTGTTCATGGCTTATCAATCCTCCTTCAATGGCAAAGGCGAAATCTTGCATAACTCAAGTTACAGGTTTTGGACAAGAATGTTGGTTGTTATGACTACTACTAGTATTATAATTTTATTGTATTGGGCTTCGATATTATTCTTACACTTTGGCCCATGAACTAACTTATTACCTAATAGCCCATCATACATACATACATACATACTTGCATAGCTGTAATGGAAGTGTTCCATGAAATGCCAAAGTGAAAATGACCATTGAATTGATTGGCCCCAACCAAGCCATTTCCATGGCTTCCCAATGGATAAAATCTTGATTCCTATCCACACTTTAAAATCCTAACATCATCTTCTTCTTCCCATCCCATCCCATCTTCTTCACCATTCCAGCTAAAAATTAAAGCAAAACAATTCATACCCACACCACAGAAAATAAGACAAATTAAATCAAGAATGGCCACCATCACCTCCGTCGCCGCCGTCACCATCCCCTCCTTCACCGGCCTGAAAGCCACCGCCTCCAAACCCGCCGCCGCCGCCGTCTCCACCAGGGCCGCCGCAGCAGCACCCCCCAAGCTCTCTATCAGAGCGTCCTTGAAGGACGTCGGCGCGGCGGTCGTCGCCACCGCCGCCACCGCAATCCTCGCCGGAAACGCCATGGCCTTCGACATCCTCCTCGGCGCCGACGACGGTTCCCTCGTTTTCGTCCCCAAAGAAGCTGAAGTCGCCGCCGGCGAGCAGATCAACTTCGTCAACAATGCCGGATTCCCACACAACGTGGTGTTCGACGAGGACGAAGTCCCCGCCGGCGTCGACGTCAGCAAGATCTCCATGGACGAGCAAGACCTCCTCAACGGCCCCGGCGAGAAATACTCTGTCACTCTCACCGAGAAAGGCTCTTACAGCTACTACTGCTCCCCTCACCAGGGCGCCGGCATGGCCGGAAAAATAACGGTCAAATAAATACATTCTCCGACCACTCCTTATCTTATGTATTAATTAATCACATCATCGTCTTCTCCACTGGGATTTTTCTTTCCATGTATTCTGAGCTACGCTGTCTGAAATTCCATGCTTCATTGATTAAATTACCTCTTCTTTTCTTAATTCCAATAATAATCATACTCAAGAACACCATAGCAAATTACGTACATGAAAACAAAAATTATACAGAGAGAGATACCAAACGAGCACAAACACACACACCTTATATGTTACACGACAATGGCAGCCTGAAAGTGGTAAAATTATTTAAACTACAGACATGAAATCCTGGTACCTATGTATGTGTTCTATGTTGTCAGAGCATCAGGCAGGCCGGTGGCGGCGCCGAGCACCTTGCCGCCAACGTCCGGGAAGTTTTCGTGTCGAGGTAGGGGTTTTACCTTGCCGTCTGCCGCGACTTCCACCGGATATTTAAGCAAGTGTCCTTGTAGACGAGTGAAATCCTCAGCAGTGAACCGAGTCCAGTTATCTTTTGCGACGCCATTGACGTACCTTACGCAGTCCAAATTTTCGGGATCATGGAAGCAGTCGTCGATGCTGCCGATGTGCTCTGCCCATAGCGACATTCTGTATCCATATACCTGCGCGCAAACATCATCGATAAAGAGTCCATTTTTATCGTTGCGTACAAGGTTGAAAGAGAAAAAAACCGACTAACTTGGCCGCGAGGATGTTTCTTCTTCGAGTTCCAGATGTGATGCGGCTGATAAGCTCCCATGGCGATCTCAGTGTCTCTCGTACCAGCCATCGAGCGCTGGTTGATATTGGCGGAACCTAGAATCACGTACTGATCATCGACGATCATTCCTTTGGCGTGCACATAGATCATAAACCGTCCAAATTTCTTCGAATTCGTATCCTGCAGCGAAGAAACAACGAGCACATTGAGCGTTTGTACAATTAATATCCAAGGCAAAACATACATTCGGGGATTACGCTTTTTCCGTTGGAGGCGGCATGACCGTTCCCATTCGATTGCTCGTTGTGGCACTCTTCTCGGTTGCCAAGACAGTAGAAATTCAAATAGTCCGTCGGATGTGTATTCTCGAGCTGTGCCGACTTTATCTCTTGAGCAATGATCTCATACATCATTTGCATCGTTTGCCCCTGCAAGAATGATCAACACAAAAAAAATCGGCAACCAGAAGATCCCAAAACTGGAAGAAATGGTTGTAGAGAGTTCGTGGATTGGCTAATGTACCTGCCAATAGAGAATTTCTTGTACAGAGGCAGATTCGGGAGCGCCCTCCGGCCACATAGGGATTACTACATAAACGGCGAATCTCTCTTTGGCCCTTATTTTACTGGCGATCTTTAATGCAAGTTCCATTGGGATTAAATTGTCGGCGCCTAAGAAACATACATATACCGTATGAGCTAAATGGAGATCAAACTAGCAGAAATAGCAGCCTACCGGCATACAAGTCATTATTGCTATACAACAGCCTACCGGCATTTTTGTAGGACGGCCAAGCATAAGATGATCCGAGGAAATATTGATTCTCGATGTAGATGAAGTGTTGAGCAGACCGAATAGCCTGTATATAAGCCATTTGAATGCTCGTATCCACGACCAAATTCTTCACACGGGTAAGGTTCTACAAGAAAGAAATTTTACAACAAAATAAGTTCAAACTTAACCACGAATTCAAGTTTGAATTTAATAAATGCAGGTTCGTGTAGTACTTGCTCGCCGACATTTCCCTTTTTTGGGAAACCTTTCACTGAACCCGAATCAATGGACCGGAACACCTATAGACATAAGAAACAAACCAAAGTCAAGTTTTAACCCGTCTCGGACAACTTTAAAATGTGATATCTTTTCCTTGCATTGTAACCTGCACATGCCAATTCTCCGGATCATCTTCATCAGAAACGCGCAAAGAAGGATGATCACTTGAAACATTTCCTGAAGGACTGACTATCCATGAAATTCGGTCGAGCTTAATTAAAGCATCGTCATTCCAGTGCGATATTCTTTTAAACTTTTTCCCAAGCTCGGCCCATTTAGTGGCCTTCCTCCACCTCTGCTCAAAGTTAGTCAGCACATCATATGCAGCAGGGCCTTCGATTTTGCAATGTAAATCATGCCATGGCTGTCTAGGTGCTTTCTTGCCTGGCTATCGAGAAACACAAGCACAAATCACAATCCGAAGATCTAAAAAAGAATGGCTAAAAGATTTCCAACAGAGTATTTGCTTACTTGAAATGTTGGGTTATGAAAGTCATCCTGGAAAACTGTATCAAGATCGCGAAACAGTCTATGCTCAGGTGTATCATAGCGTCCATCGCAGAGATCTAAACCACCAACGAATGAAGTTATCTTCCGGTAATTTCCATGGCCTTGAGAATCAACAATCACACATTTCTGATGGTGAGTATACAGAGTTCCTACAACCTGAAGATCAAAGGAAAGTTTGTTCATTCTTCAATCTCGAAAAAACAAAACCTTCTAAAACTTCAACTGATTGCATAGATCAAGGCATGCCTGTTGCTTGACAATGCTAAGCTTACTGCTTGCGTAGCGCGGGGATAAGACGCACGTAACAGACGAGTGCTTGAAAAACTTCTTGGTTTCTTCGTCGTGAGTCTGCATCACTCCTTCCTGCACTAAAGAAGATCAACCAATGTATACATTTAAACTGTTTCCGAAACCACATTGCCGTACCGTTTTAAGCCCAAACTTGTGATGAGAAGTCTTGTCATCCCAAACCAGTAACAAAACTCTCACCCCTTCTTGAGATTTGTACTTGAGCAAGTCTCCCAAAGTTAATTCGCCGCCGTCAGGCAATGGTTTAGTCGGCTCTCTAACAAGCTTCACCTTATGATAAATCGACCAGCCTACAATGTACACCAAATGGTGTGCCTCCAATATCGCGTGGCATATGTCCTCCCAACACTTCTGATGCTCGAACTTCATCCCTTCATCCAGCTCAATCTCCGGCAGCATTCCGTCGATCACGTGCGCGTCTTGATAGAGGGTGATCTTACCTCCTCGATGCAGAGGAAAATAGCTTCTCTCCACACCATAGTTGTCTGAAAGGCCATTTAAGTAAACAGAGCTCTTATGGCAGGGAGTGAATGTCATCTGCAATCTGATTGCAGTTTCAGGCTTTGGAGGCTTCCCATTTGATCCTATCACCGGAAACCAATCGTCGATCGGCTCTCCGGCTGCGATCCTCTTCGCCGGAACTGAGGCAATCCCAATCCGCTCAGCACCAAACATGTCATTGTCTTTCACCTCGAATTCGACCTGTATTGTTTGTTAAACCTCAGAAATCCTGAGTTCGGAAGATATATAATCAAGGAATTCAAAAATCAATCCAATCCAAGAACAGAGATGCAGAGGAATTAAAATTCTGAACTAAGTGAACCCTAGAAGAAATAAGAATCCCCAATTTTAAAGATCACAATGCATACATTCCCTTTTGAAGTTATGCTTAAATCGACCTAATGTTTACAGAATAGGGTGAAAGTTTCTGCGAATTAGTGATCACCTGAGAAACGGGATGAGCTATTGGGATCTTGTAATGCTCGTTCCAAACCGGGTTCTGCGAATTGGATATGACCCGGGTCCGGGCAACCCGGGCCCCGGATAGGCAAACCGTAACATACGGATCGCTGGTGATGATCTTGCGGTGGGGTTTGTGATCGGGAGGGCGATGATCGGCGGTGCAAGGCTTCCGGCAGACGTCGAACACGGAAAAGCAACGGCGGAGGTGCTCGGAGACCAAGTCCATGTTTGGCAAAAACCGAGCTTCGATTATTGTAAGGTCCAGATCGCCGTGGAGGTATATTACATCGTCGTCTGATTTCTGGTCGGCCATTTTTGTTAAGGAAAAAACTGTCGCCGGCGGCGTCGGCGGACGGCGGCAGCGGTGGTTTTATTGGTTTCTCCGCGGCGGGAGGGAGGGATAGGTGGGGTCTAGGGATCGAACAGTCGAGAATCTGCGAAGAAAATGTGAAAATAGGAGGTGGTTTAGGCTCTTTCGCAGTGCAGTTGGGAGTTCATTTCTCGAAGAGATGACGATTGGGAGCATTTCGAAGCTCCATGGACTCCAGCTCCAGCATCAATCTAGGCCGTCCATGCTTTGATGTGCATAACCAACGGTTCTGATATGGTCAGGAGCTGAGCGCCGTGGCTATTTTAAGAATCGCCCACACGCCAGCTTTGAATATACGCATTTTAAGATTTTCGTCAGACCTGCAACGTTTAGGGATTAGCTGGCCGATGAGATAATAATTTTTAAATAATCTAAATTTAAATTTGATTCATGTACACGTAATTGTTATATGTGGTGACACGAAATTTCTTTCTGATTGAATTTTTAAGAAATGTTAAAATATTAATTTTATTTAGGATTTAGATAAACAGGAACTTTATCGGTCTATCACAATCTTCATGACTTCATCTACATTTATTAGATCAATGATAAATATATCTTTTTGTTTTTATTTTTAGGTGACTTTCACGTCCTGTACAATAAGTCAAAATAAAAGAAATGGTGCTGCGTAGAGATGCAATGTTGCGAGCGCGTGCAATTTCAACGTATTACCTGCACATGCAGGCATCATGTATTAGGTTTGGTAGGCTTATAATTCGAAGTATTAATGGAATTAAATAGTATATTTTATTCTTTAGTTACATATAAAATTAATCATAATTATACGCAGCCTTTTTAATGATAAATTCAAGATATTTATGTCCAAAAAATCCGAATACAAGAATAAAATGTAATATAATTCAAGTATTGTTCATATTGTTTCAAAAGGCCTCAGGGTTTCACTGCTTGACTACATCTCATTCCCAGCAATATTTTATTATTATTATTATTATTTTATTTATTTTTTAAAAATATTATATCAAATATATATATATATATTTTTTGAAAAAAAATGACATCAATCATTAACCTTTAAAAAAAAATAAAAAATTCAGAACTGTAGAACACTAGATTAAACAAAGCTAGTTGTTCATTCAAATTCTAGTGATGATAATGCATCCTTAAACCATTAAGCTTTCGGTTTATCTAAGTCAGATTTTTTTTTCATTCTTTACTATTTTTCTCTTAATTAGAAATATTATTTTTACTTTCTACTATTTTCATTGTCTATGTTATAATATGAGACTACAAAATATCAAAATTTATTTTTTTTTACTCATTTTCAATAATCAAACGGATTTCCCACGGGACCATTTTTAGGGCGTGTTTGGCAATTAGCTGTTAGCTGATTCAATTAGCTAGTTTGACTAGCTGATTCGATTAGCTGTTTGTATTAAAATGTTTGGTAAAACAACTGTTTGATATTAGCTGTTTATACATAAAATGACAATTGAGGACATTTCTATTTTATTCTTGTTTCTAATATATTCAATTATGTATTTTTGAGTTTAGAATGTTTAAAAAATTTTGTTATTAGTTATTAAAAATTGTAAAAGTGTTATAAAAGTATTTATTTTTATTACAGTTAGATTTGAAAAATAATATATTTTTATTAAAATATATAAATAATTTTTTTATTGAAAATGATGTAAAATATAAAATAATAAATTTTTCGTGTATATATTTATTATGTTAGTTATCGACTAGTTCATTATATTTATAATTTTCAATAAATTTAATTTATTTTTAGTATAAAATTTATATAATATAATTTTAATAAAAAATAAATTATTAATATTTATATTTTTTATTTTATGTTGATTTTAATAAATTTATATATTTTATAATTAAAAAAAATTTATATAAAAATTAATTATTTTAAATTTATAAAAGTAAAACTATAATATAATAAAATATTCTAATATAATTAATAAATAATCAAAATATATTTATAGGAATAAAAAAAATTTATATAAAAAGCTATTTCAAAATATGAGTAAGTTAGCTTTTCAGAAATTAATTTTTTTGGGTTAAAATGTTATTCCAAAAAGCTAATTACCAAACACCTAAATTAGCTTTTTTTTATAGCTAAAAGCTCTTTAAAAAACTATTTGTCAAACACCCCTTAATGACTCAAAACTCGCTAAATGTTAATTTTATTTTTTTATTGTCATACGCATATTATTACTTTTTAAAAACATTAAAAAAATAATAATAAAAAATAAAAAAAAAAAAAAAAAAAAAAAAAAGGAACACATGCGGTTTTTTTTTTTGCACCGTCGAATAATTAATTAAATACATTTAACCAAAATTGTAAAATTTGAAGGTAAATCAAGGAGTACAAGCAAAAAGAATTCACAAACATAAAATAATTACAGAATATTTTTACAGCTTATTCACAAGTAATTTCTGCAAATAATGTTTATTTTTATTATTTTTTACTTTTGTGTTTAATTGTTCAATTGAAGACGCTTAGGGCAAGCCATGGTTCTCCTCTTCCACAAATTAATCTCCTTCCTCGGCTCCAAATCCAAGCCGGCTCCCGCTCCGGCTCCAACTCCGACTCCGGGTCCAGCTCCAGACCGAAGTATCGGCGCCGAGAACGGAATGATGACGTCATCTTCCCAGTCGCTGAACTCCTTCTCTCCGTCGGAATAAAATTCCCTGTCGTGATTCTCCTCCGGCGCGATCTGCGCGGCGGACCAATCAAAATTGGCGAGCGTGCCGTCGCGGCTGCTCGCGAATTTCCTCAATTGGCCCAGCCTCGGCGGACTATCGACCGCCGGCGGCCTCATATGCTCAATCGCCGCATCGGACTTCCTACCGGAGCTGAAAATCTTCATAATTCCCGACGGCTTCCTCGCCGGCGCCGCCTTGATTTTCTTACTTTTCCCAGACTTGACGGTTTCTCTCGACCGCGAATCGTGCTTCTTCCTCGACAAATTCCTCCTGTATTTGATCTGTCCGATGCACGATACCTTCGGGGAAGAAGGCTCCGGCGTACCGGAGTTCCTCCATCTCCCTCGAGCCTCCGCCGGAATCATGATCGGACCGGAAAAACCGCCCTTGCTGAAATGATATTTGTGCTTGTGAGCATTTCCGTCCGTCCGCTTATCCCGCCGGGGACTGAACGGAAGGTTCTGGAACGAAATCGCCGCCGCCTGAGCAGCCTTCGGCAGGATCTTCAAAATACTCGTCTTCTTGGCCTTCGCCGCCGTCTTCTCCATAAACAAAACTAATCTTCTGAATAATCTCCTCATCCAAATCTATACATACACATATATATACACATATATACAGACACGTATTTGTTTGTGTGTGTGTAATGTATGTCGGTTGCGTGTGCTTTTTTAAATAAAATCCAAACTTTTAATTAGGATGACAATTTTGACCTTTTCAGTGAATACCAGTCAAACACAGATTGCCAAAACTACACTTTGAGTATAAATGACATAAGATTATATTATAAATTTATAATAATATTGTGCAATTTAAAATTTCAATTGGTCGTATTTACATGCAGGAACGGGCTAAATCAAACCCAATTAAAAAATAATAATAAACAATTAGGACACGCATAAGAAAAAGGAAATTGAGACGATTCAAATACAGGTTGCCGTCGTGGTATTGCTACGAAATTCATTAACAGAATTTGGTAACAGTCACGTGAGTATTTGAGTGTTACAGATTGATTGCTGTAATTATGGGTAAATTTTCAGTGTTACCGAACAAATTTGTATTTATTATTTATCGGGTAAATCCGATTTGAAAGTATCAATAATACGGTACCCAATAGAATTATTAATGATACTTACCTATATAAGTAAATTTAATTTACAATTAATTTTAAATTAAATCCAGAAGTGTTAATTGTATGTGTGTAAGAAATAAATTGTGGTATTTATATTAGTGGGCTACTAATGAACCAATGATATTATAATAAGAAAAGGAAATGTCGAGATTACCCCTAAATTACAAGCCTAGAAACGCCTCCGTGCAATGTCAGTAGGGAGTGCATTTAGGTACTTTTATGTGTCTCCATTTTCGACTTCTTCGTCGCCCACTGTAACGCGGAGTCGCAGTCGCAGACTGTTGAGAGCTTACAACATTTCAAGCCTCAATTCGAAGCAGTCGTAATTCCTCTTTCTCCATCTTCGGGTATATTTGCGATTCTTTGGGGTTTGGTTGGGTTGGTTTGGTTTGATTTGATTTGATATCTTGTGTTTAGGGAATAATAATGGCGAAGGGAAGGGGGAATCGGCATCAGGGGAAGAGATCTTCGACGGTAGTTTTGGTGTTGTCAATGCTGTTAATGCTGACAGTGGTACTATTGATGCTTCTCGGCCTCGGTATCCTCTCTCTTCCAATTGGCGCCAATGAAAACTCTCTGTCGGTTGGAGATCGCATCAGATTGAAGCGCTTGACATTGGACCCGTACGCTCCGCGTTTTTTGTTTGTAATTTGCGTTTCTGATTCCATTGCATTTCGATTTTTTAATGATCGTTACTTTCGATTTTCTTTTGGATAACAGTGGCAAAAGTAGTGAAGGATTGGGGGAAAGAGGGGAACAGTGGACGGAAATTCTTTCGTGGGAGCCTAGGGCTTTCTTGTATCATCATTTTCTGGTAAGCTTTAATTATCTATCTATATATTTTTGGTTTTAGCTTTTAGTTTTGTAGGTTCGATTATTTATGCGACACATCCAATAGGTGGATCGGTATGCACTGACACCTATAAAATTCACAGAAAGATTTGTCTCCGTCATCCACTGTATTTCCAATGATTTGTTGATCATTAATACATTGTATCCCCAAAAACAACCTTTCCAGACTCAATTAGCGGTGACATATATGTGCTTATTACAAGAAGTAAAATTAAGGGTTTACTCGTTGCAGATCAGTCCTGCAATGTGAATCTCAAGAGACCAATCTTCACATTCTTTGGCTTTTTTAAGCCCTTTGTTTTAGTTTGTTCTCCAATCTTTTTTCTTGAGTTGGATAAGTATATGAATTTAAGATGTTCATCTACAGCTATACCAATTTGCAAATATTGTTATTTTTCCGGTGCTTAAATAATATGAGTGATAAATGCTGGATTTTAACAATGGAAGATAACCTATTTAAAAGAAAGGAATTTCTAGGATCCTTTTTAATGACAATGTTAACTAGGCTTCTGGCTTCTTTGAAAAACAAAAGAAAATATTAGTCCTTGAGTCCTTCATTATCTTTTGACAGTCTAGGGAGGAATGCGAGTATTTGATAAATCTTGCCAGGCCTCACATGGTGAAGTCAACAGTGGTGGATAGCAAGACTGGCAAGAGTAAGGACAGCAGGTTTGTATCACACCTACATCTTCATAAGAATTCTTGATTTTGATTATTTTTATAGATCTCATTTTAATATTTAAAAATCTTCTGTTTACCATCCTTGTTTTTGGCATCTAAATAATATCTCATGTTTTGAGATCGTGATATCATGTTTCAGGGTTCGTACAAGCTCGGGAATGTTTTTGAGAAGAGGGCGAGATAAGGTCATTAGAGATATTGAAAAACGAATAGCAGATTTCACTTTCATACCTGTAGGTATGAGATTTTATGCATGTTGATTGTAGATTGTTTGACACATGTCATTTTGGGTTCAACTTGGAAACCTTTTTCTGGTTATGATGCTGGATCATTATATGACTATAGGTCTAGCAAAATATTGGAAGTGGCTATATTATGTTAGCTTAGTGTTTCCTAGTTACGAGATCCCATGATTTAAGTTAAATCCACTGCCTGGTTGCAAACTTCTATAAATTCGTAAACTGCATATTGGTGGTCAAAATAGGATTGTGCATGAAAACGAGAAGAGTGAGGAGAGTATAATAACAGCAACTTTGTTAAATGTATGCTTGAGATATCCTCAGATGCAAAAATGTAATTTTATTAGGTGTGGATACTATTTTTATGTTTGATTATCAGAAAATTGTGAAAGATACTCTTGTCTAAGCGTTGTCAATTTTCAGTACAGAGCACATTATGTAATATTATGGCATTATGGCAAACAAGCATACGCTGCTTTCATTTTGATCTATCATGCTTTTTTCAAAAAAAAAATAAAAAACCTTGCAATTGGCACCTTATTTACCATAAAAAACATGGACGCATGCCATTTTTTTTTTTTTTGTATATGAGCATGAATACACTTAACACTAGCCTAATTATTTAGATTTAATTTTCAGAGCATGGGGAAGGTTTACAGGTTCTGCACTATGAAGTGGGACAAAAATATGAGCCTCACTATGATTACTTTCTGGATACATACAACACTAAGAATGGTGGTCAACGAATAGCTACTGTTCTTATGTATTTGTAAGTTACCTACAATATGTTGATACTTCAAAACTTCCTGATTGTTATCTTTTTATATTTGAACAAAGGCTAAGTTTGCATGCCCTCATATTTTTTTCCCCCCAATTTATTTCAACAATCTATTAACTATTTCAGATCAGATGTTGAAGAAGGTGGCGAGACAGTTTTTCCTGCCGCCAAGGGAAACTTCAGTGCCCTGCCAGGGTGGAGTGAGAAATCAGCGTGTGCTCAGAGAGGCCTTTCTGTGAAACCTAAAATGGGTGATGCTCTACTTTTTTGGAGTATGCACCCTGATGCTACTTTAGACCCATCAAGCTTGCACGGTGAGTTTCAGTAGTTTTCTCTTCATCACCTCGATTCCCTTTCACTATCTTCCTTACAGCTTCATTCCAATGTAGAAAATAATTGATAGTGATAAGAAGGATGCTAAGAGCAAAAATACTACTGAGAATTGTAACTTTAGTCTTCGGTATGAAGGCTTAGTTGAATTTTCTCCAGTAATTCGTTGGTGTTTGCAATTTTGTTTTCTGGCACCCGGAAATTGTTAGGTGCCAATCCTGTATGCTGAGTTGGCATGGCCAGAGCTAGCATGGCAAGTTAGTCTATCTTGGCATGTGATAATTTCCTGTGTTGGAAGATGAAAATAGTGAACTCTAATGACTTAGGGGATTAATGTCTAACAATCTTCAGAGGATAAGGCGTCCATGTCCAAAACTGATGATGCTGTCTTTTATAAGATTACAATATGGTAATATAACTCTATGGTGCTGATAACTAGAGAGGCCGAGAATCTAACTTCACTGTGCTATTTGTGGTTCCTCCCGAATAAATTCTCACTTGAATATGAAACTTGTGGTATGCTATATTAGCATGGAAGGAAGACTATCCTCCTAACTCCAGCCACACCACATTACATTTTTCATCCCTTTAAATTGGTTTCACTTCTGAGTTCCAGTTTACGAGTTTCTGTTATTATCATTCCAGGAGGTTGCCCTGTTATCAAAGGGAATAAGTGGTCGTCCACCAAGTGGCTGCATGTTGAAGAATATAAAGTCTAGGCTGAACTCAAAGGTAAACATTTAGACATGGTAATCCAACTTATATATATATATATATATACATAAATATATTATGTGAGATTGTTGCATCTTCATTCTACTTCTAACCAATTGTTGACAATCTGATAACCAATCGAATGTGCAAGTTTTGTTTCTCATATCCCTGCGCTCACATCACATGTAGCAATCGATACACCTGAGTTTGTGATTCGAGTTTGTCATACTTATGTGAATCATCATACTCCTGGAACTAAATCCAACATAAAATCTTGCAGGCGTTACAGATGGAGAGAATTTCAGCAGTCGGTCCAAACGGGAATTTAATTTGTAGGAAATACAGCAGAGTCTGACATATTGCTCATATACATTGAATGTTTGATCATAACTTGTCACTTAACTTGGGAGGACTGAAGATAGACTTACAGACATTGTATGACGATGATGTTCCTGTAAATTGAAGTGATCTGTGTTGTACCATTTATTCAATTTTCTTCGTGATTAATTTCTCCTTAAATACATATGAAATTGAAAATGAAAATGAAAATGACTTCTTCCTTGTGTTAACTCAGCCTTTTTTATTTGAAAATTCGGTTCTACTTGTATATTCTAGTGTTAAAAAGGTTGTTTTTCATGCTTCTTTAATAGTTGATTATATCAGTGGGAACCTTTTTGTGATAGCAGTTGCTCATATTCATGACATGGGCTAAACTATCTCATGGCTATATAAACAATTCAACTGTAACAATTGTAGAATTAATCAAGGTTGCTTTTCATCTTTATTTATTTATCTTTGATAAAAAAAAAAAAAAAAAAAAAAAAAAAAAAAAAAAAGTTTAAAACCACAAGAATATGATGAGTCTGAAACCTCGAGAAGTGTGAATTATAATAGTTGTCCTCAAATCAGTAATAAACACGCCTATTGTTCTAAAATATATATATATATATCACAAAATATTTTATCAAATATTATTTAATATCAAATTCAAATTAAATATACACATCAATACTTTAAGTCACAGTGTAGTACGTATGGTGGGCTGCACATTCTTTTATATGTCCTCTCTGAATTTTTGTTGGATTATACATGCATACACAAACATATATATATATATTTCCTTTAAACATTCCTGCTCCAATCCGAACTCTTATCCAGCTGTCGGATTTATACAGGCCTATAGGAATAAAAATCGAATTTTGCTAGTTGCATTTGAATCTTGGCAAGAAGTGTCTGTGTATCTTCAACTGTATGATACTAGAATTCCTTGCCATTCAAGTTCAACTTTGGGAGCTTAGCTTAGCTGCTGTTGTCATGGCTGAAGAAACACAGGTCCCCTTCCTGGATTCTTATATATACATATATATATATATATATTACAGTCATTGTCTTCAAAACCAGATATTTTCTGTTGACGATGCAACAGATGTTTGAGCAAGACATCGTGGTAGTAGGCGCCGGCATAGCCGGCCTCTCCACCGCGCTGGGGCTTCACAGGTACAAAATCAGACAGCCCTCAGTCAGGCCTGATTTCTTACACAGTTCACAATTCACACTTGAGATAACTGTCCTGTTAATTTTACAACAGATTGGGAATCCAGAGCGTGGTTTTGGAATCATCTGACAGTCTAAGAATGACTGGATTCGCACTCACCATGTGGAGAAATGCCTGGAGGGCTCTGGATGCTCTCGGCATCGGCCACATCTTGAGGAACAAATCTGTCCAAATTCAAGGGTACACTTATCAACAATTGCTCTGCACATTGTAATCGACTGTTCTTACACTCTCTGTTGATTTTTGGTTCTAGATTCAACTTCCTCCCCATGAACTCCAACCAGCCCACCTCAGACCAATCTGATATCAAGTCGTAAGTTGCAATCCAAAATAATTTGGTTATTCTTATGAACACCACTAATCAATCCAAACACTTGCAGCCCTGATCAAGAAATCCGATGTGTTAAAAGAAGAGACTTGCTGGATACTCTGTCGAAAGAGCTGCCGGAAGGGACCATTCGATATTCTTCCAGGATCATTTCCATCGAGCAATCAGGCAGCCATAAGTTAGTCCACCTTGCAGATGGTTCGATTTTCAGAACCAAGGTGAGTTTGAGTATGGATGTTCTTGCCTGGTTATTTTGTTTTCTCCAATTGATGATTGTCTTGTAATGATTCTGCTCAGGTGTTGATCGGATGTGACGGCATCAATTCCATGGTGGCGAAATGGCTGGGGCTGCAGAGCCCGGTCAGCGCCGGACGGGCGGCGATCAGAGGCTTTGTCGACTACTTTAATGGCGGCCATGGCTTTGAGCCAAAGTTCCATGGCTTCTTTGGAGGAGGCGTTCGTTATGGTTTCATCCCCTGCGACGAGAAAAGCATATACTGGTTTTGCACATTCACTCCTTCACTCTTCGAATGTAAGTAAATCCGCGGCAATTTTGATATGTTAGAACTAACTAACAGTGTACCGTTGCCACATGCGATGGATGTTTTACTGTTGTATTGATTGCAGACGATGAAAACGATGGCGACCCTGTAAAGATGAAGCAGTTTGTAATGAAGAACATCCTTAATGTCCCCAAACGGGCGTCAGACATCGTGGAGAGGACGAAGCTGGATTCGATCTCCTGCGCTCAGTTGAAGTTGAGGTCGCCATGGAACATTCTTGTGGGGAATTTGAGTAGAAATGGCGTTTGTGTGGCCGGCGACGCGCTGCATCCGATGACCCCGGATATCGGACAAGGAGGGTGTTCTGCATTGGAAGACAGCATCGTTCTTGCAAGATGTCTGGGGCAGGCAGCATTGGTAAGAGATGAGACAAGGCTCGAAAGGGGCGTGCAGAAGTATGCCGAGGAGAGGAGATGGCGAAGCTTCTGTCTGATCAGCGCAGCTTATGTTGTCGGGATGTTACAAGAGAGCAACAACAAGGCGGTGACATGGTTGAGGAAGATGGTCGTGTCTCGCTACACCGGCGCAGCTCTTTTGAGGATCTCTGAATTCGATTTTGGGAAGCTGAGTGTCTCTTGAAGGAACAAAGTGTTGGCGTCTTAAATCAACCATTCGAAACTGGTTAGATCATTTGTGGAATAGGAATACGATGACATTGATTTGAATTTCCCACCAAAAGGTTAATCACCCTTAATTGATTCGACTGGAAAGAAGATCGACTGCCAACCTCAACTTTCTAGAAACTTTATCACTATATATAAGTAAGGGTCTATTTTTATGATTTGTAATAATATATTTTCTGAGTTCCAAGTTGTAAGAGTTTCAAGTCGACAAAAACGGGTGGCTGGCAATCTTATGTACTCACCTTCACACAATTCAAGTGGGGCTAGGGGGCAATAAATTTTTTTAGATAATCACTATATTTATAATACTATATATATATATATATTATATTTCATCGGTCTTATATTTATATATATATATATATTTTTTTTTTCATCAAATTTTAAAAATATTAGTATTATATTAAAATATAGTATAAATAAAAATAAAAAGACTAAATTGCTCTTAATGACATTTGTTTAATATATTGTAAATTATAAAGATATTTGTAATGTTAGATAAATAGTACTGTTGCTAAAAGAAAAAATTGATACTTTATTACGAAAATGGAAGAAATGGATAGATTATTAAATGATAGAGGATGTATTATAACTCAATACTCCCATGTGAAATGAACACTTTGGGGTTTTGTAGTAGATTCAGAATAATAGTATTTTATTAATCGGTCTACGTGTTAAGAATATTTGATAATTTTACCCTTGACTTTAGTAAAAAATAAATATATGTGCGGTATGTTTGTAATTTAAATAAAAATTATGAATTAGTATTATTATATAATTATTTTTATTAAAAAATAAATATTTTCAAATAGAACAAACGAAAGTAGTAAAAATAGTATGTTAAAATAGTACGGAGAAAGTATAATCATATCGTATAACATAATATATATTTAGATATATATATATATATATGTTAAATCAAAAATCAACACTACGATAACTTAAGTCATATCACCACATAATCTTCAATTTATTAGGGTATTTGGGCATACCACCAAAATATGGATCTTATAAACATGTGAAATGTAGTAAAAAAAAAAAAAAAAAGAAGTTGTTCTACTCCACAACCTCAAAAGTCAACCATTATGATTTAAGAATTACATCCTCCTCTAATGTCTTAACAGTTGAATTAAGACTGAGACTGAGACTGAGTTAATTTGCCGACTTTTCCAACCACACCCAATAATTAATTATTTTCAAGTCAAAACCCACGTGCTGAAAATAACCCAAAACTAACATCTAAATAGTCAACATCTATCTTCCCATCCAAACAAGCAAAATCAAATAGAAAGCGTAAATTAACTGCTGTAAAATGTAATCCAGTAGTGAATTACAGTATGGAGAGAGACAAGACTGCAAACCATCAGAGTCAGAGGGAGTCAATGTCAGGGCCCATGTGCGCCGCACGTGACCAGACCCCCACATACGGTCAAACATAACCACGTGATGCCATTCCATTTGCTAAGCTAATAAATCCCTCTTTCTTGTGTATGCATTACTTTTTATGAAATACTATAATACTGTATAATAATTTGAGGTAGACAGCAATATTCCATGTAATAAATCAGATCAAGATCTTTCACACTGCTATGGCAATTTTGATTTGATTAAAACTCTACATTCCCATGTGGCCTGAGATCGGAGGAATTCTTGGAAGAGAACATGCATCATATATCAGAATTTATATATATATATATATATTGAACTAGATTCAGATTTCTGATCAAGAATTAATCAGCTTCCTGCTTTCTCTCTCCCTCTCTCTCTATATAATATATATTCTTTACAGTAGGGATTATTATTACATGTCTTTCTTAATTTCTTCGAACTCTATGAAAATGTGGACAATCGGGTTTCTGTTAGGGTTCTGCTGCTTAATCGCCGCCGCCGATGCTTTCACGGCCTCCGGCTGGATTCAAGCTCACGCCACTTTCTACGGCGGCGCCGACGCTTCCGGCACCATGGGTACGTGCGATACAGTTTTCTTTTGGATGAAAATTAGGGATATTAATTGTAATGAATTAATGTATGGGGACTGGGCGCAGGCGGCGCGTGTGGGTACGGGAACCTGTACTCCGCCGGGTACGGCACCCGGACGGCGGCGCTGAGCACCGCGCTGTTCAACAACGGCGGGTCGTGCGGGCAGTGCTTCAAGATAATGTGCGACTACAAAAACGACGGCAGGTGGTGCAAGAAGGGCGTGTCGGTGACGGTCACCGCCACCAACTTCTGCCCGCCGAACCCCAGCCTGCCCTCCGACGACGGCGGCTGGTGCAACCCTCCACGTCAGCATTTCGACATGGCTCAGCCCGCCTGGGAGAAGATCGCCATCTACCAGGCGGGCATCGTCCCTGTCCTCTATCAAAGGTTAGACTGCAATTCTAAATAATTAAATAAATAATATATAAATTTTTATGGGAATCGATCGTTTACTTCATTTATTTAATAAATGTGGTTCAGAGTGCCGTGCGACAGGAGAAAGCACGGAGGAGTGAGATTCACGATCAACGGCCACGATTACTTCGAGCTGGTGCTGATCAGTAACGTGGGCAACGCCGGGGCAATCCAGGCGGTGCAAATAATGGGGTCGAAGAATCCGGGCAAGTGGGTCCCAATGTCTCGAAATTGGGGTGCCAACTGGCAGTCAAATGTCTACCTGGATGGTCAATCGTTGTCGTTCAAGGTCACCACCGACGACGGACTTACAAAGACCTTCAACAACGTCGTTCCCGCCAATTGGGCCTTCGGGCAGACATTTTCTACCAATGTCCAATTCTAGCTTAGCTTAGCTTAGCTATAGCAACTCTTGTCGCGGCGTGCCACTGCTAACTATTTTAATTTGCCGGAGCAGCCCGACCCACGTATAATTAATTATTACATACAAGAGCAATTAATTGAATCAAGGGTGTTTTTTTTTTTCGAGTTGTTTGGAGAAATTTTTGTTTGAGTTTGAATTTTACCATGAATTTGATTTATTGTGTTTCTTTAGAATTATAGGTTTGATTTGGATTTGAAAAATTTTAATATATATTGAATTTGATAGGTATTAATTATATTAAATTAAATAAATTTAATCTATTATTAATAATAATATTTTTAAACTTATAATATATTATTATTAATTATAAACATATCAAAAAAAAAAAAAAAAAAAACTATCATTTGACCTTAAAACTCTTCCATATATGTCGTCCACCAAATTATAAAATAAATAAATATTTACACAAGAAATTATTTTTTAACAGGCTTCGGAAGTAGGCTGTCGGATTTGGTCATTGTAGGGTGGTTTTCCGCTCATCTCAAACCGTAAAGTGGCGAAACAGTGCAAACTCCAAAATTGTTGCAAAAAAAAAAACACACCCCAAGATACAAGATTAATTCTCACTTATTACATATTATTATTATTATTAAAATTAATGTTGCCTCAAGCAGCTTTATGCACTATTTATGTATGTTCAAAAATTAAGTTAAGGAATGACCCAATGGTATGGAGTGAGAGTTGTAATAGAGATTATGTTTTAAAGTGCACGAGGCAATTATTATTTTCAATAATAATAAAGAAATATATTCGGTTGTATGATATTTTTGTCGGTGGAAGAGAGAAAAAAACTTTTGAAAAGAAAATGACCTCTAAAAATAAGTTAGTGTTGTTGCTTTAACATGTATAGGCAGTTGGATTTCTTGGACGGCAAAGATGATATGTTAATAGTGTCAGCCTTAAGTTGATTAACTAAATAATAGTATTATCTTAATTATATTTTAATATAAGTTTTTTATATAGTATTTAGTATAGGTTCTGAAAATTTTTTAGCACATGATCTATGGCTCTTTTCGCAAGCAGAAGATATTTATGTGGAGGAAATTAATGTGTATTTTATTATACAAAACAAGAGAAAATGTAATTAATCTCTCTTAATGGTCTACTGGTTATGTGTAAACTTGTGATTATAAAATTATGTATTTAAACTTTCGATGCATTTTTCAATAAAATATCCCTTTTTTTTTTTTCTTTTTTTTCTTCTGTATTCTATAATAATACAATATAATATACAGAAATTGAAGCAGTAATAGTAATAGGTGTAATTACCTTCTCTGTTCTATAATATGATATAATATAAAGAAATGGAAGCAGTGATAGATGATATAATATATCTTCTTCCTCCTAGGGTACGTTTGTTCGGGGGGTTCGGATTTTGAATTGAGATTTGAATTGAGATTTGAATAGTAAAAATTTTGAATTTGAATAGTTGTGAGATTTGAATAGTAAAAATTTTGAATTTGAATAGTTGTATGATGTGATATAAATAGGTGTTGATGTGATGTTTTGAATGTAAAATTGATTTTTAGTATAATATAAAAAATAAAAAATAAGTGTTTAATTTGATGTTTTTGGAGAAAAAAATTGAATGAATAATTGAATTTAAATCCAATCCTCCAAACAAACACACCCTTTTCGACGCTCCCTTTCAGCTTTGAGCTGCAGGGCATGATAACAACATCAATAAATTCAAATCCAAGATACAATTCGATAATCAACTCAATACAACCCACCTTAACCCGCAAAACAGGTTAGTGGAGCGGATTGATTCACAATCCACCTTAATCCGCAAATAAGTGGGTTGTTTGCGAGCCAACTCGTTGTGGGACAGATCAAAATTTTATGAATTTGTAAATAGATTCTGGAATAAAAAAAATTACTCCATTTCGTCCCAAACACCGTGCAACATTTCCTTTTTGGTATGTCTCAAACACCCCTGCAACATTTCTAAATTAGGAAATAATTAATTATATTTAATCTATATCCCCACACTTTATCTCATCACATCACCCTAATAAAAAAATAAAATATACACTTCTCTCTCCATCACATCACCTAATTTCTCAATTATCCTACTTAATACTTGTCGCCTAAAGTCTCGTGCCCAACTTAAATGTAGCACATTGTTTAGGACGGAGGGAGTATAAAATAATAAAATGGAATACGAATAAAGCAAATAACAGTGACATAGATAATATAATTAGAAAAGAAAAATGTGTAGACAATATTAATAATTTATTTAAGCAAGTTTTATTTTATTCGTCTTAACTTAAAATATTTCTTTCTAATAGATCAAAAATAATAATATGTTATTTATTAAATAAAGTGTACAAGATAATTTTGATATTTTTTAGTTTTTGTACTTTATTTATAAATTAATTGTATTTATAATTTATATAAAATTATATTATATTATGATATTAATATTTGATTACTTTTATTATATTTTTTAATGTGACAATAAAACTGATAGAAAAATATATTTAGTTTGATGGGTGAGTACTAATTATTACTCTCTCCGTGAATATAGAAAGTAAACATTTACATAAATAATAGTATTTTAATTATAGTGGGTAGTTAAAAGTAGAATTACGAACATTTGAAAAAAATTGAGATATTTAATAAAATATTTATTTTGTAATTGAACATTACAAAATAAAAATAGTATATTTTTAACTGAACGGAATGAGTATATTTAGAGTGTGTTCGTTTAGGCAATTTTGGTATAATTTTACTATATAGACACTCAATTCCCCTCAAAATCCTATTAATCCCTACCCTCGAGTCTACTTCCTTTCTGCAGTCCACTTCCCTTCTACAGCAGTTTGCCTTTTCAGAAATTGTCAGCGTATCCGATCGCAGAATAAAAAAATAGTGTTGTGTGTGTTTGGGGTTGAAATATTAAAAAAAAAAAAAAGAATTGAAAAATAGTACTTCATCCGTCCCAAAAATATAGTCTTGTTGTGTTGGGCACGTAGTTGATAAAAAATAAAGATAAATTACTTTTTTGTCCTTGTGAGTATGGTAAAAAGTAATGGCAATTGTATAATAATAATGAAAAAATAGGATAATTTTATAGTGATATAGTTATTTATGGAAATGAGACTATTGTTTTGGGACGGACAAAAATGATGAACAAAACTATTGTATTGGGACGGAGGGAGTATTATAATGCAATATAAATCAGAGTTGATACGATGTTTTGAATGTAAAATTAATTTATAGCATAATATAAAAAAATGTTTAATTTGATAATTTTGAAGAAAATAATACAAATTTACGAGAACTCACATCATCCAAAAATATAAAAGAATTTTTTTTTTCTAGAAATTAAATTTAAATTTAATTTAATTAATAAATATCAAATCAAACATCACTTTTTATTATTATTTATAATTTCTTTAACAATATTAAATATCATTCATTTCAAACTATCACATCAATTTATCATTTTTCAATAAAATAATAATTTTTTTCAACATAATCATTACAAAATTCAAACTCCAAACAAACACAACTTAAAAATCCATACTTCAAAATCTTCAAAAATCTAAATCTAAAATCCAATCCCCCAAACAAACACACCCTAAGAATATTTAAACATATATTTTAATATTTTAATTATATATATCAATTTATATTTTAAAATACTAATAATACTATATATATATACAAACTAATAATATAAGATTTAAATATTATTTTATATTATCTAAATAACTCTGTTCAAAATAAATAAATATATGTCTGAAATAAAATTTCAATATAAAATATAAAAATACAAAAGTAGAGATAAAAGACTGCAGAATAGATTCCAGCATCATTTATCCGAATAAAATACTTTTTATTATTATAAAATTAGGAGAGACCATTTAGGGTGTGTTTGTTTGAGGATTTGAATTTTGAATTGGAATTTGAATAGTAAAAATTTTGAATTTGAATAGTTGTATGATGTGATATAAATAGGTGTTGATGTGATGTTTTGAACGTAAAATTGATTTTTAGTATAATATAAAAAATAAATATAGTTGTTTGATTTGATATTTTTTTAGCGAAAAAATAGGATGAATAGTAAAAATCTAATACAATCCTCCAAACAAACACACCGTTAATGGAGCACAATCTATAAAAGAATTTAAAAAATAGTATATACTATATTATACAATCTATAAAGTTTTAGGCACGTGCTAAATTAAGGAGTTGGCTTAATACTACTAATAATAACAATGCAGTAGGCGATTGGACTGTATTTTGTTATATATATATAATTGTTTTTATTATTTTTTTTTTACCATACACTCACAATGTACATGCACCAATCCGAAATCGAATCCAAGACTTGGGCAATTAGACCGGTTTTAGACACCTGAATTTTTAGATAAAATTGTAAAAAATATTTCACATGTATATTCTATTATTAATTTTGTTATGTATTTATCTCATTGGTAAAATATATCTTATATGTTTACAAAAGTCGCTATTCATGTTCTTTAACTTCGCGTAACGTTCACCAAATAGAAGAAAATTTCATTTTAAAAAACAATATCGAAAATTGTTTCTTTCTCCTATATGGTATTTTTCTAATATCTTTTTATTTTTACTAAAAATTAATTTTATATTCAAAATATCACAATGACATTTATTAATATCACACAAAAATATTCAAATTTAAAATTTTTTATTATTAAAAACCTAAATTCAAAACTTAAAGTCCAAACAAACACACCATATATAAAATTTTAGTATATGTTTAGTTTATTCTAATTATTTGTTATTATATTACATATATAAATATTATATATACACATGTTAAAAAAATAAAATATAAAAAAAAAAAAGTGAAATAGTGAAAAAAAAAGATGCATATTATATAGATACATATGTATATATATATAAGTTCAAACAAAAAAATTAAAGAAAATAAAATGCAAGTTAATGGGGTGGGGCAGGGAGAGGGGGAGGCTGCAGCCCCTTGCTACGTGCGTCCGCCATTGTCCGCCGCCAGAAACGAAGAGGCGGGGCCGATTCGCCGCTGCCGGAAAAGAAGAAGAAAGAGGAACCATTGCCGTCGTCGGGAAACGTACTGGACCTGCCGCCGCCGGTGATTCATCGTCTCGACTTTGTCGGATTCGACTGGATCCAAAATTGATATTTGGGCAAAAATATATTTTTTTATTAATCTTTCATTTTATAGTTTTTTGAAATAAATTATTATCCAATTTTTATAAAATTATAAAAATAAATAATTGATCAATTATTTATTTATTATATTCAAATAAAATTATAATAATGTTTTACGTTTTTTATTTGTATAATGTCTTTATTTAGAACTAAATATAAGTTTTGGATGAGGGTGTTTAGTACAAATTTTACATTAACACATGAGATTTCATACAATAAATAAAACATAGAGTATTTTGTGCATTTTTACTAAAATACAAAGAGATATTATATAATTTACCCTTTAAAATATGATTAAAGTGTATAATTATATTTTAAAAAAAGGAAATAGATAATTTACATGGACGGACTGATAATATTTTATGTTAAACTATTATATTTTTTAGTGTTTAAATTAATATTATATATTTTGTATAAAATTATATATATTATATTTTTTTAATATAAATCGAAAACCGTATTAAAAAATTTTTTTATTAAAAAACATCTAATTTGGTGAAAAAATAAATAAAGTTCACGAAAAAATGGATGTAAAATTTAATTTATCATAATAAATAAAACTCGTGAAAAAATAATTATCTTGTTTAAAATATTAAAAATCCAAAAATTTCAATTAATTTGCAAAATAAATTGGATTTGGAAGATATAAATCCTGGTTGTTTTACCAACCAAACGTAGGATAGATTCAAATTCTAAATACAATAAATCCTATCACATATAAATCCTACAGTAAAATCTCAATTCCATAAAAAAAAAAATTAAAAAAAAATTGTGAACCAAACGACTCTTTATATCAATTATGTGTAGGGATGGAGAAATTTACCGAACATACCGAAATACCGACTTATCGTACCGTATCGTGTCAAAAATATCAAAAATTTCGGTACGGTATGAATATCGTACCGAAGTTTTCGGTACGGTATCGATATGAATTTTCGAAAAGTTCGATATTTCGGTATGATACCGTACCCATATTATTTTTATTAAATAATTTAATTATTAATATAGATAATAATTATTAATTTTTTTTTTTAAAAAAAATCATAACAAAAAAATATGTAGACTATTGAAAATTTATTGATTTTTTCATAATATTTTTGTGGTGGAGAATAGTGATATTTATTAATTTTTTAAAATTATTTTGAAATTTAAAATTATATTTTCGGTATATATCGGTATCGTATCGAAATCAAAATTTTCGGTATAAACGGTACATACCGGTAGTATGTACTTTCACCATACCGAAAAGTTCAGTACGGTACGGTATGTCATCCCTAATTATGTGGGTATAAATGTTAGCCACATATGTATCTATTTCTATCCCGAGGTAATTTTTTCGTTTATGTTATATAGAAATACTTCTAACCTTTAATGTCCACCGAGCCAAGTGATCAGCTGTTTTTTTGTTTTTTTTGTTGTTTTTTTTTTCGATTTCAGATTTATGATCCAGCAAATCTCGCTAGCTATTGAAGCATTTGTTTGATAATTGGTGCTTATCAATGGCGGACGAACTTGTAAATGTAAGTGAGTTCTAAGAACTTGCTAAGGTTGCCTTCTAAAGATGTACTACGACTCTTATGCTGGAGGCGCCGAATATAAGCAAACTCTGCAATAAAATGTCAAAGCATTTCAAAGGATTGTGTGAGCTTCTATTTCTTGCACCTTTTTTATTCACTGACTTCATGATCCATCTAAATATTAATCTTTTATGCCTTCGGCACAACATTCACCCCAGAATTCTGAAAGATGTAAGCAGGATAGATATGTCGATATCATTTATGTTTCATTTCACTTCCTGCAGATCGGACGAGCCATCCCAATCCCATCATTTTCGGTTTGGCTGCAAAGGGAGGGAGAACACGGGGTGAAGCAAGTGATGGATATATATGCTGAAGCCTTTTTCTTTAAATCCATCGATAGGTTGAAACTTTTTCTAGCAATAATTTTGTATGGAACTGCAATGGTGCTTCAGAGAAGTCATTTTTAAATACTTTTATATATACCTCTTGAAAGTAAAATATTCAAGTAAAAAAAACACAAATCATGCTCACACTAGTCTTTGTCATTATGAAATTGTCCAAAACATCATTATTACGAAATATAGTTCATCAAATTTTCTAAACTAAGACTGCTTAGTACCAGCTCGCAAACAATCTGTTCATAACTCATGGGAAGAAAAAAAATGCCAGTGAGAAAATTATTAAGCACAACATGACAACTATTTTAAACGTTTTAAATAAAATTTGATTCATCTCCCTTATGGAAATATGTTCAACAATATATTGACAAAAAATTAATGTTCACACATACATCCACATGAATACTAGAAATCATATTACTCTTTTTGTATAATTTTTTTAGTATAAAACTAAAAAAGTAACAAAAAGTACATAGTCATTTAAGTAACATGTTGCAATATTTCAAAAACACATTCGACTATGCATACCTGCAACGCCCCTCAGTTTATTTGCAATAATTTTATTTGTAAGAGAAAATAAAATATATTAATTGAGAAGATAAATATTGCATTCAAATAATATAATTTAGATAATTTTAATATAAAATTTCTAATCCTCCTCTCTTTAATTTTTATTTGTAATAGTTTTATAATTATTTTTTAATTATAAAATAGAAAAAAAATAAAGCTATAATTTTTTTTTTAAAAAAATCAGAATATTTCACATAAAAAATAATACTCCTTCTGTCCATATTTCATGCCATTTTTCTTTTTTGGAAAATAATTACACACTTTAATCTCATTTTAAATTTTTTGATTTTATTTTTTTTAAATTTTAATTAAACTAATTAGTTATCTTAATCTTAATTTATAATTATTTATATTATCGGATAATTATTTTCATTAATACATTCTTAATTATCTACTAATTACATCCCTCCTAAAATACAGTGTCTACAGTGTAGCTCCCTCCGTCCCATATACCATGTCCATGTTGCCGTTTCTGTCAATCCCACATACCATGTCACTTTTCTTTTTTGGAAAATAATTACGCACTTTAATCTCATTTTAAATTTTTAAATTTTATTTTTTTTTAAATTTTAATTAAACTAATTAGTTATCTTAATATTTATAATTATTTATATTATAAAATAATTATTTTTACTAATATATTTTTAATTATCTACTCATTATAACCCTACTAACATGTAGCAGCAGCACGACGGAGGGAGTAAATACTAAGCTTCTACTAAGGGTGTGTTTGTTTGAGGAATTTGTTTGAATTTCTACTATTCATCCTATTTTTTTCCCCAAAAACATCAAATCAAACACCTATTTTTTATTTTTTTTATATTATACTAAAAATTAATTTACATTCAAAACATCACATCAACACCTATTTATATCACATCATACAACTATGCAAATTCAAAATTTTTACTATTCAAATCCAAATTCAAAACTCAAACCCTAAAACAAACACACCCTAAACGCGCATTAATTTAAATTGGTAAGCCCTAATTTTACGAACGGCCAAACTGCACGAATCCGCAGGCTGCGACCTGGGTAACCGTACAGGCTGGAGGCGGCGGAGACGGCGGTGAAGGCGATGAAATTCAGCGTGAAGGCATGGAGCAAGGGCGGAGCTCGGGCGGGGGTACTGCAGGTCGGCGGCAGCTGTTGTTTGGAAACTCCAGCTCTCCTCCTCACTACACGCAAGGGTTTGCCTTCCTTCATTTCCCCTGACCTGCTGTCTACTCTCCCGTCGCCGGACTCTCGCCTCCTCCAATTTAGTCCTCTTCACTTGTGCGTCACTTTAATCATCTTCTTCTTTCTGTTTTTTCTTTGATTTTGTTTACTTATGTTCTATTTAGCTGTGTGGCGCGACGTTTCCGGATTGCGGATTAGGTATTCGTGATGGTGTATGATCGAGGAATTGGACAGAATTTGAATTGTAGTTAGTGTCGATTGTTACCTTGATTTTCGATGCATTTTGCAGCGCAGAAGGAATCTCTATGAAAACGATATCCGAATTGGGAGGGCTGCATCAGATGCTTGGTTTGAAAGATCATGTGTTTGTGGCCGTCCCGAGGGATTCAATTATATCCTTGCCGGATTACCAGAGCGCTAACAGGCTGGGAGCTTCTTTCGAGACTCCTTGTGGTCGACTGCTGGTAAAAAACTTATGTTTCAAAGTGTTTTTTCACTCAATCTTGTGGTAGTGTTGTTCAGTGCTGCTATGTTCAATTTTCTTGACGGATGGGATTTTGACAGATGAAACCAAAGCAGTATATGGAAATGATTTCATCGATGAAGCCGGATATATGGTCCACATTGGCAGATGAAGTCCCTGCATGGGTTTCTGAAAAGAGAAACAGAGCCTCGGTTGATCGAACTGTGAGATGGCTTGATGAATGCCTACCGTCGGATCTTGCTTCCAATGTACGTGCTAAATGTGTTCCTATTTATCAGGTTATTTACTTTGATTTAATGAGCAAGTGAAGATACCTTTTAGGGAGTTATGATATGGTTACTTTCGCATCAGCCGACACTTATAATTGGAACCTATGAAATGAGAAAGTTATCATAGGCGAATGTGCTGTGTTGGTTTTCAATTTTTTCAATGCACAGAATATGTGCAAGACAGGGATGATTATCTTGTGAATTGTGTGAGAACATTGCTCATTGATTTGTTGTTAATATAGAGACACTTAAGTTGAACTAGCCAGTGAATACCAAAAGCAGTTGATTGCCTCCTAATTTGGCCTTATTTCATCAAACCAGAGACGAGGTTAGATAAATCAGGAAATGCATCATTTCATTTGAATGAGTTGTTGACTTTAAATCGAGAAAAGCATTTTTACCAGCAATCTGGTAGCTCCTCTTTTCATATTAAATTGTTCATCCTACGAGTCTGGAAAGTGGTCCATGGGCACATGGAAATGGTTGAAAACATTGTAAAAACCTCGGCTTGTGTTTTAGGCATTTAATTTGGTAGCAGAATTGTGATATATTTGTAATTAATTAACTGACTTATAACTTGATATTGGTGAATTAAATGCAGTAATGGTGAATTAAATGCAGTACTGCATATGTTAATTCTGAAATGTAGACAGGCGGAGCTGCATTTGGGACAATTGTGGGAGGCTCACGAATTGATGAACGGAAGTGCTGTGCAGAAGAAGTTGCAAAGCGAAATGTGTCAGGTGTTCATAACAACTTATGTCTTTTGAGGATTTCTGGAAATTTATAGATGATGCCGACTTGTGAGCCAATCATATTATTTCACATTATAAAGAAATGCAAAAGCTACAACAAGTTATATATATATATATATATATGTATATTCATTATTTCATATGAGAGATTTAATCTTTGAAGAAAAATGTAATAAATTACGAGATAAAATAAAATATGACTACTGTCAAACCTACTCAAATATTCAATATTCAGCTCAACATTTCCTCGTCTTTTTAGGCTGTAATGCTTATTGTATGATTTCAAACCTGCCATTTTCATTATATTTACTTACAAGAAATTGTATTGTATAGGATTCTGCATAGGAGGCTTTGGCCTTGGGGAAAGTCTGGATGATCGCCCTGCTCTTCTCCGTGCTATTATTGTATGTATTTATCTCGTCTCCATCAATAGCGTGTTGCTTCAGTGGAGCAGTATATCAAATTTATCATATTTATAACTTTCATGTCAAGCAAAGGGTATCGAAATTCCATGTCATCTCGCATAAGTATTTAACCAGAAATTTGTTGCTTTATCATATTTGATTTGCATCTTAAGATAAACTTGTGCAACAGTGACAAAACTGGCACCACCAAGATAGAATTGTGTATGCAATCTAATATTACTATATCTATATATATGTATCTCTACAACAATATCTGTGCATATCATAATTTTTGTAACTTTTATGTACTATTTCTGGGAAACCATTATATTCTATGACAAATTTCCAATGACCAAGTGCCAGACGAATTGCATAGTTTGTCATCTCATCTCAATTTGCTATGATATTCCTATTGTTCCATTTCCTTTGTAATTTTATTTTTTTTCTTATCTGTGTTGGAAATTCAGTGTTGATTTGGTGTCTCTTTACTTGAAAACGCAGGAACATTTACCAGAAAACAAACCCCGTCAGATTTGTGGTCTTGGGCTTCATGGTAATTTTTAGTCTTGATATTACTATTATACGTTGTTCCTCTTGTTTTGCCAAGTCTCTATGTCTTGGGCTCTGTTTTTGCTTATCGCACAACCAGCATGACACCATTTATTGGTTATAGAATCACAGTACTTGGTTTAATTTGATGTATGCAAACTGTGTTCACGATTATCCACTAAATGGGCCATTAAACCTTTGAACGTTTTAAGTTAGGAGGAGTTCGTTTATGGCCTTATTCATATACCACCATGAAATTCCTCGGCAATGAATATCTTCTGTTTTTAAAATTTCAGAGGAAATCTTGCAAGGTGTTGCTGTTGGGGTTGACCTATTTGACTCGACGTACGGTACCAATCCTTAACTCTATTTAACGCTTCAATCTTGCCCAAAAGAAAAAGGAAAACTACAATCATGCCAACTTTTTTTATCATGTCGGATAGTTATATAGCATATAGATTCTATCGTGATCATTCTTTGGGTAAAATTCTGATATGAAGTTCAATCTCCAACAGATATGTTTACCATCTTACACTTGGAGGATTTGCCCTTACATTTGCTTCTGCGGAAAACAAGAAACACGATGTTTGTGATCAGCTAACTGAACTTACTGGTAGTGACGGCACCAAGATCAATCTAAAAGCAACAATTTACAGGTCATTCATCTTTTGCTTGTTCAATTTTTTTCCATCAAATTCTCAACTAACTTTGCCGCCGTCATAAACCTGTGATATACAATAAAAACTAGTAATGCCATATTAAACCTATGTTTACTACGAACCTAAATGTTGTCGATCATTAGCTAAACTTCTCTTGGAATGGGAACTATTGACTCTGTTTCTCGGTAACTTCTTTAAAGGATAAAAAGTGTGTTTTTTGGGGTGAGTGTTTTTTTCTTTTATTCCCATAAATGAATAGTACTTTCTTCGTCATCGAATTGTATGGTCAAACATTTGGGCATAAGTTTTTAATTAGTAATTGATACGATTCGACTTTTATAGTGAAAAAAATGCAAGAATGATAAAAAATTTTTTTACTAAAATGATAAATGGGAATATTTATTCCAAAAAAGAAAGTGTGACATATATTTGGATGACAAAGAGAATATAAGATATTGAATGCAAAATTTTAGTTATATTATATTTGTAGTATGCATGCACTACTAGATGCTATAGTAGCATGGCATCGGCATTCAATCAAATGAATAATTTCTATGGTGTAACTATTGTAGCATGATATGTTTAATTGGAATAGAAAGGGAATGATTGAGATTTGGATATTCTTGCAAATGGGAGATAGTTTTTTTTTTTTGGAACATCGATTAAGTGCTTAGATGCTGTGTTGGCTTAGCGTAAAAATTTAAATTTCAACATCAACTAGATATGCTAAAAAAAGTACTTGTGTTTGCTGCAATTACATTACTCTCGTCTCTTTGTCGATCATTGATTAGTGTTTATATGAGATCTCACTCGTGTAGTAAAAAAGGATCACACAATTTATGTGGCTTTTCGATATTCATTTCTACAGGAAAGACACATCGCCTATCGTCGAGGATTGCAAGTGCTACACATGTAAGAATCATACAAAGGCTTGCATAAACCATCTGTTCAACGTGCACGAAATGCTGGCGCAGATTCTATTAGAAATGTACGAATCATCGACTCCTTGTTCCATCACTTGCACATTATTTTTGTCCATCATTTTATAACTATTTGTCCATCTCAAATGTTCTCAACCACAACACCCACCATTACCTCGGATTTTTCCGAACAATAAGGGAAGCAATCCAAATAGGAAGGTTCGAGATGCCAAATGGGTACTACTATTGGCAAATCAAGTGCGGCCTTATTTGATAGCCACAACCCACCAAGTGGGCTTGATACAGTTAAAGTTAAACCAAAAAGAGATGCCACCTGGATTGTGGTTATTATATTGAGCATCACTTCAGCTGCTACTATTGTTTATGGCATCTACCAAAGAAGAAGGTGAAGATTTCCTTGATCTCTTTGCCATGATTTCCTTAATCTCTTAAAAAGTCACATGATTCGGTAAGAGAGCATCAGTCACAATGCATGAATGTCAGTCACAATGCAGTTTTTAATTCATTCATTCCATCATTTATATAAATTGATTTTTGATGGTCTCGTCGTGTCGACTTAAGTTTTGTTTTGCTGTAAAAAAACAAAAGTATTGCATGTTATATTATATGTGTTTCCTTTCTTTTCTCTGCAGCGGAGTGAATGGGCATTGCTGAGGAGGGGTGGGGTATGTATATGCATCACTCGTTCCGTAGGGGAAATATGCGCTGCAATGCTCTCTGCTCTCTGCCTACTCAAGTAAGTAACTAACTCTCGACTTTCTCATTTTATTAAGAATACTTTCCATTTCCATCTCCATCACCATCTCTTCTCTCCATCTCTATCTCTATCCCTAACTCGTCTACCTTTCCTTCATTCTTTGTTCTTGCCCAATCCAAGTCTGTTGGTGATAGTAATTAAGGAAACCATTAGTCATAAGATCTTTTAAAATCTTATTATTATATTATGACCGTTATGGTCTCTATTTATTTTTACAAGTAATTTTTTTTTTAAAAAATCTTTATAATTAAAAATTATTCATATTATATATATATATTACTATAATACTAGTGAAATCATTACGAAAAAAAAAATCTTTTAAACTATGACCGTTTTATTTCTATTTATTTTTAGAAATAATTTTTTAATATTTTTATATTTATAATACTAATGAAATCACTAGTGATCGGACGTACTTCGGGAGCATGTAAAATCCTGCAAGATTTAATCTTATTTTTTCATTATTGTTACACAAATGCTATTACTTTTTATACTCATATTTTTTACCAACTATCAATATAATATCAATATTATTTAATTTTCGTTCACAACCCAAATATGACCGTAGTTTTTTAGTAGAAGGTTAGTATTTATTATATATTGTTTTTAATGTGAAATATTCTGATTTTTTTAAAAAAATATTATAGCTTCATTTTTTTTTTCTATTTTATAATTAAAAAACAATTATAAAACTATTGCAAATAAAAAGTAAAGCGAAGAGGATTAAAAAATTTCTTTTATCTAAATTATATTATTTGAATGCAATATTTATCTTCTCAATTAATATATTTTATTTCCTCTTACAAATAAAACTATTACAAATAATCCCAGGGACGTTGCAGGTATGCGTAGTCGAATGTGTGTTTGAAGTATTGCAACCTGTTACTTAAATGAATATGTACTTTTTGTTACATTTTGAATTTTATAATTAAAAAATATCCAAAAAGAGTAATATGATTTCTAGTATTCATGTGGATGTATGTGTGAACATTAATTTTTTGTCCACTAATTGTTGAACATATTTTCATAAGGCAAATGAGTCAAATTTTATTTAAAACGTTTAAAATAGTTGTCATGCTGTGCTTAATAAATTTTTCACGGGCATTTTTTTTCTTCCCCTGAGTTATGAACATATTGTTTGCGAGTTGTTACTAAGTAGTCTTAGTTTTGAGAATTTGATGAATTGTATTTCGCAATAATAATGCTTTGGACAATTTCATAATAACTGTTATATGAAAGACTAGTGTAAGCATGATTTGTGTTTTCTTTACTTAAATATCTTACTTTCAAAAGGTATACGTAAAAGTATTGAGAGATGACTTCTCTGATGCACCATTGCAGTTCGATACAAAATTATTGCTGGAAAAGGTTTCAGCCTATCGGTGGATTTAAAGGAAAAGGCTTCAGCATATCGGTGGATTCATATTTCAAGGTATCTTGCTTCCATTATTTGAGAAAGTTATATCATATTTTTTTTAAAAAAAATGTGGCAATTTAAAGCTGGTATTGCTCCCCCCGCCACGCAAAAAATTTGTGCATTTTTTGCGAGGGAGGGAGTAATATTTTTTTGGGTTGGCGCGGGCCGTTTTAAAATTCAAGCCCATAGGCCCGGCTTGATTATGCATTGGGGTTGAAAATCCAAACCAAGGCATAGCCCGGTTTCAAATTATACCGGGCCATACCAGCCCAGCCCAGATTTTAAAAATAAATTGTCTTCTTTTATTAAACAATAAATTATATTAATCTAAATTGATATAATTACGAAAATATTTTTATTGATAATTAAGAAACTAAATAATAATTAATTATTAATTTTATGTTAAAGTTAATATAATATTAAAAAAATATTTTTACTTACCTTATTTTAATAATTTGGACCGTGCCTAGCACGTAAAAATTTGCATAGACCTCGAAACGGTTTGGTTATTCAACCATGCTGGGCTGGCCCGACCTTTATATAGTTTGGATCTAATTTTTAGACCAAAATTTTTATTTTTCGTGTCGTATATGGATTGGATAGTAGTAGACTCTACATAAATTTTACCTACAAACTAAATACACTAAAAAATAAGTTAGGATAAAGTCCCGGGACGTAAAAGTAAATATATTTCTATATGCATAATGCTAAATTAAATTCAATGCATAAATGTAAAAGCAAATGGACGAATTACTCCCTATGATGTATTCGGACGTCCGATCGTCCGGCCACTCCCTCTCGTATGCATCTAAAAAGATTTTAACTGGAAATTAGTATATAAGTATAGGAAACAACAAAATAATAATAAAATCACTTACCTTCGATTTGAAATCGAGATCGAAGGATCTTTGCGGATCCTATCGTCTCCACACAAGCTTTACCTACAAATTAAAAATACTAAAAAACAAGTTAGTATAAAATTTAGGAACAAAATTAAAACATGCAAGTCCCGGGACGTAAAGATGATTCTATTACTATATGCAAGAAAATAAAATAAATGGAAAGCGTAGATTAAAAGAAAAAGTAGGAGATACTCTCTATTATGGGTTCGGTCAATATCCTTCGAGTTCGAAGGATATCCGCGGATCCTCTCGTCTCCCATAAGCTTTACCTACAAAATAAAAACACTTAAAAAACAAGTTAGTAAAAAATTTAGGAACAAAATTAATGCATGCAAGTCCCGGGATATGCAAGAAAATAAAATAAATGGAAAGCGTAAATTAAAAGAAAAAGTAGGAGATACTCCCTATTATGGGATATCCTTCGAGTTCGAAGGATATCCGCGGATCCTCTCGTCTCCCATAAGCTTTACCTATAAAATAAAAACACTTAAAAAACAAGTTAGTATAAAATTTCGGAACAAAATTAATGCATACAAGTCCCGGGATATGCAAGAAAATAAAATAAATGGAAAGCGTAAATTAAAAGAAAATGTAGGAGATACTCCCTATTATGGGATATCCTTCGAGTTCGAAGGATATCCGCGGATCCTCTCGTCTCCCATAAGCTTTACCTACAAAATAAAAATACTTAAAAAACAAGTTAGTATAAAATTTAGGAAAAAAATTAATGCATGCAAGTCCTGCAATATACAAGAAAATAAAATAAATGGAAAGCGTAAATTAAAAGAAAAAGTAGGAGATACTCCCTATTATGGGATATCCTTCGAGTTCGAAGGATATCCGCGGATCCTCTCGTCTCCCATAAGCTTTACCTACAAACTAAAAACACTTAAAAAACAAGTTAGTATAAAATTTAGGAACAAAATTAATGCATGCAAGTCCCGGGATATGCAAGAAAATAAAATAAATGGAAAACATAAATTAAAAGAAAATGTAGGAGATACTCCATATTATGGGATATCCTTCGAGTCGAAGAATATCCGCGGATCCTCTCGTCTCCCATAAGCTTTACCTACAAAATAAAAACACTTAAAATACAAGTTAGTATAAAATTTAGGTACAAAATTAATGCATGCAAGTCCCGGGATATGCAAGAAAATAAAATAAATGGAAAGCGTAAATTAAAAGAAAAAGTAGGAGATACTCCCTATTATGGGATATCCTTCGAGTTCGAAGGATATCCGCGGATCCTCTCGTCTCCCATAAGCTTTACCTAAAAAATAAAAACACTTAAAAAACAAGTTAGTATAAAATTTAAGAAAAAATTAATGCATGCAAGTCACGGGATATGCAATAAAATAAAATAAATGGAAAGCGTAAATTAAAAGAAAAAGTAGGAGATACTCCCTATTATGGGATATCCTTCGAACTCGAAGGATATCCGCGGATCCTCTCGTCTCCCATAAGCTTTACCTACAAAATAAAAACAATTAAAAAACCGTTAGTATAAAATTTAGGAACAAAATTAATGCATGCATGTATGTCCCGGGATATGCAAGAAAATAAAATTAATGGAAAGCGTAAATTAAAAGAAAAAGTAGGAGATACTCCCTATTATGGGATATCCTTCGAATTCGATGGATATCCGCGGATCCTCTCGTCTGCCATAAGCTTTACCTACAAAATAAAAACAATTAAAAAACCGTTAGTATAAAATTTAGTAACAAAATTAATGCATGCATGTATGTCCCGGGATATGCAAGAAAATAAAACTAATGGAAAGCGTAAATTAAAAGAAAAAGTAGGAGATACTCCCTATTATGGGATATCCTTCGAGTTCGAAGGATATCCGCGGATCCTCTCGTCTCCCATAAGCTTTACCTACAAAATAAAAACACTTAAAAAACAAGTTAGTATAAAATTTGGGATCAAAATTTATGCATACAAGTCCCGGGATATACAAGAAAATAAAATTAATGCAAAGCGTAAATTAAAAGAAAAAGTAGGAGATACTCCCTTTTATGGGATATCCTTCGAGTTCGAAGGATATCTGCGGATCCTCTCGTCTCCCATAAGCTTTACCTACAAAATAAAAACACTAAAAAAACAAGTTAGTATAAAACTTAGGAACAAAATTAATGCATGCAAGTCCCGGGATATGCAAGAAAATAAAATAAATGGAAAGCGTAAATTAAAAGAAAAAGTAGGAGATACTCCCTATTATGGGATATCCTTCGACTTCGAAGGATATCCGCGGATCCTCTCGTCTCCCATAAGCTTTACCTACAAAATAAAAACAATTAAAAAACCGTTAGTATAAAATTTAGGAGAAAAATTAATGCATGCATGTATGTCCCGGGATATGCAAGAAAATAAAATTAATGGAAAGCGTAAATTAAAAGAAAAAGTAGGAGATACTCCCTATTATGGGATATACTTCGAGTTCGAAGGATATCCGCGGATCCTCTCGTCTCCCATAAGCTTTACCTACAAAATAAAAACAATTAAAAAACAAGTTAGTATAAAATTTAGGAACAAAATTAATGCATGCATGTATGTCCCGGGATATGCAAGAAAATAAAATTAATGGAAAGCGTAAATTAAAAGAAAAAGTATGAGATACTCCCTATTATGGGATATCCTTCGAGTTCGAAGGATATCCGCGGATCCTCTCGTCTCCCATAAGCTTTACCTATAAAATAAAAACACTTAAAATACAAGTTAGTATAAAATTTAGGAACAAAATTAATGCATGCAAGTCCCGGGATATGCAAGAAAATAAAAAAAATGGAATGCGTAAATTAAAAGAAAAAGTAGGAGATACTCCCTATTATGGGATATCCTTCGAAGGATATCCGCGGATCCTCTCGTCTCCCATAAGCTTTACCTACAAAATAAAAACACTTAAAAAACCGTTAGTATAAAATTTAGGAACAAAATTAATGCATGCATGTATGTCCCGGGATATGCAAGAAAATAAAATTAATGGAAAGCGTAAATTAAAAGAAAAAGTAGGAGATACTCCCTATTATGGGATATACTTCGAGTTCGAAGGATATCCGCGGATCCTCTCGTCTCCCATAAGCTTTACCTACAAAATAAAAACAATTAAAAAACCGTTAGTATAAAATTTAGGAACAAAATTAATGCATGCATGTATGTCCCGGGATATGCAAGAAAATAAAATTAATGGAAAGCGTAAATTAAAAGAAAAAGTAGGAGATACTCCCTATTATGGGATATCCTTCGAGTTCGAAGGATATCCGCGGATCCTCTCGTCTCCCATAAGCTTTACCTACAAAATAAAAACACTTAAAAAACAAGTTAGTATAAAATTTAAGAAAAAATTTATGCATGCAAGTCCCGGGATATGCAAGAAAATAAAATAAATGGAATGCGTAAATTAAAAGAAAAAGTAGGAGATACTCCCTATTATGGGATATCCTTCGACTTCGAAGGATATCCGCGGATCCTCTCGTCTCCCATAAGCTTTACCTACAAAATAAAAACAATTAAAAAACCGTTAGTATAAAATTTAGGAACAAAATTAATGCATGCATGTATGTCCCGGGATATGCAAGAAAATAAAATTAATGGAAAGCGTAAATTAAAAGAAAAAGTAGGAAATACTCCCTATTATGGGATATCCTTGGAGTTCGAAGGATATCCGCGGATCCTCTCGTCTCCCATAAGCTTTACCTACAAAATAAAAACACTTAAAAAACCGTTAGTATAAAATTTAGGAACAAAATTAATGCATGCATGTATGTCCCGGGATATGCAAGAAAATAAAATAAATGGGAAGCGTAAATTAAAAGAAAAAGTAGGAGATACTCCCTATTATGGGATATCCTTCGAGTTCGAAGGATATCCGCGGATCCTCTCGTCTCTCATAAGCTTTACCTACAAAATAAAAACATTTAAAAAACAAGTTAGTATAAAATTTAGCAACAAAATTTATGCATGCATGTATGTCCCGGGATATGCAAGAAAATAAAATAAATGGAAAGCGTAAATTAAAAGAAAAAGTAGGAGATACTCCCTTTTATGGGATATCCTTCGAGTTCGAAGGATATCCGCGGATCCTCTCGTCTCCCATAAGCTTTACCTACAAAATAAAAACACTTAAGAAACAAGTTAGTATAAAATTTAGGAACAAAATTAATGCATGCAAGTCCCGGGATATGCAAGAAAATAAAATTAATGGAAAGCGTAAATTAAAAGAAAAATGTAGGAGATACTCCCTATTATGGGATATCCTTCGAGTTCGAAGGATATCCGCGGATCCTCTCGTCTCCCATAAGCTTTACCTAAAAAATAAAAACACTTAAAAAACAAGTTAGTATAAAATTTAAGAAAAAATTAATGCATGCAAGTCCCGGGATATGCAAGAAAATAAAATAAATGGAAAGCGTAAATTAAAAGAAAAAGTAGGAGTTACTCCCTATTATGGGATATCCTTCGAGTTCGAAGGATATCCGCGGATCCTCTCGTCTCCCATAAGCTTTACCTACAAAATAAAAACACTTAAGAAACAAGTTAGTATAAAATTTAGGAACAAAATTAATGCATGCAAGTCCCGGGATATGCAAGAAAATAAAATAAATGGGAAGCGTAAATTAAAAGAAAAAGTAGGAGATACTCCCTATTATGGGATATCGTTCGAATATCCGCGGATCCTCTCGTCTCCCATAAGCTTTACCTACAAAATAAAAACAATTAAAAAACCGTTAGTATAAAATTTAGGAACAAAATTAATGCATGCATGTATGTCCCGGGATATGCAAGAAAATAAAATTAATGGAAAGTGTAAATTAAAAGAAAAAGTAGGAGATACTCCCAATTATGGGATATCCTTCGAGTTCGAAGGATATCCGCGGATCCTCTCGTCTCCCATAAGCTTTACCTACAAAATAAAAACACTTAAAAAACAAGTTAGTATAAAATTTAGGAACAAAATTAATGCATGCAAGTCCCGGGATATGCAAGAAAATAAAATAAATTGAAAGCGTAAATTAAAAGAAAAAGTAGGAGATACTCCCTCGAAGGATATCCGCGGATCCTCTTGTCTCCCATAAGGTTTACCCTACAAAATAAAAACAATTAAAAAACCGTTAGTATAAAATTTAGGAACAAAATTAATGCATGCATGTATGTCCCGGGATATGCAAGAAAATAAAATTAATGGAAAGCGTAAATTAAAAGAAAAAGTAGGAGATACTCCCTATTATGGGATATACTTCGAGTTCGAAGGATATCCGCGGATCCTCTCGTCTCCCATAAGCTTTACCTACAAAATAAAAACAATTAAAAAACCGTTAGTATAAAATTTAGGAACAAAATTAATGCATGCATGTATGTCCCGGGATATGCAAGAAAATAAAATTAATGGAAAGCGTAAATTAAAAGAAAAAATAGGAGATACTCCCTATTATGGGATATCCTTCGAGTTCGAAGGATATCCGCGGATCCTCTCGTCTCCCATAAGCTTTACCTACAAAATAAAAACACTTAAAAAACAAGTTAGTATAAAATTTAAGAAAAAATTTATGCATGCAAGTCCCGGGATATGCAAGAAAATAAAATAAATGGAAAGCGTAAATTAAAAGAAAAAGTAGGAGATACTCCCTTTTATGGGATATCCTTCGAGTTCGAAGGATATCCGCGGATCCTCTCGTCTCCCATAAGCTTTACCTACAAAATAAAAACACTAAAAAAACAAGTTAGTATAAAACTTAGGAACAAAATTAATGCATGCAAGTCCCGGGATATGCAAGAAAATAAAATAAATGGAAAGCGTAAATTAAAAGAAAAAGTAGGAGATACTCCTTATTATGAGATATCCTTCGAGTTCGAAGGATATCCGCGGATCCCCTCGTCTCCCATAAGCTTTACCTACAAAATAATAACAATTAAAAAACCGTTAGTATAAAATTTAGGAACAAAATTAATGCATGCATGTATGTCCCGGGATATGCAAGAAAATAAAATTAATGGAAAGCGTAAATTAAAAGAAAAAGTAGGAGATACTCCCTATTATGGGATATCCTTCGAGTTGCGGATCCTCTCGTCTCCCATAAGCTTTACCTACAAAATAAAAACACTTAAAAAACCGTTAGTATAAAATTTAGGAACAAAATTAATGCATGCATGTATGTCCCGGGATATGCAATAAAATAAAATTAATGGAAAGCGTAAATTAAAAGAAAAAGTAGGAGATACTCCCTATTATGGGATATCCTTCGAGTTCGAAGGATATCCGCGGATCCTCTCGTCTCTCATAAGCTTTACCTACAAAATAAAAACACTTAAAAAACAAGTTAGTATAAAATTTAGCAACAAAATTTATGCATGCAAGTCCCGGGATATGCAAGAAAATAAAATAAATGGAAAGCGTAAATTAAAAGAAAAAGTAGGAGATACTCCCTTTTATGGGATATCCTTCGAGTTCGAAGAATATCCGCGGATCCTCTTGTCTCCCATAAGCTTTACCTACAAAATAAAAACACTTAAGAAACAAGTTAGTATATAATTTAGGAACAAAATTAATGCATGCATGTCCCGGGATATGCAAGAAAATAAAATTAATGGAAAGCGTAAATTAAAAGAAAAAGTAGGAGATACTCCCTATTATGGGATATCCTTCGAGTTCGAAGGATATCCGCGGATCCTCTCGTCTCCCATAAGCTTTACCTACAAAATAAAAACAATAAAAAAACCGTTAGTATAAAATTTAGGAACAAAATTAATGCATGCATGTATGTCCCGGGATATGCAAGAAAATAAAACTAATGGAAAGCGTAAATTAAAAGAAAAAGTAGGAGATACTCCCTATTATGGGATATCCTTCGACTTCGAAGGATATCCGCGGATCCTCTCGTCTCCCATAAGCTTTACCTACAAAATAAAAACAATAAAAAAACCGTTAGTATAAAATTTAGGAACAAAATTAATGCATGCATGTATGTCCCGGGATATGCAAGAAAATAAAACTAATGGAAAGCGTAAATTAAAAGAAAAAGTAGGAGATACTCCCTATTATGGGATATCCTTCGACGGATATCCGCGGATCCTCTCGTCTCCCATTAGCTTTACCTACAAAATAAAAACAATTAAAAAACCGTTAGTATAAAATTTAGGAACAAAATTAATGCATGTATGTATGTCCCGGGATATGCAAGAAAATAAAATTAATGGAATGCGTAAATTAAAAGAAAAAGTAGGAGATACTCCCTATTATGGGATATCCTTCGACTTCGAAGGATATCCGCGGATCCCCTCGTCTCCCATAAGCTTTACCTACAAAATAATAACAATTAAAAAACCGTTAGTATAAAATTTAGGAACAAAATTAATGCATGCATGTATGTCCCGGGATATGCAAGAAAATAAATTAAAGGAAAGCGTAAATTAAAAGAAAAAGTAGGAGATACTCCCTATTATGGGATATCCTTCGAGTTCGAAGGATATCCGCGGATCCTCTCGTCTCCCATAAGCTTTACCTACAAAATAAAAACACTTAAAAAACCGTTAGTATAAAATTTAGGAACAAAATTAATGCATGCATGTATGTCCCGGGATATGCAAGAAAATAAAATTAATGGAAAGCGTAAATTAAAAGAAAAAGTAGGAGATACTCCCTATTATGGGATATCCTTCGAGTTCGAAGGATATCCGCGGATCCTCTCGTCTCCCATAAGCTTTACCTACAAAATAAAAACACTTAAAAAACCGTTAGTATAAAATTTAGGAACAAAATTAATGCATGCATGTATGTCCCGGGATATGCAAGAAAATAAAATTAATGGAAAGCGTAAATTAAAAGAAAAAGTAGGAGATACTCCCTATTATGGGATATCCTTCGAGTTCGAAGGATATCCGCGGATCCTCTCGTCTCCCATAAGCTTTACCTACAAAATAAAAACACTTAAAAAACAAGTTAGTATAAAATTTAGGAACAAAATTAATGCATGCAAGTCCCGGGATATGCAAGAAAATAAAATAAATGGAAAGCGTAAATTAAAAGAAAAAGTAGGAGATACTCCCTCGAAGGATATCCGCGGATCCTCTTGTCTCCCATAAGCTTTACCCTACAAAATAAAAACAATTAAAAAACCGTTAGTATAAAATTTAGGAACAAAATTAATGCATGCATGTATGTCCCGGGATATGCAAGAAAATAAAATTAATGGAAAGCGTAAATTAAAAGAAAAAGTAGGAGATACTCCCTATTATGGGATATCCTTCGAGTTCGAAGGATATCCGCGGATCCTCTCGTCTCCCATAAGCTTTACCTACAAAATAAAAACACTTAAAAAACAAGTTAGTATAAAATTTAGGAACAAAATTAATGCATGCAAGTCTCGGGATATGCAAGAAAATAAAATAAATGGGAAGCGTAAATTAAAAGAAAAAGTAGGAGATACTCCCTATTATGGGATATCGTTCGAATATCCGCGGATCCTCTCGTCTCCCATAAGCTTTACCTACAAAATAAAAACAATTAAAAAACCGTTAGTATAAAATTTAGGAACAAAATTAATGCATGCATGTATGTCCCGGGATATGCAATAAAATAAAATTAATGGAAAGCGTAAATTAAAAGAAAAAGTAGGAGATACTCCCTATTATGGGATATCCTTCGAGTTCGAAGGATATCCGCGGATCCTCTCGTCTCCCATAAGCTTTACCTACAAAATAAAAACACTTAAAAAACCGTTAGTATAAAATTTAGTAACAAAATTAATGCATGCATGTATGTCCCGGGATATGCAAGAAAATAAAATTAATGGAAAGCGTAAATTAAAAGAAAAAGTAGGAGATACTCCCTATTATGGGATATCCTTCGAGTTCGAAGGATATCCGCGGATCCTCTCGTCTCTCATAAGCTTTACCTACAAAATAAAAACATTTAAAAAACAAGTTAGTATAAAATTTAGCAACAAAATTTATGCATGCATGTATGTCCCGGGATATGCAAGAAAATAAAATAAATGAAAAGCGTAAATTAAAAGAAAAAGTAGGAGATACTCCCTATTATGGGATATCCTTCGACTTCGAAGGATATCCGCGGATCCCCTCGTCTCCCATAAGCTTTACCTACAAAATAATAACAATTAAAAAACCGTTAGTATAAAATTTAGGAACAAAATTAATGCATGCATGTATGTCCCGGGATATGCAAGAAAATAAAATTAATGGAAAGCGTAAATTAAAAGAAAAAGTAGGAGATACTCCCTATTATGGGATATCCTTCGAGTTCGAAGGATATCCGCGGATCCTCTCGTCTCCCATAAGCTTTACCTACAAAATAAAAACACTTAAAAAACCGTTAGTATAAAATTTAGGAACAAAATTAATGCATGCATGTATGTCCCGGGATATGCAAGAAAATAAAATTAATGGAAAGCGTAAATTAAAAGAAAAAGTAGGAGATACTCCCTATTATGGGATATCCTTCGAGTTCGAAGGATATCCGCGGATCCTCTCGTCTCTCATAAGCTTTACCTACAAAATAAAAACACTTAAAAAACAAGTTAATATAAAATTTAGCAACAAAATTTATGCATGCAAGTCCCGGGATATGCAAGAAAATAAAATAAATGGAAAGCGTAAATTAAAAGAAAAAGTAGGAGATACTCCCTTTTATGGGATATCCTTCGAGTTCGAAGAATATCCGCGGATCCTCTTGTCTCCCATAAGCTTTACCTACAAAATAAAAACACTTAAGAAACAAGTTAGTATATAATTTAGGAACAAAATTAATGCATGCATGTCCCGGGATATGCAAGAAAATAAAATTAATGGAAAGCGTAAATTAAAAGAAAAAGTAGGAGATACTCCCTATTATGGGATATCCTTCGAGTTCGAAGGATATCCGCGGATCCTCTCGTCTCCCATAAGCTTTACCTACAAAATAAAAACAATAAAAAAACCGTTAGTATAAAATTTAGGAACAAAATTAATGCATGCATGTATGTCCCGGGATATGCAAGAAAATAAAACTAATGGAAAGCGTAAATTAAAAGAAAAAGTAGGAGATACTCCCTATTATGGGATATCCTTCGACGGATATCCGCGGATCCTCTCGTCTCCCATTAGCTTTACCTACAAAATAATAACAATTAAAAAACCGTTAGTATAAAATTTAGGAACAAAATTAATGCATGCATGTATGTCCCGGGATATGCAAGAAAATAAAATTAATGGAAAGCGTAAATTAAAAGAAAAAGTAGGAGATACTCCCTATTATGGGATATCCTTCGAGTTCGAAGGATATCCGCGGATCCTCTCGTCTCCCATAAGCTTTACCTACAAAATAAAAACACTTAAAAAACCGTTAGTATAAAATTTAGGAACAAAATTAATGCATGCATGTATGTCCCGGGATATGCAAGAAAATAAAATTAATGGAAAGCGTAAATTAAAAGAAAAAGTAGGAGATACTCCCTATTATGGGATATCCTTCGAGTTCGAAGGATATCCGCGGATCCTCTCGTCTCTCATAAGCTTTACCTACAAAATAAAAACACTTAAAAAACAAGTTAATATAAAATTTAGCAACAAAATTTATGCATGCAAGTCCCGGGATATGCAAGAAAATAAAATAAATGGAAAGCGTAAATTAAAAGAAAAAGTAGGAGATACTCCCTTTTATGGGATATCCTTCGAGTTCGAAGAATATCCGCGGATCCTCTTGTCTCCCATAAGCTTTACCTACAAAATAAAAACACTTAAGAAACAAGTTAGTATATAATTTAGGAACAAAATTAATGCATGCATGTCCCGGGATATGCAAGAAAATAAAATTAATGGAAAGCGTAAATTAAAAGAAAAAGTAGGAGATACTCTCTATTATGGGATATCCTTCGAGTTCGAAGGATATCCGCGGATCCTCTCGTCTCCCATAAGCTTTACCTACAAAATAAAAACAATAAAAAAACCGTTAGTATAAAATTTAGGAACAAAATTAATGCATGCATGTATGTCCCGGGATATGCAAGAAAATAAAACTAATGGAAAGCGTAAATTAAAAGAAAAAGTAGGAGATACTCCCTATTATGGGATATCCTTCGACGGATATCCGCGGATCCTCTCGTCTCCCATTAGCTTTACCTACAAAATAAAAACAATTAAAAAACCGTTAGTATAAAATTTAGGAACAAAATTAATGCATGTATGTATGTCCCGGGATATGCAAGAAAATAAAATTAATGGAATGCGTAAATTAAAAGAAAAAGTAGGAGATACTCCCTATTATGGGATATCCTTCGACTTCGAAGGATATCCGCGGATCCCCTCGTCTCCCATAAGCTTTACCTACAAAATAATAACAATTAAAAAACCGTTAGTATAAAATTTAGGAACAAAATTAATGCATGCATGTATGTCCCGGGATATGCAAGAAAATAAATTAAAGGAAAGCGTAAATTAAAAGAAAAAGTAGGAGATACTCCCTATTATGGGATATCCTTCGAGTTCGAAGGATATCCGCGGATCCTCTCGTCTCCCATAAGCTTTACCTACAAAATAAAAACACTTAAAAAACCGTTAGTATAAAATTTAGGAACAAAATTAATGCATGCATGTATGTCCCGGGATATGCAAGAAAATAAAATTAATGGAAAGCGTAAATTAAAAGAAAAAGTAGGAGATACTCCCTATTATGGGATATCCTTCGAGTTCGAAGGATATCCGCGGATCCTCTCGTCTCCCATAAGCTTTACCTACAAAATAAAAACACTTAAAAAACCGTTAGTATAAAATTTAGGAACAAAATTAATGCATGCATGTATGTCCCGGGATATGCAAGAAAATAAAATTAATGGAAAGCGTAAATTAAAAGAAAAAGTAGGAGATACTCCCTATTATGGGATATCCTTCGAGTTCGAAGGATATCCGCGGATCCTCTCGTCTCCCATAAGCTTTACCTACAAAATAAAAACACTTAAAAAACAAGTTAGTATAAAATTTAGGAACAAAATTAATGCATGCAAGTCCCGGGATATGCAAGAAAATAAAATAAATGGAAAGCGTAAATTAAAAGAAAAAGTAGGAGATACTCCCTCGAAGGATATCCGCGGATCCTCTTGTCTCCCATAAGCTTTACCCTACAAAATAAAAACAATTAAAAAACCGTTAGTATAAAATTTAGGAACAAAATTAATGCATGCATGTATGTCCCGGGATATGCAAGAAAATAAAATTAATGGAAAGCGTAAATTAAAAGAAAAAGTAGGAGATACTCCCTATTATGGGATATCCTTCGAGTTCGAAGGATATCCGCGGATCCTCTCGTCTCCCATAAGCTTTACCTACAAAATAAAAACACTTAAAAAACAAGTTAGTATAAAATTTAGGAACAAAATTAATGCATGCAAGTCTCGGGATATGCAAGAAAATAAAATAAATGGGAAGCGTAAATTAAAAGAAAAAGTAGGAGATACTCCCTATTATGGGATATCGTTCGAATATCCGCGGATCCTCTCGTCTCCCATAAGCTTTACCTACAAAATAAAAACAATTAAAAAACCGTTAGTATAAAATTTAGGAACAAAATTAATGCATGCATGTATGTCCCGGGATATGCAATAAAATAAAATTAATGGAAAGCGTAAATTAAAAGAAAAAGTAGGAGATACTCCCTATTATGGGATATCCTTCGAGTTCGAAGGATATCCGCGGATCCTCTCGTCTCCCATAAGCTTTACCTACAAAATAAAAACACTTAAAAAACCGTTAGTATAAAATTTAGTAACAAAATTAATGCATGCATGTATGTCCCGGGATATGCAAGAAAATAAAATTAATGGAAAGCGTAAATTAAAAGAAAAAGTAGGAGATACTCCCTATTATGGGATATCCTTCGAGTTCGAAGGATATCCGCGGATCCTCTCGTCTCTCATAAGCTTTACCTACAAAATAAAAACATTTAAAAAACAAGTTAGTATAAAATTTAGCAACAAAATTTATGCATGCATGTATGTCCCGGGATATGCAAGAAAATAAAATAAATGGAAAGCGTAAATTAAAAGAAAAAGTAGGAGATACTCCCTTTTATGGGATATCCTTCGAGTTCGAAGGATATCCGCGGATCCTCTCGTCTCCCATAAGCTTTACCTACAAAATAAAAACACTTAAAAAACCGTTAGTATAAAATTTAGTAACAAAATTAATGCATGCATGTATGTCCCGGGATATGCAAGAAAATAAAATTAATGGAAAGCGTAAATTAAAAGAAAAAGTAGGAGATACTCCCTATTATGGGATATCCTTCGAGTTCGAAGGATATCCGCGGATCCTCTCGTCTCTCATAAGCTTTACCTACAAAATAAAAACATTTAAAAAACAAGTTAGTATAAAATTTAGCAACAAAATTTATGCATGCATGTATGTCCCGGGATATGCAAGAAAATAAAATAAATGGAAAGCGTAAATTAAAAGAAAAAGTAGGAGATACTCCCTTTTATGGGATATCCTTCGAGTTCGAAGGATATCCGCGGATCCTCTCGTCTCCCATAAGCTTTACCTACAAAATAAAAACACTTAAGAAACAAGTTAGTATAAAATTTAGGAACAAAATTAATGCATGCAAGTCCCGGGATATGCAAGAAAATAAAATTAATGGAAAGCGTAAATTAAAAGAAAAATGTAGGAGATACTCCCTATTATGGGATATCCTTCGAGTTCGAAGGATATCCGCGGATCCTCTCGTCTCCCATAAGCTTTACCTAAAAAATAAAAACACTTAAAAAACAAGTTAGTATAAAATTTAAGAAAAAATTAATGCATGCAAGTCCCGGGATATGCAAGAAAATAAAATAAATGGAAAGCGTAAATTAAAAGAAAAAGTAGGAGATACTCCCTATTATGGGATATCCTTCGAGTTAGAAGGATATCCGCGGATCCTCTCGTCTCCCATAAGCTTTACCTACAAAATAAAAACAATAAAAAAACCGTTAGTATAAAATTTAGGAACAAAATTAATGCATGCATGTATGTCCCGGGATATGCAAGAAAATAAAACTAATGGAAAGCGTAAATTAAAAGAAAAAGTAGGAGATACTCCCTATTATGGGATATCCTTCGACTTCGAAGGATATCCGCGGATCCTCTCGTCTCCCATAAGCTTTACCTACAAAATAAAAACAATTAAAAAACCGTTAGTATAAAATTTAGGAACAAAATTAATGCATGCATGTATGTCCCGGGATATGCAAGAAAATAAAATTAATGGAATGCGTAAATTAAAAGAAAAAGTAGGAGATACTCCCTATTATGGGATATCCTTCGACTTCGAAGGATATCCGCGGATCCCCTCGTCTCCCATAAGCTTTACCTACAAAATAATAACAATTAAAAAACCGTTAGTATAAAATTTAGGAACAAAATTAATGCATGCATGTATGTCTCGGGATATGCAAGAAAATAAAATTAATGGAAAGCGTAAATTAAAAGAAAAAGTAGGAGATACTCCCTATTATGGGATATCCTTCGAGTTCGAAGGATATCCGCGGATCCTCTCGTCTCCCATAAGCTTTACCTACAAAATAAAAACACTTAAAAAACCGTTAGTATAAAATTTAGGAACAAAATTAATGCATGCATGTATGTCCCGGGATATGCAATAAAATAAAATTAATGGAAAGCGTAAATTAAAAGAAAAAGTAGGAGATACTCCCTATTATGGGATATCCTTCGAGTTCGAAGGATATCCGCGGATCCTCTCGTCTCTCATAAGCTTTACCTACAAAATAAAAACACTTAAAAAACAAGTTAGTATAAAATTTAGCAACAAAATTTATGCATGCAAGTCCCGGGATATGCAAGAAAATAAAATAAATGGAAAGCGTAAATTAAAAGAAAAAGTAGGAGATACTCCCTTTTATGGGATATCCTTCGAGTTCGAAGAATATCCGCGGATCCTCTTGTCTCCCATAAGCTTTACCTACAAAATAAAAACACTTAAGAAACAAGTTAGTATATAATTTAGGAACAAAATTAATGCATGCATGTCCCGGGATATGCAAGAAAATAAAATTAATGGAAAGCGTAAATTAAAAGAAAAAGTAGGAGATACTCCCTATTATGGGATATCCTTCGAGTTCGAAGGATATCCGCGGATCCTCTCGTCTCCCATAAGCTTTACCTACAAAATAAAAACAATAAAAAAACCGTTAGTATAAAATTTAGGAACAAAATTAATGCATGCATGTATGTCCCGGGATATGCAAGAAAATAAAACTAATGGAAAGCGTAAATTAAAAGAAAAAGTAGGAGATACTCCCTATTATGGGATATCCTTCGACGGATATCCGCGGATCCTCTCGTCTCCCATTAGCTTTACCTACAAAATAAAAACAATTAAAAAACCGTTAGTATAAAATTTAGGAACAAAATTAATGCATGCATGTATGTCCCGGGATATGCAAGAAAATAAAATTAATGGAATGCGTAAATTAAAAGAAAAAGTAGGAGATACTCCCTATTATGGGATATCCTTCGACTTCGAAGGATATCCGCGGATCCCCTCGTCTCCCATAAGCTTTACTTACAAAATAATAACAATTAAAAAACCGTTAGTATAAAATTTAGGAACAAAATTAATGCATGCATGTATGTCCCGGGATATGCAAGAAAATAAATTAAAGGAAAGCGTAAATTAAAAGAAAAAGTAGGAGATACTCCCTATTATGGGATATCCTTCGAGTTCGAAGGATATCCGCGGATCCTCTCGTCTCCCATAAGCTTTACCTACAAAATAAAAACACTTAAGAAACAAGTTAGTATAAAATTTAGGAACAAAATTAATGCATGCAAGTCCCGGGATATGCAAGAAAATAAAATTAATGGAAAGCGTAAATTAAAAGAAAAAGTAGGAGATACTCCTTATTATGGGATATCCTTCGAGTTCGAAGGATATCCGCGGATCCTCTCGTCTCCCATAAGCTTTACCTAAAAAATAAAACACTTAAAAAACAAGTTAGTATAAAATTTAAGAAAAAATTAATGCATGCAAGTCCCGGGATATGCAAGAAAATAAAATAAATGGAAAGCGTAAATTAAAAGAAAAAGTAGGAGATACTCCCTACTATGGGATATCCTTCGAGTTCGAAGGATATCCGCGGATCCTCTCGTCTACCATAAGCTTTACCTACAAAATAAAAACACTTAAAAAACAAGTTAGTATAAAATTTAGGAACAAAATTAATGCATGCATGTATGTCCCGGGATATGCAAGAAAATAAAATTAATGGAAAGCGTAAATTAAAAGAAAAAGTAGGAGATACTCCCTATTATGGGATATCCTTCGAGCGGATCCTCTCGTCTCCTATAAGCTTTATCTACAAAATAAAAACACTTAAAATACAAGTTAGTATAAAATTTAGGTACAAAATTAATGCATGCAAGTCCCGGGATATGCAAGAAAATAAAATAAATGGAAAGCGTAAATTAAAAGAAAAAGTAGGAGATACTCCCTATTATGGGATATCCTTCGAGTTCGAAGGATATCCGCGGATCCTCTCGTCTCCCATAAGCTTTACCTACAAAATAAAAACACTTAAAAACAAGTTAGTATAAAATTTAGGAACAAAATTAATGCATGCAAGTCCCGGGATATGCAAGAAAATAAAATAAATGGAAAGCGTAAATTAAAAGAAAAAGTAGGAAATACTCCCTATTATGGGATATCGTTCGAGTTCGAAGCATATTCGCGGATTCTCTCTTCTCCCATAAGCTTTACTTACAAAATACAAACACTTAAAATTAGTTACCATGAGAAAGACAAAAAATTTGAATAAACTAATCATGATCAATGATAAATTCATAATAAACATCAAGAATTCAATCGGAAAGACATAAAATTGGAATAAACCAATAAAGATTAATGATAATTTCATAATCAATCATCAAGAATTCAATCGGAAAGACATATAATTGCACTAAACCAATCAAGATTAATGATAATTTCATAATCAATCGTCAAGAATTCAATCGGAAAGACATAAAATTGGAATAAACCAATCAAGATTAATGATAAATTCATAATCAATCATCAAGAATTCAATCGGAAAGACATAAAATTGGAATAAACCAATCAGGATTAATGATAATTTCATAATCAATTATCAAGAATTCAATCGGAAAGACATAAAATTGGAAGAAACCAATCAAGATTAATGATAAATTCATAATCAATCATCAATAATTCAATCGGAAAGACATAAAATTGGAATAAACCAATCAAGATTAATGATAAATTCATAATCAATCATCAATAATTCAATCGGAAAGACATAAAATTGGAATAAACCAATCAAGATTAATGATAAATTCATAATCAATCATCAAGAATTCAATCGGAAAGACATAAAATTGGAATAAACCAATCAAGATTAATGATAATTTCATAATCAATCATCAAGAATTCAATCGGAAAGACATAAAATTGGAATAAACCAATCAAGATCAATGATAAATTCATAATCAATCATCAAGAATTCAATTGGAAATAAAAGAAACCCCCGAAAGAAAAGGGAGAACCGAATCGAACCAACCTTGTGCGTTAGAGAAGAGAAGAGACTGATCATTGAAGCCATGGATATAGAAGAACCTTCCGATCTTTTGCACCCTCAAAATCTGAATGCATTCGGAAATCCCAAAACCTTTCTCCAAGACACCAACCAAGAGAGAGATAGAGATAGAGATAGAGATAGAGATAGAGATAGATGATTGTGGTTCTTGCAACTGTATCTATGTATGTATGATATCTTTATATATATATAACAAATCACCCTTGGACAAAACAAAGGAATTTTAATTAATTAATTAATTGTTTTAACAAATGACCGGTGGACATAAAACAAATGAATTTTAATTAATTAATTAATTGTTTTTATTTTATAAATTATTAAATATTTTTAGTTTTTTATTTTTATATAAAACTTACCATATTTAAAATAAATTTACCATATTTACAAATTTACAAATTTTTCAAATTATTGAATATTTTCAGTTTTTTATTTTTATATTAAAACTTACCATATTTACAAATTTACTATATTTTCAAATTCTTAAATATTTTCAGTTTTTTATTTTTATATTAAAACTTACTATATTTACAAATTTACTATATTTTCAAATTCTTAAATATTTTCAGTTTTTTATTTTTATTTTATAACTTACCATATTTTTTAAAAAAAACTTACCATATTTACAAATTCACTATATTTTCAAATTATTAAATAACAATGGTTTAACATGATATTTTCTATAAAAATAAAAATAAAAATAATAATAATAATCATAATAATAATAATAATATATAACAATATAGAAATATATCAATGATTGCCGATTAAGTATCGATCAAAGATAATTTGCAAAATCGATGGGTTGTTATGTCATAGGAAGCCTGGGAAGCGGAGAAAAGGGTTTTCCTTTAATTTGTACTATATTCGATCATTCTATACATATACTTACAAATTCATAATTCTTATACATGTTACTCTTGTTTTTTTATTAATTTTAATGAATTCAAAATTTTTCAACAAAAGCAATAAATTCATTGATTTGTAGTTCAAATTAATACTTGTACTATTTGGTCTATATGGTTTTTATTAAAAAAAAAAAAAGAAATATTATTTTTTGTATAAAATATTATTTAAATTAAAAAAAATTCAATTTCAGACTATTTTTTTGAACGAATGAAGCACTTTGTAATGATATGTTGATTTTTATTTACAATTAGTCATTATAAATACTTGTAATATATAAAATATACACTTGCTGATAGTAAGGTATTAATCAATCATACAAAATATATATTAATATAATATAAATATAACAAATATATTGATAGTACATTACATAGTCCACAAATAATTTCAACATACAATATATTAATACAAACACATAAAATATATATATATATATTTATAAAAATCAAACTAAAATACTTTACATTATTTTTAAAATTTTGAATTGTTTCACACATCACTAATAAACAGAGGCGGAACCAGACTGGGATGAGAGAGGGGGGCTAATTTTTCAAATTTCGAAACGATCAAAATCTATTTGTTATCCAATAATTTTATCAATGGAGTTATCATATTTCAAAATATCAACTTACGTAACATCTATATATTACAATATGAATTTTGTATTAAATGAAATTGATAAATAGTAAAAAAATATTAGCTTTTAAAAATATCATCTCCTATGCATTTGGTTGAGAATTTTTGAAGATTTTTTTTTTTAATTATTATTTCTTACTTTTTTGTTCATATCTATATTTATAGCATCAAAAAATTATTATGATATAAACTTTTTATTATTCAAAATTAAATTTTCCCATAAATACTCTATCAATTTTTAGCAATTTTTAAATTTATTTATTGTTTTTTATATTATATATTATAAAATAAAAAATTATAAGGGGTGGGGTGGGGTGGGGGAGGGGGGCTGCACATACATCCGCCTCTGTTAATAAATATATACACGAAAAATTATTATTTTATATTTTATATCATTTTTAATAAAAAAAAAATTATTTATATTTTTCAATAAAAAAATATTATTTTTAAAATATAACTATAATAAAAATAAATATTATTTTATAACACTTTTACAATTTTCAATAACTAATAACAAAAAATTTCAAACAGTCTAAACTCAAAAGAACACAATTGAATATATTAAAAAAAATAAAATAGAATAGAAATGTTCTCAATTGTCATTTTACGTATAAACAGTTAATATCAAATAGTTATTTTATCAAATATTTTAATACAAATAACTAATTGAATCAGCTAACAGCTATCAACTAATTGTCAAACACGTCTGTCTATCGTTTATTTAAAATCAAATATAGTAAAATTTTATATTAAATAAATATTTTAATACGATATTTCAAATAAAATATAGGATTTTAGATATAAATAAATGAATAAAAGTCACCCAAACTTGGCCCACATGCTTGAGGACCAAGCTTGCCACAATAATTTGCGTCTCTCTTTGAATAATTTAAGATGTGATTTCAATCATTAATTCAGCATTATTAATTGTATTTTTAATCATTATATTATACTGAAAATACATATTAATTTACTTTAATTTTAAAATATTTATTATTTCAAAGATATATGCCTATTAATATCAAAATATAAAATAAATACTTTATTCGATTCAAAATAAAAGGGACATTTGAGATGAACACAAAAATTAAAAAATAATAGTATTATATTGACTGACAGTAGATGTAAGAATATTTTTAAATACCAAAATACCAATACTTTATGTAACAAGGTGGAGATGATTTTGTAAAAAATTAGTTATCAAAAATAAAAATGAGACGATTGTTTTTGTGTTTTGAGACCAGCGGAGCATATGCTAATGTTTGAAGTTGTTTCGAAAATTTCATCTCGAATAACATCGAATACAACATTTCAAACAATACAGTACTCCCTCCGTTATGCAAATATGTGCTTATTTGGCCGGTCACGGGTTTTAATAAAAGTGAGTAATAATTGTTACTTTTTTTTTATAGTAAAAAAAGTACAAAAATGTAATCATTTTTTACTTAAAAAAAAAAACGAAAATATTTTTTTATGACAATCCTGAAAAGAAAGTGAGCATAGACTTAAATAACGGATGAGATATATTTTTATATATTTATAATATTTAAATTTAAATAAATATTGATTAACAAATACACAATAGGAAGTTGATAGCGAAACTCGTGTGAAGAGACACATGATGGGTGCATAGAAGCTCACATTGGATTGGATGTGTTTTCATAAGCCAGCTGTGTTATTAATTATCATAGTTTTACTATTTTATTTTATTTTTTATAAATAAATATAAAATTAAATATATATTTTTAATTTATTATATTTTATTAAAATTTACTTTTATATTTAAAACATCATATAGATATATATTTATATTTTTAATCTGGTTTAAAACAAATGATTTGTTTCTCTTGTTAATCAATTTATTCAATTGTATTTTATCTTTCATTAATAAATAAATATTTTTATTTATATTTATTTTTCTTTGTAAAACTAATTTTTAATTAATTATAAACAAATAAATATATATTTTTTATTTATTTATCTTACATAAAAATATATTATTTATAAAATAACATCTATATTATATATATTTAATTAAGATATAACACTAAGGGTGTGTTGGTTTAGGCAATTTTGGTCTAATTTTACTGTATAGACACTTAATTTTCCTCAAAATCCTATTAATCCCTACCCTAGAGTCTACTTTCTTTCTGCAATCCACTTCCCTTCTACAGCAGATTGCCTTTTCAGAAATTGTCAGCGTATCCCATCGCAGAATAAAAAAATAGTGTTGTGTGTGTTTGGGGTTGAAATATTAAAAAACAAAAATGAATTGAAAAATAATACTTCCTCCGTCCCAAAAATATAGTCTTGTGTGTTGGGCACGTAGTTGATAAAAAATAAAGATAAATGATTTTTTTGTCCTTGTGAGTATGGTAAAAAGTAATGGCAATTGTGTAATAATAATGAAAAAATAAGATAATTTTATGGTGATATGGTTATTTATGGAAATGAGACTTGTTTTGGGACGGACAAAAATGATAAACAACACTATTGTATTGGGACAGAGGGAGTATTATAATGCTATATAAATCAGAGTTGATGTTTAAAATTAATTTTTAGCATAATTGTTGATGTAATTTTTCAACAAAAATAAAGTAAAATTCAAAGATATAGAAAATATCCTTAAACTTGATTAATTAGTGCCTGAGATTAGGAATCTCTAAACACTGTACGGTACAGAAAATAAACTGGAAAATAAAAGACTGAAATTTAAAGTGGTGATCCCCAAATCTGACTTTGCTTTGTTGAAGTTGTTTGAAGATACCTTGCCAAATGATGATTCAAACCTTTAAATATTCTCTGGGAAACCGTACTGAAAACCGTCACCCGAACGGTTACAACGTCTCCTTCCCAACCGACCTCCAACCCCTTTCATGCTGACACGTGTCCTCAGCAGACCAAAATTATCCTTATATTTCACTCTTTGAACCGACCACAGACCTTCCGCTCTTTTGGCCCGACTTCGTCCTTCGCCCGACCTGCTTCTTCGCCCGACCTCGCTTAGGCCGACCTCCGCACCAGCCGCCCTCCGTCTTCGACCGAAGACCTCCGCATCTGTCCGTACCTCTTCCTTGCCCGACCTTCCTCTTAACAGACCTCCGCGTCTGCCCGACTTCGGTCTGGATTTGGATCAATTCTTGAGATCTTAACTTTCTTCCTTTTCCCGACCTGAAAGCCTCCCGACCTGCGGACTTCCCGTCCTGATGACTTTCCGTCTTGAGGACCTACCGACCTAAAGACCTTCCGTCCTGATGACTTTCCGTCTTGAGGAACTCCCGACCTGAAGACCTTCCGACTTGAGGTCCTTCCGTCTTGAGGACTTACCGACCTGAGATCCTTCCGACCTGAGGTCTTCCGCCCTGAGGACCTTCCGTCTTGAGGACCTTCCGTCTTGAGGACCTACCGACCTGAGATCCTTCCGACCTGAGGTCCTTCCGTCTTGAGGACCTTCCGTCTTGAGGACCTACCGACCTGAGGACCTACCGACCTGAGATCCTTCCGACCTGAGGTCCTTCCGTCTTGAGGACCTTCCGTCTTGAGGACCTTCCGTCTTGAGGACCTACCGACCTGAGGACCTACCGACCTGAGGACCTTCCGTCTTGTATTTTCCTTAGAAATAAATCTATTTTCCTTGATTTCCTCACAGTGTCCTTCAGCCAGTTCAATCAACCCTATTGCCAGGCCCATTCTTCTTTTTACCTTGGGCTTTTAACCTAATTCTAAATTTCGTACGTAACAACTTGCCCGCCGCCAAGGGACTTTCAAACGCCATTTAACAATCAATGTTTGGAAGTTCATAAATCACTACCTTCTTGAAACATTCCCTTAGCAACTGCACCAGTTACTGCAATACTCCTGGTTAACTTCCTTCTCCGCAATACAAGCCTTTGTGAATCACAATCCCAAAACACTCTAACTATGGCGAATCAATACATTCCTGCCCTTCCTTTCGACGGAACCCTCCCGGAGGGCCCATTTTCAGCCTCGAAAGTACTAACTCCGACGATCCGTCCATACTGCACTACTCCTGAAGACTCAAATCGGATGAGGGAAGTTTTGGAATCCCGAAATTCCTTGGCTATCAACAATCCTAACTACCAAGCAATTCGCATTCGAGACAGCATCAAAACCCATCTCACAGACCCAAAAGATCCTTACCGCGCTTGGTATCGACGGGTAGCAGAACACTTTCAGGCCCAATGGCGATCTCAAAAAATCGACCAAGCCATACTACTGTCCACCATGCCTATCAACCTGCATGAGAAGGTGCTGTTGGCCATGTCTGCCTTCTGGAATGCGGAAAATGGGACTTTCCTCCTACCATCTGGCCCCTTTGGTCCAACTCTTATGGACGTGGCCATGATCGCGCATCTCCCAGTCGTGGGTGAAGACCCTGTAATGGGAGCCCTAGATGGGCAGGAGCCATCAGAAGACCATCCAGGGTGGTCTTTACAAGGTGTGAAGGAATGGGGTTGGACAAAGTTCGCAACCGACCAGCAAGGGGCTCCAGGGACCCCTGTGACCGACCGGGAGCATACTGCCTTTATCCTTTTTTGGCTTTGTAGGTACGTCATTGTTTCCCCTTCCAAATGTGTTCTTCCTTCTCATCTCGACCTGGCCATTCATATCGCGTCAGGTCGATTCTTTTCCCTTGGCACCCTGTTTTTAGCCAATCTGTTTGAAGGACTTACTAGGGTTAGCCTTCGTCTGACAGATAATGATAGTAGAAAATTAGACACTGCCGCATCAGGTCCTTTTTGGTTTTTAGAACTTTGGTTCCGTCTTTACTTCCCCAACGCGTTTAACTTAGGATCTCCGCCCACTATGCCAACAACGGAAAAACATTTGGGATTAGCCCTTAACCGACTCTGCTCAGGACGCAATAAACTCCAATCTTCCGATCCAATAATAATCGCAGTTTTAACAGATACCCGCAATAACTCTCGATTTTCTATGTATAAAAAGTATGCGGGCTATGCTCCCGACCATTTTTGGCCTTTTCCAGTACCAAATCCGCTTCCGACTCCTGAGCCTTGTCCTCATTCCACTTATCCTTTTGCCTGGGACGTTGCCCTCAAACCCAGGTCTCTTTTTAGTAGCAAAAAACTTGATAAAAAGGGGCAGAAAACCTTTTACACTTTTAATTATGAACCTCAATTCGTGGCGCGCCAGTTCGGCTGTTGCCAAGGTATCCCTGGACCCGTCGCGTGTCCACATATAATTTTTCAAAGCCCTGACCGACGGGTCCTACCGAATTCAATCCCCTCTTATATCTCCCAGCTCACCACGTATATAACTTCCAATTCTTATATTCCTTTCCGCTCCAACCCTGAGACTGTAGCAACATTCAATGAATGGTGGTCGGTTGTATGGCCCCTGATCGCCCCTGATGAGGGTCGGTTGCTGAACATACTCCTTCCCCCCCAAGGATTGGTTCTAGGGGCGGCTAGACATTCTAGCACTCAACAACAAACAGCCGCCCCGGGGATCGGGTCTAGTGCTCCAACGCGAAAAAGAAAAGTGTCCCAGCTGCCAACACCCCCGACCTCGGGGACCGACCAGCAAACACTAGCAGACCTTGGAACAAATAGGACGTCAGCAAAGGCCCGACCCCGAATTGGTAATGTTTCTTAACACCGTGAACCAATTCACTATATCTTAACTTTGTTTCACATATTATTCACCAGAACCGACCTTGGCAACACCGACCACACAACCGACGCCAGCCCCAGCCGACCATTCAACCGGGCCTTTGGTCCAGACCAATCTGCCAATGAGTAGTCGGGCGGAGGACCCGACGAGGAGGCAAACTCTTCCTCCTGCACCGAAGAGCGGTCGGGTCAGGCACCCGACCAGGAGGCAATCTTTACCAGTAGTGCCTAGAGAACCAGTAAGTTCTCTCATCAGCCATACTTAGGATTCTAATGATCAACCCTGATATATTTAACAACCAACATTTCCATGATTGTTTCACAGACACCTTCACCCATCGGATCAGCAGCAGGGGTCTCTTCTGACAGCGAGGGAACTACTTCCCAGATGGGTCGACCGCCATACATAGCATCAGACTCATCCATGTCAAAAGAAAGACCAACTGCCCTCGCCGAAGCTGACCCTCAAAACGACATCCTTGATGTTGCTGATCCCGAAATCGAAGGTGCCCCAGAGATTCTGGCTGCAGTGGCTCTAGAAGCAGCCGCCCAACCTGCAGCCGCCCAGCCAGCAGCGGCACTTCCTCTAGCAATCGAGTGGCAGGCAGAAGAACCACCTGTGGCAGCCCAACCTCCAGAAATGGAAGAAGTGTCTTCATCCGATTCGGAGACTTCTGTGAATTTGGTAAGATTAAACCAATCCATGCCACAATATCTCTTTCAGAAAACACTAACTATTTTACATACTACTTTCAATAGGGACCCAGGTCGGCACCTCAGCGACCATTTGCAGCAGCCGACGAGTCGGCTGCTGTTATACCAGCTGTCCGCCCTACTCGACCGACCTCATTGCTGCCCCCCTCACTGACAGCAGTCCGCCCAGAGGTAACACATATCTTATAAGAATAAATTTGCACCTCTCTTGGAATACTTATTGACATTGTAGGACTTGCAGGGGCCTTCAGACTTAGCTGTCCTATCGACTGTTCCGGTTCCGGCGGAGGCCCGAACCATATTCACTGAGGCCATTAACCATCCCCTGTCAGAATTGAGATCCGACTTATTGGACAAACTCATTCAGACGGTTGGTGGCCTTCTATTTTACACTCCAACGGAATCGCCAGCCGTCCCTATTCTGCATCGGCTGATGGAAAGACTTACAGAGCTCAAGACTGAAGTGTTAGTCATTGGACTCCTGTCAGCCGAAACCCCCCAGCCCGACTTCGATCAAACAACGCTGGAGAATTCTTTGGCTAAGACTCGAGAATCTCTTCAGCAGACTACCGGAAGGCTGGGTGGTCTCCTTAGCACAAAAGCTCTAGTTGATGATGCCATTCAGAAAAAGGAGGCAGAATTGCGGGAGCTGAGGAAAGAACAGTCTACCCTGGATAAGCAAATTATCAATGAACAGCGTCTGCTTGAGAAGTATACCAAAAATGAGGCTGAATTGGATCAAGAGCTGAAAACCCAAGCCCGATCCCAATTCATCATAAGATATCAGACGGCTGCCAATACCAGAAGGCTATCCAGGGATGAAATCAAATGGACCCATATAAAAACTGCCCTAGGGGCATTGTTGTAATACTTTCCCCTTTGTAACAATACTTGACTTAGTAATCCATTTTTTTCTTTCTTCTCAAAACAAGGATCACCTTTCAATTCCCAACTTTGTAGGAATCGAAACAAACTCCTTCTTTAAAAGAATATTGTTTCTCACATTTCAAGAAACACATTCCAAGGCATATTTTGAAAAATCAAAACACTTGACGTGTTAACAAACATGGCGAATGACCGACCTTATGTTCCATCAAACAACTGGCAAGGTGTTCTTCAACCCTTCTTTGTGGGTAATCACCCTATTGGAGGCCATGCAGAAGACTTGTTACATATACTCAAGCAACTAGACTTCAAATTCCGATTCTCCCAACGAGGAAGAAGAACCATTCATCGCGTCATCCGCCTGATGGAAAAAGTCATTGAGGGGTATGAACCTCTTCGTGACATCCTTAGCCGCATTCCTGATCTCCATCACCACATGGAAATGATAGAAAATCACGCAGCAACTATACTTCCAGATCTTGGTTGGGATAACATCTTTTCCAATCAACGAAAAGTCTTTTCAAGACTACGGACCATTGTTGATCGTGAACATCAAGCCATAACAGACATGCAAGCACGTACCCATCAAGATTTAGATGAAATGCAAAGCCAATGGGAAAGGTACCGACCAGATTTGGAAGATCTTATTGAAGAAGAACCAGAGCTAATATCCACTCACTGGGATGAAAAGTCTGATTCAGAGGCAGAAAATTTCCCACAACTACACGATGACTAACCGAACTGAACCTTTAAATAGGTTCGAACCCCACAAACGGGTTCTGAGAATAATATTTTACTTCAGGCAGTTTTGTTATCTGAAAAGGCAGGATAATACCTCTTCAGATATTTAGCATTAATACAATCATGTACTCTTCTACCTTCATGATTTACAATAATGAACGCGCCATTTCCAATATCTTTTTGAACAATGTATGGTCCTTCCCAATTCGGTGACCATTTTCCCAATTGGTCAGTTTTCTTATATGTAGGAAGAATGGTCTTCCAGACTAAATCTCCTTTTTGGAATGTCCTGTGAAGAACTTTCTTTCCATAACTCTTTGCTCTGATTTCACTCTGTTTCACACTTCGCTCTATTGCATGGAGTCGGTTAACATCCAAATCTTCTAACTGCTGCAACATAAGTTGTTGGTATTCCTCTGTAAGATCACTATCAGTAAATTCTGTTCGGCCAGATGATACTCGGATTTCGGCTGGTAAAACAGCATCTTGGCCAAACGTGAGTTGGTAAGGTGAGAACCCTGTTGCCGTATTTCTGGTATTCCTATGTGCCCACAAAGCCTGAGACAATAACAAATGCCACTTTCTTGGGTTCCCTTCCACCATCTTCTTTATAATCCCAATAATAATCTTATTTGCTGCTTCCGCTTGTCCATTGGCTTGGGGATAATAAGGTGACGAATGATGTAATCGAACCCCGAATTCTGCCAAGAAACTAGAGAACTTTTCCCCTGTGAAAACCAGGCCTTGGTCGGTTGTTATAGACTGAGGAATACCATATCTGTAAATAATTTGGTTCAAAACGAAGTCTATCACTTCTTTCTGATCCACATTTTTCAAAGCAACTGCTTCTACCCATTTGGTAAAGTAGTCAGTCGCGACCAATATGAAACAATGATGTTTCGATGAAGCAGGATGTATCTTACCAATAATATCCATAGCCCATGATTTAAAAGGCCATGGTTTTGCCAAGAATTGCAATTCGGTTACTGGCAAATGGTTTAAGTTTCCATGTTTCTGACATTCCTGGCAGCCTTTGGCAAATTGTATGCAATCTTGAAAAATCTTTGGCCAGAAAAAACCCAAACGATGGATGGCCCATCTCATATTCAGACCTGCCCGATGAGCTCCACATATCCCACCATGTACTTCTGTCATTACCTCTAGAGCTTCTTTAGACCCCAAACATTTCAAAAGTAAACCTTCAAATGATCTCTTGTACAAAATTCCATTTATCAATTGAAAACGTAAAGCTTTCAATCGTGTCGCAATCGAAACACTCGCACCTGGATTCTGTAAATACATGATAAGCTCTGTTCTCCAATCGGGCACTGTTTCGCCGTCGGACTCCTGTCCGACAACAACTTCGCAGTTGGGCTCCTGAACGACCATCTCCTGCCCGACCATAATTTCGCAGTCGGGCTCCTGAACGACCATCTCCTGCCCGACCATAATTTCACAGTCAGGCTCCTGTGCGACCGTCTCTTGCCCGACCATTCGGTCACATATTGGGTCCGTCTTTCCTTCTATGCCCGACTTGACCTCCGACCACATATCCTCCAGAATTCCTTTACATGCCCTTTGAGCCAATTCATCAGCACGTTGGTTTTCTTTCCTCGGAATGAACTCAATTATTACTTCTGAGATTTTTGTCAGTAACCGACCCACAATGTCCCTGTATCTGCGCAGATGAGGGTAATTGCAAACATATTGATTGTTTACCTGGTTGACTACTAATTGAGAATCCCCCTTTATGATTACAGACTGGACCTTCCTGGCAATCAAAGCCTCCAAACCCAAAATTAAAGCTTCATATTCTGCTGAATTATGGGTCATGGCTTCCAATCGTAGTTGTAAGTTGATCTTTTGACCATCAGGTCCTTGCAAAAAGACCCCTGCCCCTGATTTGTTTCCAGAGGTAGAACCATCAAAGAACATCAACCATGTTCTAGTACTTATATAAGACACACATCCGACCTGTAGGGTATTCAAATATGATGAACAACCAAATGGTCGGATGCTGTCACTATGAGAATACCCGACTTGGGAAAATTCTGCTAAGAAGTCGGCTACTGCTTGTCCCTTGACTGCCCTCAAAGGGGAATGTTGAAGATCAAAAGGAGCCAATTTGATGGCCCACTTCATGAGTCTGCCCTTCATAGTAGGTCTCTGTAAAATCAATTTGATGAGATCCACCTTTGATATGACCTCAACTCTTCTGGGCAGCAGATAATGCTCGAGTTTAATACACGCGAAGACCAATGAATAACACATTTTTTCTGGCATAGTGTAATTCAGTTCTGGTCCTGTAAGGGTTTTACTGAGGTAGTAGATTGCCCTTTCTTTCCCGTCATCACCATCCTGTGCCAATAAACAGCTAACCACTTCATATGTATTTGCCAAATAAAGTTTGAGTGGCCGACCCTGTTTAGGAGGCATCAAGACTGGAGGGTGAACCAATGCCTGCTTGATAGCATCTAAAGCCATCTGTTGATCTGGACCCCATTCAAAAGCATTTTTTCCAGCCTTCAACAATTTAGTGATGGGTCTGACCTTGCCAGCAGCATTAAAAATGAAACGCCTCAAATAGTTCACCTTACCCAAAAGACTTTGGATTTCTTTAATCGTCTTGGGTGGCCGACTATCAAGAATGGCTTTAGCCTTGTTGGCATCGATTTCAATTCCTCTCTCATGAACTAGAAATCCTAAAAAGCTCCCGGCTGATATTCCAAAAGCACATTTGGTTGGATTCATCTTCAACTTGTACTTCTTCATTCTTTCAAATGCCTCTTCAAGATCTCTCAAATGTTCGTCAAAACTGGCAGATTTAACTATAACATCATCAATATAAACTTCCATAGATCTGCCAATTAAATCATGAAAGATTGAATTCATGGCTCTTTGGTAAGTTGCCCCTGCATTCTTTAACCCGAATGGCATGACTGTCCATTCATAAATACCTAAAGCCCCTGGGCACCTGAATGCTGTCTTAGGAATGTCTTCTTCTGCCAGAAATATTTGGTTATAACCTGCATAACCATCCATCAGACTAAGGATTTTATGTCCTGCTGCTGCATCTATCAACATGTCGGCCATAGGCATCACATATTCGTCTTTAGGGGTAGCTAGATTCAAATCCCTGAAGTCGATGCAAATCCTTATCTTACCATTTTTCTTGACCACTGGCACAATGTTAGCCAGCCACTCCGCATAACGGCAAGGCTGAATGAAACCCACTTTGAGAAGTTTTTGGATTTCTTCCTTGATTTGAGGCATCAGATCCGGGCTCATTCGCCTTGGAGGTTGTTTGTAAGGTTTACAACCTTCTTTGATAGGCAATCGATGCTCTATTAAACTTCTTGTCAAACCAGGCATCTCTGAATAATCCCATGCTAAACAATCAATGTTGTTTCTAATAACTTCGAGTATCATTGTTTGTTGCTCTTTAGACAAATAACCACTTAACCTGATCACTTTTGGAACCAATTCGGTTCCTAAATTAAACTCCAATAACGGGTCTTGTGATGAAGCTGTTGGTTCTGTTTTTTCTAATAAGTCGGGCCAACGAAATTGTTCATCTTTTTGGAGGTGAACATCCAGAATCTCTTTACTATTTTCTGCTTTATGTAATAATTGCTTTAAATAAAACTTATTAATAAGAGAACTACATACTTCTAAGCTTGTATCTTCCATTACAAACAAATTATACGGGAATGGGTGTGGCTTTACCATGAGCCATACAATAAAGGTGTTCTTTTAATAGAACATCGAGTTCTGGCCAGTGACTTTATAACCCTTGATTGGGTATTCCCTGGCCATGTACAACTGAGACATCGGAGCCACCTGACTGGAATAAAACACTGACTCTTCAACTTGTTCTGTTACATCGAATGGATTATCATTCGCTTCCATTTTGAAGACCTGATTTCCTTCCCAGAACATTAATTGTTGGTGCAGGGTTGAAGGCACACATTGAGAGGCATGAATCCAGTCTCTTCCCAGCAAGAGAGAGTATGTAGTATCTGCGTCCACAATAAAGAAAACAGTGGAGATCTTCTTTGGTCCGACCTCGATTGTGGCAACCATCATGCCTTTAGGCTTAGTCGGCTGCCCTGTAAAACTTGTCATTTCGAATTCCACAGGAGACAGATCATGAATTCCTTTCCCTAACTTCTTGAGGGTCTTCAATGGCATAACGTTAAAGACTGCTCCATTATCCACGAAAACCTTAGTGATTGGTTTCCCACAAATGTGAGCATTAACATACAGAGGTTTCAAATGAGAGATCGCACCCTCTGGAATAGGAGGAAACACAATCGAAGGTGTTTCCGAATGAGGGTCGGAATCTGAGGTCTTTGCCCCCTCTGTCTCCTCTAATTCACCATCTGCCAAGAATGCCCATAATGGTTCGTCCATAGTTTCATCTACCAGACTCGCCCACGTCGGTTCATCACTCATCTGATTAATCTCTATCATTCGACAAGGGATTCGTGGTCCCAGACGAGATTTAACAGATCTTGAACTTTCCTCTGTAGTTACCACTTCTTCCTTTGTCTTATCCCGAGATTGAGGTTGAACCGTCAAAGATTCAATACGGAATTCTTCCAGAGATGGATTGATGTTGATTCGTTCACAATGTTGGCATCTAAAACCTTTAATTATTTCATCTGCCACTCCTTTACCTTTCCCCTGTCCCGACGAACTTCTTTTGGTATGGTCGGAAGCGCCTAATCCGTCATTCGGTTGCTTTTCTGACCAGACCCGACTGGACCGACCAACTGGAGACTGAATGGCTACTCCCTGCTCGTGGGTCATTTGTTCTGTAAAGACCCGAATGGACTGATCTCCTGCCAAGTGGTCGGCTGCTTTTTGTTCGTCGGTTAATTGTTTTGCTGAAGGACCTCTTTTCCCATACTTTGCAGCATACCTGCGTTTGGCATTGCGAATCTGTGTACGATTCATACCCGGAAAACGAGGGTCTATATCAACTGGTAAAGGCTTTTTATTTCGAGCCCAATTGCTCCCGACCGACCCTGCTTTTCTGGTCGGGTGATCACGTACCAAAACCTTTTCTTTCACCTCCACATTAAAAGAACCATCTGGATGGTCCCACTTTTCAGCAACTGGCTTCTCACAAACTTTGAGTCGTTCTTCTGGTCGGCTGCTGTTTGGCCGACTTCCTTTTTTTGTTTCGGGGCTTGGCTGGTTTCGTTCCCCTTTTTGTCCATCGTTGGCCGAACTTTTCCTTGTTTCCGAACTTGGTTGGATGTCAACCATTGCCGTTGTTACATTCGGAAACGGTTGCTGGTCTACACCTAGAGTGATGTATTTGAGCCGACCTGTCTTGATGGCCTTTTGAATTTCCTTCCTAAAATGAGTACACTGACTTGTAGTGTGTGTGAAAGAATTATGCCACTTACAATATGGTCTCCCTTTGATTTCTTCTTTAGTGGCAAGTCTTTGGCCCTTTGGAATACGGATCTGCCTATCAGTCAGTAGGATATCAAAGATTTCATCAGCTTTCGAACTATCAAAGGTCGGTTGCTCCTTTCCTTCAGATCCTGGTACTGGCTTCAATTTAGGACATACATACGGTTTTCCAGAAAGGATTTCGGCTGCCATCTCTTCTGACTGATTAAAATCAAAGTCACATGTTTCTGTTCCCATACTCGCCATATGTTGGCCTCTATTACGCCTGTTATGCTGATCTTCCTCTCTGAACAAAGACTCTAGACGTCCTGCCTTGGATGCAAGACTTGCCAAATCCTCAACATCCAGGGCAGTGAGTGCCTTTCTTAAACGAGTATGCATATTCCGGACCACTAAATTGGTCATCTCTTTCTCACTGATTACCGTAGGACATCGTCCCTTCATCAATCGCACCCTTTCTATAAACTGTGAAGCAGTTTCTTCTGGATACTGTCTCAATTCAAGTAAATCAGTTAAAGAAACAACTGGTAAAGGATTAAAGAATCTAGCGTGAAATGCCATCTCCAGTCCTTCCCATGTCTGAATTTGTCCTGGAGGCAAACTTACAAACCACGAAAACGCCGTTCTAGTAAGAGATAAACCAAACAGCTGTAACTTATGAAAAGGGTTATTGCCAACTTCTCCTAATTGTGCTGTGAACCGACCAACATGTTCTATGGTGGAAGATCCGTCCTCCCCTGAGAATGCATGAAAGTCGGGTGGTCGAAAATTCCTTGGGAGAGGGTATTCATTAATGATCCTTTCTGGGAAAGGTCTCTGATATGCAGGGCGGTTAGCCATCTGAGGAGTTAATCCATACTGATCCCTTAATATATGTGCAATCTCGTCAGGATCTACATGAAAGCGTTGATGATCAGGAACATGGAACGGATCCTGCACAGGAATATGAATAGGATCATGTATATATCCTTCAGGCCTGTCCTCCCTTGTATTGCTCGGCTGCATATTGGTAACCCTTGGTCCCAGTGGAACATTGTTGGGAAAAGTCAAAGGAGATTTTCCCCTATCCATTCGGTTGGGATTTGTGGCACTTGGGAATGTACTATCCACGAATGATGGCCCTGCGAAATTTGCCTGTGGTCTGGACGGGGACACTCCTGGTGGCGTTTGAGTGGTTTGAAGACTCACCCTTGACAGTGCTTGATCTATCAAATTCTGCATTAGACTCTGTTGCTCACGCAACATGTTCGTTTGTTGCTCACGCAACAGATTCTGCATAACCAAAGTATGCTGGTTGTTCATTTGTTGAACATAAGACCACCAATCAGTTGGTGGTTGTGGGATTTCCCCGGCATTTGGCACAATGGGTGGTGGAACGGATTCTCCCACCGGTGCCGAAGATGATTGCGGTTGTGAACCTGCCATAACCCTTCCGATGATTCGGCCGGATCTAAGACGTATGAAATTATCGCCGGAATTGGAATGAGCAATTTTGTCTTGCTCCCACTGTGGTCGCCAATTTGTTGATGTAATTTTTCAACAAAAATAAAGTAAAATTCAAAGATATAGAAAATATCCTTAAACTTGATTAATTAGTGCCTGAGATTAGGAATCTCTAAACACTGTACGGTACAGAAAATAAACTGGAAAATAAAAGACTGAAATTTAAAGTGGTGATCCCCAAATCTGACTTTGCTTTGTTGAAGTTGTTTGAAGATACCTTGCCAAATGATGATTCAAACCTTTAAATATTCTCTGGGAAACCGTACTGAAAACCGTCACCCGAACGGTTACAACGTCTCCTTCCCAACCGACCTCCAACCCCTTTCATGCTGACACGTGTCCTCAGCAGACCAAAATTATCCTTATATTTCACTCTTTGAACCGACCACAGACCTTCCGCTCTTTTGGCCCGACTTCGTCCTTCGCCCGACCTGCTTCTTCGCCCGACCTCGCTTAGGCCGACCTCCGCACCAGCCGCCCTCCGTCTTCGACCGAAGACCTCCGCATCTGTCCGTACCTCTTCCTTGCCCGACCTTCCTCTTAACAGACCTCCGCGTCTGCCCGACTTCGGTCTGGATTTGGATCAATTCTTGAGATCTTAACTTTCTTCCTTTTCCCGACCTGAAAGCCTCCCGACCTGCGGACTTCCCGTCCTGATGACTTTCCGTCTTGAGGACCTACCGACCTAAAGACCTTCCGTCCTGATGACTTTCCGTCTTGAGGAACTCCCGACCTGAAGACCTTCCGACTTGAGGTCCTTCCGTCTTGAGGACTTACCGACCTGAGATCCTTCCGACCTGAGGTCTTTCCGCCCTGAGGACCTTCCGTCTTGAGGACCTTCCGTCTTGAGGACCTACCGACCTGAGGACCTACCGACCTGAGATCCTTCCGACCTGAGGTCCTTCCGTCTTGAGGACCTTCCGTCTTGAGGACCTACCGACCTGAGGACCTACCGACCTGAGATCCTTCCGACCTGAGGTCCTTCCGTCTTGAGGACCTTCCGTCTTGAGGACCTTCCGTCTTGAGGACCTACCGACCTGAGGACCTACCGACCTGAGGACCTTCCGTCTTGTATTTTCCTTAGAAATAAATCTATTTTCCTTGATTTCCTCACAGTGTCCTTCAGCCAGTTCAATCAACCCTATTGCCAGGCCCATTCTTCTTTTTACCTTGGGCTTTTAACCTAATTCTAAATTTCGTACGTAACAATAATATATAAAAAAAATGTTTAATTTGATAATTTTGAAAAAAAAATTGAATAAATAATACAAATTTGCGAAAATTCACATCATCCAAAAATATAAAAGAAAAAAAATTCTAGAAATTAAATTTAAATTTAATTTAATTTAATTAATAAATATCAAATCAAACATCACTTTTCATTATTATTTATAATTTTTTTAACAATATTAAATATCATTTATTTCAAATTATCGTATTAATTTATTATTTTTTTAATAAAATAATAATTTTTTTCAATATAATCTTTACAAAATTCAAACCCCCAAATAAACACAACTTAAACATCTATATTTCAAAAATCTAAATCTAAAATTTAATCCCCAAAACAAACCCTAAACCCTAATCCAAGCTAACTCACCGTTAACCAGTAACTCATGCAGATTGACCCATTTAAGCCCCAATTTTAAAGGTTTAAAAAATCACTACTCTATTCTCCTTACAAGGTAAAACAGGGCGGCCAATCCGATGGGCTATATCCATTTTAACGGCTCTAATTGGGCGATTTTAAGCCATTGGCTCAAGCCGAGCCGGTTGATTGAGTCGGTTCTAAAACCCCATCGTATAAACCACAGAATGAACTTCGATCTGGCCATCAGCGCTCTCTAGATTTTTGTTCGATTGATCGAGATGCGGAGGATCAACGGAGTCGCCGCCATTCTCCGGGCAGTCGGAAGCGGTGCCGTCTATCGTTTTGCACCCGGCAACAAAGTCCAGCAGCACCATCAATTTTTCCAGGCAGCGCTTTTCTGCACCAATGGCAATAGCTCCTCATCGTCCAGATCTCATTGGCCTCCATACAATAGGATGACTGGACGGCAGTCCGTTCGCGCTGCTGTTGCCGGAACGGTGTTGTTCTCGGCGGCTGCCGCCGCGGTCGTGGAAGAGGCACAGGCGAAAGAACCGGTGCCGTTGGACCTCCGCCCAAAGGAAGTGGTTCTGTTTCAGTATGAAGCTTGTCCTTTCTGTAACAAGGTCAAAGGTATTGCATCTCTATGCCCATCTTAGATTGTTATGGTGATTGTTTCCCCATGAACTTTATGTTATTGAGAATGAATTTGCTTTTAGGTTCAGGACAACAAATAACATCACAGATTTTGATGTGTTAACGTCTTGAACATATTTGATGCATTCTATATGCTAACTAGTTCATATCAGATGGCAGCTAGAACATGAATTTGTTTTTCCTTTTTTTTTTTTTTTAATCGGAAAGCTAGATCATGAATTCTTGTTTCTTGATCGTTATGTTTTAATGAAAGCATGGTAAACTATGGGTGTGTTTGTTTGAAGGATTTTGGAGGATTTTTACTATTCATCCAATTTTTTCCCCCTAAAAACATCACATCAAACACCTATTTTTCATTTTTTATATTATACTAAAAATCAATTTTACATTCAAAACATCACATCAAACCCTATTTATATCACATCATACAACTATTCAAATTCAAAATTTTTACTATTCAAATCCCAATCCAAAATCCAAACCCCCAAACAAACACACCCTATATGTGCTCCAATTATGCGAATTTCTTGTTTTAATCATAAACAATTCAAGAATTGGAAATTATCTTATAATTAATTTCTTGCAAATAACTTATATTCTGATCATGGTTCGGGAACACATTTTGTTGGTCGAGCACGGTTTTCCGAGCTCAAGGCTATGTGTTTCTAATTCCAGATATGCCAGTAAATGCAAGATACAATCTGATGGGTCAATCGACCTTATTAGAGGTATTAAATGGATAAAAGTGATCAAAAGCTATTTGTTGAAGTTTTAAAATGTTACTTTTGTGATTTAGTAAACTTGCTGATCCTTGCTGAATTTGAAGGCTAAGCATTTTTGATGTGTTTGTCCACTCCTCTGAATTGTTGAAGATATGATCATGACATGATATGCCTTGTATATATTGCTTTTCCAGCTTTCCTGGACTACTACGACATACGATATCAGATTGTGGAAGTAAACCCCATCAACAAAAAGGAAATCAAGTGGTCTGATTACAAAAAAGTTCCTATATTGATGGTTGACGGCGAGCAGCTGGTTGATTCATCAGGTATGTCTTCTAATAAATGTGTTATTTTCCCAACTAGTCCCAAATGGCGAAGATACCCTGTTTAGCTAATTAATTGCTCAGACATAATTTTTTCCTGACTTCTTAGTTTTTGAATCAAATTTCCATTCCTGTCATGCCTTTCTATGTCGATCTAATTGATATCTTTGCTAAAATCTAACTCTTTCCCATGCCTTCTGTACAAAGTCATCATTGATAAGTTGGCCAAAAAGATTTCCCCTGCCACATCCACTTATGTTTCCGAAGATGAAGAAGAGAGAAAATGGCGTGGGTATGTGTTTGTTTCACTTAATGTCTCTCCTAAATTGTGTACTTCTTTTGTGAATAATCTATTATTTCCTTTTATTTTATGTTATAAGCTGTATCTAGTGCTACACTTATGATTATTTAATGACTGAATTGAACGATATTTTTCTCGCGTATCTTCATATATATTACAACATCTAGGTATGCTGTGATGCTACCATAGCTTTGGTACTTTTGTTTGTCAAAACTGTGTTATTTGGTTGCATATGTAGTTTCATATCGAGTATTTATTAATACTTATTGTGCCGTGCGCCAATTAACACTATGATTGCTACCCCATAACTAATACCTTGATTCTTGAGTGATTTCTGCTCTTGACCAATATGAATTTACTCTTTGGCACATTAACTTCATTTCTAACACATCCTCTAACCTCCATTCTTTGAATGCAGTTGGGTAGACAATCACTTGGTTCACTTATTGTCACCTAATATATACCGAAGCACATCTGAAGCCCTTGAGTCATTTGATTACATCACCAGCAATGGTGAGAATTTTTTATTTTTATTCCCACTGATGATAATTCTGATTTAATTATGGAACACTTTGAAATTCCACATCATGTTGTGTCCATGAAAACAATCGATGGATGTGCATCAACTGCTTAAGGCTTATCTTTGTTTTGAACTTTCACTCTGCATTTCTCATTAAATGTTGTTCGAACAAGTTTTGTGACAGAAGTTGCTCTGCTCTCAGCTCATCTACATGTAATTTAGTGCTCTACTTTGATCTATTACAGGTAACTTCAGCTTCACCGAAAAAATAACAGCAAAGTACGCCGGGGCAGCTGCAATGTATTTTGTTTCAAAGAAACTCAAGAAAAAATACAACATCACTGACGAACGTGCAGCTTTATATGAAGCAGCTGAAACATGGGTGGATGCTCTCAATGGTCGAGATTTTCTAGGTCTGAGCCTTCTTCCTATATCTTCCTTGCATTAAAATTTCAATCCTTTCCGGTAGCATGCCATGAAAACTTGACATCTTCTTACATAACATTGTTCTGCCAGGCGGATCCAAGCCCAACTTAGCTGATCTCGCTGTCTACGGCGTTTTGAGACCTATCCGCTATCTCAAGTCTGGTAAAGACATGGTGGAGCACACGCGCATAGGTAACTGGTACGCTCGAATGGAAAATGCCGTGGGAGAATCTTCTAGAATCCAAGCATAGACAATTGCTGTTGTCAGCTCAAATAGAATTGTCATTTTTTTTCACAATAATCACACAAAATACTACTTAAGTGTGCTTTCATCAATTGTTATGATTCTTGGTAGGTAGCTTGCAATTGCACTATGAGATTGTTCACTGGAGTGTTTATACATATTATTGCACAACTAATAATATATATCTAATGTAACTTTATGTCTACTTCCCTATTCCATTAAAGTTGTATTGATTCTTGGATGAACTTGTTCTATTTTGGTCCATTGATTTTATATGCCCATATTGCATTTTCATTCATCAGTGACGTTTAAGCTATATATATGCTAATTGATATCATCACAAATTTAATTCGTAAGCAAAACTTATGTGTTTCATAAAATTACATCAAATTTCTTCTTATGATTTTTATAAATTTTGTGTTTAACCCTTTCGATGGTCTACCCAAACAACAAATGGATTTTAGAATCTTCATTTTTAAGCTTTTGAAATTATCAGCTTGCCTAGACATGTAAATCGAAATAAGAACAACCTTTGATATAAAATTTATGAAACTATAAGGAATTTAACACTGTTTTAGAAGTATAAAAATTTTGGGTAAGTCAAACACCGTTAAATAAGAACAGTTAGACGCAAATTTTATAAAACCACGAAGAGTTTAACGCAATTTTAAAAGTACGAAGAATTTGACATAATTTTGCAAAATTACGTGCGGCTATTATACAGTTTTCCCTAATTTGTACCTATTTTAGTTATCTATCTACACGTTGCTTAGGAGGTACAATTTTACTGGTTTTCATACAATTGACTGGTAAAGCATCATAGTTTTCTACAGCAAAAAGCTATTCACTTCGTTATATAACTGTCTTGAACAGAACAATGTCTTTGTATACTTATCTGCTTCCCAAACTTCTTTTGATCCACAAGAAGCTGAGTTATTTTTGGGGTCATTTCAATGCAGGTTTTGTATATACTAACGATGGTTTATCGGATTTTCTTCGTAAGCATTTTGGCGCGCACAATTAGCTCCTGCGCCGGGGCTGTGACTGCGCAGCCTCCGCCAAACGTAACAGTTCCTGCGCTTATTATTTTTGGGGATTCGATCATGGATACAGGCAACAACAATGAGCTGGTAACTGTAGTGAAGTGCAATTTTCCACCCTACGGCGTCGATTTTCCAGGCAGGCTCCCGACAGGCCGGTTTAGCAATGGCAAGATACCTTCAGATATGATCGGTACACAATATAAGCACGAATGTGTATGTAATACAAACATATGTAAACATTAGGGAGATTTCATGGCTTTTTTTTCGTATAAAATTTGCAGCTGAAGCATTAGGAATTGCAGATCAAATCCCACCTTACCTTGAAACCAAAAAGAACTCATATGATCTCACAAAGGGTGTCAGCTTTGCTTCTGCAGGAACAGGATACGACCCGCAAACAGCTCTGTTAGCGGTATGAATACAAACTTAAAAACAAAAGTTACAAACTTGCCTCGTTCTTGATTTGGTGTGCTCACTCATGGGGTCGTGTCTTGCTGTCGAATTCCAGTCTGTTTTATCATTCCCTGCTCAGATGAAGCTATTTCAAGAGTATATGGAACGGGTGAAAGGGGAGCTCGGGGAAGAAGCCGCCAGCAGTTTTTTCGCAGACAGCTTGTATCTATTGGTTGCGGGCACTAATGATATTGCTAATACTTACTTCACCATTGGCACTCGACGCTTGGAGTATAGTATAGCTTCTTATGCCCGTTTCCTCGTCTCTAAAGCTTCCACTTTCATACAGGTACTAGAATTCAAGAATTCACAGCAGTATGTAAGATGACAGACAAAAAGATACGATTATGAACTTACTTGTAGGAACTGCACCAGCACGGAGCAAGAAGGATAGGGGTGCTCGGCACCCCACCAATCGGGTGCTTGCCTCTCGAGCGAACCTTGGCAGGTGGACTACGGAGGAATTGCAATGAGGTGCGCAATAAGGCAGCACAAGTTGTCAACACCGAGCTCTTGTCTGAACTGGATTCATTATCCAAAAGCCTAGCAGACTCGAAGATTGTCTATCTTGAGATATATGAACTTCTGCTCCAACTCATCGAGAATCCTGAAGACTTTGGTTAGCATGCATTCTTAATTTCTTTAAGATGTACAAATAAATGACTGAGGATATAAATGTAACTGATCATTTCAGGGTTTGAGGTAAGTGACAGAGGTTGCTGTGGGACAGGGATTGTTGAAGCAGCTGTGTTGTGCAATCCATTTAGTGCAACATGTGAAGATCATTCTAAGTATGTATTTTGGGACACCTTCCATCCTACAGAGAAAGCATACCAGATTCTTGTTGACCGTATCATTGAACTGAACTTCGACAAGTTTCTGTGATAAATGTGACTGAGCATATTATGCTAGGTTTTATGAATTATCTCCAATTGTGATAGCAGCATGAGATTGAGTAATACATTGTAATAAAACTAAGTCATGTTAAAGTTTCATGAATAAATTTCTAAGATTAGTTCCAGATGATCATACTTTTTCTATCTTTTCGAATTGACTTTATCCTGATATATTACAGCAGTAATTACACTCTGCGAGCAGTTTGAACCTAATTCCCTCTGTTCCTGGATTTTCTTGTGTTACCAATTCTTTAGATTGAAGGATGGTTCACTTTTTAGTCTCCACACCACAAATGCTCAAAAATTAACCCAAAAAGTGTTAAGTATCTGATGTGAAAACACTGCACATAATTGAATTTTGAGCTAATGAAAGTAAAAACCTTATTTATGTCCATATCTTGTCTCTATAATATCAATGTATTTCAATAATATTCCTTTGATCTGAGATGGGTTGCATTGGTTCCATGATTTTAGTCCCAAAAATGCATGGCATGTGACATCTCAACAATACAAATTAATCTTCCCACAACCTGCATTGGCTAATCTTCTTGTAGATATGCTTTAGCTACTTCAGGTTTATACACATTTGTAATCTAAGATTTTAACAAAGTAGTAACTAACAACACACCTTTGTCACTTTAGGCCAAAAATTAATTTCGAGGATCAAATGATTGAGAAGAAATTACATACCATGATAAAGCTCATCATAAAACAAGTGAAAAAATATACAGTCAACTGTTAAGGCCAGTTTACTATATGGGGTTAAAAAGTTATCAGTCATAGTAATAATAATCTTCACATTAAACATATAATTAAAACTAAAGATGCAATTATTATTTTATCCCACAAAGTAAACACACCATAAAAATATAATCCACCCATTTAGGGAGCATGTGAAGATGATTCTCTAAGTACATTATTTTTTGTTCATATCATGGAAATACATATACAAATTTGTGTGACAAATGTTCAAAGCCACTCAAGTTCCATTTAATTCCCTGTAACAATTTATTACATAAAACCCAATCAAGTGTGTCTGGTTTCGTATGAGATCTGCAGCATTCCAGTTGTTTTTCGAATGTAATGCATTTTCATGAACACTTTTAAATCTTTATATACATTATTATGCCACGGTTTTCAATTGGGACAATGGATTACTGTACAGAAAGATCAAGGAGGCCTCCTATCCATCGAAAAAACAATATATCAAACAGCTTCACTTGACTAATGTAAAGTAAAATACTTAGCTGCTGAATCAGATTGCATCAATTTTGTTTTTAACTGAATTTCAATAACAACAAGAGAACACACTAGAACAACTCTTAAATGCAAGAAAATTAGATCCACTATTAACACACACATACAAATCAGAAATGCAAAAGAGGCTAGCAAATATAGATCATGTTTGCTTATCTTTTATTGCTGAGGATGTCTTGAACCACGGTACCCATACTGAAGTTGTTTTCTTGTAATGCTTGTATGCATCAGCCCGGTATTGCTGCTTCAACATCCTGTCCTCGACAAGAACGGTGACATAGGCCAAGCACAAGCTATTGATCAATGCACCTGTGAAGGCCCAGCCACAATCCAAGTTCCAAGCAAAGATTGCCAATCCCCACCACCATAATTGCTCCCCAAAATAGTTTGGATGCCTCGAATAGTGCCATAACCCCTCATCCAAAGTAGGTACCAATGCTTTGCCAATCTCTTTTAGTCTCTGGTTTCTAGTAACAAAATTGTGAAGCTGTGTGTCGGCAAAGTATGCAATGGTAACACCAGATAAGCATACCAAAGCAGCAATTACATCCCAGACATTCAATTGCCTGTCTTTTGAGTGCACAACATAGAGAGGAAAGCATATTCCCATGAGAAAAACCTGCAGCGACATATGTAATACAACAGCGGTAATTACTCTCGAGTGACAGTTCATTCAGTCATTTGATCGAACAGTTGTGTGGCAATCATCAAGCCCGCAGCCAAATTAAATTTCAGAATTCTTCATGGATGAATTAACAGAATTACCTGCTGGGAGAGATATACAGCAAAGAAGGAAACCCACCACCAATTTTTTCCGTACTGGAGACGCATATCGGCGAATCTCCAGTCTTCTCGAGCTCCCCAATGCCATCGTTCTCGCCGGAAATAGCTATGAGTCAGCCTAATGCTCCAAATCCACGTCAAAATTATAACAATTCTCGACCTCAAATCGTTGTATTCCGCCAACGGATGGTTACCGAAGAAATGGGCAAGCAACACAGGTATAACCGTCCAATACAAATCAATCATCTGCAATGCCAAACTCGCCATTAACGAAAAAAAAAATTCAAAATTCGGCAGCAAAACAAAATTCATCGACAGATACCAACCCAGTGGCTGGACTGGAGGAGACCGAGAAGCCAGAAAAGAAGATTGACGTTGAGAAGGAAGAGGAGATTGGCCAATAGCATAGGATGGCGATAGCTCCAATTCCAGACAACAGCAAGCGAATCCGCTTCTGCGGCGGAATACCGCCGGAGGAAGGAGAGATAGAAAATTATAGAAGGAAGAGGCGCCAGAAGCGCCACGAGTATCTTCGGCAGATTGCCGCCATAGCTGCTACAGTTGGACGTCGCCATCTGACGTCGCCACACAGTCTGAAGGAGTTATTTATAGCCGTCGATCTGGATCTCGAATCTAATCATTTTTTGAGAGGATCGTGACCGTTGATCATTTCGCCAATTAATTGCCGCCGATCAAGTAAATATCTTATTGCACGCCCGTTAAAAAAAAGTGCACATACCACATATGTCGTGGTATAAAATATTTACAGATTCCAAACTTTTTTGGTCAACTTTATTTCAAGTTTTGATAATAATAAGTTGATGGGGATAATGATTGCAATTTGTAATAATTGGTCCCATCATCTCTATCCACTTTGAATAATATCTTTTTTTTTTTAATATATTATTTTTATTTAATTATATTTTACTAATATATTTTTTAAAATATATCTATGTTTATAATAACAATGACAATATAAAGAGAGTATCATTAGCTGAAAAGCTCATGTAAAGATTAATCAAAGTTGAAACTTCAGTATAATATTGTCAATTGTTAATTTTAACTTAATCACTGAGTTTTAGATATTTGATAATTAATAAATAATTAAAAATATATCAAGAAAAATAATTATAAATTTTAAAATATGATAAAAATATATAATTATATCTAAAAACAAAAGTGTGCACAAATTAAGTGGGACAAAAAAAGTATAATTTTATTTATAATACTCTCTCAGTACCATATTAATATATCTATTTACTTTTTTAAATATAATTTAAATTCTATTACTTTCATGAAAAAAAAAAAAAAACAATTGCTTAAATTTTTTAACACATTTAATAAAAGTGTATTTTTTATACTTTTTTTTGTCCTTTATAATAAATAAAAAATTGATATAAATTTTTACTAGGAAAATAAAAATATTTTGAAGGAAAAAAAAATAAAAAAATTGGACTAGAGATAAGTATTATATATATATATAGCACAATAGAATGATAAATAAGAATTGTCTGAATGTATTTGCCTATTATAAATTAGGATATTTAAATTACACTAGATAATATGAATTTCTCTTCACAATAAATTATATTTAAAAAACATATAAACACATCATTAATCATACTAAAAAATACTTTAGAATTTCAATATTTTATTATTATTTGTGAGAATCATAGCTACTAAAAAAATAAATAAATTGATTTCTAATATGTCAAAATACAAAATAGATAGATTAGTTCTTGAAAAAGGAATTTTATATATATATACAAATTTTGGGCTTCTTCTAATCCAAACTTTAGTAGAATTATGTATAGACAGATTGGGCTGCTATAGTAATGGGTCACTGGACAGGCTAGCTAATTTTAATTTCATAACTGGATAACTCATAAAATTGCACTATTTGATTCAACTCAGACAAACAATTTTCAATTAATATAATTTATTATGCTCCAGCATAATAGCTCTACAAAATTTATTAAATTCAATAATTCGATTGGAGGAAGATGGGACCACCAAACCATTCCATAAAATTTACTGTATATATATATATATATATTAATTTATTTATCCCACCCAGCTAAGTATGGTGCATATTGGTTGCGTTACGTATACACATTTCAATGCAAATCAATTCAGGGTTTGTTTGTCGGTGGGTTTGGATTTTGAGTTGGATTTGAATGGTAAAAATTTTGAATTTGAATAGTTGTACGAGGTGATATAAAAAGGGGTTGATGTGATATTTTGAATGTAAAATTGATTTTTAGTATAATATAAAAAATAAAAAATAGATATTTGATTTGATTTTTTGGGAAAAAAAATTGGATGAACAGTATAAATCCAATCCAATCCCCAAACAAACACACCCTCAATATCTCTTAAATCAATAATAATAATAATAATAATATCTGTTAAATCAATAATAATAATAATAATAATAATAATAATAATAATAATAATAATAATAATAATAATAATTATCTGTTAAATCAATAATAATAATAATAAGATTTGTAGCTATAAACAGATATAATTAGAGAAATTGTTATATTAGGTAAAACATAATTGATAACTGTACTACTTTCCCCGGATCCGACCAGAAAGAAATACCTAAGTATTTATTTGATTATTTATTTGATAACGGTACCTATTAAGTATTTATTTGATTTTTTTTGTATTGTAGATTAAAAATAATACTCTCTCGGTTATGTAATTGTGTGCTCATTTGACCGGGCACGAGTTTTAATAAAAGTGAGTAATAATTATTAATTTTTTATTTTACAGTAAAAAAAGTACAAAAGTAAAATAATTTTTTACTTATAAAGGAAATGAGAATATTTTTTATGACAACTCAAAAAAAAAAGTGAGCACATATTTAAATGACAGAGGGAGTACTTCTTTTGTCTCATACAAGAAAAAAATACTCCCTTTATCTCATTGAAAGTTACCATTTTTTATTTTCGTCCGTTCCAAAACAAGATTACTGTTTTCTAATTTAGTAATTATACTACCTATTTAAGATAATAAATACTCTTTCAACTTACAATATATTACACATATGTCATTACTTTTATATTAGACCATACTAATAGAGGTATTTTTGTTTTTTTTACTACAATCTAATATAATACTAATATTAAAAAATGTACGTGCATGAAAGCAAATGTCATCCTTCCAACGGGATGAAGTGAGTATTTAATTTTTCAGCACAAAAATTTAGGTGAGTAGAATAAAATAGAAATTAGGTGATGTAATGAGAAAGAAAAATGTACATTTAAAAAATTATTTGAATTGTGTGATGAGATAAAATGAATTAATTTTTTTTTATTTTGAAAATACTGCAACGTATGTGGAACGAATAAAATAGTATTTTATTATTTTGTAAAAATATGTAAAATAATTTTAATTTATTTATTTGATTAAAAAAAAAAAAAAGAAAGAAGAAGAAGAAGATGGGATAAGCATAAATAATAAAGAAAACTACATTAAATTGAAATGAAAAAAAAAAACAAAAAAACTTGTAATTGCAAAAGGTGAAAAAAACAAAACGGGAAAGTTAAAAGTAATGCACGGGCAGTCATGTCTACAATCAAATACAATGTGGAATTGTGTCGTGTAAATGATGACATATAGAGGTCGGACTTGTGACCGTTTCGCCTACAGTGACTTTTTTCCGTCATTAAAACAACAAAAGCGTAGCATATCTGCTACCATATATGGAGTATTATTTATTATTTATTTATTTTATTCATTTATTATTATTAATAATAATATATATAAATAGATATATTGTGGAGCCTGAAATGAAATGAACATAGAAAGGTTAAAGCGATGGTGGGGACTGGGGCTTAGGGTATGGACAGAGACGCGCGAACCTCTAATATAGTGCCATTTTTCGATCAGGAAGGCAGCTGATTAATTTAATTAATCTTAGCAGATAATAATGGACATAAACAAGGAGATCAAACTGCTTCCATTCTTGGTCAATCATGTCATCTCCTACAACATATAATACATATTTACAGATCGCCATCATATCATATATATGATCGTACACCAAAATGCACACACCACTAGGAAAATAAACACAGACAGATCTACAAGATGCCATATCCAGATTTAAAACCAAAACTTTTTGATTGAGCCCACTTCCACCCTAATCTATAGCTAATTAGAGATCCTGCTGCAACTAATTTGGAAAATGGTCTGTCCGTACGGGCAGTGGGGTGGGGTGGGGTGGGGTGCTTTAGAATGGTGCTGTTAGGGTTCTATGGAGCTTCTGCTTTTGCTTTTGCTTCTGCTTCTGACTGTGATCGCCAAGTGATGATGCTGCACAGAGCTGTGGAAATTGATGATAATTAATAATTATAATAATCAAAGGGTTTGTTCTTGAAATCCCACTTTAACAAGCAAGCAGATTTTAATTTCTTTATTTATAATTAATTAATTACCTGTTCTTGCTGTCTTCTTAGCTTGGAATTCTCCTCCATCAAACGTGCAAGCTCCACCTCCAGCTCGTACGTATATGCCTTTTGAATTTCGATCATCATCATCATCCCCAACAAATCAAACCACACCAAAAACAGCACAATCAAACAAACCCTACAACTTAATTCTGACCAAATCGAAAATCAATAAGGAAACTAAATTAATTAATTAAACCAAAAGTAATCTGAATCGATCAATCACACACACACACACACTGTACCTGTTTCCTAGCCCTAGATCTTGCAGCAGACTCCCTGTTCTTCATAAGCCTATACTTCTTCTGTTCTTCGCTTGCATTATCATCCCCAGAAGGACCTCCTTTGCGTTTCGAGCAAGCACAAGAACTCGAAGAAGCCAACAAGCTTGTGACATTAGAGCAACCAGAGACAGACCGTGTCTGTGTCTGTGTCTCAGTCTGAGTCTGAGTCTGAGTTTGACTGTAAGAAATATTGCTGCTGATGACGACACCCTTTTTCTGCGGCAGCCCTAGTTTCGACGTGGGCCGACGTGGGTCTAAGGGAGAAGCCAAGAATTCTTGGAGGGTCAAACCCCCCGCCGCCGGCGGTGCTTCGGCGGCGTCGGCGGCGGCGGAGTAATGGTGGTCGAGGGATGCCAGGCTCAACTCCTTCCAGACATCTTCCATGGATTCCAAATTTGGGGGAAAACTAAAAAAGGGGTGCGAGTGAACGGCTATGGTGGACCAGATATTTTAGTATGGTGCCATTTATGGGACTTACTACAGATGAGGAAAATGTCACAGTTATTTAATTCCTCTTGTGGGAAAAAAGTAAGGGTTCTTGGAAGACTGGAAATTCTTGTCCGAATTTCCTATAAGTAGGCCAACCCAAAAGGAGTAATCTTTTGTGTATGCGCCGTGATTCTATTCAGATTGGGCTGTTAAAGTGACAGGCAGTAAAGCTACATCAAGATTGGTCGAATAAAAATGCCCAAACATAACAACCTACGGCAATGCAAAGTACATACACCAAGCAATTTGTTTAATAAACACACTTGTGCCTATTGATTGTTTTGCACCAAAACTCAAAAGGGTGTTTTTCCGGTGACCGGAGCAACCTATAACAATACGTCTTCCAACACATACCATATGTTAAATCTGATACAATGGAAACAGAGAAGCCTGAAAGTTAAATCAAAAAGGCATTGATGTCGCTCTCATTTACCATCGACTTTTAAATTTCATTTTCAAAATGCACCGGTGTACTGAGAAAAGTTTCACCTCAAAACACAGTTTCTTCTGCAAATCATCCAAGAGTAAAGCACTCAAAACCATTGGCACAAAACAATTGCAATCCATGTCAGCAGCAAAATATTGGCAAAAGATCCAGTCCAGAAGCTAAAAGATGTTTGACGTAGTCAGACCACTCCCACCTCCTCTGGCTAAAACGGTTACCATATGTAGGCATTTAGTCTCCTCCGGCTGGATCCGGGACAGATAGGTTAGTCAAGAAAAATAATTGGGTATTAAGCAATTTTCAATACATAATTAAGCAAGTGCACCAACCTTGAGTACGCAAAATTGTGTTCCGAAAACAGTTTCATACGCTTACGGTGCGATCTCCTTCAGCGGTGCTGTCTACAGGAGCCAATCCCGACTGATTAATCAGGTTCTCAGGCATGAGCTTGCCAGTAGTCATCTCAGCGTGAACTTGCTCTGAATCTGTCTTTTTAGTTCCTGAATTGTTGTCTAGTGAAACATTTTGTAAGGAGGTTGCTAGCTCATTTTGGGGTGCCACAGAGGTGCTGGAAGCTGAATTTGGAAGAACCAGACCGGATGGCAGTAGATATTTTCTCCACTCATTGCGCCTCCTCACCTTGCCATCCTGTAAAAGAAAGAGAAAAAAGAGAAGCAAAATTTCCTGTCATTGTTTCTACTGATTTCCGACTGGATACTCAAGGAAAGAGAATTTCCTCTTCATAACCTACAAATATGCAGACAATGAAATAGAGGGCAGCAACTTACAAAAGCCTATCAGAGAATTAAGAACCCTAAATGGAGTAAAGTCGGGCATCAATTTCATATATATACTATACAAGGTTGAGGCAAGAGCAATATGGTAATAGCTAATTAATCGAAAATATTGTGAATTAAAATTCAGAGTTACCTGGACTTCCACAACCGTAGAATATCTCAAGGACTCCAAAATCAAGGGAACATCCTTTGTCAGTTGATCAATCTGAAGAGACAGAACAAAACAAAACAACATTGACCTGACATTGGATACACTATGACGTATATCCAACTGAGCATTCTGTATATACAGACATTCTAAGCCAGTTACCAAAACAAGCTACAACAAATCAGTCATTTTTTAATGCTGCAATCTACAAGATCATGCAATTAAACCTGAGGAAAATATAGCGACCAAACCTTCAATGTCGATGCATGACACAGCAGAACTAATATATTGCCATAACAATATATTGAGCAATCAATAAAATCAAAGACAACTTCAGTTATTCCATCTCATGAAAAATAAAAAGCAGGGAATTAGGGGGGAGGTGGAGTCACTATGGCAATTCCTATAACATGGAGAAACAACCATTCCTTAGATGAATTCAGAAATGAATCTTAACTAAATTAGTTTTTATGCAAGCTTATTTCTGATTTTAAAAACTGACATTTTCAACAAATATCAAGAACTAGTTATTATAGAAAAATTTAACTCACTACTTGGGAGATGGAAAAACCAGGTTATATGCAACACGGAACGGCATATCCATTGAGAACTTACTCGACGAAAAGAGGCAATTAAAGTAATCGGCACCCAACCATGCTCATCCATCTTTGACCTCAAAAACTTATCTTTTGCCAAATTATCATCACTGGGAGAACACAATTGCTTGAACTTAGTCATTCGAAGAGGCATGAATCAAATACTAACAAGAACCGCCAAACAATTACCTGAAATAGAAGTCTATTTGCTTAACAATCTTGCTTGTTAAACTATCAGCAGGAGGATAGAACGGAGGTGGTGGAGGACCAATTTGCACAGCCCTAAAAGATTCTGGAGTCATTGTCGGGACATAGATAAACGGGGCAGGTGGCCCATCTGAAAGTCCAAAACTCTTGTTAGACTGGCAAAATAGTAGTAATCAAATTTTATAACATCAAATTCGGTGCACCCACCAAAACCCATTTGTCCAGGGAACACTCTAACAGGTCCAGGTGCCATCAATGGAGCAGCACCAGGAGGCAGTGGAGACGGCATATACCCCATGTGAGGAGGTAGATAATGGGGTGGGCGATGGACATCTCTACGATCTTGCTCACGCCTGCCATGGCTATTGGGGTGTGGTCCTTCTCCTCGGGGTCGAGGGCCATAACCACCCCCCCTTCTTGGGTTATTTCTCTGAGGATGGTCATTGCCAGCATGTGAATGTGAACCTCCAATGGGTCTTGGACCTCTTACAGGATTATCCAACACAGGGGGAACCATCCCATAAGGTACCTCAAAAACATGAAAAGGCGGTGGTGGTGGCATAGGGAGTGGTTGCTGATTAAAAGCATTTTGAGATGTACCACTCAATGAGGAGCTACTCCCACCGCGGTTCCTTGGCCTTGCTCGAGAAGGCATTGAATTGTTCACAGAGGAATTAGAATGAACATTATGATTGACTGGTCTCTGAGGAGGTTGAGATATCAGAGGAGCCTGTCAAACCAAATATAAACGAATATAACACATGTTCATCCTGTAAATGTATATCCAATATAAACTGAAATATCCTACTTCTTAAGAAACAAGAGCACAAAGATTCACACAATAAGAGAACAACAGTTTGTATAATAATTATATACAATGCAAGTGGTCAGCTCTCCTTTGTGTAGACCTAAGGCTCATAATTTCAACAACCTTCCTTACTTACACAATCAACTGTTTAAAAAGAGCAATGAAAACACAAAGATACAACTCCGTATAAGAATCTTTAGCTAATAAACCCGACCAGTAAATTCGATAGTTATATAATAACACTTACATTAACCTGAGGTAAATAAACTGATCCGTCGGCCACAGGTCGGGAAACATCGGAGGATGCTTTCGGCACCGATCGGGTTGTTTCCGAGAGTGCCGGCCAGGAAACGGCCCCGCCCATAACAGTAGCAGGCTCAGGAGCACCGTTTAACGGCGTGTTCCACGCAGGCCTCCTGGGGCGACCAGCATTGTTATCGCCGTTGACGCCAGAGTTCTCGGGCTGCGCGTCAGAGGCCGAACTATCTATCGAAGAGTTTTCTGAAGCAGAAAACTGCTCCTGCGGCGGAGACAGAGAAGAGCCAGGAACTCCGGATGCAGGCGAGGAGTTCTGCTCGGGATCTCCACGAACGACCGATGCCCAAGGAGAGGATAAACTCCGCCGCTGCGACACAGGACTGCTACCCTCGCCGCCGTTTGAGACAACCTCCGCGGCCGACTGCGAGTTGTCCGTGGCCATAGTCGACCAATCAAAAATCTAAAACCCAAACCGAAGAGAGCAAACACTCCGGCGACGGAGCCTTTTCCTTTATATTAAAATCAAATGTATTTCGCCAATCTCCAAAATATATTGAATGCGGCCCAAGAATCCAGAGAGAAGTAGAGGGACGTGATCGGAGAGAAAACTAGGGTTTCGGCCGTCCGCAGCGATCAAATCCTGTGTGTAGCGGTGGGAGAGTCCATAGTCTATACCCACCAAATTTCCTTAAAAGCACTCGCACTTTGTGAAATGTCTATATTGCCCTTAAACGTCACTTCCATCTAGCTTGGCGTAATATTCGGTATTCCTTTCTATCTTCTGATTTTTCTGTACGAAATTCAAATTTAAATCGCATAATTTACTGTGAATTACCTTTGCTGAATCCTTATAAACCTCTAGATCGACAGATTATTAAATCATATGGAGGGTTAGAACTGTAATTTTATTATTTTTTATTTATATATTTAATGTGGTGTTTTAACTTTTGAAATAGTTGCTATATTGAAGGTTTTCGTATGCTATTATCTTTTGTGCAAAAATTATTTTTTGTCTCATTCTATTATAATTATTAATTTTGGTCTAATTAAAAAAAATTATTAATTTAGGTCTCATTCAAATAAAAATTTATCACATTTAGTCCCAAGATAGTTGATTGGGACTGAACACGGTCGTTAGATGACTCAGAAGGTGACTTGACATCCCAAGCAGCCAATACGACCGTGTTGAATACCCCGCACTTCTAAACACGTTTGTGTTCCTACTCGTGTTCTGAATACAACTATGTTCTACACCATATTCTATTATTGCACATGTTCTCAACACAACCATGTTCTAGACCATGTTCACGACCATGTTTCCAATATAATCATATTGTAAGTCATATTTATTATTATTTTTACTTTTTTGTTATAATTATTTGATATATATATTTATAATTCAACAAAAATATTTTTTACAATTATTTTACGATATAAAAAAAATCAATTTTTAATATTTTTAAAATATATAAAAATAATAATATTTGGCCCGCCGCGGGTTGGCCCGCAAATAATCCCTTTTTTTGCGGATTATGGTGGGTTGTGGGTAAATTCACCCCGCTAACCCGTTTTGACAGGTCTAACTGTGTTGAGAACATGGGCAAAAATATGGCTGAGAACATGGATAGGAACATACCTATGTTCAGAACACAGACAGACAGGAACTAGGCATGTTCAAAAGTGCCGTGTAATCAACACGGCCGTGTTGGCTGGATGGGACGCCCAGTCACCTTTTGAGTCATCCAGTCAACCATCTTATAACTAAATTGATAAATTTTCATTTAAGTTGGACCAAAATTGATAATTTTTTTTTTAATGAGACCAAAAATAATTTTTAATCTATGTTTTATTAAATGGGAAGAATGTATTTTTTAAATATATTGTATACTCAATTTATTTATTTATAGCATATGCTAGCAATATATTTATATTAAATATAATACTATTATCTTAATAAAATGATTGTATAAAAATATAATAATTAATTTTTATTGACACGGTGAAAATTAAAATTTTAAACGAAAACCATTATGTGTGTCTTTTTTACTTTAAATATTATATTTATTTATTTACAATATGTATTATTTATCTATTTATATTAAATATTTTTATTAATTTAATAAAATTATTAAATATTTATAAATATATAATCATGAAGTTAAATATATAAGTTTTACAGATACATAATTTTAAGGTTCATATTTTCTTTATTATATATATATATATATTTTTTAAAATTTATTCATTGTACTTTTCTGTTTTAATGTTGGTGATTTACTATCGATAATATTGCTATTTTCTTTATATTACTGTATTTAAAGTTTTAAATAAAAATGTGTGATTTTATTATATTCAATATGTTGTTGTTGTGTTTATACATTGTCGTTGTTTGTGATATATGTGTAATTTATTTATTTATTATCTGTGCTATTTATTTATTTATTAATGAAGTATGATATTTTTATTATTTTTAAAAAATATTTAATAATAATTAATTTTCACTGATACAATAAAAAAAAATGCAATATTACCAAAAGATTAGGGTGTGTTTCTATTTGACCGAGTTTGAGAATTTTTTACTATTATGCTACTATTTGGTTTCATTTGTGCGCCAAACTCAGCCTATGGACAATACCTCACGGATGTTCTGAAAAAACATTAATTAATTGATATTGACATTTTTTTAAAAAATTTTAAATTTTATGAAAAAAACAGTAATTAATATTACTTCTCATTTAAAAGGGTAAAATTCATTTTGGTCCATTCAATATCATAATTATTAATTATAATTTTATTTAAAAATAATTATCAATTTTGGTCCCACTCAATGAAAATTTATCAATTTTAGTCTCAAGATGGTTGACTGAGACTGAACACGGCAGTGTTAACTTGAACACGACCGTGTTGGATGACTTAGAAGGTGACTGGACGTCCAGGCAGCCAACACACGGCTGTGTTGATTAGCCTGCACTTCTGAACACGGCCGTGTTCCTGCCCGTGTTCTGAGCACTAATATATTTCTGCTCGTGTTCTCAACACAGTCATATTCTAAGTCATGTTTCTGCCCATATTTTCAACACAACCATGTTCTAGGCCATGTTCACAGTTATGTTTTCAATATAATCATATCGTAGATCATATTTATTATTATTTTCAATTTTTGGTTAAAATTATTTGATATATATTTATAATTCAACAAAAATATTTTTTACAATTATTTTATAATATAAAAAATAATCAATTTTTAATATTTTAAAAATATATAAAAATATTAATATATTAATATATTTTTTCAATAATCATCATTGTATATATTTTTAAAAATTTATAGTAAAAATTTTAAAATAATTATTTCTATAAATAATATTTTAAAATAATACTTCCTCCGGGTCACCGTAGACAGGAGAATTTAGGATAAGTATAATTAGCAGATAATTAAAAATATATTAGTAAAAATAATTATCATATAATATAAATAATTATAAATTAAGATTAAGATAACTCGTTACTTTAATTAAAATTAAAAAAATTAAATTAAAAAATAGTGTGTAATTATTTTCAAAAAAAGAAAAGTGACATGAATGGAGAATGGACATAAACGACAATGTGAACATGGTAAGTGGGACGGAGGGAGTACTATTAAAAATATATATTAATATATTATTATTTTTATATATTTTTAAAATATTAAAAATTGATTATTTTTTATATAATAAAATAATTGTAAAAAATATTTTTGTTGAATTATAAATATATATCAAATAATTTTAACCGAAAATAATAATAAATATGGCATAAAATATGATTATATTGAAAACATAGCCGTGAACATGATCTAGAACATAGTTGTGTTGAGAACATGGGTATGAACATGACTGTGGTGAGAACATGGACAGAAATATGGTTGTGTTCAGAAGGGCAGGAACACGACCATATTTAGTCCAAGTCAACCATCTTGAGACTAAAATTGATAAATTTTCATTTGAATGGGAAAACCTTTCTAAAACTTTTCGAATAAGGTAAGCTTCAAAATTGATAATTTTTTTTTAATGAGACCAAAATTGATAATTATGATCTCGAATGAGACAAAAAATAATTTTTACTTGAGTTTCAGAAAAATCAGTAATTTTTTTTTCTATTATACTAAAAAATAGAAAAAGTATATATTTTTACCAAATTGAATTGTAAATTTTATTTGTAATTTATATATTATCTTTAAATTTAAAATATAAATAATTAAAATTTTTAAAAATATTTTTTATACTATAAATTAAAATTTTTAAATATAATTAATAAAATTTAAAAATAAATATTATAAAAAGTTTTATAGAAAAATACTATTATATTAACCTCGTATCTTTTTGAGTAATTTTAACAACTTTCAACTTTATTACATCAAACAGTTTTTTTTTTTTTTTTTATTTTTATAAAAGTTGTTTTGTAGATATTTATCCAAATATAAAATTGAACTGCTTCTACTCTTAACTTATGTGTGTGCTTCTACTTTTGGCTTCTACTTATTTTTTAAAGCCAATCAAAACGATCCTTATTAGATTGAAATATGGAATATTTAGTCGAATTTAGATAATAATTTATATAATTGTATTAATCTAATTATTTTTATAATTTTTCAAGATTTACATATTAACGTGTAAAACCATATTCGATGAATTTAAAGAACTCATCATCTTACTATTTTTGGGAAAATACTTTATAATAAAATATACATATTATTTGACATATTTCATCAAGACTCCACACATTTACAAAATTCTGTAACTTCTTAAATTAAAAAAGACAGATCTTATCGTTTTCAATATGAGCCATCCGATTTTCATCTGTTACGATGAACGATCCAGAACTTATTAGATAGTGTTAATCACTGGATCTGCCTCATAATAATCTGTTACAATGAACCTACAAAATTTTACTCTTTAAATATCGTATTACTAATCAAATGAATTGTTATAGAGTCGAAAGAGTATTAAAAATAAAAAAAATATAAATTAATTTTAAATTATATATATCAGCCCATAAACCCATCATCAATTAATCTAAAAAAAATTAGGTTCCGGAGGAAAGGACTTGATGTTATGGACAACGACGGAACTAGGTTATGAAGTCAGGGGGACGGAGCTTTGGAGGCGGTTTCGATTTTTTATGATATTATGTAGATTTTAATATATTTTAAATTATTAGGTCGATATTATGTTCAAATCGACAGTTCAAATTTTATTTTATTTTGATAAAAATTTAAAATTTTATAAAAATATGTCAATTTGTTTTTACTACTTCAATTATATTTTCTTTGATTTATTCTGATATAATGGATGATGAAAATAGAAAAGAAAGAAAATTTAATAAATAATGTAAGTAGATGCTTATAAAAATATTTAGAGTAAAAAATTATATTTTTTACTTATATGATATATAATTAAAAATATTATATATTAATATAAATTTAAATAAAAATATTAAAAAAATTTAATTGTTTATAATTTTAATTTGAGGTATGTTTTATGTGAAATATAGAAAATAGTATCGATAATATAAAAAATAAATATTTTATATTAAAATTTGTACAAAAGAATAGGGCAAACAAACCATAAATATAATTTTAAGGGGTCAAAATAATATATTTGTCTAAATTTTATTTTTCCAAAAAAAAAAAAAGAGAAAAGTTTTGGGAGGTACATCCGTCTTTGCCCGTGGGTTGGACTTGTTACCGTAAAATTATGAATTTAAACTTTTGATACTTTTGAATTTTGTTTGTCATATATGATTCGCTAGTATAACTTACTTTGTTGAACTTAGTTTATAGACGGTTAGATTCGGTCGGAAGTTTTATCCATAGCCCACTTAGAAAAAAAAAAAAAAAAGCCAGATCCTTAGTAAAATGTGTGTTTATTTGTAAGGTTTTTGTTTTAGGTTTTGATTTTGAATATTAAAATTTTTAATTAAAATAGTTTGTTTGATGTGATTTTTTGAATATTAAATTAGATTTTAGTGTAATAAAATAAATAAAAATTGGTTGTTTGATTTGATATTTTTAGAAGAAAAATAAAATTAAAATAATAAAATTAAGGTCAACGTCATTTCTGTAATGGGCTTAAGCCCAATACGGTGAATTATGCTATGATTGTAATGGGCTACTTATATATGGAATGAGCCCAATAATATTGGCCCAATTATACCCTTATTGCTGGCTCTGTTCTTCCCTGCTACTGAGCTCTGAGCTGATCAACGACTAGAAATTTGGATTGAGTAATTATGTAGCTAATCATAATCATGGCGATTTGCTCGAGACAATGCGAATGTTGAAAATAAATATAATTTCTTACAAAAATAAACATTGTACATGCTTTCCTTATTTTGATAATAGACCAACCCACAGATTATAAGTAATTTTCAATTTAAATTGAACAAACACAATGATTAAATTTTTTTTAAAAAAATAAATGTGTTATTTCACTCTAAATATTAATTTGAATTTAAAAAAAAGAAGTAACATTTCAATTTAAATTGAACATATACAATGGTTCATTTTTATTTATTTTTTTGTTAAAGAATAGATATGTTGTTTCAATTCAAATATTAATTTGAATTCAAAATAAATTAATGGGTTGATTCAATTTAAATAAAAATTTGAATTCATAAATTAAATTTTATTAAACACGCTAAGTTCACAAATAAACATAACTTTTGAAATGAAAATTTTAGAAAAAATTTCAGAATACCACATACCAACTTAGTCATGAGCTATTACATTATGTTTCATAAACTAGTTACAAAACTTTTACTCAAGTTCACTTAATCCCAACATTCATTAGTTTCGAATAAATTTAATACACCAAAATCACTAACATATGCTAGTTATGATTTTGATTGGTTTTTGTGTAATTAGTTCTTGTATATATTTTATGGTACAACCCTTGCAATTTTGAATTTTTCCAATGAATGGATAAACAACTTGTTATGGAGGTGATGCAATGTCATCTAACTCTGTTAAATCCAGGTTCTTGGTATACTTTCTATTCCCAAGACACATTAGTATAGTGTACAGCTAGAATTGGAGAATCTAGTACCATTTGTGTGTCGAACCTTCTTTGGGACAGTTGTCTTTATGTGGGGAACAATTTCTTGTACTATTTTCATTACTCTGTAGCTATGCTTCAAAAGCAAATAGTGAATATGTTCTCCCCACGTAGTGGATAATTACCAGTTCTGGGAATATATGCTGCCTTTGCCTTTAGATCCTTCAAAGTGATGCATTTTGTAATGGAATGATTCAATTCTTTTCCTCTTTATCGAGTGTTAAATTCCAAGAGATGTTAGAACGAACATAAACAAAGAGACACCATTGTTGCAGAGCCATGAGAAACTCTGTAACTGTCTTCCTCACCTTCATTTTCTTGCCAACGCTTGCCTCTTCTTACTCTGATCTCGACATTCTAATGAAGCTTAAATCATCCTTCATTATTACCTCCACACCTTCCCTGTCCGACTGGGTTTCCCCGTCCTCGCCTTCCTCTACAGCTCACTGCAACTTTTCCGGGATCACCTGTGATGCTGATGCTCATGTAATATCCATTAATATCACGACTGTTCCGCTCTTCGGGACACTTTCTCCGGATATTGGATTGCTAACGAACCTCTCTAGTCTCATACTTTCGGCAGATAATCTCACAGGCCCTCTGCCTGTGGAGATTTCCAATTTGATCTTCTTAAAGTACCTTGATTTGAGCAATAACATGTTTAATGGCACCATCTCTGGAGCCATGGTTCTGAATATGGTGGAGATCGAATCTTTTGATCTTTACAACAACAATCTCTCCGGGAATCTTCCCCGGGAACTTTCCAAGCTGGAGAAGCTCCAAGTTTTGAACCTCGGGGGGAATTATTTTTCCGGGCAAATTCCTGAGTCGTATTCTGAGTTTAAAAGGTTAAGATTCTTGGCCTTGGGTGGAAATTGCCTGACAGGGAGAATTCCACCAAGCTTGGGTAAGATTACAATGCTTCAGGAGATGTATCTTGGATACTATAATCAGTTCGAAGGGGGTATTCCGCCGGAGTTTGGTTTATTATCCATGCTTCGAGTTCTTGATCTTTCGCAGTGCAATCTTACCGGTGAGATCCCCGCAAGCCTCGGGAACCTGACACGTCTTCAAATGTTGTATCTTCAGGTGATTCTTGAGAAGCTATAGATTGAATGATTATCAAGTTCTAAACATGTTTTTTTTTTTTTATTGTCGGATTAGCCATTGTTCTTCTATGTGCACAGATGAATGAATTGACAGGCTCTATTCCAGCAGAGCTGTCAGGTATGGTGAGCCTGGAGAGTTTGGATCTTTCCGTCAACAATCTCGACGGCGAAATACCAGAGAGTTTAGCTGAGCTGAACAACTTAACATTGATTAACTTGTTCCAGAACAGAATTCAGGGCCCTCTTCCAGCTTTCATAGGGGACCTTCCAAACCTCTCAGTTTTGCAGATTTGGATCAATAATTTAACAGGGGAATTGCCGCGAAACCTCGGTCAGAATGGGAAGTTAAAGAGACTAGATGTCAGCAACAATAATTTCACCGGCGAAATTCCGACTAATTTATGCAGAGGAGGTACGCTGGAGACACTGATCTTGATGATTAACTATTTCCAGGGCCGTATCCCTGAAGAACTCGGAAAATGCCGATCTCTAACTCGGATCAGGATGAACTACAACTGGTTAAATGGCACAATTCCTGCTGGTTTCTTCAACCTGTCATTGCTGGAAATGCTGGACTTGAGCAACAATTTGTTGACAGGCAATTTGGCCGATGGTATCTCAGGAGATTCTCTGCTCTATCTTTCACTGTCTAACAATTCTCTGTCTGGAAATATTCCACAGGCGATCGGTGACTTGGCAAACCTCGAGACATTGTCGCTCGACACCAATAACTTCTCCGGGGAGATTCCAGGGGGAATATTCCGGCTCAGGAAGCTCGACGGGCTGAATTTGAGCAGTAACAGCCTGACAGGTTCTATCCCGGGCTCCATTCCTGCTGCCTCCCATTTAACATTCATCGACCTGAGTCGTAACAACCTCGATGGATCGATTCCAGGCAACATTTCACAGCTACAAAACTTGCAAGAACTTAACCTCTCCGGAAATCATCTCCGCGGTCCAATCCCCGACGAAATTGGGATGATGAGCAGCCTGGCCGTGTTGGACCTTTCTTACAACAATCTTTCGGGCACAAGGCCGACGACCGGGCTGTTAGGCTGGCTCGACGACAGGTTTTTCGCCGGAAATCCGAACCTCTGCCCGGCTAAGGACAACCCACATTGCTCTCTCCGTTCAGGACAACATCAAAATGATCACATGAGGGAGACAACAAGATTTGTGATGATAGCCATTGTTGGGACACTATTAGGCTACCATAGTCATTCCTGGATTTGACCACCCACCCCAAGAGTGGTAATAATTCTAGGCCAGGGCTTAAACCTTAAACTTGCTATTTGAGTCCAGTCCAAATCTGCCAGAAGAAATCATAAGTACTATTCTTGTACTTGCATTTACAGGCAGAGTTTGGAGTGATGATAGCCCACTGGGCTCAATCTAGGATAGCTTATAATGTGATATATGAAGCCACAATTAATGTGAAGTTAGGCAGGCCTATGGCTGGCTGACTACCGTTAGGATCTTGCCATTCATGCACAGCACCTAGGACGATCCCCGCCGTCCATAATGTGGTGACCCACATTACTGACGGTGCGGATCACTCCGGGACTCTGGGTCCCAGGACTCGCCAAGATTCGCCATCAATGAAAATTTGGTGGGCTGCAGACAGAACAGAACTGATTCCATAACTTCAACCTAACGTCTGATGAATCTTGTCAGAAATTCCATTGGTGTCCCCTCGCTCTAATATCTAAATCACGATTTTAAGTCGATTGAGGTTGTAATAACCGCGACTTTTCGAAGTCGCATGAATTTTGAATTTGTACAGTAACGGAAGGTTCTAGAATATGATTCCACCTGTCTGGATTATTCCTTAAAAATACATAGTAACTTAATAATAGACAGTAATTCAAAAAAAAAAAAAGATAGTAACCAAAAGACGTTACGGGGGGGTTATTATTACATTTTTCTTTTTCTGGAAATTAAATATCTGTGCTGAGCTGTTTTTTTTCAAAAAAACGCGATATGGACGTTCAAATCCCAAAGTTGTTTTGGAGGGATAGGCACCAACTAAAGTCGCGTTTTTACATTTACATGCAGATACAGAGGTTTTTTGTTGCAAAGAAATGATTTTGTATGCATTTAAAAAATTATTTGACTAAAATAAATAATTAACCAAAAAATGAATGTCAAACTAGTGAAAATGGAGTGGATAAACATGGCTAAAAAAGGCAAAGCACCCCTGTGTCACATCCCTGTTGCTATCTGAATAATGATTGAACTTTCATATTTATTCAAAATCGATTTAATTTATTTTCTGTTTTTGAAAAATGAGTAGGCCCCACCGGACTCGGTGACCCATACCCGTTTAGGAGCGCTGGGTCGGGTTATTATGACTCACGCTGGCGGCACGTGTTCGTTCTCCACTTGCGAACAGCGAGAGTAGTCCTACTCATGAGAAATAAATAAATAAAAGCCCATATATTATTGTCATATATTTCAGAAAAAGAGAAAAAAGGGAAAATTCAGAGAAGGGGAAGAAAGACGAGGGGAAAACGTCATGCCCCAAACAATCACTGCAAAAGGTTGTTTCTCGGCAAGAATTTCCGGCTGTTTCTCAGTTTTCGGTTTTGCTTTATCAGGGAAAGGAGTATTTCTCGGGTTCGAGTGCATGAGGTTTTGATTTGAAGGAGCCTGAGATTCAGAATTTTCAGATTGTTTTCCCAAGCTCTTGAACCAGGTAGAAAGCTCTGTTGTTTTGACCTTAATTGTCTATGATTTTCTGGATGTGTTCTCTTTGGTAGGGTTAATGCGTTTTTTCCCACTCTGTAATTGCTATCTCGCGGCATTAATTGCGTGCTGGTGAGATAGGCGATACATCCGATTAATTGTGAATCGGTGGAATTTGCGCGTTTGAACTTGCGATTGTTAACCCTGTGGGTAAAACTTGTTAATCTAGGGTTTTGGACCTTGGCTAAAGCTTGCCTTTTTATTTCAATCTGGCATGCTTGTTTGTTTTTCCTTGTTGGCTTCTCCTTATCGTTTGTTAATTTTTTCTTCGTTTGTTTGGCGAATGTTGGTATCTGGTTGGATTAAGGATTGTTAATACTTGTACTTCAAGTTTATACGCAGAATTGGCAGTCCCTGTTGGGAATTCATCGGACTATTTTCTGATTGCCAGATTGTGTGGCTGCATTGATATACAGGGTTACAGGCATGTGTGTAGTGGTGAACCTTCCATGGCTGCTTTATGTTCTTACAGTGTTTTGGTTGATAGGGCTTGGAAATGTGTTTGAACACATGCATGTCTTTTATGAATCTTAAGGTTTAGCCTATATCCTCAGATGAGAGTTAGGCTTTAAGGATTGGGAAAGATTTACTCTGTGGATTCATTTGATCATACTTCATTGAATGGCCAAATCTTTGTATTTTGTTTTTTTCGAAAGGGAATATAGTTACCTGCATTTGCGCCTTGCTGAAACGTGTCGTGTGTTGTCGTTTAGCTCATTAATTCCTGTTTTCGATGTTCTGTCTATCTTGTCGTATGCTCATTGTTTCCAAAAGAAAGCTAATAGAGAATCGAATATCGGTCTGAGCCCGAAAGTTTGGGGTTTGATTCTCCCCTGATCAACACGTGGCTCTTACCGTTGATTCGGTAGGGCAATCTTTCCAAATATGTAGGGCGAGATATTGAAATCTCCTCCGGCCAATCTAGCACACTACCTAGATTTGGTTCTACTTTGAAAGATTACACGTGGGTCCCATCTATCGGGCATAAAATGATCGTGGTCGTAACCATATTAAATGACTGTCGTTGGTGTCATAAATGCGGAAAGTGTTTTAATAAGTGGTATCGACATTGATTCGAGCTATCCTTTATTGAAAGAATAAAAGGAAACAAGTATTTTACTTAACGAACTTGAATTTTGTCGGTTGATGAGGTGATCTTTTTAAATGGTCAAGTCACTTTGCAATCTGTCTTTACCTCTTCCTTCTATGGCATTACTGTCTTCATTGCTCAAATTGGATTCTCCATCTGTGTTTATTTATGTTTTTACTATGTTGTTTTGATTGTTAGCTCTAGCAGTTTTATCGATTAATTAAATGTTTGAAGCACATTCATCATCTTACCTTTCTATATCATTTTTGCAGCAGACAAACCTAGGGAATGCATGGGAGTGATTCTTGCTGCAGTGCTAGCTTCTGAAAAGTGATGACGCTAGAGGATTTTTTCACTTTAACTGAAATGAATAGCGGGCTTGCAAGCCCTTCCCGGGTCAGGGAACTTGTCGCCGTTATGGAGAAAGAGAGCGATTGTGCTATAAAGAATACTGGCGAAGCTGCCAGGCAGTGGGATGCTGTGGCAAGTGCTATTGCTGCGACCGAGAACAAAGAGTGTCTCGAACTCTTTATTCAGCTAGATGGTCTGCAGTTTATTGTTAAGTGGCTGAAAGAGGCACAGAAGCTCGGGGATGACTCCAGCGATGATTCTGTAGAGGAATCAATTACTCACATGCTCCAAGCACTTGGGAAATTACATGTTGGCTATGAAAAACTCGTTGATTCTGCAATGTTGACTACTGTCAAAGATCTCCTTGGACACAGCAGTTCTAAGGTGAAGGATAAAGCTCAGGAGCTGTTTGATAGCTGGAAAGGTGCAAAAGATGGTGATTCTTCTCACTCTACTGTTGAAGGACTTGAAGCTTTGAGGGTTGGGGAGATCGGGAAAAGTGGTGATAGCAAGAGTGGCAGTGGACATTCGGAATCTCCTCAAAAGGAAAAGGAGCAGGAATCAATGAGAGATGAGCCAATGCTATCTGCTGTTTCTGATGCCGTCAACGCTGACGAGGCCGAAAACACTGACAAGTTGGAGGAAAAAACTGTCCCTGTAGCTGGAGATGATACTCCTTCTGATCCTGTTGGCTCGCCTTCACTTGCGAAGGCAGCAACAGCACTTCCTCAAATTTACTCAGTTGATGTTGTCTCTGCCAAATCAAGTACTGTGGCCGTTTCTGAAGATATGCTCGAAAGTGGAATGAATGTTGACGAGATACAGCCTGCTGGGGATGGCAAAGTATCGGAAGGTAAACTCTTTCTTCCCTTCATCTTTTTTTATAAGAAATATATATCTATATAATTATTTTATCTCAAAAACCATAATCTTTCCCTTCAGGTTCTGGTGCTGAAGAAGCAGTGAAGTCTCGAAGCGCTGTTGCAGAGCATACAGTGGCTCCAAATCCAGATCCATCATCTCCTGAGCAGAGGAAAAATGACGATAAGGGGAAGATCCCCATGGAGAATGCCATTTCTGCTACTAAACAGGCTGATGAACTTAAAGATAGCAAACTCGGAACATCCTCTGGTGGAATCGAAAGTTGGGAAGGTAGCAAAGGATTTGGGGCATTCCTAGCTGGCATGGCAGATCATGGAAAGGCGAGCGAACATGACGAGGCTTCAAGTGATGATAATCTGACAAGTAACTATAAGTTTACCAAAAGTGCCAAAGAAAATGTTAGGTCTGGTGAGAAATCTGATACTGAACTCCTTGGAATTGTGGATCCTCTAGAAATGGCGCGGCAAGTTGCAATCGAAGTGGAGCGAGAAGTTGTAGATTACAGGCGAAGTGGCAGTGGCTCTGGGATACAAACAGGTGATAATATTCAGATGCCGGAAAGCCCAGATTCCGTCGGTGGTAGGCAATCCCATGAGAGCAGCAGGAGCTCATCCAAGGATGCGTCGAGCGAACCAGGCTTGTCTGACGAAGAAGATTCCCCGATCCAGGATGAAACTATGGCTGAGCAAACTAATGCAATCACTGAGGCAACGCAAGACGTCGTCACTGCAGAGAGAGACATCCCTAGATTTGATCTGAATCAGAAATTCGACTTAGAAGATGCTGATCCTACGAGGAGCCAATCCAGCGCAGCCGTTACTATTGTGGCTACTTCAATTGCGTCTACTTCTCGAGCAGCGGCAGCTGCTCCTGGAGTGTCTGTTACTACTCCCCTGGAATTAGGTTCTGCTAGTTCAAGCGCTTTCCGCAGAGTTCCTGACAGTGAAATTGATCTTCCTACTGGGGAAGATAACAGCAGTCCGATGATAAAGCGCGACTGCCTCGATTTTGATCTGAATGTTGCTGACAATCCCGAGGTTCGAACAGAAGATCAACCCGTAGACACTCTGGCACTGATGTCTTCTACATTTGGCGCTCCCGGGGAATCTTCTTCTGCCGGCGCAAATTCAAAATCACCGCAGCTTCATCTGGACCTGAACCATACCAGTGAAGATCCTGCTCCCCCTGTGGTTAGGCAACTGTTTGGTTTCGACATTGGGGCTAATCCTTCGTCATCAAAGCTGCCTTCTTTGAAGAACATCGATCTGAACGATCAGCCGTCTTTTCTCAAGGGGATTACTGGCAGCAGTTCCAATTCGAGCAGGGCTCCTCAAAGCTTCAACTTTTCGGGTGATTCCCGACCGGACAGTTCTGTGATATCCTTATTGGGCACCCGTGTCGAGGTGAATCGAAGAACCACAGCTCCTCAACCTGCTACTCCGTCTAACGGTCAGAATCCAGAGTTTCCATATGATATGAACTCGGGCAGAGCTGGGAATTTTCTCGGGGTGATTCCTTTCGCCCATTCCCCAGTTTACGGCTTCAACACAGCGACACCCCCTCCTGTTATGCCATTCCCCCCTACTGTATTTGGAGCAGGTGCGCCAATTCCTTACATGGTCGACGCTAGAGGAACTCCTGTTATCCCGCAGATTGTGGGCTCTACTTCAGCTATGCCGACTGGTTTCCAGCAAGGCCCGTTTTTCATGAATATGAGCACTCCTCCGACTCCTTCGAATGTTGGATCTTCTCGAAGTGGTTTTGATCCTCAACTCATGCCAGGCGGAAGCAGGGATGCTACTGGTTTTACCCAGTTCCTCAACTTAGGTCCAGTCAGGTCGATGGAGGAGCCGTCCACTGTAACTATAAGGTACAACCATAACCTCCATGCCAGTGATGCAGTAATGTACAACTCGAATGCCAGGTCGATGGAAGATGCCGTAAGGTATAACTCCCAGAGTTCTTACAGTCCAGTGGTCGGTGGAAAGCGGAAAGAACCGGAGAACGGGTGGGATCATGGTTCCGTTAGGAACCAGAATCCCCCGTGGAAGTAGGGCGGCGGCGATCGCAGTCGGGCCGGGCACACAGCCAAGTAGGACCAGCAGCCCGGCCCGGAACAGAACAGAGCAGGCTAGGATCATCAAGCAGGATAGGTGGAGAAGGATTTATAGAGAAACTAAACAGTGAAGGAAGAAAGAAGAAGCGAGGATGGCTTTGCATTGCAGGTGTGTACTTAATTTCGATTCTTGAGATCATTACCAACCCACCCTTGCATAGCACAGGTCATTCAGACTTTTTAATTTCTTGCTACCTTTTTTTTCTTATTTTTCCCTTTCTTCTTTAGACAACAAAACCTTACAAACTACATTTGATATGATTTAAAGAAGAAAGGTTATTGTGACTTATTTATGATATTGCTGCTGCCTTCCCCCTTCCTTCCTTAATTTTGCCTTTGTGTTTGATTTTTGACATAATTGCTTGCTTGGGTTTATGAATGGATAGGATAGGATAGGATAGGATATCTGGATATGATACATACATATACGTACATGCATGCATGCATGCATCATCGTATATGCTTTGGTTTGCTGCGATATTATATATTAGCGTTTAATTTGAAATATTCATCACTATTTCTTGGTCATTTATATTTACGACATTTGTTTTTTTTTTTTTTTTTTTTCGATCTATATTTTTTCAACGAAAAATATTATGCCTTTTTAAAATCATAAATAACATGTTATCAGGGTCTCTTTTTGTTTTTTGGTTATGCCTCTTTTACATGTCAAAACCATTTAAAGCAAATCTTTTTCTTACTTTTTTATACTTGAAAAAAGAAAAAAAAAAAAAAAACCCACCATGTACATCAGTATATGGAGGTGCTTCTGTGATGTATTATAATTTTAACACCTTAGGAGTTGATTAATTAGCCATGTATCGCATGCTGCTATATCTAATATATGCACACAGAGAGGTTAGTTTACATTATAGATTACAAACCTATATGTACGTATAGATATAGGATAACTATTTTGATCATTTATATCTTTTTTTTTTTAATCTGCCATACTATCTAGCATGCATAGAATGATATAGGGTTGTTCGTCAGTTTTGGAGTTGGATTTTTAGGGTTAGGGTTAGGGTTAGGGTTAAGGTTAAGAATACTAAAATTTTGAATTTGAATAAATATTTGATGTGATATAAATAAGTATTAGTTATTTTTTTTAGTGTAATATAAAAAATATATATTTGATTTAATATTTTTGAAAGAAAAAATAGTAAACATTAAAATTTGAGTTGGAAAACCGAAAACGAACAGGTTATACATATTTTTTAAAATAAAGGTTGAAATGATGAACTGAGAACAAGACCTAACTTAAAAGAAACATAGGGTTTCAGTTATTTTAGAATATTATTTAGATTTTTTTTTTTAAAAAAAATATAAATTACATAAATGTTAATAGTATTTTCACGTGAACGAGTCTAACAATAGAAGAACTGCCCATTCCCTTGTTATAAACTAAATAAAATGAAAATCAGAATCCTCAATAAATTCAAATTAAATAATTTCTACATCGAAATGTATATTTATGCTGTATAAATTAATATGGGTATAAGTGATATATTTTGAATTATATCCACGGTAATAATTATATATAAATATCTACTGTTATTTGGGGTTTGGATTTTAAGTTCAGATTAAATAATAAAAATTTAGAATTTGAGGGAAAAAAATTGATGAAATAATAGAAATTCTAAATCAATATTTATGTTGTTAATTATATATTTGTTTAGTATTTATAGTTTTAAATGTTACTATGTATAGTTAATTTAGAATATACTATTGTTTAGGGAAGGGTTAGTATTATATTTGTCACCTTTTAGATTAAAATAATAATATATGAAATCAATCTCGTGTGGAGTGCGAGGGTGATATTTTACCATTAGCATCATATATATCAGATTTAGTCATTAGCTAAAAAGTAGTGTATGCATTTGAAGATAACATAAAATAAGACAATCATACAACTAAATCCAATGAAAATTCATTTGTCAAAATTTTTTATATTTTGAAAACATTTGAATTGATTTACTAATTATCCATACAATTAATGGATGATTTATTAATTCTTTAAATATAATTTCTTTTTATTTTTTATGAGGTAGGAAAATTAGTGCTAAACTACGAATGAGCTCAATAACCAATTTTATTTTATCTTGAAAATTTTAGTTCTGTCCTAACTCAATTAGTCCTTATAAGAAAAATTGGTCAACTCTTTTATTCAATTCACCGAATTTGGCTCAAATCTATAACTATTTAGTCTAAACTGTTTAATCCAATTTCAATCTCAAATCCAAACCCACGTTTTGTGAGTTAGTTGTGCTGGTTAATTAGTTATGGTTTTTATTTTTATTTTTTAATTTTTTGAAATAATTGTAGTTTTTTTTTAAAAAAAAAAAAGAAAAAAATTGGTCCATTTTTTTCACTGAATTCAACAAATTCAAATCTATAACCCTTTGGTCCAAACTGCTTAAACAAATTCCAATCTCAAATTCAAACCCACATCCATTCTTAATCCAATTTTGTGAGTTAGCTATGTGGGTTAATTAATTATGGTTTTAATTTTTAGCTTTTGGAATAATTGTAGTTTCTTTTTAATAAAAATTGGTCAATTTTTTTACTCAATTAACCGAATTCGGCCCAAATCTATAACCTTTTAATCCGAGCTATTTAACCCAATTCCAATCTCAAATTCAAATCCATATTCATTCCTAATTCTCAATTCACCAAATTCGAGCCAAATCTATAACCATTTAGTCCAAACTATTTAACCCAATTCCGATCCCAAATCCAAACCCACATTCATTGCAAATCCAATTGTGAGTTAGTTGTGCGAGTTAATTAGTTCTGGTTTTTATTTTTATTTTTAGACTTTTGAATAATTGAAGTTCCTTTTTTATAAAAATTAGTTCTTTATTTTATTTTTTTACTCAATTTAACGAATTTGGCCAAAATCTATAACTTTTAGTCCAACATGTTTAATCCAATTTCAATCCCAAATCCAAACCCACATCCATATCCAAATTTGTGAGTTAGTTGTGCGGGTTATTTAGTTCTGATTTTTATTTGTTTTAGCCTTTGGAATAATTGCAGTTTCTTTTTAATAAAAATTTGTTCATTTTTCTTTTACTCAATTCACCGAATTTGGCCCAAATTTATAACTTTTTAGTCGAGTTTGATCCAATTCTAATCCCAAAATTTGTGAGTTAGTTGCTGAATTTGGCCCAAATCTATAAGTCTTTAGTTCAAATTGTTTAACCCAATTCCAATCTCAAATCCAAACCCACATCCCGGTTAATGAGGTGTTGGGGTTTGAACCACCTCATGGTTACAAGTTCAACCTCTACACCACCAGACTATCTCTACAGGCAGTGGCAGGCCTATTAACCCAGCCCCACTTTTACCCTATTTTATTAAATCTTTTTATTTTAAAAGAATAATATATATATAATCTATATAAAATATTTAAAACAAATAATAAAATAATACAAACATTAAAGTGTTAATTTTTTTTAATAAAAAAGTGCATTAGTTTTTTTTTAAAATATAATATATCAATATTTACTAATAAAAAAGATTATTTTTTTTTATTTGGACTATATTTGATGTAATAATTAATATTTAATATTAGTATGCAAAAAAGTAAATATAAAATTATTAAGTGGATGATAGTAGTATTATTTTACAAATAAAAAATTTATTTTGTAAATTTAAAAATTTTGCCCCTGATAATATTCTAGTTCTGCCACTGTTTATACATGTCTATGGTTTATTAACAAAACATCCAATCATACATTATTTTAATGACAAATTAAAACTAAATTTTTTTCAAAATTATCAAAGAAACATTCCTCTAGTAAATCGCGTTGCTTTTGGATACAGCAATGTCCCGGACCTCGTTCATGGCGCGATCAAACGCCGACATATACTCCTCCCTCAAAGTAACCAGAGCCTCTACTCCATGCCCGGTCCTGGTGTCCATCAGCCATATCATATTCACCATCCGTACAGCCTTCGACTTCAGATCGATCCTCGAATCGCAACACGGTTCTACCCAAACTGGACCTCCCCATCCAAAATCAATGTCGTAAATCCCCAATCCGCACCAGCTCGAAATCCCCAAGACATCCGATCCCTCAGGAATTAACAATTTGCTGTCGTAGAATCTCTGAATTCCGCCGCCGCCTTGCAGACTGACAACATATTCATCGTCAATCTTCCTCGTCGATTCCCTCAATTTCCTCGTCAGGTCTTCTTCCCTGTCTTTATATCCACTTGACGCTACCGTCGCCGCCACGAAATTACCAAAACAGTCCGCCGGAAATGGCGGCGAGGCTCTTTTTCTCAGATTTACCGCCTGCCGTACGAACGATTCCGATTTCCCATTTTCGAGGGATGCTGCCATGAAACACTTCCAGAGAATTGTCGAGACAACCTCGGCCTTTGTCGCGTTTTCGACCCCGCCGGAAATTTTTTCCGGCGGACTGAAATCGCCGGCGCGTCGAACACGTATCGCTTCGTTGCCCATTTTTCTGAGAGGTGAATCATTGTACGGGAAGTAGGGTTTTCGACGAAATCGGGGTTGTGAGGGAACAGATATTGGGAAATGTAATTAGGGCAAATTGCTTGCTTACTTCCACGATTGAAGTTTCCCCACGACGACAAGAAATTAGTAATGGCGGTAGCGTCGGCGGCTCTATGCCAGAAAACGACTGCGACGGTGACGCCGCCGCAGTCAAAATAGTTGACCTGGATCAGCAAAACCCTAGACTCTGGGTCAACTTCCTGCCAAACGAATTCGACTCCTGGTACGAGGAGGCGAGTCAAATCCGTGCGATCTGGATTTTTGACAACGTCGGAGAGATTGTCGGCGGGGAATTTGGCGACGGTGAAATTGACTCCCTGGTCGCCGCAGTCAATGGAGTGACCGTTGTCGTCGGCGTTGACTCTTCCGGCGAAAGGATAGAATCGGGTCAAAATAGCTGAGAGAGATTGTTTCAGCTGCTGTGTAGATTGAGAAATGAAAATGTCGTGATTATTGTAAGACGATTGTCGAGGAGGTAAGTAGAGGACGACAGGGAGAAGAATTGGTCTCATGATCTGGTCGAGCATCGACAGCTTGTAAGTTTTGAGGTGTCGGGCGTCGGAGATTCTGGTTTAATGTTCTCGCTGGAGACGATGATCTTCTCCTTTCGAACAAAACAAATGTAAGAAATGTGTCTGGTCGAAGCAATTCGTAATATTTAGTATAGCGTTAAATATATATTATAAATATTAGTTCCGCTACCCAAAGTGCACACTCAGTAAACTTTTGACAGAACTTAGACATCGGATAATTTGAACCCATGATCTCTCAATGATCTCTCACACGTCCAACTCCACACCACCGGTCATCTGCTTCTAGACATAACTATTCTTTTAATTTATAGAGCAAGAATAATAGTAAGATTTAATAATTTTATTTTTAATTTTTGATAATATTAAAAATTGAGAATGCAAAGACTTTTACATCAATTTATAGAGGATCGTGGGACGTGTGGTCTTATATAATTATTTCAAAAAATATATATTTTCAAAATTAATATATTATATATACTAATTATCTTTATATTATTTATAAAATTAAAAAATAAAAAAAATAAAAAAAAATCTTGGATGTATTCATGGTAAAGCTTCTGCTAAAGTGGCACGCTACAATTTGTTATTAAACTATGGTTAGAAAAATATTGCGTGTAAATGAGACACGACTATCAGATGTAACTGAGACCATGCCTATCATGACACATAATAATATATATTGGAGACAACATTTGACGATCTTTACTAATTGTTAAAATATGAGTATTTAATAATAAAAAAAATTTATCAACATAATTTTAGAAATTATTATATATTTTTATATTAAATGAGTAATTATATTAATATTATAATAATTTTAATATATAAAATAATAAAAATATACTTTCTTTGTTTCTTAATTATGTAGTTATTTATTTTTCGCATGATATGATTTAATATTAAAAAAGATTCTTATACAAATATCATTGTATTAGTATTATGCAATATTTGTATTATTTTTTCTTTATAATTGTTTAGTGTTTTTTAAGATTTTCTCATAAGTTGCTCGGTGTTTTTCTACCTAGGATGTCTAAGTGGTTTTGTCTTTAGAGATTTAGTGGTAACGATCGATCGATCTAGGTGCTTAGGTCGTAGGACTTTGTGTTTAGTCGTTGATGTATGCTATGTCTTAGAGGTTAGTGCCTAAGGCGTTATTTGTATCTAGTGTTAGTGTTCTCTAGTTGACGTTAAATAAGATGAAGTTCATGTTTTGTAATTTCAAGTTTTTTTGTTTTCGACGTGTGATTGCTTTCTTTTGTGAATATGCATGAATGCTGTTGATTTGTTTAGTAGCTTGGGTGCTAGTTTAGAATCTGTAAGTTTATTGTACTGAATCGGTTTAAACTTGCTTATATACTTGTTTTTGTAGTTTGATTGCATAATGTTTGTTTGTAAATGTAGCGAGGGACAAAAGACGATGATGAAATTCATCGGTGCAATGTAAATCTATATATCTAGTAAATATGAATTTTGGGATTTGGTTAAATCACGAACAAAATAGATGGAGTACATTGAGAATTTTGGTTGTTCGAGGCTTAATCCGACAAATCTCTCGACAATAAAATAAGTTGGTCTCCTATTTAGCCCGGCCCACCACATTGGCCCAAACCTTTTAACCCATCTCCAAGCCCAAACCTTTAGCCCATTAGTTGAGTTAGTTTCGAAGACTAAAAATTGATTAGTTTTTAGAGTGACCACAAAAAGTAGACACCGAACAAGAGAGAGAAGAGAATGGAGAAACCGTTGGTGCGTTCCGGTGTATTTTTGGTGAGATTAGAAGTGTTAAAATTAATTTGCGGAAACAAACAATGAGCCTATTAGCTCTGATATATAATTCGATAGATTTAAATCTAAATAATATAATCTAATTAATAATAACAATAATAATAATAATAATAATAATAATAATAATAATAATAATAATAATAATGAATATGTATATTGTTTCAAGTAAAAAAAAAAAAAAAACAAACGTAGAGGCGTTTAATTGATACAGCCACTGTCCGTTTAAGCATTTACAGAGTCGAGACACGGCACAATCTTAATTATTGCTGCATGAAGAGTTGACTAGGTCGGTACAATTTGTATAGTCAAAAGTCAATTTATGTAGGCACACAAAGCAATAAGATTGCATTTGATTGTAGTGATATATATATATATTTTAATTAATTAAATACATATTTTTATATTTATATTATTATATTAAAAATTAATTTTATAGTTGAAATATAAAATGAATATACATCTATATCCTATTCAATAATTAATTTACTTTAAAATTTAAAAATGAAAACCCAAACAACACCAATAAATTAATACGCCATGAAATGAAATCTAAAGAGAGTATCAAACCGAATCAAGCATGAACAAATGGATGGTTAATTATTAATATTTTTTTAAATAAAAATACTCCCTCCTCCGTTTGATAAAATTAGTGCATTTATGTCAGCATAAAAATGAAAAAATATATATAAATCATTGAAAAAATAATAAAATAAAAAAAATAATTAAGGTATGTTTCGAAAATTAATTATTTAACAGACATGCTAGAAAGAAAAATATGAATAAATTTGATAGAAAATTGAGTATTACATGTATAATCCCAGGAAACCATGTTTAGTGAATCGTGTTGCTGTTGGATGCAGCAGCAACGAGGTCCCGGAGCTCGTCCATGGCGCGGTCAAACGCCGGCATATAGTCCTCCTTGAGCGTGACCCACGCTTCGATTCCATCCCCGATTCTCGTGTCCATTAACCAGATTGTATTCTCGTACCTTAACGACTCCAAACCCCCGCTTGTATCACAACACGGTGTGATCCAGACCGGACTCCCCCATCCAAAATCAACGCCGTAAGCCCCAAAATTGCACAGGCTGGAGATCCACAGGTGGTCGGAACCCTCAGGAATTTCACTGTACATTAAGGAAAACTTTTCCCCGTAACTTCGAAGCCCGCCATCGCCTTGCAGGCTGCTGACGTAATTATCGTCGATCTTCCTTATTGCATCCCTCAATTTCCTAATCAGGTCAGCGCCGACATCATCGTCATCGTCTTCTTTGTTCTCGCTGACCGCCGGCGACAGACAGACGAAATTTCCGAAGCAATCTGACGGGAATGGCGGCCGGGCTCTCCTTCTCAGATCCACTGCGTTGATCAGGAAGGAATGCGATTTGCCATTTTGGAGAGATGCAGACATGAAGCACTTCCAGAGAAATGCCGAGACAACCTCGACTTTAGTGCTGCCGGAAAACTTTGCCTGAAGAGCTGAAATGACTGTGTCGGAATGGAACACGTAGCGTTTTAATGACCATTTGGGGGTCAGCAGAATGCCCGACGGGGAAAAGGGTTTCTGAACCAATTCGGGTCTGTGTGGGAAAAGAGATTGGGAAATGTAATTAGGGCAGATTCCTCGTCCATCTTGTTTGGATCCCACGTGATTGGCACGTGCCCAAGAAAACAAGAAATTCGTAATGGTGGTAGCGTCGGCGACCTTGTGCCAGAAAACAACTCCGATGGCAATACTACGGCACTTAAAATAGTTGACTTGGATCATCAGGAGCCTGGACTCCGGATCCATTTCTTGCCAGATGGATTCCGCGCCTGGTACGAGGTGACGTGGCAGAATCTCATTGATTGCCGGATTTTCGAGGAGATCGGAGAGATTGTCAGAGGGGAATTTGGCGACAGTGAAGTCAACTCCCTGGTCGCTGCAGTCAATGGAGTGGCCGTTGTCGTCGGCGTTGACTCTTCCGGCGAAAGGGTAGAATCGGGTAAGGATTAATGAAAGGGACTTTTTGAGCTGGTGAGTAGTTTCAGAAATGAACAAGTCAAGATCAGGCTGAGGATTGTGATTGTCCGTACGAGATGGAGGAGGAAAGTAGAGGACAACGTGGAGAAGAATTGGTGTCATGATCTGGTCGAGCAAAGACAGCTTGTGAGTTTTGAGGTGTGAGGGCGTCGGTGAATCGGGCTTGATGTTCTCGCTTGAGACTATGACCCTCTCCATCAAATCGCACAAAACAAATATTGTAAGAAAAAAGATTTGCAGGAACCCTTGATGTAATGATGCAACTCATCCCTATTTATAGAATCACAATACTTCCAAATTATTTGGTAAAATTGTCTATAAAGAATTTATAGTTTCGTAATTCTAACGTTATTTTATTTTATTTTTATATTAAAAATTGCATAACCTTTTTTTATATTTTTTTTAAATCTTGCATGAAATTTTTAAGTTCACCGTAAATCTCATTTTATTTTAAAAATTACACGACATCCTCTTATATTTTAAAAAATATTACATGAAATCCTTCATTATACAAAAAATATATATATAAATTATATTCTCATCACACAGAATTTTTTTTATAGCAGTGAAATTTTATACGATATGAATATAAGAAGTATCATGTAATTTTTAAAATATATAAAAATTTTATCTAAATTTTAAAATTATATAAAAATTATAAACAATTTTACCTTATTGTTATATTATAACACATTTTTAATGGTGTAGGTGTCAAGATTGCGTAATGCCATACGGCCACATTAATAGCACATGGTTTCATTCAATTTCAATGTTATCTCAATCTCCCTCTCCCTCTCTCTATCATCTCTTATCTATCTCAATAATATATATATATATATATATATAATCACCGCCCATACTTTTAATAAAATATATACACATTGTCCGATGGTATAATGAGGTAAAAATTCGGTAAAAATTGAACATGTGACCGTAAAGTTACTGTTGAAATCTCCAATACCTCAGGTGACTCAGTGTGCAAATAATTTGCGCACTTTTATATATACATTTCATTATTTTATTAGTATTTATTTTTATATATTACATAGGGGCGAACCTAGGTGGGGAAGGGGTTGCCCTCCCCCTATCCTACCCCTTTATTTTTTAATTTTAATATATATATATATATAAATAAACTAAAAATATATTAAACTTTTATATAAGATGTATTTATTTGGGCAATTTTGAATAAAAAAAAAAGATTATATTTAAATATATTTAAAGTAAAATTTTATTCCACTAAAAAATACTCATCGATCTTCAAACAATATTAAAATAAATATTGTAATATGCTGTTGATGTTATTGTAGTTTGCTATTTTGCTTTATAAAAATATAGTATGTCGAAAAATAAAATTATTTGATAACAAATAAATTGTATTATTTTAAATATTTTAAAAGTAAGTCTCTCTTTTGTCGAATTTTAGTTCCGCCCCTGATATTACATAATATTTTATTAACATGAAGCTTTGTCGAGAAAGTATTAATATAAAGATAACGGTATTTTTTTATTTTAAAAATTACTTAACCAAGTTGCAAAAATTTTGTTGTTAAAATTTTTACCCAAAGTTTTATCCAAATATTATAAAAAAATATGAAAGCACTGAAGAAGCTCTCCTAGAATTTCAAAGTATTTATTCCATTATTTTATTTAATGCAAATATTACTAACACATAAAAATTTTACATTTTCTACTAGCTATTATAGAGGAAAAGGCGTTCGATGTCAATATTTAATAAATAAATTTATTTAAAAATAATGTTAGTGGTGGTATAATTTTATTATTAAGGCATAATTAGATGTGTAGATTTTTTAGGTACCAAAAAGTACATATTTTATAACATTGAATGCACATATTGAGAACACGAAGGTTTATATTTTGAAAATATAATGATGTATACTGAAAGTGTATTTTTAAAATTCTCTGATAATTTATATTTTGAGCAAGATACAATATGATAATATATATTTAAAACTCCTTATATATAATTATTTTTACTCTCATATTTTGTAATAATATAACAACAGTAAATTTTGTTCAAATTACTGATACATTTATTTTTCTAATATTTCTTCCAAACAAAAAAAAAAATAAGAATTCTGAATGTGCTATAATAAATAATGCCGAAGACAATTTATGTATCATAATAGTGCATCAATATACACTATCCTGAAAAATAAAAAATATTTTGCCGACATGGCCGTGTACTCTGAAATACGGCTGTGTTTGATCTGATTCAGTTATTACTTTAGCTTTTATTACAGTTACGTAAGTGCGGTCTATTAAAATTTCAGGTTAACATAAAAAATAATTGAATTTATTATTATTCTTTTATGTGAATCTAATTTTGAAATATTTTTTTTAATGAGATCAAAAATTCAAAAAAAAAAGAGAGTTCGGCTGAGACTAATAATGATTTTTGCCGTAGCTAGAATAACAATGTAAGTGATGAAAGACAGTGAAGGAACAATCTATACCAAAGATCGATTAGAGTACCATAATAGAGTAGTGCACAAAGTGTCTAAGAGGAGACAATGTGGCGTAGAAGTGAGAATATGGAGGCAAGGCGCTATGTGTGGGGATGGAAGTGTGTCAAAAATGGTGTGTGATTGATGAGGAAAGTGAGATAAACATGTATAGAGAGGGAGTCGGGCCAAGCCCAGAAAGCATAGGCGAACTGAGCCCCCGGAAGGAGATGATGGTGCAGATTCTTGCCAGGATCTGTTGCCGGGGAATTTGGGCACTATAAAATGAACTCCCTGATCGATCATTGTTCACCGGCGCCAATTCAGAATCGGATTAAAACAATCGAGAGCGAACGTTTAGTCTTGAAAATGAACAAATCAGGATCAGGAAGAAGTTGTAGGTTCTCAAGTGTAGGGGGGTTGGAGAAGAAGACTTAACACACTCCATGGAAATGATCTAGCTCCCCATTTGGTTCACCGTAGGTTTCATTACAGCAAGCCTTTGTTGGCATCAATAATGCAATATATATATATATCCAGCAAGAGCACAAGATCATCATTCCCCTTCAATTTGGAGTCTGTGTTTTATATACAACAAATGAGAAACCACAAGAACGACAATACTTCATACAGCCTATTCCATATAGTAGTATTACACAGGCCCGATCATGTCCGAATCGAACAACACCATAAACTCGTAGAAATCAATAACCTAAACAACAAGATATTGCACAAAACGAAACATATCATCAAGATTTTACCCCAATCCAGAACTTGACGAAGACGCAGCCCCCCTCTCGCGATCCCTCTTCTCCTTTTCATAGTTGGGATCGTCAGTCGGCAGCTCGAACCTACACACAGGACATGAATTCCTACACCCCAGCCAGGGTTCTATGCACTCACCATGATAGCCATGGCCACAAGGCAGAGTCTTTGCAGCTTCTCCCACATTCACTAAATCTTTACATATGGCACACGCCACAGTGCTCCCTTCGTCTTCAATTACTACACTCTTCAGCGCCTCTACGGCGGATTTGGCCGCCGGAGGTGGCCCGCGGCCGCCTCCACTGTCACTATCGGCGAGGTTTTGAAGAAGGGCTTCGTAGCCTGAAGCATCGACGTAATCCCCAGGGTTGCCAATGTAAGTGTCAGAATCAGACAGTTGTAATCTGAGCTCGATCGAATGATCCTCCAGGCCCATCAGAATCTCCGCCCAATCGAGGATTCTGTTCCGGCGAGTGGCCGTGCGCGACGCGAAATCGCTCAGGCGGAGCCTGAGCGTGTCGTGCCGCCGCCGGCGCATATCGTCGTCGTCGTCGTCGTCGTCGAGAGGCTCGATCACTTCGATTTCGTCTGCGTCTGCGTCTGCGTCGTCGTCGTCGCCATCGCCGGATCTGTTGTTTTCTTCTTCCTCGCGGACGACTTCAACCGAATGCTCGTCGTCGTCGTCGTCGTCTTCGTCGTTGTTATCGTCGTCCCAGCCATCGAGCTCGATGCGGAGGTAGTCTGCGTTGGAGGGGGGAGAAGGGGGCGGGGCGTCCTCTTCACGCGCCGCTTGAGCGATTAGGCGAAGCACCTGAATAAACTGGTTGCCGAAGGTTGGATCGTCGATTGGGTCCGGGTCGGGCTCGGCGGCGGGGTTGGGGACAACGGCGGAGATAGATTCGACGAAACCGTTCTTGCACTCGTAGCAAACGACGTCGGGCAGATCAGCTAGGGTTTCGACTGCGACACTCTTGACGCAGTGGTAGCACCAATATTCCGATGGATCTTGATCCGACCCGGATTCGGGCAGGGTTCGGGCAGGCGATTGGTCATCCATGGATGAGACGAAAAAGGAGATTATTTTAGGTCTTGAAAATGGACTGGCAATACGAGAGAGACGAATGGAGATGAAATTCCAAGATCGAATCGAACCACTGTATTTTTTTAATTTTGTTTTTTTAATCGAACGACAGTATTAAATACTTCTTTCTTAGTCGAAAATTTTACGACCGTTGGATTAGGGTTGGTGAAACCTCTGTTCGCCATTCAAAGCTAAAATCGCGTTTATATTTCCGGTTTCAAATGCCAAAGTCGTTTAGCGACTCTTCAACTTTAAAATATCAATAATCTGACGCGTGTGTGTCACCTTCCGTTTGTTGCGGCTGAAATTGGGCCAGTAGTCTCAGTCCAACCCAATATTATTTGGGCCAAGTAACTAATAATTGGGCCTAATCGAGTAAAAATATATACTTACTTATCCAAAATTACATCATTATTATTTTTTGTTATTTATAGTAAATAATAATTAATTTTTTATTTTTTATTTAAATATTAATATTTTATCAATTTTTTTTTTTTTGAAAATTTAATATAATACATAGTATATCATATTTTTTATTTTTATTTTTTCATTTTAATATTAAAATATTATTATTTATTAGCGTTCGTGTTTAACCAAACTTAACGTAATTATTAAAATATTATATATATGGAAAGAGCTTTACCAAGAAAAGAAGATTCCTTTAGTATATTAATCAACTTATCTGTCCATGCATTATATTCTTGTTCTTGAAATTAAAATTCAATGATTATGTTCTTATGCTTCCAATAGTCATCAACTTTAACCACACCTCTAATCATTCCACATATATAATTTGCATTGCAAGCATTAATCGAATAATAATAATAATAATAGTGTTTTAAATTGACTTCACCTAGCAACTATCATTAAATTAGTCATCCAATATTATGCATAACATTTGTTGTAAATGTACATATACATTGAATTAATATTATTCCACATTGATCAAGATTGTTCATAAAGTGGAACATAAACCCATAAAATAAATAAATAAATATCAACCTTAATTGTTGTTTCAGTAAAGTATAGACTGCCAGATAATGGATCTTTCTTTGCTTGAAAGGGCAGCCACCATTTAACTGATTAATTACTACTGAATTAATTCCATCGTCAATATAATATTCAATATTTTAATTAAATATTACAGTAGCTACTCATCTTCTATATACATGAAAATACGTATACAACAATATACTAATATTATATAATAATCATCATAATAACAAAAATGTGCATGCGTGGTGTGGCTCTTAATTATTTTTATCCAGCCTAATCAATTAAATTTAATCCACCAAAAATAAGATCAATATCAACAATATTATTGTTGACACAATGATGGGATTAGATTGCAGGGCTGATGACGACGATGATCCTCCGATGATGAAATTCGGCAACCACCCGGACTCCGGCTGCCGGCCGTCGTCGACGTCGTCGTCCCCTTGTGGCTGAGCTGCGGAACCGCCGGCTGCCGGTGCCGGCATTGATGAAGATGATGATGATGATGATTTCTGGCTATAATACATTCATTAGTTTAATCATTTTGCAAAAAAAAATTAACGAAATGTGTTCTTTTTATGTTTTTTCATGTTTTTAAAAAAAATATTATTTAAATAATTTTATACCGCATGCAAAAAATATATTTTCAAATTATTTTACAAAATAAGTAATTTGTAATAATAATAAACATGGAAGCGAATCAAACCAAATTTGTAACAATAGTACAATAGTCTCCCGTCATCCCACGTACTATTATTTTTTTTAAAAAGAAAATTATAAATTTTAATCTTAAATTTTATAATTTATAATTTTTTAATTTTAGTTAGATTAATTATTTAACTTAATTTATAATTATTGTATTGTATTATAATTAATTTTATTCATATAATATTACTTATTTGCTAATTATATATTTCTTAAATTCTAAATTTTAGTGTATACATTAAATGATTGAATGTACGACGGAGGGAGTATAATATTAACTCCTCCTATTTTGTTTGTTAATTTTATTTAGGAACAATATTTTAAATGTTATAATTTTGATAAAAAATTTTTAAAAAATGGATGTAATTTTTTTTAAAAAATAAATTTATATTCTAAGTTTCTACTAAGTGAGGTGAATTTACAATTTTTTTCCTATAAAGTATCAAAACAAATATTATTTAAAAAAAAAAAGAAAAAGAAAAAAGAAGCACCCAATACCTTGGGAGTGAAGGGCAGAATGTAATGGTGTAATCAGCTCCATTACAAGTAAATGTGCTGGTCGCATCATCGTACGCGTAGCTGTACGCGCGGGGGCAGGCCTTCTTGAACGCCGCCGAGTAAGCCGACGGCCGGCAAGTGTCCGGCGACCCGTACGCCCCGCTGCAGCAAAATTCCGGCCTTCTAAACGCCTCGCAAGCGCTCCTGCACGCCTGCCCGTTCCCTACCCGCAGCTCGCTCGGGCAGATGCGGTTCAGATCGGTCAGGCACCCGGTCGAGCCGCAGGCGCCTGAACCGCCGGCTGCCTCGACGATCATCGGCAGATTGTAGCCGTCGACGAGGCTTACGTCGTAGAAATCCTGAGTGTCTGATCCGATCGTGAACTCAGCTAAGGTAGCCGGCGGCTTAGCTCCGGCGCCGTTGCATTCGATTTGGTTAGATCCGCAATCGCCGGTGGCGCAGCTGCCCTGGCCGGTGGCAGGATCGAATACGCAGCCGGTTCGGCCCCAGAACCGGCCGGACCACCCCGGTCCGGCCTGGAAGGATCTGGCGGCGCCTTGTGGGAGCTGAAAACCGGTGGTGCCGAAACCGCCGGCGCCGGCATTGGAGAGAATTCCAGGCCATACTGTGTATTCACATCTATTTATCAGTGTGAATGTCGTTCCCAGACAACCTGCAAATTAATTATTACCATTACCATGTAAGAAATTCACAAGATCTATATATATATATATATATGTATATGTATATGCATGTAGGTGTGCTTACCATTGGCAATGGCAAGAAGAATGAAGGTGTGAAGTAATGATGGGAGCATTTGGAGGGCTTTTAATGGAGAAGAAAGATGGGAAATAAGAAGTTGTCTGAGACAGCCTTCTATATATGGGATCTTATAAAAACAAATTTGGTACAAAAACCAGAAAAATTTAAATGGGCTTTTAAAAAAATGGAAAAATTAACATAGGATGAAGAAAAGGGGGTGTAGTGTGTAAGAAAGTGGACAATTTTATTTTTATTTAAAAGTCAAAATGAAGGCTAATTGCCAAACCGTTGTATGTGTTAAAGGGATAAATTCAGTGGCAGCATATGCATGTTTAATATATATATATATGTAGAAATTAAAAGGTGGTGAGGGAGAGCATGGAATAATTAAAGTCGTGTTTGACTGGAGGCTGCATGAATATGTAATAGAGGAGCCATTATTCGATCAGTACATTTTGAATAAACTTTTGATTGAACTTAATGATTTTTAAATTAAAATCACATTAATTATGTATAACAAATGCTCATGAACTCACAGTTATAAATCCATCCCAGGTGACGTAACATTAAATTAGGTGGTCAAAACTCCTAAGGGAGTTTGCCTCAACACTCAATCAAGATTATATTAATTATTATATTCACTGTAAATTAAATGGGATAGATAATTAATAGTAATAATAATTGGTTGGGGTTATTAGGACAGGGTAACAGATGAGATGATTTAGTGAGGAGACAAAATGCAAGGCAAGTTTTTTTGGACGTGAAAAGGGTGGGCCCCTCCACCAACCGATTCTCCACAACAGCCGAAAAGATTTGGTGGACCTGCACCAAATTTATCCCTATTTTTAACAACTTTCCTATACATAGTTTTTTTTTTTTTTTTTAAAAAAAAAAAATAATAATAATTAGTAGAAAATATAAATATAACAAAAATATACAAAAGTAAATAAAAAAAAACACACAAAATTATTGTGTAGGAATTTTTAAAAGTTTTTAAATAATAAACATATTTTTAATATAATGTTTTAAATAAAAATAAATGATTGATTTGATTAATTTTTTACTTGATTAATAATACTGTCAAAACTCTTAAAAATATTTACAAATTAAACTTTACATCAAATTTTTATATTAAAATATTACATATAGAAATAATCATACAAAACATATATTTAAATAACTACATAAAGCATAAACAAACAGAGTCAGGATGGCCGAGTGGTCTAAGGCGCCAGACTCAAGTTCTGGTCCTCGTGAGAGGGCGTGGGTTCAAATCCCACTTCTGACAATATTTTCTTTTTTGGTTTTTAATAGAAAAATTAGCGTTTTGGCAGACACGTGAGAAATAGTCATGCTGGCGTGTAAAGATCGCCTTTTGCTGACATCCCACACCACAATTGCTCTGTTGTACCATGTTACCATACATATGATGAAGCAAAGAGATATATATATATATATATATATCCAGTGCGTATGTATGTCTGAATGAGAAGAGGTTATTTGGGAATGAAAAGGCACAATAAAATAAAACCCACAGTTAATTATATATATATGTAGGAAAAGATAGTTGAAAATACAATTCAACAAATGCTTTTGATCTTTAATTAATTGGATAAGATTTAGTGAATAAATTAAAGGGACCAGAAAGAAAAAGTGAAAAAACAAAAAAAAAAAACGAGAGATAATGTGGTTAGTATATATAGTTTTATATTAATGAATTTATAACAAAGATGAATGGTGAGATCACAGACACACATATATATATATATATATGTATATTCTGCTGCAGCTTTAGAGGGAAAAAGGAAAGGAAAGGAATGGAAAGAATTAGGGAAGATCGAGTGGTGACATAAAAATAAAGGCATTTACTATATTCATGCATCCATACAATTTCATATTTATAATTTTGTCTTCATACTCTTATCAACTTATAGTCACAAAAATAAAAATAATAATCATAATAATAATAAAAGAAGAAGAAGAAGAAGAAAATTCCATAAAGCTGCGGTGTTAATAGAAACCCTAATTGGTGAAGAAGATAATATCAAAATCGGTTATGTTCTAAAAAACACATATTGAATGTTCAACATCAATCTTTCGTATTTTGTAAAATAAGAGTGCATGCTATCGACTCATCTTTTAAATGAATGCTTTATAGAAGTATATATAATGCTCTATATAAATATATATGATATTTTATATAGTATATATGGAGTACGTTTAATTATATTGTATTGTTAAATCTTCAATAGCATCAATTCAAGAATCATAAAACGTCCATAAAAAATTTTAAGAACATTGATCAAGAATCCAAAAAACACAGGTTTTTTTATATAGTGGAGTATATGTTATACGGACTCTTAATAGTAATTTTTGAAGATTTGAAGGATGTTGTCTGAAAAAAATCAATATGTTGCTGATTTTTCCAAATCAGTACGGTAATGGTAGTCGCATCCTATCAAACATATATATTTCATAATATAATATTCACGTAATATTATTAATATGTCACGAATTTTTGTCTGAGCTGAGTGAGTTGTGGCAATCACTTAATTAGTAAGGAAGATGTCGAGTTAATGTGTTTCATTTATAATCATTGTGATCAGGTAATTATACTTGAATTTGTTATATTCCTGAGTATATATTTTTATTATTATCATTGTATATATGTTCTTTTACTAATTGTCATGCTACATTCATATATTTGCTCTATTTGAATTATTATAAGAAAAAAACCATAAAACAATAACTTACAATACAAAAAAATAAAAGATAAAAACAATATAACTTTTGGAGTAGAATTTTGTAAAGCAGACATGACTCTCATTCATTGTTAGTCCATTATCTTATCTGTAAATTGATATATATATATATATATATATAGAGAGAGAGAGAGAGAGAGAGAGTATTATTAGGGTTGGGAATTATCTGTAAATGGGTATGGGGTCGACTAAGGACAACTGATAAAGCAAAAGCCAGGATATATAGAAAATAGTAAAATATACAAACAACACAAGCTTTTATTACATACAACACATATTGTTTGTAACAAAGATGTGTTGTTTGTTCATAACTACAATGTTGTTGTAAAAGAGTATGCTATGGACTAAAATTAACTGTTGTATGTATATTATATTAACGTATATTGTGTGCTGTATGTGATTTGATTATACCGTGTTGTTTAGTGTACATTCAGCACTGTAATCGCCGCTATCTATATATATATATATTTGCGTAGTGAGGTGAGGTTAGCTTATCTGTCGTGTAAAGCCAAAAAAGGGAATCCTTATTCCTTTTTAATCCAATTTTTAAATTCATAAAACTTTCTGACATATATCGATCAATTTAATTGATTAAGGAAACTGAAGCTCATCCCAATTAAAGAAAGAGAGGCAGCATCCTCAAGCTTTACCATTACTGGAAACAGTTCCTATCAGCCCTCGAATAACCTTCCTTCTTCTCAAACAACAATATACAAACGAATATACTTTTTTTCGTCCAAAAAATCTCTCTTTATTTAAATTGGATATAATTTTTAATGAATATATATTATTACAGTGATAAATGGAACATAAAAATATATTTTGAAATATAGATGAGTGAGATAATATGAGTGAAAATAAAATAAAAAAAATTAATAAATTGAGTGTGTAAGTATCGATGACATATTTGTAAATAACTATAATAGTTATTTAATAATATGTATTAGGAAACTTAGAAAAATTATTTGATATAAAGAAAATGTATATATTTTTTGTAATTAAAAAAATGATATAAATTTGGTGGATATAGAAAATATCATATATCTCCATATACATACTTATGTATATTTATACTTGCGTTTAAACCTGTGTTATGCGCAGATTTTTATATTTAAATTTAATTATTATATTATTTATATTTGATTTTATAAATACTTAAAATAAATCAAAAATATATATGTAAAATAATTATATAATCTAATATATTTATATTTTACTATTTTAGTGGTTGTGTTTTTTTATAAATTTTTTTTCTATATCTCCATATATATATACTTATGTATATTTTATATGCATGCAGAAATTAAAGGATATTGTGAAGATGCTGTCACATTTTTTTTATTATTTTATGATTATTTTTTCAATTTTTATTGTAAAAATTAATTATTTTACCTTTATTATAATGTTGAAGAATTGATTACCTTTAAAAGAAAATTAGAAAAATAATTAAATATTATTAAAAAAAATTTGAAATTTGAAAATTTGAAAATTTAACTTTAACATAAATTATCGATAAGTATATATATTTATTTATTTTGAATAATTTTAATTTTAAAATAGTTGACTTATATATTTCAATATATTAAAATTTATAAATTAATATTTAAAATTAAAATATAATATTATATAAAATATATAAAAATATCTATATATAAATAATATATATTACGTAATAAAAGTATGTGAAAATAAATAAATTATAATATATAGAAATATGTTTAAATAAATAAATAAATAATACATATATTATGTAATAAAAATATATTGAAATAGATATATTATTGTGTATCTGTAAAGATTATGTTTCTGATTACTCTAACAAATGCAACAAGGTGCACGATGCTTATAGTGGTAATATATAAAACCCCCTCTACTGAATTTAAATAAATTTAATACTTTTAAGGAAATGAGTATTTGATGCATGACAAATGAAAGAGTAGTTTCTGATTGAATACCAAATATATATTATATATGAGTTTATTCATTTTTTATTATAATAATTAAAAAAAAAAAGTACTACCTCCGTCTCACATTGAATGTTTTGGTCACGATATATACGAGAATATGAGACTACAATAGACAGTAAGTGGAACGGAACGAATAATATTTTTACTTTAAACTATAATTTTTTTATTAAAAATATTTATTATTAAAAAAGAAAAAACTATATTTAAGTATTACTGAATATGCTGGGAGCGGGAATTCTGGAGCAGGAAAGGCAAGCAAGTCCCTGGAGTCCTACACCCCTAGCACGGGGGCCAAAACTAACTGTAAACAAACCGCCCCGCCCATTTTGGCGGACGATAAGGGAGCGTCAATGGCGGTTTCACCCTCAACCTTTCTCCCCCTTAAACATAACAAAACATTAAAAAATATAATATATATCTACCTATTCAATCTGAATCACAATCAAAAGAATTTCCAAAAAACATGAGAGAAATCCTTCACGTTCAGGGAGGCCAATGCGGGAACCAGATCGGATCCAAGTTCTGGGAAGTCATCTGCGACGAGCATGGCGTCGACCCGACGGGTACTTTCAAGGAAGACGGATCCTCCGACGACAAGCAGCTCGAAAGGATCAACGTCTACTTCAACGAGGCCTCCGGTGGCAGGTACGTCCCACGCGCCGTCCTCATGGATCTCGAGCCCGGCACCATGGATTCCATCCGGGCCGGGCCCTACGGTCAGATCTTCCGCCCCGATAACTTCGTCTTCGGCCAGTCCGGTGCCGGCAATAATTGGGCCAAAGGACATTACACCGAAGGCGCCGAGCTCATCGACTCCGTCCTCGACGTCGTCCGCAAGGAGGCTGAGAATTGCGACTGCTTGCAAGGTGCTTACACCATTTTTACACGTAAATTCGGACATGTGCATGTTTGTTGATGTCGAATATTATCGAATTTCGGCAGGTTTTCAGGTTTGCCACTCTTTAGGAGGTGGCACGGGGTCGGGGATGGGGACGCTGTTGATTTCGAAGATTCGAGAAGAGTATCCGGACAGGATGATGTTGACTTTCTCGGTTTTTCCCTCGCCGAAAGTCTCCGACACCGTCGTCGAGCCCTACAATGCGACGCTGTCCGTGCACCAGCTCGTCGAGAACGCCGACGAATGCATGGTCCTCGACAATGAGGCGCTCTACGACATCTGTTTCCGGACACTTAAACTTACCACCCCCAGCTGTGGGTAGCTAGAAATCTCGATTTTGTTCGTCTTGGCAATCGATGATCGTCGTAATTGTTTGATCTTGCAGTTAGCGATCTCAACCATTTGATCTCCGCGACGATGAGCGGCGTTACATGTTCTCTGCGGTTTCCCGGGCAGCTGAACTCCGATCTCCGGAAGCTCGCCGTGAACCTGATACCGTTCCCGCGCCTGCACTTCTTCATGGTTGGGTTCGCGCCTCTAACATCGCGAGGATCGCAGCATTACATCACGCTCAGCGTCCCGGAGCTGACTCAGCAAATGTGGGACGCCAAGAACATGATGTGTGCAGCCGATCCACGCCACGGCCGGTACCTGACGGCGTCGGCCATGTTCCGGGGGAAAATGAGCACGAAAGAGGTCGACGAGCAGATGCTGAATGTGCAGAACAGGAACTCGTCCTACTTTGTCGAGTGGATCCCGAACAACGTCAAATCGAGCGTCTGCGACATCCCACCAACCGGCCTGAAGATGGCGTCGACCTTCGTTGGAAACTCCACGTCCATCCAGGAGATGTTCCGGCGGGTTAGCGAGCAGTTCACGGCCATGTTCCGGCGGAAAGCTTTCCTGCATTGGTACACTGGGGAAGGCATGGATGAGATGGAATTCACAGAAGCAGAGAGTAACATGAATGATCTAGTGGCTGAGTACCAGCAGTATCAAGATGCCACTGCCGATATTGAAGAAGATTATGATGAAGGAAATGAAGAACAATACGAAAGCTAAATAACTCACATGATTTACATCCACACACACACATATATATATATATAGATAGATAGATAGAATAGGAGCATATAAATCACTGATTTAAATAATTTGCATGAAACACTGTTTTGTAGGTTTCTCATATATCATTGAATAGTAAATACTAAATACCATAAGTCTGTCTACCTTCCTAACCCCTTTTCAGCAAACAAACTGTGGCCACATAGAGATCTCAATAAGAAACAAAATTGATCAGCAATTTATGAACCATCCTTTTCAATACAAACAAAAATTCACCAACATAGAGAGAAACACAATCACCAAATAATTTGCTAGCTGTATAAAATACAATACCTCCATGAAGCAGTGGTTTTTTTTCCCTTGTCATCTACCTGCAGGCAATTTTATGCCACAGGCATTTCTGATTGCCTTTATCTTGATTAATCCTCGCCGTCGCCTCCGGGCCTCAGCACATCTAGCCCGTTTATCCATCACGTTTGCATCCAACGGCCGAGATGAGTCGACTTCAAAAGATGGCTCTTCAGCTGGAATATTAAGGTCGATCCCAAGAGGTATAGTAATAGGACCCACGCGGTTGACCGATCCAATCGCATGGAATCGAGCTGCATTTGGGCCGAATTGACTCTGCAATTTCTGCACCGTCGGATCTTCGATCAACGGTGGCTGATATGACAACGCATTCCTTTGAAATGGTTGTGGCACTTCCAGTTGGCAGTCGCCCTTTCCTGGGCAAGTTTTTAGCACCTAATAAATGTTTTAGAGAAAATCCAAATTAATCGACAGGAAAACCACAATAATAATACATAAGAAAAAAAAAAAAAAAAATCTGGCATGATTTTATACCTCCTTCTTTTTTGCTTTCAATTGAGAATTATAGGTCTTCAAACTGTCGTAATATTTCTTCACATTTTCTATTTCCTGTAAATTTACAAGAAAGAACAAAACAAAAATACCATAAAAAAATGTGTGTATAAAATAGAGAGAGACAGACATAGATACAAGATAACGTGGAGGAAAATCAATCCAATATTGTTAGCAGAATGAAATGACGAGTTTACCCCTAGGAGAATGAGCTTGCGCTGTGTTAATTCTTCTATCTTATCAAATAATTCTTCTCGTGACTGCAAATCAATGATGGCGAAAAAAGTGCAAAATAAGGAACTATGGTAAAAGGATAAATTTATTTTGAGGAAGAAATATTTACCATTCCTACAATTTTCAACCAAGTCAAAATTATGTGGAATCAAAGGAGCAACAAAAAATTAAAATTAATAATTATTATTAAAATAATTACCCTTTTTCTGGAGGCCTTCTTCGATGGACGGTTAGACTTCTCGTCAGATTCACACGGCGAGAAGGAGAGCGGCGTGTCGGGGCTGGAGGTGATCCGGACGGCGTCTCCGGCGCACTTCTCATCCTCCGCCGCCTCCGGTTTGACGAGCGGTTTTCTGACTTCAATTTCAACTTCCGCCTTCTTCTGTACCGATGTGGAGAGCCGCGAAGGTGCGGGAGGTAATGGCGGAGGCGCATCCAGGCAGGATCTCTTCCTCCTGCGTCCCCAATTGAAATCGGACAACGATTCAGATAGAGAGCAAATCCGATTTCGAAGATCGAGCAGTATTTCAGTAACAAGGATCTCATCTCGTGTAGCGGAAGCTAACAGAGAGCTCTCCGCACAGCTGCGTCCAGGTGCGCTCCGCTTCATAGCTTTCGCCTCTTCTTCTTCTTCTTCTTCACCTTCTTCGCCTCTAACTCTTCGATTCCTGAGAAAAACAGCGGAATCGTGCTGCGACGGCAGGAAGACGAGCGATGAGAGGGGATTCGGAGATTTAGAGAGAGAGAGAGAAGGGAGTTGTTAAGGAAGGAAGGCTATATATATTGCGATAGGGGGGAGGAGGCTGTTGCCACGTGTCACCATTCTAGAGATGAAGGGTCTCCTAGGGTTTATACATTGCATTTTTTGTATACCAATATTACCTTTTTTATCATCAATAATATTGACAATTTAAATTAAAAATAATCTTGTCTCATAATATTACGTGGCTGCTGAGGTGGACGTCTTCTTGCCAGCTCAGCATCTGGTGACGCATTAATCACCTATTTTAATTTATTTAATAAAATAAAGCACGAAAGTAGTAAGAATGCTTGGGTGTGACAAATGACAATCCAATTCGACCATCAATTAGAGTAAAAATAAATTGTCCCAGAATAATTTTCCACTTCATGTGAAAGCCCCATATTAATTAAAATCTATAAATGGGCCCAAAGGCCCAATACTTAGTAAATAAGTCCAACCTAACATCACGTTGTAGTTTATTTTGGGCTTATAGGCCTATATTTCAATATGGGAATTCCTATGGCCTTATTAATAATGTGCTTATTTGTGTTTTCGACATTTTTATATTTTTTATTAGGATTTTAAAATAAATAATTATTTAACATCACATTTTAGATAGGTAAATCAAGAATATATTTGTGTTTTCGACATTTTTATATTTTTTATTAGGATTTTAAAATAAATAATTATTTAACATCACATTTTAGATAGGTAAATCAAGAATAAGAATTTGGTTAAGAAAAAATAAAATATCTTCGAAATTTTTGAGACTCTTACGGAAGGGCAAGAGTGTTTTTTTTTTTTTAATATCTCAAACACCAATTCCAAACAAATTTCGAAGCATTGCAAAAATAGTTTCGGATATAGTTCGAATTCCAAAATTATTTTCCGAAGTCTTTTTCATTTTTTGCATTGTGACTATCGATCTATTTTTAAAATGTATTTTTAATCAAATACTATAAATTACTATCTATAATTCAACATTAATTAAACAAGACAGGTTGTTTATTTTACAAAATAACTTGAAGGAATATCTTTTTATTTGAGGTATATAAAATTGTATAGACTATTAAAAACAAAAAAATAATAAAAATATATTATATATTAATTTTTAAAAATATATATGTAATTTTTTTGTATATAAAAAGAATACATCCGATTTATTTATTTCTTTTTACAGAATTATATCCAAATTTTCAATTGTAATTTGAAGTAATAAGTAATAAATAACAAAAAGTATTTAGGTTTAGGTTTGTTTAGTAGCGGTAGTTTGAAATTAATTTTATTTTTTATTTTAATAATTAATGTAATATTTTATAAGATAAAATAGTGTATTTTTATTAAAAATTATATACAGTAATATTGAATTTAATTTTAAATTAATTTTATTTTTTATTTTAATAATAATTAATATAATAATTTATAAGATAAAATAATATTTTATTAAAAATTATATAAAATCAATAATATTAAATTGGGTAAACTGTTTGTTTAGTCCAGTAACTGGACCCCTTATTATTTTAGTCCAGTAAGTGGAGCCTGTCGCAAACTAGTCCCATAAGTGAAGAATTTTCGCTGTTTTAGTCCTCCGGCACCGGAGATGCCCGCGTGGCTCGCCGGAGGTGACGTGTTCGCCAGGTGTCGCTGACCTGGCGGACACGTGGATTTTTTTTTAATTTTTTTTTAAAAAACTTATTTTTAATTTATTTTTAATTTTATTTGTATTTTTTTTATTTGTTATAATTAAAAAAAATTAAAAGAATTAAAAAAATGAAAAAAATAAAATAAATCCACGTGTCCGCCAGGTGTCGCTGACCTGGCGGGACACCTGGCGGACACGTCACCTTCGGCGAGCCACGCGGGCGTCTCCGGCGCCGGAGGACTAAAACAACGAAAATTTTTTACTTATGAGACTAGTTTGCGACATACTCCACTTACAGGACTAAAATGATAAAGAGGTTCAATATAGGAACTAAAAAAAAGAGTTTACCCTATTAAATTTAGTTTTAAATCAAAAGTAACGAACTCTTATTCTTTTTTTTAATTTCAATTTCTAATTTATATTACCATCCTCTTCAAAATTTTTAAATTAAAATTAAAATTATTTTTTTAATAAAATATACCATAACAAAATTTATTTAAAAAAAGCTCAAATAAATGTTTCATTTCAAATCAAATTAAATCCATAAATGGTGGCTTAGTCAATCCCAAAATGTATCGCTCTCTGCATGTCCGCCACGTTTCATTACACCACATTCATTATCATCTCTGTAAAATATATATATATACACACCCATCTATATCTATCACCCCTGCAACCTAAACAACATCCCACAAGAATCCCCAAAACCCTGCAATACAAACACACATCTGAGAATTCCAATTAAGAGAGAGACAAACAAATCAAATTAATTAAGATGGACGATTGGATTGCTAGAGAAAGAAATGGAAGAATAAGCTGGAAGGACCAAACCCTAGACTCCATTTCAGCGCCGCCATTGTCGCTGCTTCTGTTCTTCCTCCTCGTCATTACCTTACTTTACTTGAATACCCTCAGCGAGGTCGCCGAGAGGATTGAGACCAAGAGAGCCGGGTTGAGGCTGCGCCTCCTCCTGCTGCCGCTCGCGGTGGCTCTTTTGCTCGTGCTCAACACGCTCCGCCGCAGGGTGCTCCAATACGACGTCGCCGGCCGGCCTCTCAGTCAGATCGCCGAGGACTGCACTGCCGCCTCCGGCGTGCTGCTTTTTCTACTGCTGCTGCTGCTCTTGGTTTACTACAAGCCGTCCTTTCAATTTGCATGGTTTCGAATCTTCTAGAAGAATAGGAAATTAATTAAAAGTTATATATATATATATATGTATGTAGCAATTTTATGAAATAGACAGACACCCACGTCGTTGTTTGTAGTTAATTGTCGAGTTCGGTAATAAAAACCCTGTCTTGAAAATCTTACTGGCAAATTAATTAATATTGAAGAAAAATTAAGATATGGAAACATACACATAAATATATAATTACGTATTTTATTGTATTTTATATGCAAAATTAAATTCTCATGTAGCTTTTGCGCAAAACTTTTCATATTGAAATGAATTCAGAATCATAAGGACCATAAGGTCATATATAGGTCCAAACTCCAACGTCTTCGGGCCTTATCATGTTATACATAATACATAGTTTGTCTAGTGATTTGTTTTATTGTAATTTGTTTTATCGAATCTAATTTGCAGGTTATTCGCCTAGTGTGATTTGCTTTATCGAGTCTAGTTTGCAGGTCATAGGTTTTCGACGTTTCCAAATTCTACATATTACATATAGTTCGCGTAATGTAATTTATTTTATCAAACTAATTTGCAAGTTATAGATTCGGCCGGAATTCACTTGGAGCGCACCTAAAAAGTAGTGGCTGTTGCATATAGTGTTCACCTAATGTGACTTGTTTTGTGACTTGTTTTATTGGACTAATTTGCAGGTTATAAATTTGGCCGAAAGTTCACTCTGAGCTACCTGAAACTAGCAGTTGTTTTTAAAAAATTTTATGTTACACTCTTTCATAATTTCATAATTCTTTTTTGTATAATCCTCGGTCATTCTTATTATATAATTTTTTTGTCTAAGCCTCGGCTATCCTTATTGAACGGTGTTTGCACACGTTTAAATTGCGAATAAATTTTATAGTTTTTATTTTTAAACTGCAAATAAATTTGATACAATTTTAAAAATATAAGAATTTGACTCCCATTTCAATTTTGTGAAATAATAGAGTGAATTATGTGAAAATTTGACTATTTTATATATATATATATATATTATATATTACTACTTTGATGTGATTATCCAGTTTTGATCTGATCCAGTAGTAGTAGGAGTACCAAGTAGTAAGAACAAACTAATCCTCCTGGCCTTGAAGTTGAGCAATAATAATAATAATAATATCAGAATTGTCGTGTTGCGAGTGCATATTCAGAGCCCAGCTGTATCCTTCTGTTTTCCAATGAATCGAAATTAATGAATATGCTTTTTTTTTTTAAGCGGTTTGTTATATTCCCGTGGTATCTTTTCTTTCTTTCTATCTATAAATAGCATGCCATGCATGCCCCTTTATTCCTCAAACCATTAATTAATTAATTACAACCATGCCCATCTCCAAACACACCCAGTACCTCCTCGTACTTGCTTCCTTCCTCTTCCTTCTTCTCCTCGTCGAAGCCAATCATGACGACGAGGTAATTACTACATAACTTACTACACACACACACTCTCTCTCTCTCTCTCTCTCTCTCTACTTTTCTTGTCTCCAATTCATATATACATAACATATATATATGTATGTACGTATAAATATGTATTTGATTTTTTCGAAGTTGCAGGTGAAGCCCAGCGTTGATGGTAATAAGGGAAGCTACTACGTTCCCAAAATGGGTAATTTATCAAAATTCCGTATAATTTTATTTTTTTCACGAATAAATAAAATTAATTTATGTTAACTATGGACGTATAGGCTGCGGGGCGGCGTGCCGGAGCAGGTGCCGGCTGTCGTCGAGGCCGAACTTATGCAACAGAGCGTGCGGCACGTGCTGCTCACGTTGCAAGTGCGTGCCGCCGGGAACCTCCGGCAACCAGCAACTCTGCCCCTGTTATTACACCTTGACCACTCACGGCGGCCGCCGCAAATGTCCTTAAGGCTTCTGCATATTGGATATTTGCGAGCATATATATATATCGTATAATTAAATATATGTGTGTGTGTGTGTGGCTTTCTATGTGTATCGTATATACAAATATATATATATGTATTTATATATAGAATAAGCAGAGCCACAGGTCGTCTTCTAATCTATGGGACATTTTATAGGCAATGTAGTGTGTGTATCTATTCTCTGTAAAAGTTTGTGTGTTTTTATTTTGTCTTTATAATGAGCAGATGAATCCAATCTATTAAATAATTCATCATCGAGACAGGACTGTGTCGTTTTCAGAGCCTAAGAAGCTGTCCAATGTAATAATTGCCATGGAGAAGAGAGGTCACATTTGCAAATCAAAGAACGAACTTGTTTCACTTCAAAAGCTAAATCTACAGATGATTTCGACACTAAGAATCTTAGACGTTTGAATTTATAAACTTAAAAGGCCTAATTCTTACATCATATTATTATCCGTAAGATTCAACAACATGTTTGAGCCTAGCATGTTCTTGAAAGAACAGAGGATGTGATTGAAAGGGAACAGAGGATTATTTAATCAATTAATTAAGTAATTAATCACCTCGTACTCAACCTCGGATTCCTCGAATATGCAATATTCGGAGAATGAAAAATAAACCCTACCATAACTGAAATCTCAGAGAAACGATTAGAGATGGAGAAGAAAGTAACAAACAAGACTTGTTTTTTTTCTTTTTCTTTTGCTTTCACACATTATCTCTGAACAAGATTATTGGTTGTCTAAATTCCCTCTTTTATGTTACCTTGCAAGTTGAAGTCCTCAAACTTATTGATCTCGAATCTTGAATATGATTGCCGATGCAAAAATGGGTAAATTAGGACCCACTAAACAGAAAAGATTAATGAAGAATGAGTGGACTATATTCATAGTGTACTTTGAATGGAACAGTGATGAATGTCGATTTTCTAAAAAACAAAAATAGAAATTGTCTTTTCAGACAATAGCAGCATAAATCAGATAGATTTTCTGGCAGTGATCATGACCCCATCCTGACAGGATTTGAAGAACTCAATACAGTCTTCAATGGCTTCATTATAGTGTGAATTGGAGGCACTGCTGCTGTAGTACGAACTGCAAGAAATCTTGGGAGCCTCCATCACTGCCGACGGAGAGCCGCCGCCGCCGCCGCAGGTGGGAGAGAAGACAGACAGCCGCCGTATGATCTTCCTGAACCTCCCCAAGATTTTCATGGCCTCCCTCTGTTTCATCAATTCACAAAATCTATATATCAGTGTTTATATATATGTATGTACATGTGTGTATGTATGTAACAAACACAGAAACCAATGCGTGTGTGTGCGTGTATGGACAGAAGTCTTTGTCAATGGCAGTCATATATATGTGTGAGAATCTACATTGCCATCTTAATTCTCCAACTTAATCCTGTAGAAGAATTATAAACAATAATTAAAGAAAAAACAAATGAGTCTATTTTAATTGATTAATTAATTAATAGTTAAAGAACAAATAAAAAAAAAAAGGTGGTTTTAGTCCCTCAATAGAATTAAAAGAATACGCCATGTGATCCAATGATTTCCTGCTCTTCTTTTATTGATTAAAAGTTTTATATACATTGAACTAACCCCATAAACCCTAAATTAGAAGATGGCTTTGTGCTGCTAATCAGTTAATTAGTTTCATGGAGGACTCGTTAACTTTTGCTTTCAGATACCAGGAAAAGAAGAAAATTTTAAATAAAAAATAGTAGCTAGCTAATCAAATATTTTAATTCTCTTCAATTGCAAGGAACAGTGTTCAGTATATTCAAATAAATCCGACTGACTTGTAGAGCTTTATGAATTTTCTTGATGGTGTGGCCAAACAGGGAACAGTTAATCAACATTTGTTTTGATTGATAATTAAGCTATGATGATCATAACAAACCGCGAAAAAGAAAAGATCCCAAGTAGGGCCGGCAAACGGACCGGGTCGAGTCGGGTCGGGTTCAGGTTTGGGTCAGCTTAAACGGGTTATAAAACCTTTGACCTGAACCTGACCCATTTAATTAAATGGGTTGATATTTGCAACATTAATCTGACTTTTTATTAATCGGTCATCCTGAATATGACTCATATAACCCGTTTAAATCTAAAATTTTTAAATTTTAATTTAAAATTATAATTTATACTAACAAAAAATTTTAATGCGTAATATATATACATATTAAAGCAAAAAATTATTTATTCATGTCATAAAACCGATATTCAAGAATTGAATTAACAAACACTACGTAATAGTACATAACACAATCCTTTATTTTTTATTGTTTATTTTTATAAAATTGGCCATAAATATTGAATTGTATTGATAAAATTTAAAAAATATAGTTAAATTTAAAATAATATTAATTAAACCGGTTAGACCGGTTATTTTCATGTCGAAAATGTAGACCTTAACCCGACTCATTTAATTAAATGGGTTAAACGGGTTTGACCCAATTATTAATTGGATCGAAAATCTTAACTCAAACCCAATTATTTTATATCAGATTCGAATTGGATTAATTTTTGCCAGCCCTAATCATATATCACTTTCTAAAAATACGGGGAGGGAGGGGGCTCAAGTTGGAGTTGGTGTTAGCAGTCCAGGTCAAACCTGCTAAATTTCTAAGGAGAAAAGCACATGCCTCGTTGGTGGAATCAAGCTAAAAAAAGGTTTTAATAATAATAATAATAATAATAATAATAATGAAGTTATATTTTATTTTTATTTGATTTTGATTTATATGTTAGTTTTTTAATTTTAGTCTCTCGTTATTTATGCATGTGTTCCACAGAGAATATTTTTTTTATTTATAAAATGTCTAGATAAAATGATCATTTAATATAATATCCTAATAGAAAAAAAAAAAAAAAAAACCTGCAACGGACCCAGAAGATGATTGTTTCTTCGCAAATTTCATGAAAAAAAAAACTTCGTGCAACTTATGATTCATTTTTTTATGGTACATTCTTCATAACTATTTTTAAACTACAATATATATACATATTAATACAAGATATGTACTCCCTCTGTTCCACATACCGTGTCTGCTATACTGTAGACACAATATTTTAGGAGGGGTGTAATTAGTAGATGATTAAGAATGTATTAGTGAAAATAATTATCCGATAATATAAATAATTATAAATTAAGATTAAGATAACTAATTAGTTTAATTAAAATTTAAAAAAAAATTAAAAAAGTTTAAAATGAGAATGAAATGTGTAATCATTTTCCAAAAAAGGAAAGTGATATGGTACGTGGAACGGAGAGAAACGACAATGTGGACATGGTATGTGGAACGGAGGGAGTAATATATAATTGTCTAATCACAAAAAAGTTAATAATTTAATATTAAAGATTATTTTTTATATAATTGACATAATTTTCTATAATTAATACAAAATAACACATTAATTAAAAAACACAAAGATGAACAAGCACTTAACTCCCTCGCCAAAAGAAAACCCAACAAAAAGTGTGATATCTCAGTCACAAATTAGTTATGATGGAATTCTCAACGTCCTAGGTATGTAATTTTTTTTGTAGTGCATAATCTCGTTTAATTATTACTACATCCGTCTCACATACCATATTATTATTCAAATTAGAGCGTAAGAGCATTTGTTACGGTGAGTGTCTCTACTATATTATTTTTTTAATATCTCTCATTCACATCATATATTTATATATATTATTATTCAAATTATTTCTTTCAACACCCGTTATAGTATCATTATTTTTACTTATTACCTTTACAATTTTATAAAATTCATCGTAATGATTTATTTATATATATTTTTATTATCTAATAATATATAAATAATATTATACTATTATTTTTAAAATATTAATTTATATAATTATAATAATATTATATATATATTTATATTATGAAATATTATGGTGTGTTTGTTTGGGACTTTGGATTTTGAGTTAGAATTGGAATAGTAAAAATTTTAAATTTAAATAGTTGTATGATGTGATGTTTTTGGAGAAAAAAATTGGATGAATAGTGTAAATCCAATCCAATCCCCCAAACAAACACACTCTAAAATTATTCAAATTTATAAAATTAATGGCATTTAAAAATATGAATGATTGAAATAGACTCGGATTAATATATTGCCAGAATAATTTTTCGTTTTTGATAGTTTTGTTAAAGAATTAGTTGAAAAAAAAGTGAATATAAAAATTTAAAAACAATTAAGTGTTAAATTGGATATATAAAAAAATTATTAAAAAATAAGCCGTAAGTTGTGATCTTTTAAAATAAAATGGGACCAGAGTTGATAATTTTTTTGAATGAGACCAAAATCGATAATTATGATATTGAATGAGACCAAAAAATGATTTTTACTCCCCAAAAAAACATAAAAAAAAATACTCCCTCCGTTCCCAAAAGTATAGTCTTATTGTTAGCACGAGATTCAAAGAATATTGATATAATATTGGTAATTGGTAGAAAGTAAGGATAAATGATTTTTTTGCCCTTGTGATGTTAGTATAAAAAGTAGTGACAATTGTGTAATAATAATGAAAAAGTAGGAATAGTTTTACGGCTATATGTTTATTTATGAAAATGAGAGTATTGTTTCGAAACAGACAAAAAATGCTAACACGAATATTGTATTGAAATGGATGGAGTACTACATATTAATAAAATAATGTATATTATACATTTTATAATTAAATTGAAAATTTTATTTTGGGATTATTATTGAAATGGGTATATGCTTGAATCCATTTTAAGAGTGAGTTAATATTTTCTAAAAATAGAGTAATAAATTTATAAACAAGAATTTATTTATCGTAATATTTTCAAAATAAAATTTAAAATAATATCCAACACGCCCTAATTCCGGACCCGTTAATGAAAACGGATCCGGTGCAAGTGAAATAGGGCGGCACGCGCAAGCCACGTGCCCACATGACGGGCTCGTGGACGAAGGTAACGCCTCATCGGTTTTCAGAATCCCCAAAACGAAACCCCAATCACCTTAACGACGCTCTTTCTTTTCATGTCCTCCATTACAGGTCCGTTCTTGACCTTTATTAGGCCGGGGCAAAATTAGAATATTGGGCCCTTAAATATATTTCTTATATAATAATAATAATAATATAATATATATATTTTAATATAAATGTATTAATAAAATATTTTTTTATATATTAAAAGATCAAAATATAAATATAAAATTAATGTGATATATTTAGTATAACATAAAAAATTAAAAAAATATTTGATTTAATATTTTTTAAAGAATATTTTTATAAACAATCAAAATTTTTAAAAGAAAAATTTTAAACAAAAATATTTATTAAGGGTTTGTTTCTTTTGATTGGTTTAAGGAAAAATTTGGTTTGAATTTGATATTAAAATAATATTTGATGAAATATTTGTGAGAGAGAAACGCATAGTCCTAATAGTAAAAATTAGAAAATTTAGATTAAATAAACAAACTCAATGTTTATATAATACACAAATTTTTAAAACTACTATTAAAAAATATAATAAAATATACAAATTTAAAACATATAAATATAAAAAAAATAATAAGAATACAAAAATATTACTCTATTATATCTTTTTAGTTTTATATAATTCACAAAAAAAATATAAAATCATACCATTAAATAAACACACTAAAACATACAAATAAATAATTTAAAAATTAATGCAAATTATTTATTTAAAAATTAATTATAAAATAAATTTTTTATTTAAATTTTATTTTATACATTTAAAATAATAATAATAATATATATATTAATATATAGGAGTATATATATATATTATTGGGGCCCCTAGAAGGAATGGGCCAGAGCAAGGGCCCCTATCGCCCGGGCCTGTCCGTCTACTCCGCTCCGTTTCCGTCAACTTGACGCCGTCCATGGCCTCTTGTGGCGATGACTTTTCCTTCCTCGACGACCACCAAAACCCTAACCCCGCCCAACCGCCTCCGCCTCCGCCTCCGCCTCCGCCTCCGCCACCCAAACCCCACCCCCACCCTACCAGATCAACCCGTACGACCACGACTCCGATCCATTCGATTCCGAGCCCGATCGGAATCCGATTTCCGGAAAGCGCTCATCGATCGGGATGAAATCCACAGCGGAACGCCGAAGAGGTCGAGATTGCCTTCGTCGGGAGGGAGCGGGGACTACAGGAAGGATCGGGAGGAGTGGAGTGATACGGCGATCGGATGTTTGCTCGAGGCGTATAGCGAGAAGTTTGTGCAGTTGAATCGGGGGAATTTGCGAGGTAGGGATTGGGAGGAGGTGGCGGCGATGGTGAGCGAGAGGTGCGAGAATCAGACGAAGAGCGTCGAGCAGTGTAAGAACAAGGTTGATAATTTGAAGAAGCGGTATAAATTGGAGAGGCATCGGTTGAGCAGCGGCGGCGTTGCTGCGAGTCATTGGCCGTGGTTCAAGCAGATGGAGCAGATCGTCGGAAATTCTCTTGCCGCTAAAGCTGCTGCGGAGGAGGAGAAGTCGTCCGTCGGCGTTGGTGCGTCCTATTCCGCTAGACAATCCAAAAGGTATACATACATCTGAAAGCTGTGATTCCTAATTCCAGATCGGGAAGCAGAAATTTGAACACTGCTGTGGTTTATAGAAGCAGTTCTGTATCTTTTACAATGATCGAAATCTGGACAGTATAATCTAATGCTTAATTCCTTCCAATGGAAACCTGTTTTTGACAGGTTAGGAACATCGATCAACAGTACCAGTGTTCAAATTAACAACGCCAAATTGAAGCCATCGAACAATCTCAGACGACGAAGAGTGGTGTTCAAAATTAGCGGTGCTGCTCTAGCTGGAAGTGCTGCTGCACCTAACAATGTAGATCCAAAGGTGTATTTTCGTCTTCCTCGTCAACCTGTCGAACTAAATGCATGTTCTGTTTTATACTGAATCTCAAAGGCACAACCTAAGATACTATGAAACCATCCTACCTTAAGAACATAGAGCTGTCCTTATGCATCTTCGATGATATTATATAGATGATTCTACAGGTTTTAGAACAACTTTCTTCCTTCAGAAATGCCTTTTGCTTGCTAAATTTCGAGATTGAATGCATTTCCTTAACTGAGCTTGCAACTGCTTCTAAACACTGTTGTTCTCTCCGTAATTTTGATTTCTTTCCTGAGCCCTATGGCGCTTCCATTTTACAGAATGTCCTCCAATGGTGTGCCACTGTAACTAAGAAACTTCTTTGATTTGGTATTTGGGGAAAATTGGGTTGTGGAGAGTCCTATTCTGCTGGATTTCATACACAGAAATGCAATTTGTAGCTTGATGCATATATTTGATCAGACATTTGAATTCTTTTGAATGGTGATTTGGTAAACTAGGTGGCCTGGCTCTCGAACGTTTCATTCCTTTGGCCTGCAGAATCTTCCTTGAAATATTGTGTAATTTGGATTGTGATCACCAAGAACCTCAATACCTGTATGATAGAAAACTATTATTACCGAAGCTGTGATTTCTAAACTCATCACCTCAAGTTTGTTCGGAATCTACATCAAAAGCATTGGAAAGAATTCCTCCATGTTCTTAGCTTTCCATGTTCTTAGCTTTAAGCTTTGATTAATTTTGTAATCGTTCATGTCACAGGTGGCAATGTTGATTGCAAAAGAAGTTTCATTAGCTTGTTTTGCTGGAGTTGAGGTATGAATACAAACTTCACATTCTTTACTTGTCTTTCTGCGTATCTATTTTGCCCACCCACACAGCCTTAAATTCTGTCCTAGGTGGCTATAGTTGTTGGTGGTAGAAACTTCTTTTGTGGAGATTCGTGGGTCACCTCTGGATTTGATAGGTGCACTGCATATCAAATTGGGTAAGTTCTCTAATTTAAAGTCATGTTTTCTTTTATCTTGCAAGGTTTTCTTGGGACTGTTATTCAACAAATTTGCAAAAGAAAGACGATGATTGGTACTATCCCAAACACATTCATGGGCAACTCTTTTCGTTGATCATGTATTATAATTTATACTCTTGTGAAAGCTTGTGGGATCAATATCTTCACCTCGTGTAGGCGTATCAATAATTCATTGTAAACTACAAGTCAACTCCGACCTTGATTCTTAGCACAATCAAGATCTTGGGTTCGTGTATAGGTTAAATGCTTCTAGTGAGAGTGGCGTAGTTAATATTTATCCATGACTGATATGAGGCGCATTTTCCCTATGGTGCTTTTTTTGGTCTTTTCGCTTACTGAATTAATATACCGTCGGCATTTTATTCACTGATTCTGCCTCGGTTTCCCATTGAAACCAGAATGATGGCGATGAAGATGAACTCCATACTGCTGCAATCCACACTAGAGAAAGCAGACGTGCAGGCACATCTGCAGAGTGCATTCTCTATGCCCGAGGTTGCCGAGCCTTACAGCAGGCAACGAGCAATCCGGCATCTTGAAAATGGAAGGGTTGTAATATTCGGTGGCATTGTAGCGGGCACCGGGAATCCACTCTTCTCCACAGATAAAGCTGCAGCATTTAGAGCCTCTGAGAGTATGACAATGGCCCGTCCTTCTAGGGATGGCAATGGGTCCGGGTAGACCCGACCCGGACCCGACCTATTTATTTGGGGTTGGGTTCAATTATTCGGGTATCGGGTCCGGGTCGGGTCTAAGAGTGGACCCTATCTGGATTCTATTAATATATTAATTATATATATGAAAAAAAATAATTTTTAATAATTAAATTATATTAAAAATATGTTTTTGGTTTAATATATTTATTTTTTATTATTTTATCATAATATTTTTGAGTAAAATATATAAAATTTTAATATATATCGGGTTCGGGTCCAATTTTAAGAATTGTAAAAGATTTTTTCGAGTTTGTCGGATCCATCTGGTTTTGTCAGGCATGGTTAGATCCGAGAGTAATGCGCAGTCACATGCTTCGTTGCCGCAGTGGATGTGGGCTACTAATGTGGCAATATACTTCAACCAAGCGACACTGATCAATGACGGAGACAAGAATTTGTGGGGATGGAATGAGGAAGATACGGAAACACATCGGCCATTGTTTCCATTTTCGAAACTATGTTCTCTCATGCACTTGCCGTTAACAGTTCCAAGGCGACTCACTATTCTCTTAGTAGACGAAGAGAACTGGTCTAAGGTATATGCTGTTGGTTGTGCCTTATGTGCACCAATTCTTCTTGCATTTCTATGGAAAACAATCTTGATAGCGGACATCTTGAGCAAGATTGTTTTATTTCAATTTTTGCTCCCAAAGATTTCAAATACATTTCTAAATTTGATGTTGAATTGACAACATTTGTGTGAGTGAAATTGGGTTCATAGGCTTGTTGTAATGGTGACTGATTCAATAGAACTTTGAGTTTGAGTTTTTGCTTGAATTTGAGTTGCATAGAGCCTTCATCTTTAGGGGATTGGCTGTTAACACATATGAGGAAACAAGAATTTAGGCAGCTTATGTGATTATTTTCAGTCTTAACTTTGAGGAAAAGATTGCTTGCAATTGCCAATTGGTGAGACCAAGATTTTATGGCTTGCTATATTTTATTATCCTTCTATAGACAATATTTCGTTTATTTTTAATTACAGTATATAAGTATAAGTTTTTATGGATTCATGTTAGATATTTGATGCACCATAATATGTGTTCATGGTCTATAATTATGAAAACATACATTTGTAGTCTGTTATTCTTCAAGGATTAATCATAACTAACTATTTTTTTTGCTCTAATCACGCAGGTGTGGATACATCACGGCTAAGGATGTTCTTGAATTAGTTGAGGAACAGATCCTAAAGGGTGAAATCGTTGAGAGGCTTTGGAGGTTTCACAATTCTCTCTGAATATATATGTTCTCTTCTCCTCCCATTCTTATCTTAGATTGATAGATAATTCAAATTACATGCATTACTAATTAAATCAGGGGCCAAGTGGGTACTACTATTGGCAAATCAAGTGCGGCCTTATTTGATAACCACAACCCACCAAGTGGGCTTGATACAGTTAAAGTTAAACAAAAAGAGATGCCACCTGGATTGTGGTTATTATATTAAGCATCACTTCATCTGCTACTATTGCTTATGGCATCTACCGAAGAAGAAGGTGAAGATTTCCTTAATCTCTTTGCCATGCTTACAATTTATAATAAAGAAAGAGCTATAGTAGTACTACTAATAGTTCAAGTAAGTAGTCATGAGTCTTAACATTGATCTCATAAGACGAGACTGATGAAGTTGGTTAATTTCCGTTACTTTTCGAATGTTTGTTGTTGTTTAGCCTCTTGACATTGATAATGCAGATGCATGCATAAGAAGGGTAATATGATATGTATGCCCCTTTGTTTGTTAGGGAATTTTTAGAAATATCATTTTATGCCATTTTGTTTGTTAGGGAATTTTTAGAAATATCGTTTTATGCCACTTTGTTTGTTATTTCCATGCAAAGACCAATGGTGTAGTGTTTTATTTCAAACGGCCCATTTATGATGAAAGTTATACTTATGTTTGAATTCATGAAAACATATATTTTGAAACATTGGTCCGTAAGAGTGTCCATTTGGTAGTAAACTTTTGAAGAAACATATTGCATACCTATTACGAAAGTAGTATATAGAGATTTGTGAATAATGTGTTGCTCTGTAAAATATTGTTTGAATTATGTATGAAGGAAGTGAAATTCTATGTTCTCTAAGCGCCGCTTGATTTAAGCTATTATTCACAATATGGTGTTGCAGTTTTAATATTTCAACTTGCTTTGTTAAGTTTTGTTGAAAGGTTTGTTTAAATTTATTTTATTCTCCGTGGTTCTTTTACTTAGAAGATTACTGCCATATACTCAACAATGTGGAATTTTAATTAAATTTACGAAATTTCTGCATGATAGATATTATTTTGTAAATTTGTTGGACCAATTCATGGTTAATTATCACCAATATATGTCGAGAGATCCTTTTTGATTTAGAATTGAATAAGGTTGATTTTAGACTTGCCCAGGTTTCGAACCGTCGGTTTGAACCGCCGGTTCACCGGTTTTCGAACCGATGGTTACGGTTAAAACCGAAACCCGGCACAAACCGAACCGAAACTGTCATCCCCACAGTTCGGTTTCGGTTTGTGAATTTTTCAAACCGTAAGCCGCCGGTTTACGATTTGAACCGGCGGTTTGCATTTTTTATTTTTTAATCTCTCACCACTCACCGGGGCGGCTCAGGCAAAGAAGAAGAAGAAGGCGGCTCAGGCAAAGAAGAAGAAGAAAAATAAGGAGGAAAGAGGGAGTAGGGAGCAGGTAAAAGAAAAAAAGGAGAACGGCTAGTGGCTGCAACCATTTGTATTTTGTAATTTTTTATCATATCAATACTTTTATATTTATTTTTATGTACCTTTTATTTTTAATTTAATTTAATGATTTACTATATTTATTATTTTAATTATTTTTATAATGTAACGATTGAATTAATTATTTATATGTATGATTTTTACATAATAAATAAATAATAAATATATCTGAATAAAATTAATATAAAATTTACTTATTTTTAAATACAATTCAAATTTAGAAAAATAGAAAATAAAAAATATTAAAAATGAATATATATAGACAGGCGATTCAAACTGTAACAAGCGGTTTTTAAATCGAAACCGGCGGTTTTTAAACTGTAATCGAAACCGTTAAACGGTAACCGAAGCTGTTATTCGGAAGGTTTGGTTTTGATTTGATATTTTGACAAATCGTAACTGGCTGTTTGAACCGTTTGGGCAAGTTTAGTTAATTTCCCTTCCACTTCAACCCCTCGTCTAAATGACATGATCTCATGACATTCATTAAAGTTACTAACTACTGAATCATGCTTGTTTAATCTTGTATTGGTACAGGCACCGTTAGAAAATTTGGAATCAGAAGGTGCATCGTATGCCGACAATTCTATTTCATTCCTTTATGGGTGTAATTGTAAGTATTTTAGTTTTTCTTGTGAAATTTTCATTTTCTACCCCTATTGAAGATATAAGATATAAGATTATGTTTCTAAGCCACTATTCTGTTCATAAGTATTTTAATCTTGTAATTATTATTAGCAAGGTGCAATTTCTTGTTATATATATTTGTTACGATCCTGTTAATATATCAGGATTTGGCTGGTTTGTAGATACAAGAAAGTAGATTGAATGAAGTTTATATAATAATGAGATTTTTAAAACTTTAGCGGATTAAGCTATTGCAATGTGCTAATATGGTGTCTATTGTATTCTAATCCTTTCACCATTTGCAACTTGGAAATCTACATGTAGACATCAAATATGCTTTGGGTTTGTAATTTCCATCATGTTAAATGAAAACAGATAGCATTTCTTTTCGATTGATAAATTTATGTTTTACTATGTGCACTACACTTTTATAGAGTTGGAATTTATAGTTAATTGCATCAAAGGTCGAGTCTTTCACTTCATGTGGTGTAATTTTTTCAAACTTCTGCACCTTAAAATGTCAATATATCATGACACAGTTTTTGCTTGATCCTATATATCCATTAGTTTATAGTAAGTTAGAAACAAATTTAAATTATTGTGCATAGTTTAGTAAGAAATTGTAAAATAAATATAATTACGTGTGCAAATTAGTCACGGATAAAATTTCATGATTGATGTCATTAGTAATTTACTTATAAAATTATTTATGGAATTTTCTCGTGAGGAATTGTTTACGAGGTATTACTAACAGAATACTCACGTGTGTCCCAGTTCGATTACTATTAAATAGTGAATTTGTTGAGTGTTTATGTAGAATGAATGGAGAAATTTATACAGGACACACATATCTTATGTATGAGGTAATACCTATCCTAATTTGTATATGTTTTTTTTTTTTTATCATCAACAGTTGAATCCATATTTACAGAGCGGTTGGCAGCTTTTGATCATGGATCTGAACATAAAAGCCACAAGAACAGTTGTCATTTGTAATTCAGGTAACAAATTCTAGTTGAATATGGGCATTACATATATAGACTTGCAATATAATTACAACTTTAAAATTCCAATAGTCATGTGTATGTATATGTGTGAACATTAATTTGTTGTCCACTAGTTGTTGAACATATTTCCACAAGGCAGAGGGGTCTAATTTTATTTATAACGATTAAAATAGTTGTAATGTTGTGCTTAATAATTTTCTAACGGCATTTGTTTCTTCCATCTGAATTATGCTATGTTGGCACATTAAAGATGGTATGAACAAATTGTTTGTGAGTTGGTACTAAGTAGTCTTAGTTTAGAGAATTTGATAAATTATATTTTGTAATAATAATGCTTTGAGAATTTTCATAATAGCAGTTATAGGAAAGACCAGTGTAAGCATGATTTTTATTTTTTTACTTAATCTCTTACTTCTAGGAGTTATATGTGGAAGCATTGAGAAATGGTTTATCTAGTGCAGCACCATTGCAATTCGATACAAAGGTATTATTGGAAAAGGCTTCAACATATCAACGGATTTAAAGGAAAAAGCTTCAGCATATCGGTGGATTCAAATTTTAAGGTATGTTGCTTCCATAATTTGAGAAAGTTGAAATCATATTTAACAAAAAAAAAAAAATGTGGCAATTTCAGGCTGATGTTACTCATTCCGACACGCAAAAAATTAGTGCATTTTTTGCGAGAAAGAGAGAGTAATATTTTTTTGGTTTGTCTCGGGCTGTTTTAAAATTGAAGTCCGATAAGCCCGGCCTGATTCTGGATTGGGTTTGAAAACCCGAACCAAGCCATGGCCCGGTTTCCAAGTATACCGGGCCAGGCCAGCCCACAATTTTAATATTAAGTTTTAATTAAATTTTGTGTTTTTTTTAGAAGATAAGTTATATTAGTCTAAGTTGATATAATTAGGAAAAAAATATGTTTATTGATAATTAAGAATTAAAAAAAAAAAATTAATTCATGCAAGTCCCGGGACGTAAAAATAAATCTAACTCTATATGCAAGATGCTAAAATAAATGCGATGCATAAAAGTAAAATGAAATGGACGAATTACTCCCTATTATGTATTCGGTCGTCCGATCATCCAGCCGCTCCCTCTCGTATGCATCTAAAAAGATTTAAAATAGATATTATTATGTATATGCATAGGAAGGAAAAGACGAAATAATATTAAAATCACTTACCTTGGTTTGAAATCGAGATCGATCTTTGCGGATCCCCTCGTCTCCACATAAGCTTTACCTACAAATTAAAAACACTTGAAAATAAGTTAGTATAAAATATAGAAACAAAAAAATTAATGCATGCATGTCCCGGGACCGACGTAGAAATAAATCTATTCCTATATGCATAATGCTAAATTAAATTAAATGCATAAATGTAAAAGGAAAGGGACGGATTACTCCCTATGATGTATTCGGTCGTCCGATCATCCGGCCGCTCCCTCTCGTATGCATCTAAAAAGATTTAAAATAGATATTAGTATATATGTATAGGAAACAAAAAAGTAATATTAAAATCACTTACCTTGGATTTGAAATCGAGATCGAAGGATCTTTGCGGATCCCCTCGTCTCCACATAAGCTTTACCTACAAATTAAAAACACTTGAAAATAAGTTAGTATAAAATATAGAAACAAAAAAATTAATGCATGCATGTCCCGGGACCGACGTAAAAATAAATCTATTCCTATATGCATAATGCTAAATTAAATTAAATGCATAAATGTAAAAGGAAAGGGACGGATTACTCCCTATGATGTATTCGGTCGTCCGATCATCCGGCCGCTCCCTCTCGTATGCATCTAAAAAGATTTAAAATAGATATTAGTATATATGTATAGGAAACAAAAAAGTAATATTAAAATCACTTACCTTGGATTTGAAATCGAGATCGAAGGATCTTTGCGGATCCCCTCGTCTCCACATAAGCTTTACCTACAAATTAAAAACACTTGAAAATAAGTTAGTATAAAATATAGAAACAAAAAAATTAATGCATGCATGTCCCGGGACCGACGTAAAAATAAATCTATTCCTATATGCATAATGCTAAATTAAATTAAATGCATAAATGTAAAAGGAAAGGGACGGATTACTCCCTATGATGTATTCGGTCGTCCGATCATCCGGCC